AAACTGAATTTGCAGATTGTACTATATTGTGTATTGCACACAGGTTACGAACTATTCTCAAATATGATCGAATCATGGTGTTAGATAAAGGTGAAATCAAAGAGTTTGATACCCCATTGAATTTGTTCAACTCTGTTGATGGATTATTTAAGGAAATGTGTGAAAGATCTCATATCGTTTTGGAGGATTTCACTTTTTAGTTAAGAAAAACCAGGTTTTCACAACGTCAAGCATAAAAGCAAAACTTTAAAAGAAAACAAGAAATCATGCCTAATAGACAATACAGAAAAGAAATAAAATTAGAAATATCAAGAGGTAGATAGTACTAATTTCAAACCGTTTTTCTACAATGAGTTTCACTATTTTATTTATTTAAATCTAACCGGTTTTAATTTTTGTTTTTACTTTTCATTTTGTGGTTTAGTTTCATTTTTAATTTCATTTTTGTTTTCATTTTCATTTTCATTTTAATTTTAATTTTAATTTTAATTTTCAATTTCAATTTCAACTTCGTTCTGATTAATTTTTTTCAGTTTCAATTTTAATTTTTATTTCATATTCTGTCTTCAGGTTTATGTTAACCTGCTTAGATTTTGATGAAATCAGTCTTCCATCAATAGCTGATTTAATGCTTTGTTCAATAATTCAATAATTCAATTTGCTATTTATATATTTTGCTATTCATATATTTTCCAATTTATTTATTTAGTAATTCATCTTATTTTAGAAAAATGATACTGTTTAGTGATGTTGAATTTACACTAATCAAAATAAAACACTAATTTAGATGTCAACTATCACACAGTGATCATGTTTATAAAAAATATTTAATGCCTAATAATTTATAATTAATACTTAATATGTCTCTTCTAGCCTATTGAATGAATTGAAAGTTGTAAAAATACTCTAAATACATTTGGAAAAGGTATGTCAAACCTAGCAAAATGACCAGGTAGAGTTTCAGCTGATTCATTTTATTATCACATTTATCGTAAACAATTAATTTGTCTCTAAGAACAGTTGTAGTAATTGTAAGCATCAATCAACAAAAGAATTAAAGCCGCCATATAATTCTGGCTTGCTAGCAGATGAAGAGACTATTTTCTTACATTTTCTAGGAAGATCTTCCAATCCCATACAAGGATAGATTTTATTACCATCCAAATTAACCTTTAAGATATTGGGTCCTTTAAACGCTGTGGCATCCTCTTCATCAGGATAAAACGTTTTGATTTTGAACCACAACTCATGATAGTTTTTTAGAAATTTAATTCGGATAATTTGATTGTTACGGAGATTTAGCGTTTGGATATGAGATATTCCTTTGACGTATTTTAATATTGATATTTGATTATCACTTAAATTAAGCATTTTGATATGCATCATAACGTTAAAGTGTTGCAAAGTTGTTATTTGATTATGACTTAGATTTAACATTTTGATATGTGGTATTTTGTTAGTCGGTTAAAATTGATATGTTATTCCAGTTCAAATCAACAACTTCTAATTGTTCCGAATCCAGTATATTTTCAATGACATGAATATTGTTATGGCTTAAATACAATTCTTTGAATTTCGCCAATCCTTTAAGATTCTTTAGTTTACTGATATTATTGGATTGCAAATCTAATATTTCCAATTTATATAAATTGTTGGGAGTGGAAATTTTACTGCATGCTAAATTCAACACTTTTAATGAATATGGACTCTCTATATTTTCAATTACTTTTATTTTGTTATTTGACAAACGTAATACTTCCAACTTCTCTAATCCCTCCAAATTTTCAATGGTTTCAATTTTATTAGCCGATAAATATAATGTTTTAGCAATTTTATTTTGTTGATATTTTCAATCTTATTAGTTTTATTGATAGACAAATCTAATATTCTTAAGTTTTCAAACTTTTCTAAATTCTCAATTTTTGAGATATTATTGGATTTCAAACACAAAACCCTTAAAACCCTTATGGATTTTTCGGATTGCAAACCTATTAAATCTTGATTATCATCTCCTTGATTCACACAACCAATTTTTCTAGAGACTTCAAATAAGTCAGATTGAAGAACGTTTCTAAATTACTATCTTTGTATAAATGTAGTTCTATTTTTTTTACTTTATTAGAGACTCTCAAAAAGTTGTAATGTTTTATTGATAATCCTCTCAAATTTAAAAGCTCTAGTTTTGGAATCCTACTTTATATATCGATTTGTTTGATATACATAATTTAATTTCAACGATTCTAAGCTTGGAAAATGTTCATAGAACCTGATGTTAGCTGTTACAGATATAGTTATATGATGTAATATGCGACCTATGGTTTTCCTCGATATCCAAGTAATATAATAATGAGAATTGATATAAATAATTAATCTCACTGAACCGATTATGCAATAAAATGAGAGGTTGTAGATCAAAAAGTTTATTTGAATCTTCAATTTTGATGAGTTGATTGTGTGCAAATAATGACTCTCAATTAAATATACTTGCATGTCTAAAAATCCTCAATTGATTATGTGATAAATCTAGCTTTTGTAAACTATATGACTTCTTCAAATCAACAAAGTTGGTGAACTCATTGTGTGACAAGTTTAAATCTGTTAAATTGACCATTTTCAGCAAATTTGGAAGTTTACATAAACAATTGTTGGAAATATCGCACATTATCAAATGAATCAAACGCGATAATTAATTAATAGAATAAAGTTTGTGGCCCAAAAAATCTAAATGTTCTATAGTCAACAATATACAATAAAACCGAAATCGATTTCTAGTTTGAACAATATTAACATCCACAATAGACACACCATCACTGTTGATTCTAGTTTTGTAAAACATCAATAAATTTATTTCTTCTACACGCCGACAAAGTGTCAGGAGTTTGATTGTGCTGTTTCCCCACTGTTTCAACACCATGAGAGTTATGATAATTAGCGGTTTTGTATAGTACGTAAGCTGATATTTGAATAAAAATACATCTTTCATCTTTAAAGCTAAATGGTCCTTTTGGTCCAGCCGATTTTCATTTTTTATAGCTTCCAAGATATTTGGTTCCAAAATTTTATCAACAGTTTCAACCGAATCAAAGAACACAATATATGCACTTTTTCCGAGCAATTTATTTCCGGACGATGTCAGAAAAACAACTATATCAATAGAAATATCACATAATATACGCTGAATAATGAAAACCAAAAATCTATTCAATATATTGGGAGTGTATTTCAGGTTTGAGTTCGAACAATCCAGCAATCACATCTTTATGAACCATTTTTGACTGTTACTTTCACCCGAAATGATCTACAGTCAACCTAGCCAACAACTTAATTCTGTATTTATACCAAAAGAATTGGACAGTTGATTATTACTGTTTATGCAAGGAATCTGCAAGGAATCTGCAAGAGAATGAATTGCTACAGAAACAAACCTTGGTATGCAGGTTGAGGCAGCTGCCGTTTCGAGTAACAACTTTGGTTTCAAAGCCTTATTTCAACGAAAATTGTCTTTGGTTGTACTAGAGGTTTTGTTTCCCTTCTAAAAACAAGAGCCAATCATTTAACTTTTTTCTACTGAAATAATGATTGAACAACAAAAATATACATTTTATTATAATAATATCTCATTCAGTTTTCAGTTGTTTCTATTGACGTTATTTGATTTGTTAACAAACTAGTTAGATAACTGGATTGTTTTTGGATTGTTCGCAGAATATTCATTTGTTTCTGTAAAACTCACAACCCAAATTCCAGTTTGCCAATTGACATCCAACACAATCTTTATAGTTCCACGGTAACCCATATATTATTTCTTTGTATTTATAAAAACTAACCACACCAATTACTATTAAACTAAAAAATAAAATGTCAACTCTTGTAGTGACTTTTTTTATTTTCTCAAAATTGTCATTATTAAATCGAAACCTATATCTCATTGCCTTCAAAGCTAGTTTATTATATATTAGCTGAATAAACAACCCAACTAAAAGTAAATTAAAATAATATGATCCAAGATAATTACTTATCAAAAAATTATGATTATTAACATAATTATTAAATGAAATCAGTTGACTAATCTTCGATAGTAGAATGTACGGAAAATAGTGAATCAAATATCCTATAAATATCTTAATGAAATTTTCATCAAATAATATTTGTAATGTGTCTAACGAATAGTTGTATTTCTGCAAGTTAAGTTTATCAGTTTTATTCCTTTCTTTTTCAGTTTTTTCTTTCAATTGTTTATATATCAAATAATCCTCAATTTTTTTATCATTACTATTAACAACATTAACATTATCAAGATTATTTGTACATTTTTCACTATAATTTTCATTATCTCCATCATCATAGCCTCGGTTCTCATAGTCATAATCATTAATATTAATTTTATTAAACTCTAAGAAATCTCTATGAAAATTAAACAAGAATTTTAGAATTTTCACGTTAAAGTATAAAAAGCTGATAATTAATGTAATCAAACATAAAAATGAGTTCAATGGATTAGTAAATAACAATATTTTTGTTTTTAAGCTATCATCTTTAAAAACGATGTTATCTTGAAAATTATTATTTAAAAGAGTATTGAAATAAAATGACCAATATTTCGGTTCAATCAAAAATCTTAAATGATCCGTTTTAATTTTAGACAAAACGATCAATTGATTATTTAGATTCATATTAATTAATTTTAGATTTAACTCAATGATTTTTTCCAAGCATGTCATTTTCTTGAATCTTAATCGATTTTTTTTCAACAATTCAATTTTATCGCCAATCTCTTTATCCCTTTTGTTATGTTTTTCCTTTTTGTTATGTTTTAATGCAAAATTGTTCAAATTGTGTTCTAAAAACAATGGATGACTATTCTCTTCAAAGTAAAAATTAGTGTATATGCTATTTGGGTCCTTGACACATACCACTTCTTGCTGATGATTGCCCCATTCCGGTAAATAGACCGGATGAGATAACAAGTAACATTGCAATTCTCTATTATATAATTTAAAAATTGAGCCATAACTTTTAATTTTGGCATTAAATAATAGTTTTTCATCCAAGTTTTCCAAGTTTTTTAAATGATTTATTGATTCTTCGTGATTACTTATTATTCTCCAATTATCATAATTGTCAGGTAGAAAAGATTTTCCAAAATCCCCTTTGCAACTAATTTCAAAATGATAATCTTGGGACGAAACTGGCCCTCTAATATTATTAACATGCAAGTAGTTTTTGGTATTATTGTGTCTTAGTCTAATGATTGAATTATCGTTAACAAATGCTAATTGATTATAAAACAAATGATCATCATATAATTTTAAGTTTTTTTCAATAATCCAATAATTATTTGTATCATTGAAATTATAAAGGTTAACTTGTTGCTCATTTGAGCCAATTGAATAGGTTTTATTAAAGGAATATAAATAGTTACCACCACCAAAGACTCCAAAAAAATTAAAATGATCAGGCAAATATTGTCTGATTGAGACTTTTGAGCCATATAAAATATTTAAATTTGCATCAATATTATTAGTAGTACTGCTACTACTATCATTAGTGTTGTTGAATATTGATAATTGAGATTTATAAAAAGTTGAAAGAAAAGAAAAATCATTGGACGATGGATTGTAATGTTTTAATAGATTTACATGGTAATTGAAAATGATTAAATAAACTAGAAATGGAATTAGAAATAAAATAACAAATACTTGATAGATAATGTTTTTCAAAACAAATTGTTTTTTGAATTTTTGATTCAATTGATTTAGTTTAGTTGATTTATTTAGTTTGGTTGTTTTTACGGATTTGTTTAATTTTATTGATGTGTGTTTTTTGATTGATTTAGTGGATTTATGAAGTTTTCTTGATTCTGACAATGATAGATCTTGATAAGTATACCAATTCTTGTATAATGTTAGTAAAACAAAATAGAATAACGATAAAACAGAGGAAACTTTTGTGGATAGCAAGAGACCTAACGAGATTGAAAATCTGAGTAAATTGTTTAAGTTAAAATGGTAGAGGCAGAGTAATAATAAAAATAGATGTAAAGAGTTATAATTTATATACTTTGAAACCTGGATTAGGTTGAATGGATCGATAATTAGTAGTAGTGAAGTTAAAAAGGATACTTTGTTGAAACAATTGAGTGAGTTTAGTATTTTGTAGAATACAATGATACTCAATGACGACATCACCAGGTTTATTATTCTCAAATGATATAATGAGATCAAGTCTTGTTGATTGGTACTATTTGTTATGAATTGATTGACTTTGAAGTAGAATAAATCTGTGAGCGGTGGATTAAAAGATAAGAAAAATGTTTTATTCGAATAATTTTCAATGTTTTTTACAATCAAAGTTTCGTCAATGGTGACTGGAGATAATGGATAATCGATATTCAATAGCGACGAAAAAATAGATAATAAAATAAGAAAAAACAATAGAATTGAGTTGTTTCGATTAGTTTTAGTATTGGATTTTCGGTTAGATTTGTTTTGTTTTCCAATCATAGCATCTGAATTGGCGTTATCATTTACACCAACATTGCTTCTCACAGTGTTGTTTAATGAAGCATTAGTTTCGTCTATGGAATCATCGGATGGCTGGAGCGCAGATTTAGCGGTGGTGGAGTTGAATGAATAGTAGATAGGTAGAGCCCGAATTGACCTGGTGATAAAATATGGTTTGTAGGGCCCCTGAGCATACACCTCAGCTTCACTCATCTTCAGCAGCTGCAACAGTTCTTTGGTGCTTCTGTAAACGCGTTCTTAGATACAACTCCATCTCTTGACTGGTGTTCAGTTGAAAGTTTTATTATATGCATCGCCGGATTGAGAAACATCCGGCCTCCAGAGCGGAAAGTGAGTGCGATCCGTGGTTCTGGTTTTATTTGTAAAGTGGAAGGAAAGGGTTTGGTGAAGGAGTTGGTAAAATGGAGTGGGCATTCTAGAAAGTTTATTGGGCTTTAGGATATATGGAAGTTGTTTATTTATGGTTATATACAGAGCTTTTATAAAATATAATAATTATTTGAAACTATTTGAAACTATTAGAAATTAATCGATATTAATTTTCAACTCTTTGATTCTGAGAATTGTCTTTGGCAATTTAGTTATAAAAGCCCTATTTTTCCTACATCTTTGTCTTTCGAGCTTTACATGTTTCGCTTTATTCTTTGCTTTCTCGATACAAACAGCTTTAATTTCGATCAATTCGGAAATCTTGTTATCCAAATAGAGATCAGTGACATTTTTTTCCTTGGATGTAGGTAGCCGGTAGAACAAGTCTCTTGATCCGAGGTTGGAAATGTTGTTCAATTTGATTGTAGTACCGACTTCAACTTGTCTTAAGTTGTATGGTAGGTTGATTAAATCGCCTTTAGTTATTAAATAGGGAAAGTTTTGGATGTTGACAGTGGCATATAAATTGTCGGCAGGAACCTTTTTGAAATTTTGTAAATCTGTTGTAATAGTTTTTATGGTTGAGTTGATATTGTCAATTTCTGAGTTTAATAGTTGAACATTGTCCTTCTTTTTCTGTTCTTCAATGTTGGATAGATAGTTTTTTTTGAAGGATGTGAAGGAGATCTTTTCTTTTTGATCTGGAGGTAGAGTTTTATATTTCTGAGAAATAATAGTGGATAAATGTAGTTGAAAATTATTGGATGAGGTGTTGGAGAAGAATCTTAGTTGAAAGAGGGGTTTTAAGAGTAAGGGAGATAATTTTGCGAGTATTGGGGCGATAGCTGAAGAGCCTCTTGCTAGCATATTGAAATTAGCGAGCAGCATCTTGACAAGAAATAGGCAGCATAGAAATAGAGTCGTCTTCTATAGATTGGTTGGTAAATTGTGAAAAAGTTAGAAAAGAGAAAGCAGAGCATGACCTGCACGTGACTCTGAGCAGTATGTTATGATGCATGAAACTGAGAGCCGGGATAAAGAGCGATGAAACACAGAACTAGGATAATGGCGGGGTGAAGATGGCAGGGTGTTACGAGCCGAATGGCGACGTGTATTTGGATGAGATAGACACCAATCTCGTTGATCCAGACTTGGACGATGTGCTTTGGTGGAGCTTACCGAAAAGCAGTTTTGCAGGTGGTACGGGAGTAAAGAAGAGTGATAATGGTGAGGGTGGAAAGAGAGCAATTAAGAAATCTAATCATGAGCTAGATTTGATGCGAAGTTCAATGCAAAGTTCAATGCAAGTGGATGATGTTGATGGGAGTGATCGACAAAGGGAGAGGGATAAGAATAGGATGGTTTCAAATCGACAAAGCACTAGATATCGATCGAGAAGACATGTCAACGAATCAATTGCCAGTGACGCATTTGTGATTGATCTATCTGATGAAGAGGATGATGAAGAGGATGATGAAGACATCATCGTGAAAGAAGTGGTTAAAAAAAGAAGGAAACGAGAAACTTTTGTGAAAAGTAAAAAAGTTGAAAAGCTCAATCAGTCCAAGAAATCCAGACAACTGAAGCAAGTTGAGTTTAAAAAGACTAATATTGATATCGAGATTGATTTTGATAATGAAGATAAAGAGTCTGGATATAGTGCGGAGAAACCTATAGTTGTCAAAAATATGAATGAAATCAAAAGTATAAATACAAAGGATTATGAGAATATCGAGCTTGATGAGAGTGCGATAACATTGGAAGATTTATGTTCAAGGGTATTCTCAATTGGCAGAAAGTCAAAGAACTTTGATTTGGCTGAACAGGCCAGGAAGGATCGAATAAATAGACGAAAAAACAAAAATAGGAATGCAAATAAAGATCAACAGGAAGATAAAGGTGGCGACGACATTAAAACTGATGGGGAAGATGGTCAGAATCAGACCAATGCTTTTGATTTACTAGATCCACAATTAAACGAATACAAGGTGGAAAATGCAAAGGAAGAAGATAGGCTAACTATTAAAAAGGATAAAGATGGAGATATGAAATTAAAAATCGTGAATGGAGTGATTCAAATTGAGGAAGAAAAACAAATATTCTTCCAAGAAAGCAATTGTGTTCAGGAGGAAAGAATACGACAATTGAAAAGGGATACAAAATTCAAGATAGTCGACCATGAAAATCCATTTGAAAACATTCTCCTATCGAATGCCTTTACGAAAAGTGATCGGACAAAGACCCTCAATCCAAATCTGATCTCCAGCTGGAGCATTAAGGAAACGATCAAGTTCTACAAGGCCTTGAGCTCCTACGGCACAGACTTCCAGTTGATTGCCCAGCTCTTCCCGAACAAAACGCGGGAGAAGATCAAGGGCAAGTACTCTGTGGAAACGAGGCGAAACCCGGAGTTGGTTGAGTTCTCCTTGAACAACAAAAGCGCCATCAACGTGAAGCAGTACTTCAGGGACGTGAACGAAAACAAAGCGCCGGACAACCTCACGCACTTCAAGACGCTCGCGCAGTTCAACGACGAGCTCCGGAAATTGCGCGAGGACAACGACCGCTTCATCAGCAAGCTCGAGCGGAAAATGTAGCCAGACCCATCGCAGTGGACCGTCACCCGCGCAGCCTTCCTGCCGCACCCTGCAGCGACTGCTCACACACCGACGGCGTTAATTGTGCACGTGCGTGGCAGCTGCGCGTTTTCAGCGAGCAACTTTGGAGCCTTCTTGAGACGAGCTTCTTCTCGTTTTGTCGACTCACCAGATGTTCTGTCTCTGCTGCGTGTGCTGCCTCTGCTTCTCGTCCTGTCTGCTCAGTCTAGTCTGCTTCTCCGGCGTCTGTCCTTTCTCCCCATCTTTTCCTGCTCTTCCCCAACATGGCCAACAACCTATGGAGACTCACCTCCACCTACCAATCGTTGTCTTCCATAAATAACCTCTTGAAGGAAGTTGATGTTGACGAGCTTGATACCTTGAACCTTGGTATCGAGTCCCTCAACAACATCAACATCAGCGCCGACATCCTCACCATCAAAAACGATACCAACGATAGCAACAATCTCACCGATAATGGCTTTGACAGTTTTTCCGATTCAGATTTTTGCAGCGACATGTTCAACATCCAGTACAACAGAGTCTCTCAACTATTGTTCAAAATGTTGGACCAGACTGATATCTTGCACGACTTGATCCACAACTCAAATGCCTCCTTGCTAAGATTTCTAGAATCGACCTTCATTCTAAACTTGTTGATTAATTATGTCATCAACGACTATGATGATTTTCTCTCTATAAAGGAACTCCACCTTCATAAATCTCACCCTCACACTTTAAATAACAATAACAACACCACCACCACCAACAACATTGACGACAGCAACAACCATAAAGATCATGATGAAATCGACTACGACATTGAAATCGAAACCCATGTCAATCATGACAAAAATTTATACACCTACGACACCTCCCCGGTCAACTCCAATAAAGAATCAAACCAGGAAATTTACAGCAGAAGATCCTCTATCGCTTTGGAAATTCTTTGTGCCGATATTTGGTCCATAACTGATTCCCTAATCAACTCAAACTACTTGCTCTTCAAAATTTGGTCCGTTTTAAACACAAATAAATCAATCTCAATTGTCAAATCAAATAATTTCATGAAAATCAACGAAAACTTACTCAACACTAAACTATCCATTCTACTAAGTTTTATCACTACTAAATTCAAAAAAAACTTGGTCAACAAGTTCCTAAACCAAATCACAAACCCTCCACTAATGGACTTTCTTCTAAAACTAATTTCCTCCGATAAACAAGAATCTTCAACTAATATCATTAATATTCTTCACGACCAAAACCTCATCCCAAAACTAATCAACTTTTTGAAACCGGATTTCAACTCCTCCATCCAATCTTCAACTGCTGATTTTCTAAAAGCCTTGATTACAATCTCCGCAAACTCAACAAACACTGACGACAAATCAATCATAGGCCCAAACAAACTAACAAGACAACTAGTCTCTCCCCCAATCATCCAAAAACTCATCAAAATCATGCTTTCAGGTAACTCCTCCCTATCAAACTCTGTCGGTATCATCATTGAAATTATCAGAAAAAACAACTCAGACTACGATATCTTACCGATGAACTTTATCACAATCGAATCTCATCCCCCAAATTCAAGAGACCCAATTTACCTAGGCTATTTAGTCAAGTTGTTTGCAAAAAACATTAAAAACTTCAATGCCTTACTTCTTAAACCCTATCCCTCAAATAACCTTAAAAAGACCTCCTTCGGTGAAATTGAATACTTGGGTTTTGAAAAATTCAGAATTTGCGAACTAATTGCTGAACTATTACACTGCTCAAATATGGCTCTTTTAAATAACCCCAAGGGCGAAGAAATCGCCAAAGAACGAGATGAAACAAGAATCAGAATCTCAAACATCAACAACAATTACGAAAATGATGATGATTACAACCAAATTAATAACTCAATCAATAACTCCATAAATAACTCGATCAAAATCGATAACAAATCCTCAGAAGTAGATGAAAGCGAAGATATTCATATGGATGTTGAAATTGAAAGCTTGAAGAATCTACATTTATCCAAAAATGACTCTTCTTTAAATAACTCTTCCTCAAATTTCAAAGTCAATATCCACTTATTTAATGAAAATTTTGATATTGACAATGACTTCAATAACGATCCGATTTTAGACGCTTCTTTGAATTTTGAAGACGATGTTGAATCCCCTTTTATCTCTTCTTTCACCTCCGATAACTATTTTGATGATGGTGAAAGATTATTCAGAAAAAACCCAATTATTGGTGACCAACTAAAAATTGCTTTGCACGATACTAAAATAATCAAAAACATCTTGTACTTGTTTTTCAGATTTCCCTGGAATAATTTCTTGCATAACGTCATTTTTGACATTGTTCAACAAATTTTAAATGGTTCGATCGAAATTGGTTTCAATAGATATCTAATTCTAAACTTATTCTTACACTATGACTTAATTTATTTTATTTTAAAAGCAGAAAACGCTTCCTTAAGCTACGAAAAATCAAATAATGGATTAAGATTAGGATTTATGGGTCATTTAACTTTAATTTCGGAAGAAGTTGTCAAGTTTTTACAATTTATTGATAACCATGGAAGAATACAATTTAGTTCAGAAGCACCAGATGTTCCTCAACTAAATTCTCAGATGATTAATTCAATTAAATTGCTCTATACTTGCTTAAAAGACGACGTGATTAACAATGATGCATGGTTTGATTATATTAATGGATCACTAAAGGAAACAAGAGAAAAATATAATGCTATTTTAGGTGAAGATAATAATAACAGAAATAATGATGATTCCATGAATGGTTATTATAATGATGTTAATTACAATGACGAAAACAATAAATTGAATGGGAGCAATCTTGACATAATCAGTAGTTACGATGAAGACGATAGTGATGAGGATGATAGTAATAACAAAAATAACAATGCTAATGATAGCAATGCTAATGATAGCAATGCTAATAATAACGATGATAATAATGATGGTGTTAATGTTAATGGTAATGACAGTAATACTAGTACTACTAGTGGTGATAATAATGGTAGCGACAGTAATACTAATAATACTATCACTACTACTACTACTACTAATAATAATAATAATAATGATAATAATAACAATAACAATAACAATAATAACAATAATAACAATAAGAAAAATAAGAAGAACAAAGATTATGAAAAAGGTTTCAATCATGCTTTCACAAAAGATTTTAACGAATTTCAAGAAAATGAGCCTAATGACACACTAGAAATTGATCCTGATGACTATATTAGCGATTACCATCAAAACCGATTTTCTACAAGGGAATTGAACGATCAAGATGAGGATGAGGATGATGATGATGGATACAAATATGCTGGAAGTTTTCAAAACACTGAACCTATTCTATCATTAAATGATTTACTAGGTGGTTGTGGCGGTAATGAAAAGCAAAATATTAATTATATTAGTAATGACTTAGTTAATCTGCATGAATTAGCAGAGTCTCCTCACGCCAATAGTGACAATTCAAACGATAACGGGAACAGCTATACTTTTATAAATAATTCTGGCGGGCTATCATCTGATGAGGATGATGCAGATTTTTCTAGTTGGGATGGTAGTCAAATTAGGAAAAAAAAAAAATCAAAAAACATTAACGACGATAAAAATTATTCTAGCCCAGTGATGGATGGATTTTCAGATGATTACGAAGATCCTAATGATGATGGTCAAAACTACTCCAAGTCATCGCCATTATACAATTCGATTTTGCAAAATTCTTTTGGTGCACCAAGTAAAGCGCTATTGCCTCAACTAAAACTAAAGCCAAAGTTCAACTCCCTAACTGGAAACGATAAGCAAAACAGTAAGAATACCAATAACAACGATTATTTGGATGAAGATGATGAGGTGGATTTGGAAGACCAAATTGACGATGAGGAGGACGACGATGATGAGGACGACGATGATGAGGACAAATACAAGCTATCGCGAAGTAAAAGCAAAGGAGATATGAATTGGAATGAAGATGAACAAAAGCGATTGCTCAGTATCGGTAGTTTTATTCATGCTCCTAATCACAAATAACACACGAGAAGTTACTCAAAGAGAAGCCACTCAAAGAAAAGAAAAAAAAATTGCTAGTATATAGTCCTAACGAAGTTTAATGACAGTTTTTATTTTAATGTTTTATGAGGGAAAAGAAAAATTAATAGATTTAAAAAAGAGTGTTAAGATTTTTGTATTTAGGTTTTTGTTGTTTTTTGTTTATTTCAGTGTATTCTTTAACTTAATGAAGTTTCTCCAGTGCACCAAATCAATATTCTTTTCTTGTGAGCTCTTCATGGCACTAGTTCCCAGTTCCATAGCTGTATCTTCTGTTTTTTCCAGTTTTAGTATGTACTTTTTAATTTTCTAGTTTCAAGTTTTCGATGTCGTGTTTAGCGTAGACTGCTTCGACCCAACTGTTCGTACAAAGCAGTGCTCTGGCTGTGGGTGCTCTGTTCTGGCCTTCTGCTGTTGCTGTTTCTGCTGCTGTTTCTGCTGCCTTTGCTGTCTCTGCTGCTCGTCGTCGCTGGGCCTCAGGGTGTGGCCTTTCAAATGTTTGGGTCCAAGCCAATCCCCAGAAAGAGCATTTTTCATGGTGACGTTTTCACTAAAACACAGTTCAACTCTCAGTCCTCTTCTCTTCACCACCCAGCACTCGACGTCGTTACAGAACAGCTCTCTGTCCTCTGCTAATGTTTGGCTCTTCCAAGGCCCACAAGAAACATGATTCCAAATCATCCTTTTTCTTCAGCAGAAAGTCCTCCTCCTCCTCGCCTACGATCTCACCACAAAGAAGCAACTTTTCAGCCAAATCTTCCAATGACTTCCAGAAATCCTTTCCCAACGCCTATTACACCAACACCAGCACCAGCAGCACCAGTTATGTCAACGAAAAGTCCTCTGCTCCTAAAAACCAAATAAACGTATCAACCTTTGACCAGACGCCCTTTTTGTTTGAGAAGAAGTATGGCGAGTCGCTCACCACCAGATCTGTTCTGCTCTCCAGCTACTCTGCTTTGCAAGACTCCTTGGGCCCTCCAGACTTGGTTCATTTGACTCAACTTGATAAGAGTTCCCAGAAGGATTTTGGAAAGTACCACTATCTAATTGGTTTGGACGTTGGCTCCTTGATAGCTCCTGTGGCTTATTTGACTACCTTGATTTACAACGACCAGCAACGGCTAATCAATAACAACAATCTGAACAATTTGGGCAACGTTGACACAATAGATCTCACCTCAGGCACTGATGAACTTTTTGAGATTGGAACTTATTGCTCCTGGAATTGTTTCAGAAAATGCGATGTCAGAATCAGAACAGAATTTCCTGGACAAAAACCTACAATTCAATTGCTAGATTCAAATAGCAAAAATTTATCACTAAAACATTTTCAGTCCTCTAAATCTTCAATCACTCCTCAAATATTGTCCACAAGTAATAATCCTAAAAACTTTTCAACTATAACACTACATTCAACTACAAATTTAGATAACCTTCCAATGTCACCTTCTTTTTCCACTTTTGATCTAAACATTTCTCTCTCTAATTCCATCTCAAATCCTATCCAGGTTCAAAATCAGAATCAAACTCAAAATCCGAACTCAGATGAAAGTCAAAACAAAAGTCAAGATCCAATCCAAAATCAAAATCAAGTTCAAAATCAAAATCAAATTCAAAATCAAATTCAAAATCAAATTCAAAATTCATTAAATAGCAATTCAAATCCCACTGAACAGGCTGGATATTATGGTTTATCTGAAGAATTTTGGTTGGAAACCTATATATCCGCAATAATACGTTTTACTCTTTATTCCACAAGTATTGATTTTTCAAAACCTGCTTTAATTCAATTAAATCCAATGCAAACAAAATCCTCCGTCAAAAAAATGATTACCAATATCTTGAAATTGTTACCAAAGGGTCATTTACCTGGCTGCTCAAGTCTTTGTTCAAGCCCAAACTTTGTCTCAAATTTTCTAGTCGATTCCTTGCTAAAAATCCTAGAGATAACTGGTTTATACAATTACACCATTGACTTGCTTGATCTATTAATTAAAGAAAATTTCCTCTATCATTTAATATTAATCAAAATATTATCTCAACAAAAAAATAGCGAAATTAAATTTGTCAATGAACTATATAACGGAATTCAATATTATTCAAATAAGTCAAATAATTTCAAAATTAACTATTTGTATTTTTATTTATTAGAGCAATCAAAATTTTTATTTTCAAAAAAACAGGTTAATATTTCCTTATATTTAGCTATAAAAGCTGTTGAAAATAATCCAGTAGAGTTTTCTTGTTGGTTGCATCTAGTTGAATTATATATTTTTCAAAAGGATTTTAAAAATGCCCTACTAACTTTAAACTCGTGTCCAATCAATTCATACAATAATGCGATCAAATCAAATATAATAAATTTAGAAAATTCAATTCTTGATCTTAAAAATCCAAATTATTTTAGTTTACCATTGCCCTCAATTTTCATTCCAACTTCAAGGAAATTAATGAAAGAAAAAATTAGCTTATTGAATAAAAATAATAATATAATAACTGATATCCTAATTCAAAGTGAGAAAACTGGGCCAATTTATAACAAAGTAGTAGATGATTTATCAAATGAATACTTTGCTACTGACAATGAAATTTTAAGTGTTGATCCAAATTTATTAGAGCTCAAAAGTAAAAGATTAAAAGGAACTTTAAAAATTGCTTATGATTTATTAACAACATTAGTAATTCTTGTTGGTTGGGATGAATTACTAAGAATTAGAGCCAGTGCTTTTGTTATGCAGAAGGAATATCTTATGCCATCTAAATCTAATCTCCATTCAATTTCAAGTGAAAGCGGATTTAATATTTATAAAAAATTTCACTCAAAAAGAATGTGCGAAAAATGGTTAGACACACTATTTATTTTCTTATATAATGATTTAAAAATTGTCATGGATTGGGAAAAAGAATTTGAAAAAGATGATAAATCAATTAAACATTCATCCTTAGAATGGGATTTAATTGGATCAGTTGCATTATCAGTTAAGCATTATGACTTGGCTATAGCATCTTTGAGAACAGCGTTATCGGTCTCTTATTCCATCATAACGTCTACAAAATTGATCAATTTAATTGATGATTTTGTTGAAAATTTTCCCAGATTTAAAAAACTAAACTTAGGCGTGTTACAAGATTTTGATGATGATTATGTGGACACAAGTAAAGTATCTAGTTTTTCAAAGGATTTTTATTTAATCGGATTAACAAATATAATAAAAAAGAAGCAACTTGCAACAGTAAATGATAATCAAGGAATAATTGTTGAATTAGGAAGTTATGATAATAATTTATTTTTAGATTTAATACTCGAAAATGTTTTAAAAAATATACTATGGAGCAATAGATGGTATCAGGATTTTTCAATGGACTCATTAATAATTTTAAAGCATATTTTAAAAGATAATGATAAAGAATTTATCAGAAATAAAATTCGGTCGAAGTTTTTCAATGTAACTAATCAAATGAGTTCAGATACGTATAATATGTTTGCATTATTTGATAGGTATATAAAATGGATTGAAATCTTTGATAATCAAGATGAAAGTGATTAATAAACCAACTGATATTTCAGTGAATAAAATTTATTTCTGAAAGTACTAAAATCAAAATGAAAAAGAAAAACTTTTAAAATTTCTTTTTTGAATATTCAACAGCAATTTTTTTCATAACTTTTTTTCTTTGTTTAAGCATATAGGTATATAAAATGTACGAGCCAGGAATATAAGTTGCTAAACAAATTTTTAAAAACCAAGCGTATAATAGATGAATATTGGAAGTAGCATCGGTCAAACTATTATAAATAATTAAACATTCGCTTGAAATACCCATTGGATACAATACCAAAAACAAATTGTAGCGTAGAAAAGTTAAAAAAGTGGGAGGACTACCATTTGATTTGATGTTAATTGCATAATAGCTATATCTCACAATTTCAGTGATCGACCAAGCAGTGGATAAAGTGACATAATACCATTTGTAATTTGGTGGAGAATTGGGTAGGACAGTGAAAATCCCAACTACAATCAACAATCTTGAAAAGACTTGAGCAATAGTGGTAAAAAGAGGAGCTCTAACGTTGCCCACAGCAGAATTGTATATTTCAACAATAGCTAAAGATTGGACTCCAATTAAGTACTTGTAAGTATTTTTAAATAAATCAGGTTGCTGATTAATCAAAATTCCTGGAAAAACATTGAAAAAAAAAACGCCAGCCCACGAGATGGAGGAAACCAAATTGTAAAAATATATCCATACTGGTTGGGATCTTGATTTAACCTCTGAGCTAGTTGTAGATTTGACAGAACTCATTTTTTAGAAATTAACTTCGTTTGCTGATACTGATAATAGTAATTGGTTGGGTCAAAAATCTAATAAAGGAAACTGGTTGAAAATACAGCTTTAAAAGCATTACTCACGTGAAATAGATAATATAGAATGCATGAAGCATGAAGACGCGCTGCATTGCATGCGTGACCTTTTTTCTTAAAAAGAAAAATTAAGATAAAGCAAGAAAATATATTAAAATGCAAAAACAAAACCTATTGAGGAAATTTCAGTTATGAAAACAAAAAGGATATAAAAACAGAACGTCGAAAGTAGAAATAACAAAAATTTTGAAAACTAGAAAAAAAACTAGGATAGGCTGTAAACACCACCCCATCTAGGAGCATTAAGGATAATAGCCATCAAAAGACCAGAAACAAGACCAGCGCAAGGTAAGGTAAAAAGCCAGCCGAAGTAACACCAACCAACCATAATCCAGTTGACAGCATTCAAATCATTATTACATAAACCAACAAAAACAGTTGCACCAACAGCAGATTGGGTTGTAGAAACAGGGAGAGCTAATTGAGTAGCCATGACAACAGTAACAGCAGCACCTAATTCAATGGAGAAACCTCTAGATGGTGATTGCAAAATTAATCTGTTACCCAAGTTTCTCATAATATTATAACCGTAAGTCCATAAACCAATAGTCAAAGCAGCAGCGGCGTAACATAAAACCCAGACTGGAACATCAGCCTTGCTTGCAACAGTATTGGAAGTCCAGACTAAATAGACAGTAGCTAATGGACCAGCAGCATTTGAAACGTCATTAGCACCATGAGCAAAAGACATGGTGGTGGCAGTGATGGCTTGTAAAATAGAGTATAAATATTCAACTTTGTTATTGTAGATTTTAGCTTTTGTGTGGACTTTCTTTAAATTACCTGCCAATCTACTTTGAGAGTTAACTTGATCTGAAATGATATCTTGGTCAATACCATGAATGAAAATTAACCACAATAATTTTGGCCATTGTTTTGGATGTTTTAACATATTAAACCAAAGAGTTCTTGTTGGTATTTTTTCTTCCAAGTTTGAAGGACCGTCATTAACTGGTTGTAGGGCGACTTCAATTTCTTTACCTTTGTTGGAAGTTTTATTTTCAATATCAGTGCTTACGGCTTCATCATGACTTGGAGTTAATTGTTCACTTGTAGTTTCATCGTATCTTCTACCTTTATAATAATCAATAACTAATTCGTGTCCCTCTGGCATTGGGGGGATGTTGTCAGTTGATTTGAACCAGTAGATTGGACCTTTAACAATATCATATTTTCTTAAGGTCCAGTCTTCATGAACTAACTTTCTTCTGAAATATGGGTAGAAAACAAGCATGTAAATAGCAAAAGCACAACCACCAACACCAAAAATGGCACCAATAATAGTGCTGTTTGGTAATTCATCCAAGTTTAATTTTGGACTTCCCTTCCAAACAATCAACATGGTCAAGATTGAAAAAGTAATAAAGACTAACACAGGAACATACATCAAACCATTTCTAACATCGTGCTTTCTTTCAAGAACAAAGTATTTGGACGTCAAAAAGGCAATCGAAGCAAAACCACCAGCGACACAAGGCGAAATAAACCAAGAAGCAGCAATCTTAGCAAAACCTTCCCAACCCCAATGAACATCAATACCTGCAGCAACACCAGCACCAATAATACCACCAACAATGGAATGAGTGGTTGAAACAGGTAAACCAATAGAAGTAGCAAGAGTCAACCACAAAGAGGAACCAACAATTGCACAACACATTGCCAACATTAACACAGCGGGAGTTTCATTGAAATCTTCCACATCGATAATTTTAGATCTGATAGTTTCAGAGACTCTTGAACCAGCTAAAACTGCTCCTAAAAATTCAGAAAGGCCTGCTAAAATCATAGCCTGAGGATAGGTCAACGAACGAGAGGAAACAGAAGATGCAAAGGAATTGGCGACATCATTGGCACCAATATTCCATGCATCTAAAAATGCGAAAATCATCGTAATCGCGAAGATGTAATCAAAATCATGAAGATTAGCCATTTTGAAACTTTGATTATTGTTTTTATTTGTTTTTTTTAGTTGTTTTCTTTATTTTTCCTTTCTTTTTTGGTTTCGATAATTAATGTGAATCAAGAAAAGCGTAAAATCTGAATTTTGTTTGCAGAATTTAGTAAACAAAACTGATCTGGCTTGATACTCAATAAGACTAACAGAAAGGGACTTACGATGAGAAATGGCTAGAATATATATGATTTCATTTTACTACGATAATTTTTTCATGATATCAAAACACCATAGAAAACCCTTAGGGGAAAAAGAAACAACCACCTTTTCAGCTCACAAGTATCTGGATTTCTAAATCCAGTATTTCATAGGCCAGGTGGACGTCAAAAACAATAAAAAGCTTTGCGGACTAAAACCTCGTGGGATCGATTGCCAAGCTTTTTAAAAAAACATGTAGTAATAATTAGTTGATTTTTTCTCCAAAATTTCCAAAACGCCAACTCTCCAGCCTTACCCGTTGCTTTTTTGGGCCAGCAAACAGATCTCGCACTAGACAAAAAAAGGAATGTCCAAACCAAATAGCAATCCGATAAATGCTATAGGGTCGTGCGAATAGAGTCTGAATAAAGTATGCTTCTATGGTGATTTTTCTAAAGAACATGCAAAAAACTATCTTCCAGTGCAGCAAACATATAGGGCTCTTTGGCGTTTTCCCCATCAAACGCAGTAAGGCTGGGTGTGAGCAACTTCCAGTTGAGGTTTGTGTGGCAGTGCAATTGCCGAAAAAGGACAGTATCAGCATGCGACCGTCGGTGCACCACCACAATCAAAGTCTGGGCAATAAACGTGGTGCATGGAGATGCATGAATCTCAGTTTTTTATTTCCACATGTTTGCGCACCGCTGCTGATTGGGTGAAAAGCATGCAGCCGATCCTCCATAAGTTTGTTTATGTCTCAAGATAATTAAGATTTCTAGCTTGATCTCTTGAAGATACCAAAACAAGTTTGTTACAATTTTTTTCTCCATTCCCAATTTTTACAATTTCCTTCAGTTTTTTTTTTATTTGGATCAAAAGGCTGATGATTTTGTTGATTTATAGAAGCTGGTCTTGTGATATAATCTTTTTTACCTGCCAAAATTTTTACTATTGTTTATACATTAATTCATGTCAATGAGAGTGTTCTATTATTATCAGAAAAGCTTGCTCTAAAGCACCGAAAATTTCCGAGAGAAATTATAAAAACCATCGATAAGGATCGCTTTCTAAACTTGTTTAAGCTTTTCAATGTTTAAGCATAATCATGTACTTGCATTGACATGCAGAGTCGATTAATCGAAATCTTTGTATATTCAATAAAAAATTCCATTTATTTATCTACAAATACAAAAAAACCAATATAATTTACACAATTTATATATAATGGCAAGTACCCAGATCGGTTTGCAATTTTTCTGCAAACAAGCATACTTCCACTTAACCATCCAAGAGATCTCAAAACAATAATTGGAATATAACTAAACACTATAAGACAATTTACAAAAAAAAATATTATTTCATAAAGATAATCATAAAAACATAAATCTCATAAAGAAATCAATCCAAGACTTTTTTATTCTCTGTCACTCGAGTTCCAAAACCAAGAGTGTGAATTTTTGGATGGTAGTTTTTTTGTATTTTCAAATATTTGTGGCTCGGACCCATCATTGGGAATAACCTTTCTAGTTTCTTTGATTTCAGATGTACCATCTTCAAACCATTTCTCGATTTTGGTAAAGTTTTCAATAGAACCATCTTCTTTAGTTGTAGAAGAAAATGAAGATGAAGATCCAACTACTTTTTTGCCCGATTCATTTATCTTATTTATATCAGTTTTTTCGATTGAAGAATTTGAATTTTTATCCAATCCGTAAAATTCTTTGAATTTAGTTTGAGCTTCCAATCTTCTTTTTTCTCTTTCTTGTTTATCAACTTCCGCCATATGCAATCGCCAATCCAAGTATTTTGTATAGTCTTGAAAAAACTTGTACTTGTTATTGTCATAAGTATTAGACAAAACGTCCTCTTTAGACACCGCAAACTCGGTTTCGGGAATTATGGCCTTGGGAAACAAACATCTCCAAACCCCCTTTTCATCCCAAACTGATAATCCACTTTTCTCCTTGCAAACATTATAAATGTTGGTTGAAGGAATCGGATAGGCCCATAGCCCCAAATTGTTACCACCTTCTTTGAATCGTTTGAAAAAGGGAAATGGTCTTTTAAATCCAAGATTAGAACAACCACTTTGGTCATTATCAGAATCTTGAAAGGATCCAGAACTAAAACTAAAATCTTTGTCGAAAAATGTCGATCTCATTGAATTAGCTTGATCCAAAATATCATCCATAAATCCAAATGATTTTCCCAAAATATCAGAGGTGACATCAGTTGCAATACTACTGGCAGATCCAAATACTTTTTTCAATGATTTCTCGGCATCCTTCAAGCTCTCATAGAATTCATCCTCTCCAAACTCATTGGAGTTTGGAGAAGGATCATAAACATCAATTTCAGAGTCTTTTTTGTCCTTTCCAGAAAAAAATCCCATTTTATTTTGCTTCAATATTTGCAAATAGATAAATAATAAATATAATAATAAATATAATAAATAAAATAAAATAAAAAACAGACAAATACTATACTATAGAAGTAAATTATCACCAGTTTGCCACACTGTTAAATCAAAGTCCTAACAATAATAAAGAATTTTCTCGAAAATCATGTGATAATTGCAACTAAAACCATCTCTTCTTATCAACAAGCAACTAAAAAAGAGCTGCAAAAATTTTATTCAAAACTCATCATCTTCCTCATGAAAAAACGTACCGAAAGTGATAATGGTCAAGTAAACCAAAAAACCACCCCCCATACTCATCAACATTGCATTGCGTGTAATTAACAATGAATGGTACAACATCAAAGGCAACGCCAAACCACTCAATACAAGAAAACCTGTTAAGAATTTCCCAAAATCTGGCACTGATGAAGTACTCTCATTCATAAAATCATTGTTATCTAGCTTTCCAAAAACTGCATTGGGTATGGGGGCTACCAAAAATATACCAATAACACTCAATGGCCTCCAGTTATTATAAACAGCACAACTCAATACGATCAAGAGAAATCCAAATGCCAAAATTATAGATAGGCATATTATTTTGGACAAGGGGTTTATTGTTATCATTTTGGGGTCTGGAAATACTATTATTAGTGTTCGACTGACAGATTGAAGATTAATTGTAAAGAGTACAGCTCTTAAGTGATTTGCACAGCTCCAAATGAAGACAATTTAAGTTTCAAAAACAAAATTCTGTTTTCAAAGCTTTTCACGGGATTCGAACACATGTCCCGGCAGTCTCCTATTGGCTTTTTGGTGGGCATAAGATATAATACAGAGTGAATAAACAAATATATCAACAGATAAATGAAGAACTCTTTGGCTACTTTTATTCAAATGACAAGAGAACATGCTGAGCTGAACGCGTAGTATTTTCCTTTCTACATTATGGTGTGGAGCCCAAATAAAACAAATAATATATTAACACTAAAATACATATTTAAATTTGCAATAAAATATAATTGTTAAAAAAATTAATATTAGATAATTTAAGTGTCTTTTATCCAGTAAATAAATCAAATTTTAGTTCTCATAAAAAGGTTTTTTTGTCACGCAGCTAATAAAAATCTGTATCACAAAATATTGAAGATCCTAATTCTTTTTGCTATTTCCAATTTATGAAGGAAAATGAGAAGTGAAAAAAAAATTAGCTAATACTCTCCAGCTCTCGATTAAACTTGTAAAAGAAAAGCTTCTTCCAATTATCAAAATTTTCTGTAATTTGAAAATTTTTAGCAACCTCCTTTATATTGAAATCCTGATTCCAAGTTTGTTCAGAGTGCCTAAAGATCTCTGCTTTATCAGTGTAAAATCTTCTAGCTGTCTCTTTATTAGATAAATCATTTTGCAAGCCAGTTATTTGAAATGTATTTTTCTTTTCATATTCATTAAGATCAGGACAATAGTCGATTATTGGAATCGTGCCACTCTCATTGATTGTAAAATCAGTTTCAATCAAGTATCTTTCCACATCAAATTCCTCGTCTCCATTTTCAATTTCTTTTTGATTATAGTAATCGTATGTGTACTGTATTTCATCGTTATCATCTCTAATGCTTAAGTTGTTTAAGTCATATAATAACTCGTTGGTAAAATTTAGTTCATTGGAGCTAGTTATCTTGAGATATAAATTTTCATTAATATCAAGAAGACCATTTCGTTGTTTAATATATTTAACTCTTCCTTTAATTCCTTTTATATGTGGATAATTTTGTGGTCTGATTTTCCTCTTTTTAAATTCTAATATTTCTGTTTCGTTGATATTTATTTTTTTTGAGCTAAATTTTTTTTTTTTTGAAAGAGAGGTGGTATCAGAAATAGAATATGATTTATTAACTTTTATACCGCCTGTTAATAAGTGGGTTCTAGCTGAATAAAAAATTGATAATCTTAAACAATAAATAGCATGAAGCTTCAAATTAATGATATCATTATCATCAAGCAAAGCATTATTAACTACTTTGACTCTCAAATTATGAATTTTTTCAAGTATATCATCTTCATTTTTATAATTAACATTTATAAAACCATCATATAGATGGCAATTGTATGGATATAGCATTATATGCGAAGTCATAAAATCGGTGTAAAAGAGATAGGAAACTTCTGGAAAAATATTATATAATAGATTTGCAAGCATATACCAGTAATTATAGAATATAACTTCAATAAATTCTGTAATGTTTTTATTGCTGTTGATAATGTCTAAGCTAATTTCACGCCTTATTTGAATATAAGAATCATTATTTACTAAAAATGATAAATTAAAGATTTCAGGGGGTAAAATTTGAAACCAGTTACTTAATATTAGATAGTAAACGCCGGTAGGCAATTCTATTATATATTTATCACTTTTTCTTTGAGAAACATCAATTAGATTATTAAGATACTGAAGCAATTTTTCTGTTTGATAAATAAATTTGAAAAATTTGAATTTTAAGCGTAGTGATAATACATTTGATTCTAGATTAAAACATTTTAGTAATATAGTTTTAAATTCAGACAATTTTTGGCAAATTTCGATTAAGACTTTGTAACTTGTTGGTTTAATATAAAGTCTGGTAATTAACGAAAAGACTCCTTGAGTATAAAACTTCGGGGCGATGCTTAGAGCAATTTGAGGATTAAATAAATACTTAAATACCAATTCAATATTAGAAGAATTCAAATTTAGATTGAAACCAAATATACCATTGTCTTGTTGCTGAGATTGTGTGTTTGAATTTGGAGATTGTGTGTTTGAATTTGGAGATTGTGTGTTTGAATTTGGAGATTGTGTGTTTGAGGGATATCTTGGTTGAGTCATATCAATGTCCAGTTCACTGTCATTTACGTTGCTTGGAGTGTTGTTATTAGAGCTATAGGAAGTTAATTCTAATGGAAAATAATTCATATCGACATTTGAAGGAAAAATTGTTTTAAAAAATTCATAAAGATCATCAGCACTTTTTTGGTCTTTATTATTGATTTTAACATTTTGTCGATGCCAATTTTCAACAACGCCTAGTAAACCATTGCTATTTGTATAAGCCCAACTGAATGGAAAAGTGTTGTTATTTTCGCTATTATCAGACATGTTGAATTGGTTTAGAAAATAGAAACATCTGTGGTTTGTTAAAGTCCAGCATGATATGATGTCTTCAAAGGCTTTATTTGCATAAGATTTCAAGTAATTTATGGTGGATTGAATAGATTGATTTGAATAACGATCAGATAGAATGATTAAATCAGCCAAAGTTTTTGAAGTAATTTTTTGAATGATTGTGAATTTTTCGATTGGTTCTTCTTGCAAGTAGTCATTAGTTGAAGACGAGTTGGACTCTACCATGTATTGAGCAAAGCAATCGCATAGAGTGTAGTTATTTTTTAATTGGATTATTATATAATCAATGGCTAGGGAAATAAGGATATTGAATGCTAACTCATATGAGTCGTATTTTATTTCTATTTTGTTTTCTTGATTTTGATTATTTTGATTATAATTTTGGTTATTATTTTCATAATTCAAAGTTTTAATTAAAACAGTATCTAGACAGTAAAAGCAAATGAATCTAAAGAACCCACCTAAGCTAGGTTCACTGAGTGCGACAGCTCTATTGAAGCCAGTTGTTGTATGATTTTTTGAAAAGTTCAATTGGAAGTGATCTTCAGGGTATTTTATTAGTTTGAAGGAGTATTTTTTTTTAACAATGGTAGATGTGCTTTCTGATGGTTGAAGTGTTTGAATTGTGGAAGAATTCTGACTTATTTTCATCGAGATTGGAACGCTTTTAATTGAAGATGAAATAGTTGCAAAATCTGTGTTGCTGCTTGAGAAATAAGGTTCTTTTGTACCCAGAGTTCCGATGGTTTCGTTTGACTCCTTTCCAGTTATTTGAGTGCCTAAAGGGTCTTCTATAAATTGAAAATTTAATTTGTCCTTTCCTTTATTATTACTATTATTATCATTAGTTTTGTTGTTATCGTTATTTTTGTCATTTTTGCGAAGATCTTTATTCCCATAGGTGGGATTATGGAGAATTTTTTGGTTTTCCATGTTCATATTAATAAAAATATTGTCATTTCCATCACCATCACCATCACCATCATTTTTATTTTGGATTTTATTAGCAGACATAACGGTTGTGTTATTATCGAAGCTAGTAGTGGTATTAGCAATATTGAAATTCTGGCTAGCAAAAGTGATGTTATTTCTATTATTGTTACTATTGTCAGATAGAGGATTATTGCTGATAAAGATGGTATTTTTTTTGAAATTATAATCATCGATTTGAGCTTGAGTGTAATCGCAATAGGAGCATCTCAATAGCTGATCATGGGGAATCGTTTTGGATATTTTTTTCTTATTGTTGTTGTATCTTTGACACTTCAAGCATTCTGGAAAGGTCTCATCACACTTGATTCTTCTTTCTTTGCACTGCTTGCAACCAAGTTTTGAATTAGTATGCTTTTTTCTTTTTTGAGCTTTATTGGAAACTCTAAAGGACGAGTACAATGAAGAAGAGGAACCAGACATTGCAGTTAGTAAAATAATAAAATAATAAAATGGTCAAGTAATCGCAAAAGGTGATAGTCGCAAATTGCAGATTTTGTTTGCTGCCTGAAACAAAAAGGTCTTTTTCAAAGTATAATTGTTTTATGTAAGTTTTCCCGTTCTGAATGTGCTTGGTGATGTTCTTTATAGCTCAAAAAAGGCTCAGGTTCTATTTTGTGCTCCAGAGCTGTAGAAGCTTTTTTTCACAGCCAAATCGATCACAGGGAAAAACGCACCCACCTGTTGGTCCCCAGACTGCTTTTCTAGCTGGATCTGCAGCCTCACCCTCTAACCGGGACAGTGATGAATGCGCCCCAAAAGCAGAAGTTGTCAATCACGTGCATCCAGTCAAACCCCCAGTCGAGACTGGCATCCACTTTTGCGGACAATATGCAGGTTCCGGCGCTAGGATGTGCGCTGAAATTTTCCACAGATTGTATTTCGTCTCAAAGAGTCAATTTTGGACCGAACCGAGCAAAGTACTAAATCAGGTTGCAGTACCAAATCGGGCTGCTTTGATTGGGCTTCGGCCAATTAAAGCGGCGCTGGGGTTGTTTGGTATCTCGGGAGAGAAACACTTTTTTTTTTACGATGGGCTGAACTTCCAGCTCTGTGGTGCAAAAGCCTTGAAGGAAATGATAGAATATCGACTTATAAATAGGATTTCCTTTCTCAATCGACCTGAATTTTTTTTCCCATTTTTTTTCCATTTTTTTTCCATTTTTTTTCCATCTTTTTTTCTTTTTCTCAAGCTTCTGTCTGTTCTCTGTTTCTTCTCGCTGCCGGGTCTGTTTTGCATTGAATTATAGGAAAAGAAAACAAATAAACAATGTCTTCTGTTGCCACTGAGACAGTAACTCTCAACCAAAGATCTAGGAAGAAGCCCGCAGTCACCACCAACTTGACTGCTATTGATACCTTTGGAAACGTTTTCAAAGCTCCAGACTACACCATAAGCTCTATTTTATCTGCTATTCCCAAACACTGTTTTGAAAGAAAATGGTACCTCGGGTTGTACTATGTATTTAGAGATATATTCTGGTGTGTTGTCTTTGGCTATTTATCGAAAACATATATTCCATTAGTCTCTAACTACTATGTTAGAGGGTTGTTATGGGCTATTTACACCAATATTATTGGCTGTTTTTACGTTGGGTTGTGGATTTTGGCACACGAATGTGGCCATCGAGCATTTTCCGATTATGAATGGCTAGATTCAACTGTTGGATGGATTTTGCACAGTTATCTTTATGTTCCATTTTTCAGCTGGAAATTTTCGCACAGAAAACACCACAAGTACACTGGTAATTTGCATAAAGATATGGTTTTCGTTCCAAAAACCAAAGAAAAATTTTTAGAAAAACACGAAGTATCCCACTTGAAAGAATTAACTGAAGAAACACCTATTGTCACACTATACAATCTTGTTATTCAACAGGTTATTGGCTTTCAGTTATATTTGGTCTCTGATGTGACTGGACAGCCCTATCCAGGTGTCTCCAAATGGAAAGTTAATCATTATAATCCAAATTCGCCAGTGTTTGATAAAAAGGACTACTGGTTTATTGTTTTGTCAGATATCGGTATAATTTCTCAAAGTATTATTGTTTATCTTTGGGGCAAGAACTATGGCGTGTGGAGTGTTGTTATTGACTGGTTTATTCCATACATGTTGGTTCATCATTGGATTGTGTTTTTGACATATTTACAGCATACAGACCCAACTATGCCACATTATGACAACGATGAATGGAATTTTGCTAGAGGAGCAGCTGCCACAATTGATAGAGAATTTGGGTTTATTGGACAACATATTTTCCACGATATCATCGAAACACATGTTTTACATCACTATTGTTCAAGAATACCATTCTATAATGCTAGAGAAGCTACAGTTGAAATCAAAAAGGTTATGGGAGAACATTACAGACATTCAGATGAAAACATGTGGATTAGTTTGTGGAAAACTTCTAGATATTGTCAGTTTGTTGAGAACGATAAAGGTATTAATATGTATAGAAATGTTAACGGCCTAGGTCCCAAACCGATTGATGATTAGGACATATATAGGTATAGATTATAGAAGTATAATACAGATAAATATATAAATATATAAATATATATAGATATATACTTGATTAATTTATAATTTATTTTAACTTTACATTAGTTTTAGTTTGACTTCATTTAACTTAATTTAGTTGCAAAGTCTTTTTGATATTGAATTGACAGAAACAATAGAATTACTTTATCTTGCATTTCAATTTATTACAAAAATTGAAATAAATAAAGACCAAAATAAATAAATTATTTATTTAATTAATTATTTACTAATCAACCAATAATGGCAAGCAAATTAGAAATACGAGATAAACATTGATTCAGATATCTCACATCTTAACTGTGAATAAATTTTTCGGATGATAAAGAAGTAAATGATTCCGAAGATACCAGATCTTTCAAATTTTTGAATTTGTTAAAAATTTGGACAATATACAGTTAAATTACATAAACAATATAAATATATCGTGATATAATATAATATAATAATATAAGATCAAATGGTTCACGTTTAAAAAGCAATTTCAAAGATATAATCAACAAAAAAAAAAAGAAATGTGATTGTCCTTTCTTTGTCATTTACTTCATGACATGACTAGAAAAAAGAATTCAAAAGTCATTGATTGTATCATTATATTATAATACTACAGCTCGATATTGTTATCGATATTATCAGAAACCAGTCACATCCAATTCAGAACTGAGTCGATTTCTCAGCCAGAGTAAGAAGAACTTGGTGAAGTCTTTGGTCTTATCAAAAAATAAACCCTTTCCTTCCTTTTTACAAGGAACAAAAACAGTCACAATTCAGCCCGGAGCACTTTGAAAACACGTGCATTTACTCACGTGATCAAGCCCCCACATAGTGGAATTCCAGCGCTCAGCTTCGTGACTGGAAGCAGCTGTCACACAGCAAAGTGCTTCATTTGCGGTGCGAAAGAAAGCAAAAGCGGAATCGTTTCCACTACTGAGGAACACAGGCACCAATAAGGTCTGCACAACAAAAGTCATCCCAAAAGTCAGAGGGGCGCTAGACGGTGGAGCCTGGGCCGGACTCGAATATCTCCGCGGCGAAAAAGAGATTTTGACACTGTGGCGCTCAAGGCTGGCAACTGTGGCGCACGGAAGTAATAAGGTTGGGCGTGGCCAGTGCGACGTGCCGAATCAGACTTTTTTCAAGACGATAAGACGTTTCCTACAGCTGTTGAGTAAGTAAGAAAGCAGTTTGAGTTGGCTGTAGAGAGCTAATTTCTCGATAGTGGATCAAAACAAACAAACAAGTGCAAAGAGCTTGAGCAGAGTTGTTTTTTCTAGATTAGTGTATCTTTCGCACTATCAATCCATCATTACAGGCCAAAACAGCATTATCACCAACGAACGAAAACATGATATGTGATGATAAATGGACGATATGCATCAAGGTTGTGCGAGAAAGTTTTGCACAAAGAAAGTTCTCACAAGAGCAAGAGCATGATTCGGGGAGGCGAATGGTGGATAGAGCTACTCAAAGCAATCTCCAGAGCAGATCAAGAGAAAGCTCCAAAGAGCCAATCAGAGCACTGCGTGGGGTTGACACATTACTGCTACTGCTTCCCATGGTCTTGTGCTCTCCTCGAAGCCTCTCTTTCTGCTGCCAGTTTACTGCTAATTTGTTGCCATTTCTCTCAAGCTCTCCAGGCCATGCTATTCATACGCCATCTCCTTGATGCGCCATTGAAAACAGACCACAGCATTTTCAGACACTGAGGACAGATTCGGAACCGGCTTCCGCTTCACACCACCCCCGCGAGTGGGATGGAACAGTGTCTCTTTTTACGCTCTCTCTTCACACGGTCTTTATTCACCCGTGGAAACGGCGCTTTTCTCGTGACCAGCCCACGTGGCCGCTTTGCTGTGTGAAAAAATTCCAACATTTTCTAAAACCACTCACTTTTGCTCAAAACGGATCTAATTTTGCGTTGTCCAACCTCTCTTCTATTATATTCCACTCTAAACAGCTATACTTTTCCTGTTGCTACCCTATTGTTGATATTTACTGTGTACTCTTACAGATCCTAGAACGGTAGTGTGAAATGAGAAATGAAATTATCGATCTAAACTAAACTAAAAAAAATAAAACTATACAAAAACAGCAAAGAGAAACTAAATTCCAAAGGGATATATGAATAAAAAACAGGTTAAAAGAACAAAGGAAATAAAAAAAAAATAAATATATTTGAATATATTATTGAGAAAACAGTATTAATAATATTATTATTACCAAACTGACGGAATTAATAAACTTGAAAAAAATTAAACAAATTAAAATATTATGATATTATGATATAATGAAATTATGAAATTAAAATAAAAAATAGAAGCAAATAAAAAAATTAACCCAAATCCGAATTTTTATAATTATACCTAACTTTTTTTTTTATTTTTTATTTTTAAATTTTCAATTTTCAATTTTCAATTTTATACAAGATTATCCATAATCTTGTATAAAATGAATTGTTTTGCAGCCAAAATTTTATGCACTTGACCATTTTAAAACTTCTAGCGATGCAACAACAATTGCAATTGTAGTTGGCAATGTTAAGACAACATATCCCCAAAACAAGACACCAGCCATTTCCTTTTCATATAGCTCATTCAATTGACAAATTTGTGATAACTGAATAGCTGGTGGTGATATAGTTAAAATAAATGCAACAACCAAAAAGACTGGATCGTCCAATATAGATATTGGCAAATACTTGACAACAACAGCAATCAATGGCAATAATATCAATGGCGGTAAAATCATTCTGGATAATAATGAACCAAATATCAATTTGTTGTAATTTGGAGTAGCAGGTTTAATGTCTGGTGATGGGTACAAGTTGGATCCCAAGACAACTAAAATCAATGGAATTGAAACAGATCCCATTTGTCTTATAGCCAATGCAACTGTGTTTTGAATAAACCCATTATCAACGTAAAACGATTTCTGTAAAATCGGCACTGAGGCAACAAACACTGCTGCTGCCATTGAGTATAATGGTGGATTCATAAAGGCTAAAAATGATTCTTTGAATTTCATTAATTTCTCACTCATATTGTTTAAGAAATTGCTACTATATCTTCTAGTAACAATTCGATTATTATTTAATAAACTTGTAGTTTCATTAGTACTAACGAGTTGATCACCATTATCGATGACACAATCATTATCATTATCATTATCATTATCATTATCATTATCATTATCATTATCGCTGGAATTAGAAAGAACAGTTCCGTATCTTAATGAAGATCCCGCTGAAGAATCTGATAAATCACTAATATGTTGATGATTTTCTAGTAACGATTGATATTCTAAATCACCGTCATTTATTTTTTTATTATTATTATCATTGTCGCCATCACTGTTATTTATAGAAACAACTTTTGGATTGTTCTTTATAAGATATCTATTAGGCTGATAAATTTCCTCGTGGGTTCTCTTTTTTAAAAGAGTGTTATAACCCCAAGACCATCTTAAAACTTGCCCCAATTGTTGAAAGATCAAAAGATAAAGAATACCTCTTGACGCAACGTTATCAGGAGTATCATTTTCAATATCGTCCCACAATAAATTTGGCAATGTGTATGACAAGGCTATGGTTAATGAAACAGGCAAGGAGTTTGAATTACCAAACACTGACATTGCAGTAACGTAATTAGTCTCTGGCTCATTCAATTTTAAAATACTGGAAGTTATTTGAGAACATGAATAAGAAACTAAAGTGGATATCACGTAGAACACAGGTATTATAGCAATCTCAATCAATTTCTTTAAACTCAATGAAGGTGCCAATTTGGAGAAGATTAAACATGGTGTGAACAAATCAACGTTTAATTGACTGATTTGTTTTTGAGCAGTGGGATTTAATAAACCAACTTTAGCAGAGAAATACCCAGCAAGACAAATTATAATAACCTCAACAACAGCTTGAAATGTTAAGAACGAAATTTCCAAATAAGATAGTTCAGCCATAAATTGAATCTGAAAGTGGAAAAGAAAAATAGTAAAGGAAAAGGAAAGAGAAAAAGAAAGTGAGAGAACTTATTTAAATTCTCTGAGTTAATTTTTTTTTTTAGAGTTTTTTTTTGGATTTGGTTTTCTATTGTTGGATTTTTTAATTAGGTATTCCTCAGCAATCGCAACAAAAGTAAGACAAACTATGGTAAGAATAAAAAAAATGAAACTAAAGAAAAAAATGAAAGAAAGCGAGTAGGTTTTTATATTTGCAAGCTGAACTAGAGCATAAAGTCCATTTCAAGTGTAGGCAATGAGTGCATTTTAGATTTGTTCCTTCATGTTGAGCAGCTCAAGTTGGAAGAAAAATAAATGCTGAAATTATCTGAAAGTATGAAATTAATGATAAAAAGTTCAAATAGAAAGAGCTTAAACTCTAAAACACTCCGTGCAGATCTCGGAACAGTTTTAGTCAGGTGAGTTTCTGCGCCACACCGGATTGGGATGTTGCATTTTCTCCAACTGCGAAAACAGCTTTCGGCGCGAAAAACCGGAAGAGAAGAGTTTTCTTGTTTACGCATGTGTGCCTGCTTTTTGCTCCCGTTTCTGCGGACGCTCCTTGTTGGTGCAATTCTTGGGGGCCGCGATAAGTGATGGAGCGTGCGAGATTTATGGAATAAAGTAGCCCGATTAGAAGCTTCAGCAAGAAGGGAAGATAGATAAACTGATAGATATAAATTGAAGGCCATTGGAACAACTATCGTAGGGACTGGGTTTTGTTATAGTTCTCATTATACTTTCACTTTGAACGTTTTAGCTTTTCATCGTTTCTAAATTTTTACGTTTTTATATATTTACATTTTTATCTTTTTATATTTTTGTATTTTTGTATTTTCACACCATTACTTTATTGCAGGTACATTTTCGCTCAACATTTCAGCAGTTGCGATTTTTTAGCATATGAGCATTTGAGAAATTTTAACAAAACATGAACAAACCAGGAATTTCACGAAAACTAGCTGTTGTTGGTGCTAGAGGAGTAGGAAAATCTTCACTAACTGCCAGATACACACAAGAAAAATTCCTAGATTCCTACTATCCAACAATTGAAAACCAATTTTCCAAAGACGTCACAATAGATAAAAAGCTTTATAACCTAGAGATATTGGATACTGCTGGCCAAGATGAGTACTCCATGATGAATGACAAACACTTGATTGGTATCCATGGATACATATTAATTTACTCAGTCACTTCAAGATCCTCCTTTGAGCTAATCTCAACCATTAGGGAAAAGATCGTTGATTCCATTATACCCCTAAGCGATGGTGATTCTGTTGACATTCCCTTTGTTATAGTGGGCAATAAAACAGACTTGAATGCTCTGAGACAGGTTCCAACTACAGAAGGTGAAGAGCTAGGCAAAAAATTCAACTGCCCTTTCATTGAAGTCAGTGCAAAGGATAACATCAACGTTGACAAGTGTTTTAAGTTGGTATTGACCACTGTTAACAAGTTTATTGATCCTCCCATCTCTAAAGAGTCCAACTGTTCCATTGTTTAAACAGCCTCCTCACTCATACTGGCATTCCTTCACACCTAATCTCTAATCTCTAATCTCTAATCTCTAATCTCTAACCTTCAATCTATAATATATCTTTCTCTTCTCAGAAATGTCTCTTTAATTGAATATTTCTATAATTACATATCTCCTACCTGCTAAAAACCCACATACACTGAACTCGTTTTCCTTTGGATGTGGAAGTAAGTCACATGTTCCTGTTCTATTCGGAAAAAATTGAAATAAATTAAAAAAAATTAGAAATAAAAAATCGTTAAACCAATTATAAGCAGAGAGTCTTTTGTTGAGATATCTATTGATATTAACGCACATTAATCTATATAAACCGTTACTTTTCTTATTTAATTACTTTATTCCATATATTTCGTGATCTTTTGTAGATTTTTTTATCTTTTTGCCTCACTTGACCTAGATCTTGACAAATCTTAGTTAGAAAAATGAATTCTAGAGAAATCAAAACCGCTATATCCAACATAGAAAATGCTTCTAATGATGAAACAATTATGGATATCTTAAATCTACTAAAACGAGACGTTAAACCAACTGAAATGTTACTAAGAGTAAGTAACGGGACCTTCCCTTTCAATTTTTTTTTTCTTTTCTTTTCTTTTCTTTCCTTCTTTCCCTTTTAGATCTAGCTTTTTTTTTACTAGCGTTTTACTAACGTTTTACTGACATTTTATTTATTTTTTTTATTTCTAGGAAACGAAAGTTGGTGTATCTGTTAATAAACTTCGTGCATCAAAGAATCCAAAGATATCTACTTTAGTCAAGTCAATAATAAAAAAATGGAGGGAAATTGTCAGTGCTGAGAAAAAACTAAAGAATAAATCTCTCTCACACAGCAAACCCTCAAAATCTTTTGATAAATCACACAATTTATCACCAAACTCTTCAGATAACAATAGCACCAGTAATGTTAGCTCTAATAATAAAGCTCTTGCTAATAGCGGTTCTAAAATCCTTAATTCAATTCCATCTGTGTCAAACAGTAATTTACCAAGAAATGCTAGAACAGATAATGTCAATGTTCAAATCTATGATGATAAAACGAGAGTTAGTTCATTAAGTGCACTATACAATGCTTTGGTCTCAGATAGACCACCATTAATTTATAAACCTTCTGAAGCATTTAAAATAATTAAAGAGATTGAAGCTTTATGCCATAAACAAACGCTATATCAAATTAATGATACTTACAGATCAAAATTAAGAACCTTAGTGATGAATATTAGATCAAAGAATAATCCTCAATTAAGATACAAAATCTTGAATGGTGACATATCTCCCTCATCTTTGGTTAAAATGTCGCCAGAAGAAATGATTAATGATACCTTGAAGGAAAAAGTTAAGAAAATGAAAGAAGAAAATTTATTTAACGCCGAAGTTCCTCAAGAAAAGAGAGCTGTAACTGACAGATTTACCTGTGGCAAGTGTAAACAAAAAAGAGTTAGTTATTTCCAAATGCAAACTAGAAGTGCTGATGAACCTTTAACAACCTTTTGTCGTTGTGAAAATTGTGACAATAGATGGAAATTTTCTTAATTTAATTCAATTGCTTGTTATAATACATTGGTCATTGTTTTTTATTTTTTTTTTTTCTGTTTTATTTTCAGTTTCTCGGATTTCTTTATTACTTTATTACTTTACTACTTTATTATTTCATCACTTTAGTATTTAAATATGAAATCTGTATATTAATTCTTTAATTTTTTGCTATTAATCTTAGTTTATATCGTGATTAACATAAACTAAGTAAATCACATTATATTTCTTTTCAAAGTTCTCTATCTCTATAAATGTAATGAAGAAAACAAACGAAAAAGAATACCAATATAATCGGTAAAAAAGATTTAAAGTTTAATAATAACTAGAAATTTGTGAAAACATGATGATATTTATATATTAATATAATAAGGCTGATAAAAAAAAAAGTAAAAATTGGAATATGAATAAATGTTTAGGTCTATTATTGATGAAGAGGTTATTTATCACCAGTCAAGGCTTCGTAAGCCTCGACATATTTAGCCATTGTTTTAGTAACAATTTCATCTGGAATTGTTACATTTTCTTTGGCTCTCAACTTATTATCGGTTAACCAGTTTCTTAAAAACTGTTTATCATAAGAATCCTGGCCTTGACCTAGTTTATAGGTTGACAAGTTCCAAAATCTTGAGGAATCAGGAGTTAGAACTTCATCGACTAGAACTAGATTATTTTCATCATCCAAGCCAAATTCGAATTTCGTATCAGCGATGATGATATTTTTAGTCTTTGCATAGTCTTTTGCTTTTTTGTATAATAAAATTGCAATTTGAATTAAATCGTCAACGATTTTTTTGGAACCAACAATTTTAATTGCCTTTTCGATGGAGATGTTTTCATCGTGTTGTCCGTTTTCAGCTTTAGTGGATGGAGTAAAAATTGGGGATTCAAATTCATGAGATTCTTGAAAGCCTGGGGGATATTTCGTTCCATGAACGGTTCCATGTTTCTTATATTCAGACCATGCAGAGCCTGTTAGATAGCCTCTAACAATGACTTCTAGAGGGACTAATTTGTATTTATTAACAATTAGAGATCTGTCGACTAATTGTTGTAGATATTTTGGTTGCTGGATTTCTTTGGTCAAGCCCTGTTGGAGCGTAATATGGGATAGATGGTTTTTGACATCGTCTTTGAAGAATTCAAACCAAAACTCTGATAATTTCGTCAAAAGCTTTCCTTTGTTGGGAATACCATTGTTCATGACAACATCGTAGGCTGAGATTCTATCGGTGGCAACAAACAACAACTGAGAATCATTCACTTGGTAGATATCGCGAACTTTGCCTCTAGCGATTAGTGGTAGTTTGCCATCTAGATTTGTTTCTAGAAGATAGGGTTCTTGTGACATTGAGCTTGTATTAGTAATAATGGGGATCCAGGGTCCTTGATAGGGATTGAAGGGATTTGAAAAAGGTGGTGATGAAGAAGTGAGCAATGAGAGTTGGAATTAACAAGAAATGGAGGGAAATCGAGCATGTTCCTCAAAATGGAGCAGAAAATTTTCTAACCTGCGCTAAGGGGACGGAGCGAGCGAGTCCCGAATAGACGGGCTCTGATTTCCACGGCGTTTGGAGAGAGAAAGAGAAAGAGAAGGAACGGTATCCGGAAAAGGTTCAAAACAGGATTTTGAGAGAAAGCCCATCGAAAGTCTTCTTAATGACGGGAGATGGATTTGGAAGGAACTTTTGAAGGAGATTGGTTAGTGAAAATGGGATCTAATTCAGCTGGTGGACTAGTATATAACAGTTACATGTCGCCGGTTGGGTGCATTGACCGATTTTATTTTTTTTTTTGATGTTTTCTTAATTCTCGATTACAAGTTTGAATACAATAGAATAGAAGATGTTTCATAAACTGAGTAATTTAACGTTCAAGTGGGAAAACATTTGTGTAAGTGTTCCTGGCAAAGACAATTCAAATGGGGATATCAGTATTTTGACCAAGAACCAAGGATCAGTTCGCTCGCGACAAATGATGGCTATTATGGGGCCTTCAGGAAGTGGGAAAACAACATTATTGAATGTGTTAGCTCAAAGAGGCGTGCCACCAAAGGGGAAACAACAAGGGGTGGTAACAGCTGGTGATATGGTGGTTACTCTGAAAAACATCAGGCAGTTTTCAAGTTATGTGGAACAAGAGGATTCGTTGATTGGGTCATTGACGGTTAAGGAGACAATTGATTTTGCAGCCAAGTTGTCAGAGAGCAGCAATGGGGCATTGGGAAATTTTGAAGACCGAAATGGAAGGGTGAATGAGTTGTTGGAGTATTTGGGGTTGATGAATCAAAAGAGTACGAAAGTTGGGACGCCACTTCAAAAGGGAATTTCTGGTGGACAAAAGCGTCGAGTGTCAGTTGCTTCTCAAGTGATTACGGAACCTAGTGTTTTGTTTTTAGATGAGCCAACATCAGGGTTGGATTCGACAGCGTCATATGAGGTTATTAGTACAATTAAAACGTTAGCCAAGGCGATGAATATTGTTGTCATTGTTTCTATTCATCAACCGTCGACATCGACGTTTAATTTGTTTGATAAAGTGATGTTTTTGTCAAAGGGATTGACAGTTTATAGTGGAGAAGTTGGGAAGGTTGTTTCGTATTTCAAATCAGTTGCCGGATATGAAATTCCGGAGTTTTATAATCCAGCCGAGTATATCTTGGAGTTGATAAATACAGACTTCCATAAGAAAAGTGGTAGTGGTTCTGAGCAGGATGAAGATGGAAAAAAAGATATTGTGAACAAGTTGAGGAATATTTGGGAAGATTATGGGCACAAGACAATTGAGCAGATGGTTGAGTTTGAAGAATGTGGAAGCGATGGAGAGTGTCCTGAAGCACTATTTCAAGAACCGTGCAAGTCAGTGAGAAGCTGTGTTTTGATCAATGTAAAGCAAACGTATTATTTGATGCAGAGATTGTTTATCAAGTCGAGAAGAGATGTTTTAGCATATTATGTTCGAATTGTGATGTACTTGGGGTTGGCGATTTTGATGGGGACAGTTTGGCTTCGGTTGGGGAGCGAGCAGGAAAATATCCAGCCATTTATCAATGCGATATTCTTTTCGGGAGCATTCATGTCATTCATGTCAGTTGCCTATATTCCAGCGTTTTTAGAAGATTATGGAGCGTATAAAAAGGAGCATATGAATGGTCTTTATGGGGCATTCGCATTTGTGGTGTCTAATTTTATGGTGGGCTTGCCTTTTTTGTTTATCATCTCGTTGCTATTTGGAGTTATCACGTATTTCATGTGCAATTTCCGACAATCGTCGACAGGATTCGGTGAGTATGTGATGTGGTTGTTTCTTGATTTGGTTGCAGCAGAGAGTATGACGGTTTTCGTGTCAACGATGTTCCCGGTTTTTGTTGTTGCATTGGCCCTCACAGCATTTATGAATGGGTTGTGGATGGCGGTGGGCGGATTCTTGGTGAGTGCGAGCATTTTGAACGACTTCTGGTACTATAGCTTCTACTGGGTGAACTACCAGAGATATGTATTCCAGGGGATGATGTTCAACGAGTTCCGGAAGGAGAGAGTATTTGAGTGCGATGATGGATGCCATTGCATGTACTCGTCTGGATTGCAGGAGCAGTGTCAAATCGAGGGAACTGCAGTGTTGAGATCGCTAGGATACGGGGACAACGATAAGGGTCTCTGGGTCGGAATCTTGGTGGCGTTGATCTTCGCCTACAGGCTCGGAACGTACCTCGCCTTGAAGTACGGAAGGTAGAGCCAACATCCGCCAACATCCTTCAACACCCAGCATCCAGCAACGCACTCCGGCGCTGTGGGCGCAGCGGCGGGCGCAGGACTGCGGCTGAAGGTTCGGGCTTGTATTGTTCACCAGCTCCACTCTCTTCAGTGCTAGAACTGCTATCTCTCCATTGCTCTCATCGTCGTCTCAGGCTCTTTCATCTGGCTCCAGGCTTTCTTCTCTGTCTGCTCCCTCCTCTGTTCTGCTGAGCGTTCTTCTCAGCCTGCTCCTGCTACTCTTCGCTCTTCTCTAAATAATTTCTCTATAGCTCTAGGTCTGGTTATCAACCTCCCATCTTTGCTATCTCTTATCACCAGTTGCTACCATCCAACTCGCTTTCACTGCCCAATACACTCAAACACACTGTTCGATAGAGCACAATGCCAATGCGACACAAGAACTCCTCCTTCGCCATTCCATTCGAGCTCAATTCCCCCAGACACAACCACTCCAACTCCTACGACTCCCAGGAGATCTCTCCCACCCACTCGCTCGATGACTTGAAGGCCTCCACTCCCAATACAACCAAGAAATCATCTTCCAAACTAAATCTAAATGCAAACTTCAAAAACACCATCAAAAACATCAACATCAAAAACTCCTCCTCCAAATCAACAAAAAATACCACATCTCCTCCTAACAAAAACAATGCCCCGAATTACAACAACAACAATGTCAAACCCATAATCAGCAATTCTCTGTTCTCTCACCAAAACTACAAATCCTTTGTCACTGAAAGCTTGCCCTCCTCAAAGACCACCAACGACATCAACCATCGTCTTTTGAACTACACTGCTGAAGCCTTTCCCTCCACTCCAAGACTAAACAAAAAGGATTCTACCCTGCACCATCACCATCTGCATAACAATTCCATCTCCTGGAAACAAAAGTCTTCTGTATCAAATCACAACATAAACACAAACACTTACCTCTACAATAACGACTTTCTCAATAATGACCAGCTATCTTCCAAAAATCTAAAAACTTACACTTCCTCTCTAAAATCAAACAACATTCCAATATCAAGATCAACCTCAAATATCGCTTCAATGCTATACTCAAACTCCCATACCCAAAACCACACTCGCAATCGAAACCACAATAATACCAACTCCAATACCAACTCTAATAATACCAATAATAACAACTTTACATCAATACTCCATTCAAACTCAAACTACAACATATCCTCCTCTCCAGACAAAATCATTCCCAATAACTTATCAATACCGACAAAAAATATACTCACAATGACAAAATCAATGTCCACATCAAGCATATACTCTGCCGACTCCTATGACTCAAACAACAGCTACTCAAACATCAATAACTACTCCACCATCGACAAAAACAACATCTCCTCCTCAAACCCTACCCTATCCAACTTCCCCCCTCTAATCTCCCTAAAAGAATCAAAATCTTCCTCCTTTTCAAACTACAGAAAATCAACAAAAAGAAAACTACTGTTCCATAAATTGCTACACTCAAACTCAAAAAAAAACCTTCACTTTAAAAATTTCCAGCAAAACAAACTCCCTCCTTTACCTTCAAATGGCGCCTCGGCTCTACAACAAAGAATCCTAACCTCTAGATTCAACGCAAACTCTGACTTCTCTTCCCTGCCCTACAACTCAAAACAAAACAAACCTTCTCCATTCGACACAACTAAATCCTCTCCCCCAAGAATAAACATGGACAATTCCCAAACCTTACTACTGCAACACCACCAATTGACTCTCATAAATGACAACAACCTAGTCAGAAAAAAATACTTCAACGCTTACTCCACAGATTTCAACCTAGACAACTTGGATGGCATCGTCTCAACAAAAAATGACCAATCAAACAACTCAATTCTCACTCTCGATAACCAAAATAAAAAATCTGACTGGAAACCACCAGAAAGCTGGAACGTAAAAGATATTTCAAACAACGAAAAATTCAAACTCCTACTATCAAACTCAAGAAGAAACTCCTTGAACAATTCCCAAATCATCAATTTTTCAAATGAAAGCTTCAACTATAAAAACAAAGACAGCGATCTTAGTAGCCAGAACCTAACCTCAATTCATCGAAAATCTCTTGACTTTAATGACTCAGACTCTGAAAGCAGTATTGAGCTTCAAACTTACTTTGACGACTACGTCTACTCAATTCTCTCCTATGACACATACAATAACTCAATCAAAACCATCCCCAACGCTAAATTCGATCCGAACTTACTAAAAACCATATCAGATATAGAAACATCTTTTCAAAAATACTTCCCAAATAAAAATGGCACTGAAAACTTCATGATTCGAATCTTCAAAGAAGACAACACCTTTTTTACTGTCTCCTGCAAAATAAATACAACCGTCTCAGAGATCTTGTCAATGATCGGAAACAAAAAATCTTTTCTAAAATCTATCGACGACTACGTTCTTGAAATGAGAATTGGAATTTACTTTAAAATTCTCGCAATGGCAGATAAACCATTTGAACTCCAGCTAGCCATTTTAGTTATTTCGGGGTTTTTCGGTAAAACTGGCCCTTTTCAACCCATTTCTCAAGACGACTCTGCATACCTCATTAGATTCTCCTTGAAAAGAGACATTGCAGATAGACTATTAACATGGGAAGAAGAAACCAAACTAGCAACAACAAACTACACCATTATCGACCTTGAAAATATGAACTTGAAAATCGTTCCCATTGCAATTTATAAACATTACTCAAAAATCAGAGAGTTTAACGTATCAAGAAACCCCTCTATATTTGTTCCGAAAGACTTTATTGGTGATTACGAAGTTTTAAAAGTAATCAGATTTGAAAATAACATTTCTGGAAAATTTCCACCATGTGTTTTATCTGCTAAGCGAGGTTTAGTAGAGCTATATTTAGGCTCTAATTTGTTCTACGAAATCCCACAAAAATTCGGCTCTTCTTCTATCTCAAATACTTTAGTAAAACTATTTCTTAATTGCAATAGGTTATCTTATTTGCCCACCTCATTTTCAAATTTCAAAAATCTTAAAATTCTAGATTTATCATCAAATACATTTAGAATATTTCCAGACCAAATTTGCAATCTAGAAAGTCTTTACCTGCTTGACATAAGTTTCAACATGTTAACGGTTTTACCACCACAACTAAAAAAATTGAAAAAACTTCAAATCTTAAATTTAGATTTTAATCATTTAACAGGCGCTTTACCAAATTACTTTATTTATCTCAAAAATCTTCGAATTATAAGAGCAAGAAGAAATAATTTAACAGATATTAACGTTTTATCTGACTTGGAATTCTTGGAAGTATTGGAATTCGATAAAAACAATATCCCCACATTTCTGGTGAATTTTAAATCACATAGAACTCTACAACGTATAAGTTTGGCTGATAACCCTCTATCAAAAATAAAAGTAAAAACTTTTTCTTCAAAACCATCATTATCACTTAGTGATGATGGCTCAAAAATAAATATACAAGATTATGAATTTACAGAAAGCGATGACGATGTATACCATGATATATTTCTCAATCTAAATACTTTGAATCTTTCCAAATGCAAATTATCTAAATTGCCTGATAAACTTCTCACTGTTTTCCCTAATCTCATAAAACTAATTCTTGACTCAAATTCAATTGCGAATTTCCCCTCTTCAATTTATAATCTTCATAAATTGATTTATCTTTCCGCACATTCTAATGACATTGCAGGCTTTACAGATGAAATTGAGCAGTTAGAATCCTTGCAGGTATTGGATCTACATTCAAATAACATTAAAGATATTCCTTCTTCGATTTGGAAGTTGGGTAATCTTTTGGATTTAAATCTTAGCTCTAATCTAATTACTCAGTTTCCACCACCAAATATACCATTTTCAAGTGCTGTAAATAATAGCAGAAATCCTTCTCTTGGTTTCAATCAAATAAATTTTGGTGGCCATAGCAATTACGATAACAGCAATATAAGTATTCAAACATCTTCGGGCAACATTCTATCTGATAGAAACATGATTGATAGATTCAATAACCCTTATGTTTATGGTGTCACCAGAAGACCATCTGTTATTCCTTTAACCAAAAAATCATCAGGGTCTTTGTCAACATCAAGTAGTAGCAAATATCTATATGAGACAAACTCTATAGACACTCCTAGGAAACTAAGTCTTATTTCGTCTTCCAGTTACACGGGAAAACCTATTCCTGTAATTAATTTGAACCGTTGCTTGTTAGTTCTTCGCCTTGCAAATAATGCTCTTTCTGATGATTGCTTTGATCCAATTTCTTACTTGACAAAATTGGAATGCCTAAATTTATCTTATAATGATTTGATAGAAGTTCCGCACCATGCTTTAAAAAGATTGAACAACTTGATCCATTTACATCTTTCAGGAAATGAATTAACAAATTTACCTGCTGATGATTTGAAAAAACTAAAATCCTTGAAAAGTTTGTACATTAATAACAACAAGTTTAGAACACTACCAGCTGAGTTAGCTAATGTAGAAAACCTAACAGTGTTGGATGTTGGCTCAAATCAGCTAAAGTATAATATTTCTAACTGGCCATTTGATTGGAATTGGCAATGGAATTTGAAATTACGATACTTGAATTTTTCTGGTAATACTAGATTGGAAATTAAGCAGATCAGTAGTCACACTGCTTCTATAAGCTCAAATGATGGAGAAGAGGATTCTAAAATTAGATTTGATAGCTTCAATGACTTGAATCACCTCAAAATTCTAGGTTTGATGGGTGTAACTTCTAATACTGCTGCTTTGATTCCAGAAAATTCAACAAATCTAAGAGTTAGGACCACAGATCCTGATGTTAACAATATGCGATATGGTATTGCCGATACTTTGGGACAGAGAGATTATATTTCTATCCGAGACACTGTTTATGAAAGGTTTCAAGGAAATGAAGATGAAATTTTGATTTGTTTGATTGATGGGAAATCAAGAACAATGGACTATTTGAATACTGTTGCTGGAGAAAAAAGCGGCCATAAGATATCTCAAATTATTCAAGAAGCCTTTCCAAGAATATTTATAGCAGAATTAAAAAAATGTATTTCTTCAAAAGAGCCAATAGAAGATGCATTAAGAAGAGGGTTTCTTTGGTTGAATCGAGAAATCCACAATCTTATTATACCTTATAATGATAGACTCATTAATATAGGTACAAAAAGCAAAGGATCCATTTTCAGTTTTGGTTCTGCTAGATATTCGAATAAAAATTCAATTCCATTTGACATTACAATTCAAGATGCATTTTCTGGTTGTTCGATGACTGTTATATACATTAAAGACAAGACTTTATACTCAGCAAATGTGGGAGATATTACTACTATTTTATCTAAGAGCAGTGGAAGTTATGTCCCTATCACTATAAAACATGACCCTCTTTCAGTTGAAGAACTTTATAGAGTCAAAGTATCGGGAGGATTTGTTGATATTGAAGGGTATATTGATGGTGTGACTGATGTTTCCAGAGCTGTTGGGTTTTTTAATTTGCTTCCTCATATAAACGCAAGTCCCTGTGTCAACAAGATGAAATTGACATTGGCTGATGAGATGCTAATTATAGCTACAAAAGAGCTATGGCAGTATATTACCTATGAGGATGCTATTGATATAATGAGACAGGATAAATCAAATCCCATGATAGCAGCTCAAAAACTTAGAGATATAGCTATCTCTTATGGTGCAGAGGATAAAATGACAGTCATTATTTTATCCCTAGAAGATAATAGTTGTCTCACAAAGAGTGATGAAGATCCTAATATTTTGTCTGGAAATGATAATACGATTCTGCAAATCAAGAAAAGAAGAAATAGATTTGCTTTATCTGAAGATTTAAACCTGGTTCAATTGGGAAATGAAATTGATCCTCCTATTGGGAGGGTCGCTATGGTTTTTACTGATATTAAAAGTTCAACGTACTTGTGGGATAATTTTCCCACAGAAATGAGAGCTGCGATTAAAACACATAATGAAATTATGAGAAGACAGTTAAGAATTGTTGGAGGGTATGAGGTCAAAACCGAAGGTGATGCTTTCATGGTCTCATTTCCAACAATCACCTCTGCTTTAATTTGGTGTTTTAATGTTCAGATGCAATTATTAAAAGAAGACTGGCCGTTGGAGCTTGTGGACTCGACTGAGGGATGTGAAATACTTAACGACGAGGGCAAAATAATATTTAGGGGTATTTCTGTGCGTATGGGTATTCATTTAGGAACACCTTTATCTGAAAAGGATGTTATTACCAAAAGAATGGATTATTACGGACCAATGGTCAATAGAGCTTCAAGAGTTAGTGCTATTGCAGAAGGAGGTCAAATAACCATCAGTTTAGATTTTCTTAATGAGCTACATAAATTGGAAGGATATTATGAGGAAGTTAAATCAGGAAAAAAGTCAATCTTGGAAGTCTATGGCAATGAAATACTTGGAAAACAATTACAAGAAGAAATGACCAAACTAAAGCTTGAAGGGTATAAGATTTTTAAATTAGGAGAGAAAAAGCTTAAAGGGTTGGAAACTCCTGAACAAATTTCTGCAATCTATCCTTTAGAGTTGGCTAGTAGATTTGTTATTCATATGGAACATGATCCAAACGCTCAGCCAGAACAAATAGTTGAAAAGAAGATACCAATTAATAGCTACGATCGCTTTCAAAATAACTTGAATAAGAGAAAAAGCTCTTTGTTCCAAAACAAAAAAGGTCTTGAGAATTTTTTGATGAATATATCAAATTTAGAATCATTAGCTATTAGACTAGAAACAGTTTGTTCAGAGATTTCTGCCAAAAATGCTAAAAGTTTCATGGCTGGATCTTATCATGACAGAAACATCAATGGTTATCGTTCTAAAGAAACAAATAATGTTTCTTCATTAGAAAATATCATTACTCGGATTGAAAATGCTGTCTCAGTGTTAGCATTTCGTCAAGCAATTAGTGCCAAAACTGGAAATGGATTGTTGACTAATAATAAAGGTGAGTCAATTGACGAAATTCTTCAACGCCTTTTGAAAACATTAAAACCTTTTAGCACTCTTGATTTTTCTGCTAATTTTGAATTTTCCAAGGATTCAAAAATTACACAACCTCTGGAAAATAATTGAAGAAATTTTTTGTTTGATTTGTATTACTAAAGTGTTTTTTATTATTTTTGTCTTGAATTTATTCTAGTTTTCCAAACATATCTGGTTGTTTTTTCAATTCAATAGTTTTTCGGTTTTTTTGATTAATTTTTTTCTTCTAAAGTACAATAATAATGTTTAATAACGTTTTAGTTTTCTACGGTTGTTTTTGATTTTATTCTTTTGTTTTTTTTACCGTCAAGAATAGACTGATATCTGTTCTTGTATTAATTGCATTTTTTTAGTAATGAAGTTTGTTTGTTTAAGGGATTAGTGGTGCATTTAGATTCAAAAATCATAGAAAGATAAAATCTTTTTATAGGACTAATTATTAATAATTCTATTATCATTTCAATGACAGTAGAGACCGTTTTCAAATAGTACATCAAAATTGTAGAAACCAAAAACGCAGAAAGTGTGAAAGTAGGAACTTAGCTTTTCTACAAAACTGTCTTCAAAAATATCTTCAAAAGATTCTGGATGCACTGAAAATGCTGGGTATGAAAGTTCTGATTCAGAACTCGCAACAGATTACAAAATTGTCTTGAACTTTCTTTTGTTGCCCCAACTAAACCCTCTTCCCTCAATTTTTCAACATGAACGCTTTATTACCCGATTTGGATGTGTGAATATAATCAAACACACTATCATTGATTGTATTGAGCTCTATCCAATCCTGTTTTAGAAAAAAACACTTCTTAATCAACACGATTCTCGAGGTGTTTTGCAACCTTTGCTCTGATCTCAATGTTAAATTTCACAGATATAAATACTCTTCTTTTGAATCATGTCAAACTCTTGTCTAATTATTTTTGCAAAATTTCTTAAATTGAAAATTAAAATCTTGAAAAACAATGAAATTATATACGAATAATTCAACTGAATTGGAAGATTTTAGCAGCGATGTTAGCTCTCGATCCCAGTTTCACAATAATAAACACTCTGATCAAAATTGTTTTTCAAATGACCAGGACAACGAATCACAACAGGAAGTGAAGATCCAGAAACATTTTTTGTCTTGGTTATTCTCCAAGAATGTTCCCCCAATTCCAACCCCTGATGAAAAAAAGCTCTATCCTCAGGGTATAACGAATTGGGTTAGTTATTTATTTTTTTGGTGGTTGCATCCGTTAATGTCTGTTGGTTACAAAAGGACTCTTCAGAATGAGGATCTATGGTATCTTACAGATGATTTGACTATTGACACAATGTACAAAAGATTTGAAAGTAATCTCAGTGAAACCTTAGACAAATCGAAGATGAAGCTGCTAAAAAACAATCCTAATTTGAGTGAAGAAGAGTTGGAAAAGAAACAATGGGACCAGTTAACATTACCAAAAGCATTATTCAAAACTTTTAAGAAAAGGTATCTTATTAGTATTGCTTTGAACTTTTTATCTAGCTCTTGCTCGTCATTAACCCCATTGTTGATTAAAAAATTGATTTCTTTTGTGCAGAATCGTACAATTGATTCCTCTGTTTCTATTGAAATTGGCCTAGGTTATTGTTTTGGTACAGCAGCTCTAATGTTTACATCTGATTTACTAAACTCTCATTTTTTGCATAATTCAAATACTGTTGGTGCCCAAGTCAAAGCAGTTTTGATCAAGGCATTGTTTGACAAATCATTTAGGATGGATTCAAAAGCTAGACAAAAGTTTACTGATGGAACAATAACTTCAATAATTGGTTCGGATTTACAAAGAATTGATGGTGCAATCGGCACTCAACCATATATTTTCAGTTTTCCAGTTTTTGCTATTCCACTTGCATTATTAATACACACAATAGGCGTTGCTTCTTTGGCAGGCTTTGGATTGTTTTTGGTTGTTTCTACTTTAGTGGCTGCTTCAGCATCAATTCTTATGAGCTATAGAACAAATGCAAGCAAATGGACAGATTTAAGAGTTACTTCAATCAAAGAAGTCATATCATGTATTAGAATGATTAAATACTATGCATGGGAACAACATTACAGCGATAAAATTTCTTTTAAAAGAAATACAGAAATGAATATTGTTTTTAAAATTCAGTTTTATAAAAACATATTTATTAGTGCTGCTACAACTTTGCCAGCTCTTTCTGCAATGTTGTGTTTTGCCATAATTTATAAAATTAATGGCGGGCATGATGCTGTGGATATATTTGCATCCTTGTCTTTATTTCATGTTTTATCCCAATTAATATTAATGTTTCCTATTGCTGTAGGAGGTTCTGCTGACGCTGTTGTTACATGTAAGAGAGTTTCTGATGTTTTGTCATCTTCAGAAATAAAAAAGAATGTTATGGCTGAACTTAAGAATGAAAGAATGCATAATTTTCGAGTAGATTCTTGCATGGCAATTCAACTTAGAAATGCTTCCTTTAAATGGGATGAAATTGAGGAAGAAAGTTTGAACAGTGAAAGAGGAAAAAATTCTGAGAACGATATACAAAAACAATCAAAAGTTTTAACTAAAACTTTGAAAAAAGTATCAAACGCCGCTTCATTCAAAGGATTAATTGATATAAATTTAGATATTAAGAAAGGTGAACTAGTGATTGTTACAGGCTTTATTGGCTCGGGAAAATCTTCACTTTTGGCTGCTCTAGCTGACTTCATGAAGAAAGAAAAAGGTATAAAATCAGTTAACGATTCACTAATATTTTGTGGCTATTCATGGGCACAGAATGAAACCATTAAAAACAACATTTTATTTGGCAAAGAGTATGATGAAAAGAAGTATTTAGCAATTATTCATGCTTGTGATTTACTAGATGACTTGAAGGTTTTTCCTGCAGGAGACGAAACTGAAATCGGTGAAAGAGGTATCACCTTGTCTGGTGGTCAAAGAGCAAGAATCAACTTAGCAAGAGCTGTTTATCATGATGCAAATATTATATTGTTAGATGATGTTTTAAGTGCTGTTGATGCTAAAGTTGGAAAGCATATTATGAAATACTGTATATTGGGGTTATTAAAAAATAAAACCAGAATTTTAGCTACTCACCAATTATCTGTAATCGAAAATGCAGATAAAATAATTTTTTTAAATGGAAAAGGGGGACTAATTTGTGGAACAATTGATAAAATACAAACAGAATCACAAGATTTCAATAATCTTATTGCATTTCAATTCAATTCCTATAATAAAGTGAATACTGTCATCAAAGAATCTTTATATGAGAAAAAAGAACTTTTGAACCAAACCGTTCAAGATGTTGATGGTCATCTAATGGTAGAAGAAGAAAGAGCTGTAAATAAAATTTCTAAAGATGTTTATTATCATTATGTTACCGAGGGATCTGGTTGTTTTAAGTTTGCAGCACTTCCTATTTTTATGCTTTTAATTATAATACAAACGTTTTGTAACTTGTTTATCAATACTTGGCTATCTTTTTGGGTTGAGGATAGATTTGATAAATCGGGAAATTTTTATATTGGAATTTATGTTATGGTTAATATGGCTTTTGTTTTTTTCACAATTTTGGAATTTAGTATGATTTTATATATTACTAACATGGCTGCAAGGCAGTTAACTATTAAAGCTATTGCTAAAGTCTTACACGCACCAATGTCCTTTTTAGATACAGCTCCAATGGGTAGAATTTTAAACAGGTTTACCAAAGATTCTGATTCATTAGATAATTTAATAGGGGATGAATTCCGGGTATTTATTATTTGTTTATCATCTCTAATTGGTGTCATTATTCTTTGCATTATTTATTTGCCATGGTTTGCTATTTCGTTGCCTTTTTTTGCTCTTTTATTTGTTTCAGTGTCTTCTTACTATCAAGCATCCGCAAGGGAAATTAACAGATTAGAGGCTTTGAACAGATCATATGTTATTAGCAATATTAGTGAATGCTTAGGAGGCAGAGATACTATTAGAGCATATAATGCAATGGAAAGGTTCAAAGAAAAAAATTCTAGGTACATTGATTTAATGAATGAAGCATCATATATTACAATTTCAAACCAAAGATGGCTAGCGGTTCATTTAGACATGCTTGGTATATTATTTTCACTAATTATATCTTTGTTATGTGTAACTAGACAGTTTAGTGTTACTGCATCATCAGCTGGATTGTTAATTTCATATGTTTTTTCTGTTACAGGTGGTATTTCAATGGTTGTGAGAACCATGACTAGTGTTGAAAATTCAATGAATTCGGCTGAAAGATTATCTTATTATGCTTTTGATTTACCCCAAGAACCTCCATATTATATCACTGAAATGTCACCACCCTCTAGTTGGCCCTCCAGAGGTGAAATTATCTTTAAAAATGCCAGTTTAAGATATAGAGAAGGATTGCCATTAGTTTTAAAATCCATCAGTTTCTGTGCTAATCCTGGAGAAAAAATTGGTATTTGTGGTAGAACTGGTGCCGGCAAATCATCAATAATGACTGCATTATATAGATTGGCTGAAATATCAGAGGGTAAAATACTTATTGATGGAATTGATATCTCTAAGTTAGGATTAAAAGATTTGAGAAGCAAGTTATCAATCATTCCACAAGATCCTGTGTTATTCAAAGGCACGATCAGAAGTAATTTAGATCCATTCAATGAGTGTTTAGATGATGATTTATGGGATGCGTTAGTGAGAGGAGGATTAATTGAAGAGGAATTTTTAGGTTATATGAGATATCAAGAAAAGTATGGTGAGATTTATGAAAGTGTCAACAAATTCCATTTGAATCGTATGAAAAAATTTGGCTTGAATGAATCAGTTGAAGACAATGGGTTGAATTTTTCATTAGGTGAAAGACAATTATTAGCTTTATCAAGAGCCTTAGTAAGAAATTCAAAAATATTAATCATGGACGAAGCTACATCAAGCGTCGATTATGAAACTGATTCTAAAATTCAAGAAACTATCTATGAACAATTTTCTGATTGCACAATATTATGCATTGCACACAGATTAAAAACTATTTCTAATTATGACAAGATCATGGTTTTGGAAAATGGAGAAATAGTTGAGTTTGATACCCCAAAAAATTTGTATGATAAAACTAATAGTATATTCAGAGAAATGTGTGATGAATCTGGTATTACTGTGTTTTGAGTATGATTATGTGTATACTAGTTTTAATTTTTTTATTTTACTTTCTATATTTGTTTTTGTTTTTGTTTTTGTTTTTGTTTTTGTTTTTGTTTTTGCCTTATTCTTGGTTTGTGCGTTACTGACTTATATATATTTGAAATTTCTCATTTTTAAATTTTGAACACTTTATAGTTTTTGGTTATTTACTTAAGAATGTTATCTTAAAATTTTACTCCAATGGCACCGAAAAGACTTTTCTAAACCTGCTGAAATCGATGATTATATCTGGAACCCAATTAGGAAGAACCGCCTACGGATTTTATCCGTAGCTGCGGAATTACCCGGAGCGGGCTTTGATCAAGCCACAGCATCTGCTTGCGGAAATATCACGTGCTGTAATGGCTAATAATGAGTAATGGGAGCTTGCCACAAATTACTAGATATATATACTGACCATTCGCCACACCTTTTGGTTTCATCCACAGTTTTTTAGGAGCATATTCAGAGTTAATAATGTCGAGTTTGGGGTCTGTGCAATCACTGAAGAAAGATGGTCTGAAGATCCATGGAGTATCTATCAAAAGAAGCAGTTTTATAAAAGAAAAACTAATTGAGTCTTTCCATCCAATATGGTTTGTTTCACCCATGGGAACAGGGATATCGAGCTGTGTCTTGTATCGATTTCCCTTTGAATCTGAGGTATTGCAAGTATGTTCGTATATCATGTTCTCGGTCTGTCTTTTCCTATTCATCCAAAATACAATACTTTTCATTCTCCAAATGATATTTTACCCCAATAAAAGGTATCCCACGTTATTTGATATTTCCAGAGCGTGCTTCTTGGGATGCTATCCAATGGGTCTTTCTTCTATAGTGAACATGACTTATTTGCTTACAGTGAATAACAATTCTAAATGGAGCTGGACTCTTGTTTATGTTTTATGGTGGATTTCTGGTTTTCTCTCATTGGCAACTGCCTGGTTTGTGACGTTTTGTATTCAATGGAAAGAAAAGATTTACAATGAAAATTTGCATGCAACATTGCTATTGCCTGTCGTTTCCTTAACTGTTTCGGGTGCTTCTGGTGCCTTGATTACAAACAAGTTGCCAATAGTTTTGCAACCCGTTAATTTGATAATATGTTATCTTTTGTGGGCAAATGCTATACTTTTAGCTTTTTTAATCATAGCAGTTCATTTTTGGAAATTATATGTTCATAAGATTCCTAAATCCGATCTAAGGTTTTCAAGTTTTCTACCAATTGGATTGTTTGGTCAAGGTGCTTATGGTATTATGTTATTAGGAAATAACACATATAATTATATCAAAAGCAATAATTTTGATTATCTATTAAATGATTTCTCAACTATTAATATAGTGAGTGAAATTTTTCTATATTTTGGATTGATTAGCTCATTGTTTTTGATTTCAAATGGTATTTGCTTTACAATCTTGGCCTCTTTTACTTGCCTAAGCAATGGGAAATGCAAGTTTAGTAGAACTTGGTGGGCTATGACTTTCCCTTTGGGTACAATGTCATTAGCAACGACTGAAATATACAGAGTGTTTGAATGGACCAGTTTTAGATGGATTGGAACTATCTATGGTTCTGCATTGATTATCATCACTATAATTTGTTTAATTGGTTCTATTATTTGGGAATTCCCTCATGAAATTTATCTAAACCCTCATAATGATTTAATGGATAACTTGGAAAATCAAAACAGTTTATCTTCTTCAATTGTATGATTTCATCATTGGTCTTTTTTTTTGATTGAATTCATTTCAATTTCAGTATCTCAACTACTCTTTCATTCTTTATAACATTACTTTGTCTTCGTTTATTTTTACATAATATTTTCTTTTACAGTATTAAATTTTATTATATTTCTTGTTATATATTCAACACTATATAATATACCTCTCATGTTTAACTTTGCGGTTTTCTATTTAGAAAAGCATTTTATTCATCTTATAACACCCTATAAAAATGATAATTATATTCACTATTACATAACAAATTTCAACAATTAAAATATCATAGTAGTTACTAAAGGTTTTATTATTCAAGAATGGTTTAAAAGTTTTCTTTAAATTTAATATCGAATGAACAGGTCCAGTGAAAAACATCAAAGTTGTCATTATTGGTATAATCTGCAAACTGTTTCCCGACATATAACTCATGAATAAATTCATTGGAACTTGTTTAACAGTTCCAGTGACCACATCCCAAGCCTTTTTCGTTTTTAAACTATCTAATTGAGCCTCGTTGATTATAGGTGAATTGAATGAGGATGAAGTAATGGACTTTCTTGAATTTATTCCAGATTTGGTATTAGAATTAACCAATAAAGCCTCATTAAAACCTGGGGGCGAGGGCAAATTTGGTATTGTGTCATATATGGGAGGATTTATGATAGAATAGTGCCAGTTTTGAGTCATTTTAATTCAACTATCTCACCATCTACAATCGAATTTATAATTGAGAGTCAATATCAACAGGTTACAATCTGATAACGACAAAAGTATCAAAAGTAGAAGTGACTTCTGGTCACATGCTCAAAACTCACTATACAAGATGAAAAAAAAAAAAGATGAGTGACAAAAGAGGAAATGGAAAATAAAAATGAATATATAGTGAGACAAATGAACTGAAGTTGAGTAAAAGGAAAAGGAAATAAACAGGAAACCAATTAACTCAATTGGAAAAAATCAAAATTTGAAACAAAAATTTGGTAAAAAATAAGAAAAACAAGAAACATGTCATAAAGAAAAAATAAAACAGGTCAACACCACAGGAATTAAATAAATTCATATCCAGATTCTAGATCTGCAATTTCATCGATTTTTTCATAGCTACCAAAATCCTCTGCATGAATAGTTTCGGAAATATCTAATTTCAGAGGTTTTTTGCATGTTGTATCTGGTTTTATAAGAACAGCCGAATTATTGATTGAGTGTTGAGAGTCGTTGTTATTGATTGAAATTGAAAAAGATTTGTTGGGTAGTTTAACCTCATTATTGCTAGAGTTTTCATTACTATTAGAGGTTTCGTTATGATTAGGATTATCAATTTTATTAGTGCTAGAACCGTCATTATGATTAAGACTCTCAATTTCACTAGGGGTATCTTTATTATTCATTTGGATTTTTGAAATTTCGATATAATTATCGATCAACTCATTTAAGACTTGCTCAGAACTTTTATTATTATTATTATTATTATTATTATTATTATTATTATTATCACCATCATTATCATTATGATGGGTATTTAGCTTGTCAATCAAATGATCATATTTTCTTGCCTTAATCAAATCGTCATTGGTAATGATATTAAGTTTGTTAAGATTATTGAAGTTTTTCACGAAAAAGGTATTTAAAGTTGAATTTAATTCTAATTTAATATTGTTAAATTTTTCGATCAATTTTTTAGTGTTATCTTGGTTATTTAAAGTATCATTAGCTGGATCATTATTGATATTGGTATTGTTTAAATTTGATGATAATACTTTGATTGAGTTTTTGAAATTAAAGGTAAAGTCATTAATTTTTTCTAAAACCGAATTTTCAAAAGAGATGGATCTGCTTTTAATTAAAGTATTATAATCTTGAATATTTTTTAATAGGTCGTCAAAACTCTGCGTTAGTTGAGATTCATTCTCATTTGAGACCATGTTCATCTTATGGGTTATCTTATGATTGTATTTGTCAGTATAGTTGTTACTAATATTGTTGTTGAAATTATTGTTGTTGAAATTGTTGTTCAAGTCAGTATAGCACAGTTCACACAAATCGAAATCATCGCATTCTTGGCAGTTATATCTTGAACCAGAAATTATTTTGTTACAATAATCACAATTATAAAGCAAATGTAATGAAGGGGGTGAGATTTCATTATCATCGTTATTATTTTTATTAGTATCAGTATCCTTAGTATTCTTCGTATCCTCAGTGTTGCTATGATTAAAAGGGAAAGTATTATTTGAGATTAGCTTGATGTTTAACACTTTGGATTGAATCGATTTAAAAATCCTATTATTTAAAAGTGCCCGATTAATCTTTTCAATATCATTATTATTAGTAATAATCTTCACAATAGTATTGGAACTAGAATTTTTGTTTTGATTTTGAACTTGATTTTGAGCTGGTGATTTGTTATTGGTCAAATTATTTAAGATGGAATTTAAGCCCTTATCAATTTTTTGAATATAATCAGTCTCGCTGATGGTTTCAATAACATTATTGAAATTCATTCGAATATTTTCCATGGCTGCAAAGCTATCCCTTGAATTTCTGTTGCGAAGTTCAATTAACGAAAAAGAAGATTGCGGATGCTCGATATAACAAATGGAGCAGATAATAATCAGTCAATAAAAGACAAGAAGTAGCTAAGATTACAGTTGAGCTTCTTGCAAAACATCCACTGATAAACTAGCAAAACGATTAACAAAAGGTGCTAAATCGAGTGTATATACTCTCTCTTTCAAAGCTGGGGATAAACCGAAAGCTGCCCAGAACCGCAAAACCCTGACCCACTCCCACCCAGCAACAGTGCGCATGGGTATGTGTGTATCAGCAGGCATCCCGATAGAGCCGCTGTTGTGGTATCTCTTCCAAAGAAACACACCCATGGTACTCTTGAAAAAGAATCGTTGCATCACACTGCTTCAAGAGTGAGTGATCCAATTCTATAAAACAGCATATTTTAGTTTTTTTTGTTGGTTTTTAAAAATATTTGCAAAGAGCCTATGTTGTCGGGGTTCTTGCGCGCCATTATTTATTATATCTATATATAAAAGAATGAATGCTTGTTGTGAGCCTCCCGGATGCCTACCTTCGGTCCCTCGGTATCTGTTACCGGTCTGCTCCCGTGACGCTCACAACATAATCTCTTCGGCTTTTTTTAAAAGTTCGTTAAGGGATTGAGTAATCTCTGCTAATTGTTTTACAGGGTTGTCTTTGCAATTGGCAAGAAAATGGCTTGTAGAAGGGTTTTGTGCTGATAAATTCATCATTTTTTAAAACAAACAGCATATAACAAAGCTAGTATTAATAAAGACAACATATCTTATATAATTTTGTCTGTGTATCACTGTGGTACTCTGATTTGAACAATGGTTCTGTGGTCTAGTCGGTTATGGCATCTGCTTAACACGCAGAACGTCCTCGGCTCGATCCTGGGCAAAATCATTTTTTTAGCTCTGAATCAGAGTTACAATTTTCATCTACATAAGGACGAGAGAGTCATCAGACAAATGTTATCACAGCTTAAGATGGGTGAAAAAAAATAAGTAGTTGTATTGTATATTGATAATTCAAAGCGTTAGTTTTGTGGTAGGATTGTTATTTTGAAATTTTTTGTGAAGGTGATTGTGAACAATCTTCTACCTTGGAATTTGAAATCCAGTAAAGTGCTATGCATGGCCCGGCATGCACCGGTTGAAAACTATCACTTTTTACAATTTAAAATCTTCTATTTGAAAATTGATCTATTCCTAAAATAATGGGATTTTTTTCTACCTTTGAATAGAACGATAAAAATCTGTCTCAAGTCGTCTGAATCTTTTGATCCACCTCCCAACGACTGCTTAGTGCGTACACCTGACGTAATGACGGGCTGGGGAGATGTTGCGTAGACGGGTAGACCACACCAATATAAGACCATTTTTTCTCTCTCTCTATTCTCGTTACCTTAAACGGACTCGCTAGATAGCATTAAGTTTGTGATCATTTAAAATAATAATTAACTAACTAACCAATGATTTTTTGAGGTTTTTAATGATTTGTAATCTTTAGTCTACCAAAGCAGCATATTCCAATATCTTAAAACGATAACTAGAATTTAGGTTCTTTTTTAAAAGCAAGGGTATTTATAGTCAAATTCTCAATTTAAATTACCCCACTACACTTTGTAATTTCCCTATTCATATTGTAAAATTGACTGCTTTTTAGAATCCAGATTATACTAAAGTAATTTTTATTTAGAACTTGAACATTTAAAATCCAACACAGCTTTCCAAACAAAATAAATATGGTTTTATGGTTCAATTATGAGGACTACATTTGTGAGCAAAACTTATAACAATCAAACTTTATTTTCAGTTAATTCAAGTGTCAATTTAAGACAGATTTGAATTTGGAAAAATATAAATTATGAATTTGATAGTATTAATTGCTAAAGTATATCTATGAAACCAAACTAAAATAGCAAGCGTTTGGTGTTTCAGTTAAATATTCTGATAGAAGAGGTATATATTCAGTTTGATTTGAATTCTACGTATTATCCAAATTGACAGAGAGGATAAAGAAACGCTAGAATATTCTTTGTTTGAAACTGTATTTCTACATTTTATTGTAGTTTGTATTTATGAGGGTACCTCTCCTGGCAGACATATCAACGGCAGGTCGGGATAACAGCATATCAGTATTTAGATATAAATCAGGAATTTCCTCCGTAAGAATACAAGAAACTACTAATGTCATCGGTACAAAATCTCCATTTATGATATCTTGCTGGTGTATATCCAAAAAAATGTTGAAGTGTAGGGCTAAAAGTAGCGCTTTGTGAGAATGTCATCAGGATTGTTTCTATATCTTTTGGTTTTCCACGTAAATATAATCTCATCTGGTTCTATGTCTGGAATTAGAAGTCAAACTTGTTTAAATATGCTTGCAATGAGCCTGATAGTTGTAAATTAAACATTTTATTAAATAGTATAGCAAATAGTATATAATATAAATGATATTAAGGTCTATTAGGCATTAATAGAAACTCAAAGACTCCTTCACCAACAAATAATCAACCAAATTCCTCAAGATTTTCATCAGTTAACGTTTTCAATTAGGTTGAGCTGGATCTGGGCCAAATAAGCTTTGGAGGATAAAATCCGAATAGGACATGTCTTAACTAATAACATAACTGTCTCTTTTTCATCAATTTTCACATTCAAAGCGTATAATAACCTCCATTGGCCAGTCTTTCTGATGCCCAAGTTACGGAAAATAAATCTCAATATTCCTGAAGAGTTATTATAATGCTCAATTTTTTTTTGGCCATCCAAGTAATTTTGATTAACATCATAATAGTAACCAGCTTCATTTATTAAATACGCATGCACAGTGAATTTCACATCTCCATTCAAAGGATTGGTCAATAATACCACAATATTGCTACCATCCAAATTTCTTTTTGTCCCACATGATGATTGCCTACCAATGAGTGATTGTTTTTCAATTTCAAAAATATATCCAGGATAGGCAGAAACTGTGTCAAATTCAAATAAGTCCATTTTCAATTGATTTGTCCTTTCATCAAGTATTTTTTATCTAATGAACATTCATTGAAAAAATAAAACTCACAGATAAAAAACTCAAACCGGCTGGTATTTATATTGTTATTTCATTGAGTTTTTGCTGGACTCAATTGCAATCATTGTGAAGATAACTAGTTAAATTCAAATCCTTCTTTGATTACCAAGAAATCGATTATCTGCATTCCTTAATGATAAATGATAAAAGATAAAACAATTTACAGATCCATGATGGGGTTTGTCTGTTATCACTAAGAAATATTTATAAGAGTCCGCTTAGGAAAGAAATTTGTTAGAAAAAGAAAAGAAAAGACAAAAAGAAAATTATGAAAGATAATTACAACTTGTAGGCTTATTTTTCTAATTTGATATAATTGATCAAATTAGTTCACTTAACTAAAAATGTAGTTATTTTCATTTAGATACCCCTGCTAAAATGAAACAGAGCTTCCGACACAAGTCCTTGTAAAAAAAAAAAAATAATTCAAAAACGACGTAAATCAACTGAACTTGTATCCCAACCTAATTGCATATATATATTGATAAAGAATGAAGAAAAATATCGTTATTTGTTTGTGGATTTCCAGACACAAATTGCTATTATGTCTTTCTGAATACCGCATGGAGAGGTCGAATGACAAAAATCATAATGACTGCATAGCCAAAGAGCTAGAAAAAGCAGAGTGAGAATCCTACCAAAGAACATTTGATCTTCGACTGCGCAGAGTTCGAACCATAAAGGAAAAAACCCAGGATAAACAAACAAAAACAACCAAAACATGATTCGAGCTCGATGGTTGAAGAAAAAAAAAAAGAATATCTCTCTGATTACCTTTTCGTTTAAGCGAACCGACGTGTGTCGGACTATTTATAGCAAGAGTTATCCGTATCCGAGATACGGATGAGTAACGTACGAAGAAGTAGCGTACGAATGGAATAAGCAATCCGCACAAACACTCCCTAACGCGTGAAGACAAACCGGAAGAAATCGCTTCGTTTGTCGATAGCATTTTCTCACAAGGAAAAGACAAACAGGAAAAGCTTTACGCACGAGAGCCGGAACAGGCGGTAGGTCGAGCAACTGTTCCGGAAGCATTAGACCCAAATCAGCGTCGTTCGGATCTTCCCGGATCCCTCCCCAGGTTATTAACGAAAACCAACCATGTTGAGATCACACTTACAACTATATAATTAGTCATAAACGTTTATCTAATAAAAAAATAAGAAAATATTCACGGAGTTAAAACCTTAAGAATCTCAAAAACTCGCATCAGCGCAGAGATTGACATGTCTGTTGGTGCATATTTAAACATCTGACAATTCATTTCAATTAGGAAACCAATACCTGTGTTGACAGCTATCAAAATTAGTCACTATTCCTTTGTTTTTATTTTATTCGTAAAGTTTTATTTTATTTATCAATGAGTTTTGAGTCACCTTTTTCTTCGGCTTTTGAAGTTAACTCAAGATCAATTGATATTAAAATCAAAAAGCTCAGAAACGAACATAACCGTGAATTTATATCTAAGCTTGAAGAGCATTCAAAAGGATTGTTTATTCTTCACAAAAGTCTAGAAAGATTTTTTACAGCTACCAAAATTTCCCACTAAAGTTCAATTAAATCATCAGAACATAAAACTGGTTCTTCAAACAAACGTTTAGTGAAATATAACTAACATTTTAACAAAGTATGTATTGAAATAAAATACAACATAGTAAAAATATAATATATAATATAAAATTGTATGTAATGACTATAAAGTATTAGTGATTAATTCATTATTTGAATTCATTAAATGACAATTTCTAGAAAAATAAACCTAGTCAAACATAAAAGTTAAATTTATTGTGTATTTTACTTTCATAAATAATATTGATAACTTTTGGAAGAGAAAACTTCAATCACATTAGAAGTGATATGTATTAAAGCATTTTCTGTGTCCCTGGGACTGATTACAACTAAAGTGTAACCCAACTTCCATCGTCCAGTTTTTCTGATACCCAAGTTAGAAAAATTAAAATTCAGGGTAAAAGGATATGAGTTGAAAAATTTAATTAATTTTTGACCATCCAAGTATTGCTGATATAACTCATCATGTTCACCATGTTCATTTAATAGATAGACACACACCAGAAATTTCACATCCTTATGATAATTGTTTGTGGATAATGTTACAAGATTATAGCCCTTTAGATTTCGTTTTGTTGAATGTGAAGACTGTCTTCCACATATTGATTGCCTTTCAATTTTGAAATTATAGGAGAAAGGAGCATTGTTTAATTTTATAGAATTCATTATTAGTTTGCTTATGGAAGCAAAGGAAAAAAAGAAAAAAAGGGATTTTGCAGGATATTAATACACATATTAATACGGTTGGAAAGTAATCCAATTCCCACTTCCACCCAAACGAAATTCTGAACAGATATAGTGAAGTCGCTAATTGACTTTTGCATCGTCAAATAATTGGTTTCATTTACCAAGTCTGATAATTGGTCTCATTTGCTTCTCGTTTGAAGCTAGTGAGAGAGTCATTAGAGAACAATAACATAGCCTCTTTTTGTATCCAAACATCTTTCCTCTCCTGTTTTGGCTTTGATTATCAATATAATATTTAATTTTATACAAAAACCCATTTCCACAAACATCCCCTTTTTTAATTTTACAACTTAATTGTTGAATTATCCATTTTACTGTTGCGATTATTGTTATTATCACCAATCCTAACTAGCTTTTTGTATCTCCATTCAAATCGCTGTTGATATCTGTATTGGTATCAGCAATGATTAGCACGCTTAATAAATTTACAGATGTGTTGATATTGTTGTTGTCGTTATAGGATTACTTCACTTGTCTTGATTCTCTTTCATGGATGCTTTTTCTCTGCAATTTCCTTCTGACTATTACCAACCACTTGAGTCTTGTTCGACATGTTGTTATTGTTACTTCTGGTTTGTTCAAAGTTGATTAACAATAAAGCAAAATCGTTTTCATCAATAACTGGTGATCATCTTGGAGTTGCAAACCGAGTCGTATTCCTTCTCTTCTTTGCTTCAAACTCAACTGACGTTGGTTAGAATAGTTGGATACACTGGGCAATATATAGTGTCAATTGGTAAGCAGCTGGAGACTTGTGGATTAGACAATAATTTGGGAGAAGGAAGAACTCTTAATTCAAACCAAAAACCCAGTTGTAGTAGTTTTAATGGATACCCAGTTGTAGTAGTTTTAATGGATAATGGTTCCAAGTAAAAGTCTGTGTGGAAGATCCAGTGGCATTTCCGAGGGCAGTTTCGTGCACAATGCTCGGTATTCCAAGATAACATGTGATTTATCTAGATCAAACCCTCGGTATTTGTGTACTCCGGTTGGATACCTTTGACGTAATCCGAAGCTTGTATTTGTTCAGACCTATGAGGTGTCGGACTGTATCCCACTATACATTTTCAGCCTACTATTCCAGATATATTACAATATCAAAGGAAAGCCGATTTTTTTTTTTTTTTCTTTAAATAGTTGCTAAGAGCCCACTTTGTCGGGGTTCTTGCACGGTGTTTATTATATCTATATATAAAAGAATGAATGCTATCTTTATAATTCTACCGTAGATGTGAGGAAACTTAATGAATAGGAAGAAAACTCACATCAAAGACAGGAGTGTGAAATCTAAGAAGATGTATGCCGGTGTCAAATTACCTTATGAATTGCCATGCATGGGAAACGAATGTGATGAGTTTGCCTATGCCCCATTTCGTGCCTAGGTATGTGTGAATGATTTCTGGGTCCACTCCGTCAGAGAGAATTGTTGGAATCTCTGAATGGATTCTCGCCTGTGAGTTGATTGGACATTGGAAGATACAATGTATTATCTTCGGATTTGGAAGGGAACATTTGCATTGGTTACTGCTCATATACCCAGCTCTCCACGAGGTATCTTCACCAAAGAGGTGTCCTGTGCGAAGTTGAATCACCGCGCTCACCTCCTCCTTGGTCCTGTGTGATAGGATTTTAAATGTGGGTAGTCTTTTAATTGATAGAGGGATGTTGGAATTGGCGATTACCTTTTCGTAGTGAGAATTATGGTTGTGTTCGTGAAATATTTTATTCCATTTTTGGATCATCTTTTGATAGAGAGCCTTTAAAAAAAAAAAAGGAAAGCCGAATTACCTAAACTATAAATTTCAATATATAATCATGTATTGCTTGATAATAGCTCGCAGTGAAGACTGCTTCTGTAGCTGTACGTTGTGGCGCAGTGGGAGCGCGCATGGCTCTGACCCTGAGGTCCCTGGATCGAAACCAGGCGCGTACATCTTTTTTTATTTTTTATTAATATTTATGTTATTGTTTTTAATAATATTTTGATTAAATAAATTTTTGCACAGCTGGCTTAACCGATTAGAATGGCCTTGTAAGATTACAGACATAGTTTACTACACATGTCCATATCAGGTATACTACAGTATCGTATATTCCAATTATAAAACTCCAATATCTTCAAAAAACAATATAGAAAAAGAAAGAGAAGTACTTCATTTATTGAAATGCAGTCTGTGAAGAAGGCCTTATCTGATCGGTGTCTAATGCTGCTCTTTTCTTTTGAGGCACCAAAAATTCTTCGCCATTTTTAGATTTCTGTTCGCTTTGACTAATTTGTTCGTCTTGGTCAATCTTGTAGTTTTTATTTTCATTATTATTTCCATTACTTTCTTTCTTCTTATTACTCAAAAAATTTATAGTCTGTTGATAATATTCACAATTCGATATTATCCTTTTTTTATATAAACTATTCATATCAATATTAGATGGTATCCCTGGTATTTGAATAAATGGAAATAAATTGTTATCAGTATCATTAGTATCATAACTCTCAACTCTATCAATGTCTTCTACTGATCGGTTCCCATTTAAAAATAGTCCTGTCCCATCGTTAATTATTAATTTATAGGATAATTTTTCTTTACTGTCCTTATCATAAAATAAATGTAAAACATCATTATGATAAATCTTTGTCTTCTTTCGACGCCCAATAATCTTATTATTAATTATACATCCATTTGTACTAAAATCAATAAGCCAAATATCATCAAGTCCCTGTGCTGGTGATTCATAAATACTATCACCCACAACATGTCTTTTCCGAATTATTATACAATGAACTTTAGATATTCTAATTTCGTTAATATTTAAATTACAAACAGAATTTCTCCCTATTATAAATGGTTTAGATCCACTTTGTTTTATATATATTGTTTTATCAATATTTGTTATTTTATTATAATATTCATTGTCTTGTATTAATTTCAAAGTCAAATATGTCCCAACAGGAATCTTTTTATCAGCTTTCAGTATTAAGTTAGATTGAATGCTAATTTCGCCTTCAGAGATTGAATGATTTTTTTCTTTTTTGGATTTCTTAAATTGCATATCATTTTGAAGGAAACTTTCACTACTTCTTTTCCCATCGGGTATAATCTTTTCATCCTGATTTATATTCATGGAGATTTGATTTATATCTTTCATTTTAATATCGTCATCAATAATGTTTTTTGAATTTAAGTGAAAATTATTCATTTTGTTATCATTAATAACCTTCACTTTCGCCTTGTGAATTGGGATAGCAGGTTTAACAAAATTTGATTTATTTTCACAAATATTCTCAAGATTATTTTCATGATTGTTTTCAATTCTCTTGGCGTCATCTTCAATGAAATTTGGAAATAAATTGATATTATTTATTGAGTTTTGGGATGATATTGACTCATGCCTTTTTTGGTTTGATTGAGATTGTGATAAACTTATTTGTGATGGTGAATCTATTGCAACTTTAATCCATGGATGATCTAAAGCCTTTGCAGCCGTTAGCCTATAATTCGGATCGACTTCCAATAAGCTGTTAAGAAAGTCTCTTGCAGTGTTACTTATTCCAGCTTCCTTTATTGGAGTGTCATGATATGAACCTCTTTTAATTTGTAAGAATAAATTTTCTTGAGTGCCTCCACTAAATGGTAAGTGGCCAGTTAATATAACATATAATAAACAACCTAATGACCACATATCTACCAAACATGAATATGCAGTCCTTTGGCTCCTGGATTGTCTTTGTTTCATATTCACCCTATCCTTAATGATTTCTGGTGCAACATAAGCCAATGTTCCACAAAAGGTTTTCAAAAAAGTTCCATCAGATATTTTGGCTAATCCAAAATCTGTTATTTTAACAATGGTTGGATTGTCTTGAGCTATTAAAATATTATCAGGTTTTAAATCCCTATGACTTATACCTAGATCATGAACATATTTAATAGCTTCAAGAATTTGTTTTGTTATCTGTCTGGCAGCTTCTTCGCCGATTGCACCATGAGCAACTACAAAATCCATCAAATCACCACCAGATACATATTCCATAACAAGATAATAAAAATTTTCGTCTTCATAAAACGCTTTCAACCTTACAATTCCGGGATGGTGCAATTCACTTAGGACTTTCAATTCTCTGGCGACAGCTACATTTGTGCCTTCGATCTTTCTTTTTGATATGATTTTGACAGCATATATAGTGCCAGTTTTCTTTTCAATAGCTTTCTTGACAGTAGCAAAAGCACCCTCTCCGACGATGTCGTCCATTATGGTAAAATGTTTGTATATTCCATCATTTTTTTGGTTCACATCTCTCAACTTCTTCTTTGTCGGCCAGTGATCAGGCGAAATCAATATTATGAATTTTATGATATCGGCATCCTGACCAATTCCCACGGATATTTCATCGCCGTGGTTTAAAATGTAATTTTGGCCCTTAACAATTCGTGTCCCATTGAGATAGGTCCCATTTGTGGATCTGTCTTGCAAAAACAAAAAATTGTTAGAGTCATTGAGCCATATTGAAAAGTGTTTGTTTGATAATCTGCTTATAGGCCCAAAAACATGGTCGCACGATTCGTTCCGACCAAAAACCCATTTTCTTTCAGGCGAGCTCTTCAAAAAACTGGTAATGTATCCCTTTCGTTTGGAGTACTCTGGAGGCAACTCTGGTGTCCGTAACACTTTGAAGATTATATCAGCCATTTGGTCCTCGTAGGGCATCAGCGCGTTCTGGGTATTATTGGGCTGTGTTGGCTGTGTTGGCTGCGTGGGCTGCGTTGGTTGGGGAGACTGCGACTCATACTGGATTTGTGAGTCCATGTTCGGGCTGGTGTTGCTGAGCAGGAACAGCAGCTGTTTCGTTGGACAGAATTTTGGCTTGCAGTTGTGCTGGATCCGAAGCCTGGACGTGGAGCGACTTTTCGCTTTGATCTGGAAAAAATCGCGAAAGTTCTTTGCACGTGATCGAGAGTTTATAAACAGAACCGGTTTGGAAATGGAGGACGAGCTTCAGAGCCTACAACTTGATGTAGATGCCTTTGTAGTGAAGAAGGGCAGAAAACAAGGCCAAGGCGAAGGCATAGGCCACCAACACTGCGACTGATGAGGTCTGCGACATGTCCAAAGTGTCCATGGCCATGTTTATCACCCCAGTGGAGACATTGGCTACGAGGAACACCAACAACCCATTTGCATTGATGGCCTCGATGAGATAGGGGACGTTTGTATACTCTTCTGTGCCAGAGCCATTGCGCATTTCAGTGTCTTCTGCGATTTTGGCATCGAAACACTTGCTGATAAATTTAAATCCCAATAGGAAATTGAGGTTATAGCTGACAACCCATAGCACATATAGCAAATTTGCGATTCTCCGGGATATGTTCAAGTTTGTATAATGGTAGAGCAGATAAAACAACACATTGTAGAAAATGGCAAAATAAAACAATCCTTGTGTTGCAGAAACAGTGAAGAATTGGTGCACTTTGTTTTTGTAGCTCTTTTTATCCTTTCCAGTGACAACGACGGATGATGAATAGAAATTAATAATCTCCTTTTTAGTAGAAATCCTAAAAACATTCAATCGCGTTTTGAAGTTTGGTAGTAGAATACTTCCAACTGATTGACCTGTCAAAAAAATCGATAAATACCCAATAAACGAAAAAATTCCTTCTTTATTAGAAGTGATCAAATTATCTCTTGGATGTAGTAAAATAAACTCCAACAATCCGTTTTTATTTAGTAAAATTTCGTAGATTATTGAAACCACTAACCCAGTAACAAATACAGGAACTTCGAATGGAAAAATAGAGTCAAGTATCAACACAACTGGATCCAATAACCCCAATGTCATAAAAAAATTCCAATGTGTTCCATACTCTGATGCGTGCTCCTGATAATCTAAATTTTTGACAAAATATAATCTTAGCAAACCAATTATTAAAATTACTAATGAGCTTAGTAAACTTTTTCTTAATTTTTTCAAAAATTTCAAAAATTTAGAGTAAACTGTTTTTTTTTCTTTTTGCGAGCTTCCATTTTCATTAAAACGAGCTTTCAATTTAGTTCGAATGCTCACTAAACCCATAGAAAATACAAATGAACCAACTCCTAAATCCATCAAAGAAGATCCCCACGTTTCAACCTTAGCAAATCTTCTGGGGAAAACTTTGAAATCAACTGCCAAAATTGCAAGACAAGTGATTATCATCATGTTTGATCGATAAATCGTGATATAGTTCTTTTTGGACATGTAATCATTAATTGATAAATTACCGAAATTAATTTTGTGGGACCTATTCTTATCATGGCCTTTTCTACTCTTAATCTTATTGCCTTTCAAGGTCTTTTTATTTGAAAACAATGCCAAAGTAACTGAAGGCACTAAAATCGAAAATATCAATTTTACTGGAATATCGGAGTATAAAGTAATGGACAACAACAATCCAAACCAAAATAATATAAATTCAATTGAAAATATAATACTATTAACTCGTTTTCTTTCATGGACAATCTTGGTGTCAATTTTGAACAAATTAGTGTATCCAACTATAAGGTAGTAAGCAATGTACGTTACTAACGAAACCAATGTGACGAGGTAAACCTCCTCAATTGAACTCCCAGTCAAACCTGATACAAAATCCTCTTTTCTTTCTTTCAAGCTTCTGCTGTTTTCCATTCTCAAGTCTACTTTAGCTGTAAAAAGCTCTGTTTGATGCTGAGAAACACCTCATCTCATTCGATGTAAAACAAGTCAGTTCCGTTTTAATTGTCATGTGAAGTTTCGCTGCCAATAATGAGGAAATGTTATAATTACACCTAAGATGAACAAGATAATAATTTACATAAAAAGAAAAAAACAACCTAAATAAATAAAAGATAAATAAAGACAGACAACAGCAATAAAACAAGATTAGAAAAATTGTACACCTGAATATTATTTGCTGAATTCAAGTTTTCTATTCCTGACTGGAAAGTAGCGCTGGTATTTGGAAATGTAGCAGTGAATCCATTTTTCCTTAGGTAGGACTTAAAACTTGTCACTTCCTCTGTGCCTCCAGTTATAGTCGTTGTGACTGTTTCACTCCATGGACCAGTTCCACTGGAAGTGGTGACAAATGAATCGTAGGAACCAACTATTGACGAGATTAAATATCTTCCAGAGTTGGTGGTTGTCCATGATGTATAATTTGTAAAAGTTTCCACTTTAGTGGAGTCGTATCTGGCTGTGCTAATGTAAGACGTTACATAAACGAAATAACTGTCTGAGTAGTGTGGTGCTTGAATAGTATTGGGAAGCGATTGGTATTTGGATATCATGTCAACATTATCAAAATTTATATCGCCAGTTATTTCTTCATCTGTTGAATTTGAATTTAAAAGTTTGCTAATCCCAATTTCTCCAGCCTCAAAATCGTAAACTGCATAGTAATTTGTGAAAATCATTTTCCCCAACAAAAAGATATCTCCAATATTAGACTTTCTAAAACTAAAAGAGATAGCCAAATCGCCTTTAGATTTGTTGTGGTGATTGTTATCAAAATCGGTATAATAATTAAAGTAGGTCATATTAGTGGCCAAATTATTAATAGGGACATCGATAATATAGCCTGATAAATTGTATGAGAAATGGCAATTTAAATTTTTTAGAATAAAATATATATCTGTATAATTGCTAATAGATTCATTAAAAGAAACATCCAAGTTCTGAAACCCCTGTACAATATCATCGAAAATAGATGGTGGGAAATAGTAGTTGATGCCTTCATGAAACAATGCAATTGGATATTTTTTGTCAGTAAATTGTATTTCGAGCATACTTTCATCATTTTCATTTTCAGTGAGAGTGTGATTTAAATTGTTCAGAGTTAAAAGGCCAACTGCAATATCAAAAATAGAATCAGCTTCTTCAGCACTGAAATTGGAATTGGTTATTACTGAATTTGAAATTTTAATTGAGAATGAAGAAAGAGTAACATCTGCGTGTTTGATGTAAGGATTAATATTGTAATCATATCTATTTATTATGGGTAAAACAGTTAGATTTCCATCAATTTTGGTATGATCGATTCCACCAATTAGTGCGACTCCTTTGTAATCAAAAAACTCGTTGTTATTAAATCTGAAATATTCAGAAACAATTTTTCTTTCAATGAACTTATTTTCTAATAATAAATCTAAAAAATTTAAATCCTGATTATTTGAGTTGGTGTTGTTTGTAAAAGAAGAGATTCCAAAGGTTCCCAGCTGTTTATTGGCAGATAATGCCAAACCAAAAGGAAAAGTGGAAAAGTTCCAGTTGTTGTTGAGCCATAATACATCTTTGCCCCAAAGACCAGTTGCAACAGTTCTGTCTTCAGAATCCAATTTGAAAGATGTATTAACACTGAAAATGGGGTTTTCGTCATAAGAGAAAAAATCAAAAGTGGAAGAGTCTGCATCTTTAAAAGTTCCTTGTTTATCGTAACAAAAATATAAAATATCGTCGTATGAGTAGGAATAATTGTTATAATATGAACGATAAAATTGGAAATCGATATCAAAACAGTAGGGATTTAAATCTGATATGACCCAAGTTAAATCGGAATCGAAATCCAAAGTGACATTTAAAGGTTGTGGAGGAGTTCCAAGTTCTATTTCTATAAAGGAATCATTTTGTTCATTGCCAAAAAAGTCAAGCTTGATCACTTTTTTCCCATCAAAATCATCATTGGCCTTTATCTTCACAGTACTGTGAAAAAGTAGGAAAAGCACTATGCAGGATAAAAGCATTTTAGTATATATTTGATATTTTGTCTCTCTGACGCTCTGTTTTTTGAATAAGCAATGATTTGAAAGACTTCAAATCAATAAATGGAGTTTAAGATTTGGTTTGAGTTTGGAAAAGTTTTGTTTCTGCTTTTTATGGGGAAACAACAGCTAATTCACAGTTAAGAAAAAAAACGAAACATTTTCGTGGATAGTGAACACCAGGGGAAATTAAAGCAGGACCAAAAAAGTATTGCAGGAGTTGGGCTGAGCTGTGAACAGCATAAAACTGTTCCAATATTTAGATGGACTTGAAAAACAGCAACAGGAAAATTAAAAACAAAAGCCAGTCCCTGAGTTATAAACCAAAATGGCAGAATTTCCAATCAATTTTGAGCTACAGTAATGGAAACAAAAAACCCATCTTGTATGGATTTCTCCGATCCGAAACACCTTTTTAAACGGCGGACATTACGGTCACGGGTCGTCACAACCGAGATGCCGTTTGGTAAAAACAGGAGTGTTCTGTGTTTTGCACGTGCGCTTATATAGGCAGCAAACGCAAACTTCCCATCTTGGTCAGAAATTGAGCTTGGGCAAGGACCTTTAATCATTGAAACAACCAACAGTGGTACGATAATTTGCAAATAATGTCTGATCTAGATGATGATCTTTTGGCTCTTGCTGGTGTAGGATCTGATGAGGAACAGTCTGCAGACTTTTCTAAAAAGAGAAAGGCTTCATTGAATAGTGGAGGCAATCCACACAAAAAAAACAAACATGACTACGACGAAGATTTTGATGAAGAATATGATGAAGAATCAAATTCTGATTCAAACCACATCAGTGATAACAATAAGGATGATAAAAATGGCGACAACAATGATGATAACGACGGAGACGCTTTTTCAGATCCATCTTCATTCAAATATTCGCCATTATCCAATGATTTTAAGGACAGTGCGTTAGATATCAATCCTTATCCATTGGAAAGTAAATATAAAGACGAGGAAGATAAAAACCGGTTATTGTCAATGGACGAAGTTCAAAGAGAAGAGATTTTGTTTGAAAGATCGCAAGAAATTGAAAAATACAATGAACGAAAATATTTGGCTCGAAGAGTTAAACAAAAACAGGCGGAACGATCTAATAGGTCGATGAATGTGAAGAAGAACTCCAAGGCAATTAAGTCATCGAAATTGTCAGAGTTGAAAAAACAAAGAGCTAAAAAGAATCAGCATAATGACGGATACGATGATGGAGATTACGAGGACGAGGAGTATTCTAATAAAAACCAAGCATATCCAGAAGAAGAAGAGGAGGAGGAAGACAAAGCGTATCAAGAAGAAGAAGAGGAGGATGATGATTATAAACCCGATCAAGAGTATCAAGACAATTATGCTGACAACGACAATTATCAAGATGAAGATAATGACGATTATGATCCCGATCATAACGACAACCGTAGCAAAAAGGTTAAGAGCAAGAGTCGACATGGAAGAGGACATGATGAAGAATACAATGATTACGAAGACGAAGACGACCGCAATGCAGTTAAATGGGTAGATGGATCATCGTCTTCCAATAAGATAAGAATTGCAAGTGTGAGTGAAATTAACAAAATCAAGTTTGGTAGATCTGGAATTCTGAAATATTGCCAGTATCCCAAGTTTGGGGAAGTGGCAAAGGGGTGTTTTGTAAAAGTTGCAATTGGAACCAACAAGCAAACAGGCGAGCCCCAAACTCGTTTAGGGAAGATTGATAAGATTATTGATGGCAAGCCGTATAAATTGGAGAACAGAACCGTCAATCAGTATGCTATAGTCAGCATTGGCAATGCTTACAAGAAATTCCCAATGAACAATTTTTCGAATTCCAAAGTGGATGAATTTGGGTATAATGACTACTTGAACACACTAAAGAAATTGAATTCCAGCTTGCCTACGAATAAAGATATTGAGAAAAAGTACAATGAGTTGGTAGCGTTCACGTCCAAGCCTCTAACTCTCGAGGAACAGAATAGCATAATAGAGAGAAGAAACAAGTTGACAACTTCGGAGGTGGGCATCTCAGCTATTGTCAAGAAGTCGCATTTGCTATCGAAATTGAAAGTTGCAAAAGCGCAGAACGACATTGAAAAGATAAAGGATGCCGAAAAGAAATTGCTGATGCTAAACAGATCATTGAAGAGCATGCAGAAGAAGGGATTTGAGTCGAACAACTCGTTGCACAAGGTGAATGAAAGAAACCGGATGTTGAATGCCAAAAACATTCGTCAAGCCGAAATTATGAACGTGGAGAAACGTAAGAAGGAGTCGCGAACTGGAGTTGCGAATCCCTTCAGCAGATTGCGAACTACAACCAAGGTGCTTTACTACGAGATACAGAAGGAGGAGAACGAGAGAGCCAAAGCTGAGATTATCGAGGAGCAGAAGGAGGAAGAGAAGAACTCGAAGAACAACGAGCAGTTATTGCTCAAGGCGCGATACCGCCAGTTTGGGGGAATTGACGAGTTAATTTCTAAAGTGCAGCTCAGTGTGGACCTTTCGCTGCTTTGTTAGAGGAAAAACAGGCAAAAAAAGAAGAAAAAGAAGCAAAAAAAAGAAGAAGAAGCAAAAGCAGCAGAAGAAGCACAAAAAGCGGCCGAACGCGGCGCCGTTTGGCGTTTCGCGTCCTTTTTCTCAAATGCCTTGTATCAAAATAATATTTGTAAAATTTGTAAAATTTGTTACTTTGAACCAACGTTGAATTGTTTCTTGTATGTTATATATCTGCTGGAAGTTGCTCGATTCGTGTTATAGGGGCTCTTATACATCGTAACTCAGCAAACACAGGCTACCACTCTGTTATTTATCTTATAATCGCTCTTGCTACTGCGTTTCACCATGAGGCAGGTTATATCAGATTTGCTCTTCAAGACTCAGGATCCCAACAACTTGATTCGTTCTCAAGCTGAACAGCAGTTTTTGCTGTTGTCTCTCCAGAATCCCTCCTCTGTTGGATTGGCTTTGGTCCAGATTGCTGCTGACCATGCTGAGGTAGTTCCAAACAGACAGTCTGCTCTCTTGAACCTTAAACGACTAGTGCCTCTATATTGGTCCTTTGGCTTTACCTCCTTCAAGGGAACTGCCATCAACCAGGAAACAAAGGCTGTCATCAGATCCCATCTCTTGAGCTTGATATGTGACAACGACTCCAAGATCAGAAACTCCTCCACCTACTGCATTGTTCAGATCTCTGTTGTGGACTATCCCGAGGAATGGCCAGACCTAATCTCAGTTCTCTACTCCTTCATTGATTTGAACAACTCTGTTTCCTCCAAAAACTCGATTCTTGGTGGTTTGATTGTGCTATCCAGCTTGTTCGACGACTTGATCACTGACGACCAGTTCTTCGAGGGCTCGATTGGCCTAAACACCTTGACCTATTGCAAAAACATTTTGGCAACTGACACTTCACCCAAAAATTCTAATCCTAATGACAAAAAAATTGATGTTAACACTAAAATCGAAATTGCAAAATTACTAGAAACCTGCTTGAGACAATTTCAAGGTCCAGAAGCAACAATGACCTCCACCAGAGCTGATTTTGCAAAGGAATCTGTTGTTCAAGTGGCTAATTTGCTCCTAGAATTGCTAAACGAATTGTTCAACTACATCAATTCAAACAACGTTTTAGACTCAAGTTATCTCTTATACAACGAACAACTATACAAAGTTCTAATCCTCTTGATTAACAATTTCAATCTAAAACAGTATTATAAACAATTATTCTACTTGTCTATAAACCAGCTATCCTCATTGACAAAGTTTCATTACAATCTTTCAGTTCTAAAGATTGACGACTCTCAATCTTCAAACCCTTACTCCATCTACAAAATTGTCTCGTTTTCACACAATAACATCGGAAATGATGATCCAATCTTCATTTTAAATAAACTATTAACCCAAATTTATCAATTCTTGTCCTCCGTTAATAATTGCTCATTATCAAACACTAAACCCTCAAATAAATTTGCAAATATCGACTTATTCTCAACCCTATTCAATTCAATTTCATTGCAAGCCATCTCTTCAAATGATTCAATTCAAAATTACATTTCAGATTTCAACTCTTTTGTAACCGAAGAATCTGGAATGTCTATTGACTTCACTCTAAGAGATTCCATCAACGAATATTTATCAGAACTTAATCATCATGACTCCTCAACCTTTTTAAATTGGTCTATTCAATCTTTGTTTCTAATCAACAAAAATCCTGTACAAAATAACACTATTGATAACAGCAATTTCCATTTCATTAATTTGATTGATCTTTCAAACGTTTTCCAATTTAAAGAATCTCTACTATACATCATTCAGGCTTTACTAATGAACGACACTTTTTCATTTGACGACGAATCTGATCTACACCAGATCTTGCCTCTGGTAAATATTAATGATTTCTATAACCAATTAATCAGTCTCTCTTCAATCAATGAAAACGTATTTGTCATTTCAAGAACTCTAATTGTATTATCAAAATTTATCGAGATTTTTCAATACGTTTTATCTGACGAAATGATTTCCAATGCCTTTACTCACTCAATTGAAGTTTGTTTCAATTATTTGCAAAATCAAGATCCTTCAAACAATGATTCTGATTTAGATGGTAACTTGAATCTAATTAGAGCTTCTTTATGTATTTCTCTAACCTACTATTCTCAGTTTTTTCCCTTTGATAAATTCAAACTTTCTTCAAATTATCAAGATATGGTTGCCTCAATTATTAGCTCACTTATTGATTCTGGAGCAACTGACGATACACCCACTACCTTAATGGAAAATGTCGTTCCCTGTATTAAAATTGATCCCAAAAATGCGTATAACACCGATTCAATAATTAAGCTAATCTTTAAAATCTCTTCAAGTGACTTTTCTAACATTTCGATTATTAACGAAACGGCTGATGCTATAGGTACACTCTTTGAAAATATTAAGATTGAAAATTTCATTAAACAATGTGAATTTGGATTACCCTTGTTGATCAATAATTTAATTGACAATATTAATAGTTTTAACGGATTGAAAATTGAATATTCGCCTCAATTGAATTTTTCTTTAGAATATTTAAATCTTTTTATCAAAAATTGTCCAAGCAAGGAATTACCCGAGGATATTTTCAAATACACTTTTAGTGTTGTAAGTAAACTATTGCTAATTGAAAATATTGAAGACCAGATTTTACAATTAGGTAGCGAAATTTTAAACTCTATCTTAATTTCATCGGATTCAAATTTTTTTATTAATTATAAAAATGAACAAGGTCTTTCGGGAATTGAAATCACTCTTAAACTAGCGGAAAAATTTCTTTCCCCAACATTGTCAGATTCTGCAGCATTGAATATTGGATCTATTGTCCTATCTATTGTCAGCAAATTTAGCAGTTATTTAAACGATTATCTTTCAAATCTCATTCAAGCAGTTACCAAAAGATTAACAATTGCTACTAATATTGTGATTATGGAAAATATGATCATGGTATTTTGCCATTTGGTTTTGTTATCAGCCAGTGATACAATAAATTTTTTGGATTCAATTAAATTTGAAGATAATAAAAGTGGGTTGGAAAAGGTTATTCCAATTTGGTTGGATACATTTACATCGATTCGAGGATATGAAAAAATCAAGAAAAATATATTAGCATTGGGTAAAATATTTATGCTAAGCGATCCAAGGATAGAGAATATAATCGTTGATGGCGATTTAATTCCTAATCAAATTGACCCAAATATTATTGTCACACGATCAATTGCTAAAAAAATGCCTCAAATTTACCAAAAGATTTCATGCTATGTTAAGATTTTAAAATTGTTTATTTCTGAGTTATCATTTCAAAATCAACAACCAAATCCTAGTGATTATGTTGTTTCAAAAGTTGGAGAAAATGATAATGAAGAAGGATGGGAAGATCTTGAGGATCTTGGTGCACCTACATTTGAGAAATTAACGTCATATATTGATGCAATTGACGATGCTGATGAAGAGGATGAGGAAAAAGGTAATTTAGCGATTAACCAAGATAACAAACAAATTTTAATTGAATTTTTCAAAGAATGTGCTCAAAAGAGTGAGGTTACAAATTTCCGAAAGTACTATGATGTTTTAAGTGACGAAGAGAAAAAAATTTTATGTGACAATATAATTTTTTGAAATAGAAATATGAAATTAAAAAAAAAATAAAAATAAAAATAAAACAAATTAGTCATAAGAGCAATAATATATAGTAAATATGATATTATTGAATAGTTAAAATTTATAAAACTAGGTTTATTTATCGTAAAAGTATATAATTAGGAGTAAAAGTAACAATTAATAGTTAACAGTTAATAGTTAATAATTAATTAATAATTAATAATTAATTGATAATGATTAAAGTTTTTAAATTTTTAAATTTTTAGTAGCTTCGGATAAATCATTTTGATTATTAATAGAAGATTTCGATTTTGATTTAGTTTCAAATTGATTTTCAGATTCTGGTTCTGGTTCAGATTCAGATTCAGATTCATCTTCGACCAAGTAAGCGTTACTATCATTATTATCGATCATATCGTCAAGTACAAAATTTTGGGAGAGGTTTTGATTTGATTTGTTATTGGTATCGTTATTATTATGATTTTGATTGTTAGTCTTGTTGTTATTTTGATTATTTTCTTCCAATTGATATTCTAGCTCAGCATTTTTCAAGTAATTTATAAAGTCGGAGATTTTGGGATCATTTATGTTATCTTGGAAATGTAGGTAAAGCAAGTCTATTGGTTTTCTGTCGAATCTGTTTTTAATTCTTGGGTCAGAGCCTGCATCTATTAGGGTCTCAGCTAAGAATTTGCCATAGTTGAAATCGTCAAAGGAGTAGGTTATAGCTAGATGTAGAGGGGAGTCGTTGTTGAGGTTATTTATTGGGTCGATTTCGATATTGTCGTAGTTTAATATTGAGTCGATGATTTCAAAGTTGCCATAGATTGTAGCAAGATGAAGAGCAGTGTTTCCCAAGGTGTCTCTGGAGTTGTTGATCAAGTCTACAAAATCGTCTTGGTTATTGTTTAGCTGGGGGAGAATTGAGTTTAAAAGGTCCAAGTTGTCTCTGCGAGCAGCATCCAAGAGCTGGTCTTTTAGGATGTCTAGGAGATCTTTGTTTACCATTTTTGTTGAGATAATTGGATGGTGATAGTGATGGTGATGGTGATGGCAAAGGAAGGATAGTTGTTGTGAGTTGGGAAGAGATGTTTGGAGAGAGAATTAAAGCCAGATAAACCGAATACCAAAGGGGCAATTGGGCTGGGAAAGAAGTTGATTGACGGAAGAGGGAATTTCTTGTATAGGAGTTTACGAAAAGGGGGAACTACGAAACTGAAAGTTGGGAGTATTCTTCGAATTAGGAAATAATTGATTGTAATTGGGGCAAGTCCGGATTAGGAAAGAGGTAAAAAAAGAAAATACTTTATTTATTTATTTGTTTATTGATTAATATTTATATTTTAATGGGGATTATATTATTAATAATTATGTCATTGATAATCAGTAGTTGTTGAGTTATTGAAGTAAAGAAAAGAGAAAAGAGAAAAAAGGAGAAAAGAAAAGAAAAGCAGAATGGGGAGAAAAGAGATAATATAAGGGAGGATATAATATAATATAGTATATAAATAAAAATAAAAATAAAAATCAAATAAAATCAAATAAAATAAGAAGAACGAGGTGGATATGATATGATATGATATGATATGATAGGATAGGATAGGATAGTGGAGTGGAGTTGATTAGAGTGAGTAAGTGAATTAATCAAAAAATAAAGAGCAATGAGAAAATGATTCAATCAAGAGAAACAGATAAAGAAGAATGAGTAAAAAAAGAAAAAAAAAATCGTAAAATATAGATAAAAGTATAATATAGATGGAAATAAAAGATACAAGTAATGTAAGCAGTATAAGTAGTATAAGTAGTAGATAGATAAATTCATTATAGATTCATTATAATTGATTCATTAGGATTTGAATGGAATGGAATGATAATAGAGATGAAGGAAATACAATTGAATGTGATTTGGTAATATAACTAGATAAACTAGGTAATTTGATATTTGATTGATTGATTGATTGATTGATTGATTGATTGATTGATTCATTAATTTATTCATAAATTGATTCATTGATTGATTAAAGAAAAAGAAACAAGTAAAAAAAAAAGAGAAAAGTTGGAAAACTATTTTTAATTATTTTTTCAATTCGTTTTTTAGTAATATTTTTTTTGTATTTTTGTATTTTTTTAATTTTTCAATTTTTTAATTTTTTAATTTTTTAATTTCCAAATAATAAAATAATAAAATAAATATAACAATATAATTATTATTGTGGTAAATTAATCGGGGATAATTTCATTTGAATTTTCCCTTTCCTTTTAATTTAGAGGTCAATTTGTATCGATCAGCCAAAGGGCTTTGGTGTTCTCTGAAATAGATTCCAGAGCAGGTGAAACATAAACCGATTTTGTTGATGCCTTCCAGTGGAAAAGCTTTTTCACACAAGAGACATTCAGTGTATGATTGAGCAGGCTGATGGGAGGGAAACAGAGTTAGTGGAACAGAACGAAGGTGAGGAAAGAGGTGAAGCGATACATACCATGTTGGGAAGAAGAGCAGATTATAGTATAGAGATGGAGTAATATAGTATAATGGAATAAAATAAAATAAAATAAAATAAAATAAAATAAAATAAAATAATATAAAATAAACAAGATGAGACAGAGAGTAGATAATATAATAACGGAGGACACAGCAGTAGGACGGGCGATTGAAATCAATGGATAGAAAGAGTAAAAAAAAGAAAGAAGAGTAGATATTTATACTGTGGAGGATGCTGCAAAGTGAGAAGCGGGAGGAATAAGATTTGGCGACGGTGACTGAAGTGTAAATTGCCTTTATTTACCAGAGTTCCCTTTAGAGAAGAGCATATAATCAGAGCTTCTCCCAGCACCTGACTCGCGGGCGCGGACGAATTCCCAGACTCTCTCCAGCTTCTCTCCAGATCTCGCGCTGGAGTCTCCAGACTCACAAGCCCGCTGACACACCCTTGCGGCTCGGCGTGCTTGGCACCTATTGTTGGCCAATCCCAGTTCTGCCCGCCGTCATTCGACGTCCTCCGCGCGAAACATGGGGAATCGCGCTCCTGCAGCGCTTCATGCCCTTACCGCCTCCGGCGTCCGGCCTGCGGGGCTGCGCCGCGTATTCGGCTGTTCGATGCGCTGGCGTGTCCTTTACGGCACATCCGTTCCGTCGGTGAGGCATCGACGGCATATACGGACATCGCAGCTCCCGCCCGGAGCCACAGTGCCGAGTGTGCCGGAGCTCACGTGCGTGCTGACTCCTTCCAGGACATCGCTGTGCAAAGACTAAAGCTTCCTCAGTAGCGCGCACGCTGATTGGCCACACGCGCTGAGTCAGCGCTGACACATCCAGATCCGCGCGGCGCGGTGCGGAAACGCGCCAGAACGATTGCTGTTGTTTAAGGGCGAAGAGTAACAACAACAAAGAAAGAAAGAGCCATGAAAACTGTAATAATATTAATTTTCCTACCCAGATCTCATAATATTTATTATAACATTTATAATAAATATTATATTGTTGACGATTCCAAAGATCAATCTAGTTATTATTATCAGATCCTCCTCTTTTTGTTTTATTTCTTTCTCCTTTGCTTTTTTTTTTACTGTTGCTCATAGATTTTTGTTCTTTTGCATTGTTTTTTTGATTCTGTTCTATTGTACAATACTTCCACATTTCGTTTCAACTCATTTCACCATCCTGCTGCGATAGATCTTGTATTATTCATTTTTGCTATATATACCAGTGCACATATCTGATTTATCCTTTATCCTTTTATCTTTTCTTTGGTTAATCTCCAGTTTTTCTCTTCGTTTTTTCTTTTGGTTTTTTTACTTTTGGGCTGTTTCACTGTTTTACCTTTTTGGCTTTTTTAGTTCTTTTCCACTTCTTTTTTGGTGTGTTTTAGTTCTGTGAAATATCTCAACCTAACTTAATTTCACCTAACAAATAAAAAATTTAATTTCGCTAATTTTCATTTCATTTCACTATATTTTATACCTTATATCTTACATCTTATATCTTATATCTTATATCTTACTTCTTTATCCTTATCCATATCCATATCCATATCTTCATATCCTCACTTCCTTCCTATCATCATACACTAATACATTCTTCTCTTATACTATACTAAATCACAAGAATCAAAAAAATATTATCGATTTCATCTAGATTCCATTTCTTATCTCTATTGCCCTATACTATATAACATACTAGTTCTTTTTTTTTTTTTTGCTTTTTTTTTTTTAAAAAAAATATAGATATCAATGGATATCATATCGTTACTCCCAAACAATACCTCAATAAAAAGGAAAAGAATCAATATCTCTAACATATCAAATAACAACCAGAACATCCAAATAAGTAACAATAATACCAATGATATTGATAGTACCGACTTCACTCACCAAAATCAAAATCAATATAACGATAACATCTCTTTGAAAAGAGCAAAGAAAACTGTCTCAAACACCCTTTCAAACCATCTCAATATCTATTGTTCTTCTCCTTCTTCTTCTTCTTCTTCTTTCTCTTCTTATTCCTCATTCACTTCCTTCTCAAACCCTGCCTTCCTCTCTTCCTCAGTACTTAATCCTTCAAACCTATTCCTATACAGTTCCTTATCAAACTCAAACTTCTCGTCCTCCTGGAACAACTTGATCCCTTTATATTCTGACCTCCCTTCCCTCAAAAGTTACAACCTAATATCCTACTCTGCCAACAACTCCCCAAACAACACAATCAACAACTTCAAAATCAAAACCTTCAACAACAGCCCCTTCATAATATCAGCAAACTACGATGGCCTAATAAACATACACTCGGAAATCAACGAAAACACAATCATCCTAGAACACATTTCAAAATTGAAAAAAAATGGTAAAATCTTCGACATCAACATCTCCTCCAACGACAATTTTTTCCTAATAACTCAAAACAACTCTCTCTCCTTCATCGACTCAAAAAACAAGAAAATACTATCATCCATCTCAACCTCCTCCCAAACTTCCTCCCAAAACAAAATCGACCTCTTCTTGAAATCTTCAATCAACCCTAAAAACCAAAACATCGTATCCTCAATCAACACAAACTCCATCCTCACCTACGACATCAGATTGCCTTCTCACAAAAATTCAAACCATGTTCACAAACTATCCTCTCCTTTCCATCCAATAAACAGCAACGTCTCAGACTTTAAATGGCTAGATGATAACAAACTACTAGCCTCCTGTCTCAACAACAACCGCCTAGAAATGTTTGATTTGAGATTCAATACAAACAACTCTACAACCCCCATTAAATCCTTTCAAAAATTTGACAATAACATCATAATCAACAACGATTCCTTGTTTTCAAATCACCTAGAAGGCGTTAAAAAATTCGAAATCGATAACAACTTCATCTACTTGCTAACAACTAAAAATCACATCAAAGTATTCAGTCTATCCCAATTTTACGAAAACTCCAATAACAATAACAATAACCACAACAATCAACCCATCATAGATTACTCAAATTTAAATTACTCAATCGATTCATCCAACCCAAACTTAAACTATGATTTCACCATTATTAACAGGAAAAACAATAATAAAAAACTCCTATGCTGTATATCAAATAACAAAGATAAATGCAATTACTCTTACCTACCCATATCTGATAATTACCAAGGTTTCGAATACATAAATCAAGCTCTCAATAACGATACTTTCAAAAATAACCCCAATAATAACTACAACGAAAATTATAACGAAAATTATAACAATAATTACAGTAATTATAATAATAAAAGATTTGATAACATATACAAGGGCTCGAACAACAACTTGGAAGACAATTGTAGTGGGAAATTTATCGATCTACACTACAATCAATACTCAAACTCGGTGTGTGTTGGTTTCTTGCAACCTGATTTATTCGCTTTCAATAATTTCAATAACTTCCAAAACCCATTTCCTGATGATGATGAAAATGATAATATCAACATTAACCAAAATAACCTAAACAACAATACTATTAACAACAACACTAACAACAACTTTGATAACGATAGTGCTAATAGTAACAACAATGACAATATTAACAGCACCGAATCCACTGATAATGATATCATCTTTAATGGATCTGGAATGAGTTTTGCAAATATCGAAAACAGCACCCCATTACGAAAAAACATTCAATACCTTAAATTTTCAAATACTGCTAGTCAAATTAATTAAGTTGTAACATAATATAATATAATATAATTTTTTTTTTTTTTACCTCTATTTTAATTATTATTCAATCAGTTTATTTTTTCAAAAAAAGAAATCAAAAATAAAAAAAATTAACCTTAAAATTCATATCCAACCTACCTCAAAGCTTCAAAAAAACAAAAAAAACATTAAAAATTCAGTTTTTATACTTTAGCACCTCTACATTCACATTCACAATCATTTCCAAAATAAATTCAAAAGCATTTACATTATAATTCTTTCCAACTAATTGTTTATATTCATGTTAATTCATTTAACTCAGTCAACTCTGCTCTGTTTCTATAGTTTTTGTCTATTATATTATATACCTCATTTTTACCCCCAATAAAACACATTACGTAATCACAGAATCATAATCACAAGTTATCTAATTGCATGTGACTTTTTGCTCATAATTACGTAAACAACAACAATATTTCTGGTTAGCAAATAGCACGTTTTGTGTCACGGGACTGCTGACTCAGCACCGTTTTTACTTTTTACCGATTTGGAATTGTATGAACATTCCGTTTTCTGCAGAAATTTTGGAAAAAAGCAAAAATTAAAAAAACAAGAAAAGAAAAAATTTTTCATCGTTCACAGCGTCTAAAATTGATTTAAAAGTTATTATTCAAATCATTTCAAATATTATTTCTCTTTGATCATCAAATATATCCTACATATATTTACACCATAAATTACTCCAATTTATCTTAAATACTCTGGAATTCTCTTGTATTTCCCTACAGTATTTGAATTCCTACTATTTTCGAATCATTAAATCCACTCTAAAGACAAACATTGTTCTCAATTCCTCAACATGGCTCCTAAAAAACAACAAAAAATGGATTTGCAATCCTTTCTTGCTGACAAGACCTTTGGCGATTCTTGGGCAGATGAAGAGATTGATCTTGGATCAATTTCCGTTCCTACTTTAAATAAATCTCATCTTCCATCCTCGAATTTATCTTCTTATGGCCAAGGAAGATCCGATTCTTTTGGCTCTAAACCTTTACGTGAAGAATTCCCTGTCCCAGATCACCCCCCCTTTAAAGCTATAATCAATAATTTACCTTGGGATGGTGATGAAAAATCATTAGAAGACTGGCTAGTTGAAAGATTGGGCTCTGATGAAGCAATTGAATCAGTTGCTATTCCAAGAGATTCCATGGAAAGATCAAGATTAAAGGGTTTTGCCTTTGTCACTTTCACCTTAAGAGACGATTTGGTTGAAATTTTAAAATATTCTGGTGACGAATTAAATGGCAGAAAAGTTTACGTTAACGTTGCTGGCCCAAGTAAAAATCAAGGTTATAGTCAATCTTCAACTCCTGTTGACATTGATTGGTCTGCTGTAAGATCAGGCCCTTTGCCTACAATTTCTAATAATAATGTGAATGATAGATATCAAAGATCAAGTCGTCGTAACTTTGATGAAGATAAAAGAGATTTTGATTGGAATTCTGCAAGAGGTGAAAGAGCTGAATTACCTACAAGGGACAGAGAAGATCGTCAAAATTCTAGAGGTCCATCAAATAGACCATCTCGCCCTGAAGAAAAAGAATTTGATTGGAGCTCAGCCAGATTAGAAAGAGCTGAATTGCCTCAACAACCACCAAGAAACAGGGAGAATCGTCAAAATTCTAGAACCTCAACAAGTAGACCACCAGCTGAAGAAAAAGAATTTGATTGGGGTTCAGCTAGATCAGAAAAAGCCGAATTACCTCCATTAAATGTTACCAAATCAAGAGATTATGATAACGAACACAAAGAAAAAGCACCATTTAAAAAAGCGGATGATTTAGATTGGAATTCTGCGCTCAACAATAAAACTGAATTGTCTCGATCTGTATCTACTTCACCTTCTAAACATTTTACCAAACTTCACAATGATAAAGAAAATGATGCTGAAGGCCAAAATAACACTGATGAAAAGCGTGCTGCACCCAAAGAACTAGACTGGTCAACTGTTCGTAATAACAAACACAGTTTTCAAAGGAATTTCTCAAGATCTAATAGCAACACAAGACAGAACAGTAATTACAAAAGAAAATTTGCAAACAGTCCTAATAGCAATAGTTTTGATAACCTTGATTGGTCTCAACGTGGTCAAGTGCCTCCCAGACAAACCTCAAGAAAATCTTCTTATGTACATGTCAATCCATATTCAAACTCAAACAATAACTCGAATTCAAAAAATAATAAAAAAGATGATCATGATGATACTCAAACAGCTAAACCAAAAAAACCAATTTACAGTGTTTTATCAACCGACGATATGGATGATGATGTCAACGAAAACCCTTCTGTTTTTTCAAAGCCAAAGGACCAACTTACTAAACTAGAAAAAGCTGCTGCTGCTTTAACAGTTTCTGAAGATGATGCTTCTGGTTGGAAAACTGTTACTAAATCAAAAAAATAGATTTTTGTATGTTTTTTTTAGACTTTTAATACCCTGGTTATTCAATATTATAAAAAAAATAAATTAAAAATAAATTAAAAATAAATTAAAAAAAATATTAAAAAAAAGGCATTTTTCTAAATTTTCTATTGTGTTGTCCTCTGATTTTTTTTCGTTTTTACTTTTACTTTTTCCCTTAACTTTTTTCATTCTCTTTTTTAATGATTATATTTCATTATTCTTCTGTTTAAAAGAATTTCACAATATAATTACTTTTTTTTTATTTTTGTATACTGGTTTTCTTTTCTTATGGCATTTTTTTGATTTTTTTCTTCTTCATAAAAATAAGATATAATCTTTTTATTTCAAACCAAAATTGGTATTTTCTATTTTGTTTATAATGTTATCAATAATGTCTAGCAGACGATTCTTTTATATATGCTTTTATTTGTATATTTTTTTTTCTTTTTTTTTTAGTTTTTTTTTTTGAATGTGTACTTTATTTGAATATTACCGTTTTATAGGATACATATAATAAAACCATTATAATAAGATATATAATAAGATATTAAAATTAAAAATCAATTATATATTTTCATTTATTTACATCAAAAAAATACATAATAAGAATAAAACGCAAACGTGAACAAATTAATGAGTGATAAGGATTTAAAAATAATCTGTTGATATAAATACGAAAATATTAAAATCAACTGCATTAAAAAAACATATAATAAAAATTAGGTTAATAGACGTTATCAGCCCAATAAAATCATCAAAACTAAGAAAACAGCATAACAATAGAGGAATAGTAAGGATAATCAATATTAAGTTCTGAAAATTAAGAAAAAAAAAATAAATAAATTAAAAGCCAGTGAAACCAGGAAAGATAGAAAGGAGAGAAATTTATGAGAATTATGACAAATAAAAAGGAATTAAATAAATATAGTAAAAACGAACAAAAAAATAAACAAAATAAGAGCTATAGTAAATGGGAAATATATGCTATACCATATTTTCTACAGAAGTAGGTGGATTTGTATTTGGATGAGATTGAGAGTTAGACGAGTTGGCATTTCCATTATTATTGGAACTTGAATTATCATTATTCGTATTATTGTTATTAAGGTTGTTTTCTGCATTTAAACGATCATGTTGGCAAATAATAGCACAGTTAATCAAATCTCTCTTTTTGACACCAAGTATTTGCCATAAAATCCAATATTTCCAAGTGTAAAAAGTTGAATTAACTCTATCAATAGCAATTTGCTCAAACTCAGGATTCGCCATTAAGATCTCGTTAGATCTGTGATCTAAGGGTCTAAATCTATTGAAATATTCGTTGTAGATGTTGTTATCATTAAGATGCTGGTTCCTTAAGTTTTGGATATATTCTTCTTCTTCACGACGTAAAGCGTCGATTTCTTCTTGGGCTAATAATTCGAGATGAGGCACAGCAGGCGATGAAGTATTATTATTGTTTGTGTTTTCATGGCTTTGGTTATTTTCGGTATTGTTGTTGTTGTTGTTATTATTGCTATTGCTATTGTTATTGTTATTGTTATTGTTTCTTCTGTTTCTTCTATTTCTTCTATTTGAATGGTGAGAATTGGAGTTCAAATTCGAGTTTTTGATGAAATAGTCTCTTTTACAAGTTGGACATGAAGCCTTTCTTGTTATTAACCAGGGATCTATACACTCTGAGTGGAAGACATGGCCACAAATCAAGCCACGAACAGTGTCATTATCATCAAATTGTTCAATGCAAATAGCACAAAGACCCGAGGTATAATGAGGAGTATTTTGGTTCAAGTAAGGGTTAATATCAGTGATATCAGATTCTATTTTTTCATTAATGATTGATGAATTATCGTTATTAGGATGGGAGCCTGGTTGTGTATTTGAATTTGAGTTTGAACGAGAGTGGGAGTGAGATTGGGGGTTGGGGTTTGAAATGAAATTATTGTTGATGGTATTTGAAGTGAGAGTGGTGTTGTGGATTGTATTTGAAGATAAGGTTCTATGGATTGAGTTGGATTGATTTGTTATATCATTTATTGAATCTAAGTCATTGATTACTGGGGAGCGAGAGTCAGTGATAGTTCTTGATTCATCTAGATCTAATGAGTTTCCAGTCGGTTTAATTTTTTCATTATTATTGGTAGTATTAATATTAGTATTATTAGTATTAGTATTATTATTAGTAGTAGTAGTATTAGTATTTTCATCATTGTGTTCATCATTGTTTTCATCACTATTTTCAAGTTTTTCTTCAATGTCATTGTATTTAATTTCATCATGAATGTTTCTTTCTAAAGCGTCCTTTTCAGCTCCACCATTTAGCCAGTCTATATAGGATCTCTTGGGGAATAAATATTCCACCTCATCTTTAGATAATTTTCTTCTCTTTAGGTAGCGATAAGTTCTTCTTCTATTGGTGTTTGTTGAAAGATAGTTGTTATTAATGTTGATATTATTATGAGAATTTTCATTTAAAATATTCAACTGGTAGGCCATAAAGTTATAATTTCGACCACGATTATGGTGGAAAAAGCCCATTATTCTTGGGGGTGGAACTTCAGATAGATTATCATTGTTGTTATTGTCGTTGGCGTTTCCATTATTTGGATGATTGTTATTATCCTCGTTATCGTCCTCGCTATCGGTATTGTTATTATTTCTGTTTCTTCTTCTTCCCCTTCTTCCTCGTCTTCTTCTTCGTCTGGACCTGGATCTTCTAGAAACGTTGGCTAAAGAGCCATAATCAGACAACAAAATCGGGGAAATTTCCTGAATATCGGGATTGTTTGAATTTGCCAAATAGATGGCCACTCTAGTTCTCAACAAGTACCTTGTGGTGAAGAAAATAAACAATAAAGCAATTATTACACCAATAGCTATGGCGATGAAGAACAATACTGTAGAAGGTTTGTTTGTAGTCCAAGTGACGGTTTGAGGAGAGGTGGAAGCAGTTGAGGAAGAGAGGGTGGAAGAAGTTGGAGTAGAATCGGCAGCAGCATCTGTAGAAGAGGGTGCGAGAGTGATGGTGGCACCATCAGTTGAAACCAGAAGGGGGGTTTCTGTTGATAATAGAAAATCGATCATCGTTTCAATTGTATTGAAGCTATCATCCTGGTTGAGATTCTGAGATGGAGTAGCCATTATGCCGCAAGATTGGTTATTCTATGGAGCAAGAAATGGTGGGAAAGGGAGGGTGGTGAGTGAACAGAAAGTGTAGGGAGTAAGAGATCAGAAAATGAGGCCTATGGGTATAAATATAGAGAGACTCAGCAATAAGACATTGTTTCTGCTGAAGATGAAAAACCAATAGAAGCAAAAAAAGATGTGTCTAAAAGAGACTGCCTGAGGTTGTTTTATTGATCCTTTTTGAAGCAACGAAAGGACGAAAAGACGAAAAAACAAAGAGAGGGTTTGTCTAGCGTTTCGCAGTGTGAAGCAGCATTTCACAGCAAACTGCTGCAAGTTACGGTGTACTATTATTTACTGCATCAGCGAGCTGCTTATCGAAGCGAGCGTTCGTCATGCGGTATGCTCGGTAAGTGCAAGAACTACCAAAAAGCTTGACGCCCAGAGATCAGAATCTGACCAGCCCACCTGTTCCAGGCTCAGACACCTTCACTGTACGGACAAATTTTCCTGGTAGCACAGTCCTTGCCTGAAAGAAAACGTCTGCTGCATATTGCCGCAGAATGATGTTTTCCAGCATAGACTGTCGCTGAAAACAACTAGAGACAGCTCCAGCTTTTCGCTTTAGAAAACGATCAGAGAAGCAAGGTTTTTGCAGCACCGGCGCTGCACCACCAAAGAGATCAGCCGCCGCAGCACCAGTACCAGCAAAAGCCGAAGCAGCTGCAGTTGCACCGCCACAGAGCCCAGCAGAAACCGCAGTGCTGTGCGTTTTTCGTGCTGTTTTTCCCTTTCGGTCGCTCAGCAACTGTGGCCTAAAAGGCAATAGAAAAGGCCTCCCATAGAGTATTGGTATTGGTATTGTATTTCTGTTATTGTCACTGTTGACAAATTTCTTGCTGAGTCTTGCTTATCTTTTTCTGTTCCATCTTTTAATCCCTGCAACCTTTCTCTTCCTCTTCTTTGTTAGGCTGCTGGGCATTATTATTGTCTTTATTGTCTGTGTTTTTTCTCGTTATTGTTTTCTCGTTTCATTTTCTCGTTTTTTGGAGAAAAACTTTTTTGGGTACTATTGTTCTATCCAAAAACAAAAAAAATTCAGTTACAAATTAGTTAAGCGTTCGTTGGATTTTAGTTAGAAATTTACTGAAAAAAGACACACTTAAAAACAGTTAGATACACTTAATAATTGCACTTCTTATACCTACTGATTACACTTATTAACTATACTCAATAATGCCTGCAAAAAAAGTAAAAACCAATATTCCACTTCAATCAAACACTCGTAAAAGAAATCCTATAATAATTACACCAGAAAACATCTGCAATAATACCTCGTCCAATTCTATTGACTCTAATATCAATCTTACAAATACTGCTATTGCTACTAATACTACTTCCACTCATATCGCTAACATTAACACTATTGCCAACTCTATTAATAACTCTATTAATAACACTAACAATAAAATTAACATGAATAACAACTATAATTATTCGAACAGTAATTCACAAAATTACTATCAAACTTCAAATAAAAATCAAAATCAAAATCAAAATCAAAATCAAAATCGAAATTCAAATTCCAACGCAAATCCAAATCCAAATTCTAATTCAAATAAAAATACAAATATTTACTACTACGATAACAATCCTTCTACTACCAACTCCACCACACATCAGCTGTATCTCTATAAACAATCTAACAATCGAAATCAAATCCAAATCCAAAATGATTCCCAATCTCAGTCTCACTACAACCCATACTCTCAACAACTGTCAATAATTTCAAACGTTCCTCATCAATATTATAACCTGCAGTCTGTTCAAACTTCCTACAATAATACCTACAATAATTATCCTTCAAATTACGACATAAGTCGACCTCACTCTCGCTCAAATATCAATACAAATAATACTAATAACATGAATATAAATAGTAACGCCATCCCAGCTAATGATTCGACTTTTGCAAACCAAAATTCAAATACAAATACAAATACAAATACAAATACAAATACAAATACAAATACAAATACAAATACAAACTCACATTCTAATAGTCTTCTTAATCCACTCTCAAATTCAATTACAAATACCCCCATAAATATCAACTCATACCAACCCCCATCTCAATACATTGGATACCCCTACCACTATCTTCCCCAAGATCAAAAGCTACAACCCTTTCAATATAAATACTCTTCCAATCCTCTCATCAACTCCAGTAGCGCTAGCACTAATCCTGTTTCCAATTACTACCAAAATCAAAATCCCATTTCCACCTCAAATCCTGCCCCGAACCTGCAGCTCAACCCCGAGTCTTTGCAACTCCTGCCCTATTATCAGCTGCCGCTTTCTGTCCCGAATACTCTCCTCTCTAAATCAGGTAATCTCAAATTTGCTGAAAGAACTGAAAGAACTGAAAAAAATGAAATAACTGAAATAACCGAAATAGCTGAAAGAAAAGAGAGAATTGAAAGAATCGATTTAGATTCTCAAAATACAATAAATAATATCCCCAACATGCACATCCCAAATTACTATTCTACTCACCAGCTGAAGAACCAGCTGCTGGATTTACTACTGAAAAATCCTTCCAAAATTCAATACAATAATACTGACCAAATTCATTCGCAAGAAATTGAAAATCAGCATCAAACTCAACCATATCCAAATTCTTATTATTCTTATCAATATCCTTATCAATACCATTACCAAAACCCACCAGATTCAAAGTACTACTACAACTATCAAAATCCTCAACCTCTGTTTCAATTTCAACAATCTTCAAATCAAATACCAGACAATCAACCTCAAAATAGAATTCAAATTATAGACCACACTCAAGATGGCTACTATAATCACTCTAATTATAACCCCTCTATTCCACAAAACTCTTCTCAAATTAACAACCAAATTCCAATCGCACCAATTCCTATTCCAATCTCAATTAACGACCAAAAAAATATTAAACCTTATAATCTTCTTTTGGATCCAAAAGCTATAAATGACCTTGCAAAAAACAAAAAAAAAAGCCAACATTCCCCAAATGCTAATTATAATAGCCTCAACCCAATTTCAAAATCTAGAAAAAATAAAAAAAACTCAAATCAAAATAATACTGACAATAATTATGATACGAAAAATAATGATAACTTATTTCATAACATCAATTATAACAAAGACCAATTCGAAATCTCAAATAACTTGACTAAAAAACAAATCATTCCTAGAAACTCAAATGCTAAAAAATTCAATATTATTACTGCTGAAAATATCAACAAAAAAAGTAAAAATAGAGCAAGGAACAAGAAAAATGAAAAAAATGATGAAACTGATGAAAAAACTCCCAAAATACTTAGAAGCATTAGAAATGCTAAAAACACAAACAACAAAACCAAAAAAGTTTCCAATAACCCTGAAACTGATGATAAAACTAAAATTAAAGACGCTATTATTCACGATTATAAAGAGGGAATACTCAATCAATTCAGTATAATCAAATCTGCTGACGTTAATGATACACTGTCTAAAATTAGAAAGAGAAAAAATGATATGGATGCTATTTTAAATCCTTTGCCTTCTACTGCCTCAATATCTACCACCAAGCTCAACGAGTTATCATCAAATAGTGAAACAAGCGAAATTGAAAAGAAAAATCAAACTCTTCCTAAAAACAAAAACTCTACTATCAGTAAAAATCTAGTAAAAGTCATAAAATTTAATCAAAGAGACCCTGAGAGTATGCAAAAGAAAAAATTAAAAAGTTCAAAACCTTTAAAATTAGATGCTATTCTTAATAACAATTTTGACATAGACAAGTCTCTAAACTATATTCATAGTGAAAAAATAACACCAAAAAGAAAGGTAAGTGTTTCAAATGAAAACGAAAATAAATCATTTTTTAATGATTTAGACGAGTTTGATCAGTCAGTAAAAGATGATCTATTTAGTATCACAAATACTTCGGCTTCCAAACAGAACATAAATAACAGAAATATAGAGATATTGATCGATGCTTCCAAAAAGGTCCATTCAATCGATGATGACGTTTCTGCTGCGGTTAACGTTCTATTCGATATTTTTAATAATTCGAAAAACAATTCGGCTCTGAGTTCACCACATGAACAGCAGTTTGATGCCATTAAGATTAACAATACTTACAATATTAACAGAAATAACATCAGCAATTCTAACAATACTTCAAAAAGAAATTGGAGCACAAGCACAGAAACAGAAAATAGTTTGACAGAAGAGAAAATCAAAGATATTCTATCTTTAGATAACAGTTTTTCTTCCCACCTATTGGTTGTGAAACCCAAAGAAGTCTTTGATAGACAATATAAAAAACAAAAGCTTGAAAATGGCCATTTAACTTATACGACAACCTTGGATAACTATCAGGTAAAAGATAAAGCACGGCTAGCAAGTGACATTGGCCCCTTCTCTTCTGGGGAATTGAATAAGTCTATAAAAAACAAAATTATTCAAAGCTCGAAAAACGACCATGACGACTCGATTGATACTGACAGAGAAGAAGTCGATATATCTGTTCTTCACAATCTTTCAAAAGTAATTGTCAAAGGCGGATCTGAAATCACTGCAGTAGTAACAAACAGCAACCGTAAAAGAAGAGCGCAAAATTTATTCAAAAATTATACTAGGTTAACGGATTTTGCTGAAAACAATAAAGATAAGATTCTCCAGGCTCAAATATACAAGAAGGAGCAATTATTAAAAGCGCTAACATCATTGCCTCCCACATGTTCAATTACCGGACTTTTGCAACAAGAAAAATTTGATAAAAACTCTATAGAGCTCAATGAGCTAATTGATGCTGAGAGAGATATGATGGAAAGAAGAGACTATGAATTAATAAGATTGAAGCTATGGGAACGTTATCGATTGAATTTGAATTGGAAAATATACCTAAAGGATAATTTTGAAAACTATGGCAAAATTTATAATTTACAAATGAAAAAATTGGATTCTTTAAAGGAATATTTAGAGAATCAAAAAAGGAAAATGACATTGAATAACAATAGAGAATTATTTGATATAAATTCTAAACTATCAAACAATTTACTCTTTGGATTTGATAATACCGATGAGTTTCTGGAAGATATAAACAGCGCAATTAATAAAATTTTAAATAGTAATGATGACATCAATGAAAGTAAATTAGAATCTAATATGGAACCTAGTTCTGATAGTGAAAGAAACATTAGAGGAAGATTAAACCGAATGAGAAAAAACATGGAATTAAGCACCCAACCAAAACCATTGAAGTCAATAATTGATAGTAAAATATTATTTAATAGTAATTCTGCATCCTCATTAGCATCATTGAAAGAAGGTTTTTCTCCATTGGTCTCTAGGAATGACTTTTTACTTATTACAGATGAGAACTTAGGTGATAAAAACATAAAACTATCATATAAGAAGATGCTTGATAGTAATGGTAATAATTCTCGAAGTGAAACACCCTTCAGTGGTAATCCCTCAGCAAATAATAGCCATACCAATTTAATGAATTATAATAGTGATAGTAATGGTGAGAGCACTTCTGAGAGTAAAAGTACCAAAACCATTGAGTCCTGTAGAAATAGAAGAAATGGATATCTGAGAAGAGGTAGAAATGCTGGGATATCACGAGTAATACAAGAAAATAAAGAGAAGGAAAAAGAAAAAGTAAAAGAAATGTCCAATTTAAGAATTAGAAAATCTTATGTTTTAAAAGGATTATCAAATGAAGAGCTCGAAAACGATTTGATATCACTTGGAATAAATGTTGATAAGTAAAAAAAAACTTAAATAATAGTATCCACTCAATTTGGTTCATTTGACAAAATAAATAATGAATAATGACCTTTTATATTATATACTTGTTTATTAATAATTTTTTTATTTGTTTTTATTATAATTTTTAAGTACTGTTTCTGAAATTGTGTATTTAAATAAAGTTTAGTGTCTTTTAGTGTCTTTCTTTTTTATTTCTGATGTTTATATGTATTTTTTAAGTTTTTTGTTTAATAATTTTATTTTATCGATTAGCCCAAAATGAGGGTTTGTTCTTTGACTCAAATGAATAATTTTCACGTTAATATCATTAAAAAGGGTCTTTTGATTTGAATCATGAATATCATTGTTTTTACTTTTATTTTTATTTTTGTTAAAATTTTCTCTTAAATTGTTCAAATTTTTGGATAAATTTTTATCAATTAAATATTCATTTCTTTTTTTCAAATTTTGAGATCTTAGATGCTGAACATTTTGTTGAATCTTTTTATGTTTTAATCTTAAATCGTAGATTTGTTGTCTAATTGAATTTTTTCTTTTATTTAAATCTTTTAAATTAACTAGTAAATTGTTGTTAATTAATAAGTTATTATCATTTAATTTATTAAAATGATCTTGAATATTATTTGAGAAGTTTTTAATTAAAGACTGATTTAAAGGAGATTCACTATTAAAGTTTTCATTATTAGAGAAAAAATCATTTAAAATTTGAGTTAGAATATCAATTGAAGTAATTTTTTCATTTGGAGATTTATTCGGATTGTAAAATTTGTTTAATCTATTAAGATTAATCTCTAAATCAGGGTTTGATCTGAAAGAAGAAGTGGAAGGAGAAGATTTTTTGAGTCTTTTAGTGTTATGTTTTTTAATTCGGGGTTCATTTTTGGAGATTCTTTTTCTTTTAAGTATATTTTTTGACTTTTTTTCTTGTTTATTTGGTTTATGAGATTCGATGATAGCATTTTCCGTCATTGTTTCATGTTGACTATCATTATTTTCTTTATCAATTTCACTGTTATCATTGTCGTTATTGTCATGATTTAATATAGAGACAGTTTGTTTCTGATTTAGGTCTAATTCAATATTTTGGTTATTATCAATCTTTTTTGAGGATGAATTTATTAATGAGTCTAAATTTGATTGTCTATAGTTCTTTTTTGGGGTTGAGATCGATAATAGAGATGATTCTGTAATTTTAGGATTTATTAATGGATTTCCCAATAGTGAATTACTAGATACTCTTTTTGGAGTTGATCTCTTAGGCGTTCCCTTTGGAGTTCCTTTTGAGATTCTCTTCAGCGTTTTCTCCGGCGTTAATCCATTTGGGGCTCTCTTTGAAGTTCTTTTTGGGGTTCCTTTCAGAGTGGACAGATTTTGAACTAAATAAGACAAATTACCATCCAGCAAGCCATTGAGTCCAATAGAAAGACTTTCATCTTTATTTCCGCCATTAACATTGTCGTTTTTTTTGGGAGTTCTAAGAAGTGGAATTGTAAAAGAGGCAGCGGTTACTTTACGACTATCAAGTGCAGCTTTCAGCTCAAAGACAAGTGTTAGTAGTCAGTGAAAAAAGTGGTTTGAAAAGCAGCACAACATACGCAGCACCTCTCTTCCTGGCTTCTCTTCGCGATATTCTGTCCATTCTGCAACGTCTTCACAACTATCTTCTTTCTGAGATGTGAGTGCTTTGATTATATCCTCCAACACATTTAACCTCTGAAAAATAAACGCTGATACTATTCACGTGATCAATACACGGGTAACTCTACATGCACCCCACTGATGGATTTGGTGCTGTGTACTTCATTTATGCATTTTAGCGCTGACACGCGCGTTCTGCACTGTGAGCCAATCATCGCCGTGAGGAAGACAATCCAGCGCGGGCGCAGGGTCAGACCCGCTGTGTCGGCCGCTATCGATGCCTCTTTATTTGCCAGCCGGGCACGCGCAGGCCCCTTGCCAGCCAATCACAGCGCGTGTAGCCGACCGGACCTCATGATCTTGCTTGTGTTGTTTTGGTGTCGTGAAACATTCCCTGCTAAAACGGAACTCGGCTCATTTTCTCGCGTTGTGATGTCGAGTGCTTGCAACGTTACCCGTCCGATTTCTCGCACTAAAGTAACACATGCTTATCTTTACACAGAAGGTCTGGAATTTACTCACCTCCATCTCTAATTTGCAAATATTGTCCAGATAAAATTTGTTAGTTAAAATTTTTTTTTCTATTTCTTTTCTCCCTTTTTTTTCGTTTTTCTTCTTTGGCTCGTTTATATAAATATTCCTGAAATTGTTTATTGCTCGTTCTTTTTTACTTTTTAAATTTTGGCTCAGAAAATCATCACCTAGTTTTATCTATTTGGCTTTGGACTTATAATCATTATTAACTACAATTATCAAGATGTCTGCAAACGATGTAAGTATCCCTTCCGATTCTCTCTATTTGAAAACTCATGAAATTTGAAAGATCCAATTAACAGACAACAAGTACACTGATATCAGAAGAATATTCGTTCAGATCAACCTTTAATATTTAATTTCCAAAAATAAAAAAATATAATCTCCAATTTATCTAATCTATTCTACCAAAAAAATATTTTTTGAAAGAGATGAGCTCGAGGCATCGTACCTAAATGAATATTCTTTTACTTTTTAAAATTAAAAAATATTAATTATTTTATTTTATTATAACAATAATATTATTATTACTTAAGGCATTCGTATCATCGTCTTCATAATCTTTGTAAATGGCTTGAATATCGACTCCTTTTTGTATCTTAAAATTTCAAATTGAATTTACAATTTGATTACTCAAGTGATAAAACAACAGTGGTTCTGATTCACGAATCAAAATCAAATGAAGCTATTTTTTTTCATTTTTAATTCTTATTTCATTTATCAATATTTTGCTTATTCTCCTTTTATTTGATTTTTGGATTACTAACTCTTTCATCAATGATTATTACAGCATGAATTTGAAGCAGCTCACGCTGGTGCTTCTACCACCTATCCAATGCAATGCTCTGCTTTACGTAAAAATGGTTTTGTTGTCATTAAAGGCAGACCTTGTAAAATTGTTGACATGTCCACCTCCAAAACCGGTAAGCATGGTCATGCTAAAGTCCATTTAGTCGCTATAGATATCTTTACTGGTAAAAAATTAGAAGATTTGTCTCCTTCCACTCACAATATGTTAGTTCCTATCGTTAAAAGAAATGAATATCAACTAATAGATATTGATGATGGTTACCTTTCCTTAATGGATTCCGAAGGTGAAACCAAAGATGATGTTAAACTTCCAGAAAGTGATTTAGGTCAAAAATTAGAAGCTGATTTTGATGATGGTAAAGATTTAAGCGTCACCATTATTTCTGCTATGGGTGAAGAAGCCTGTATTTCATATAAAGAAAGTTCCGGTTTAAAATAAGTTAGTTGACAAGATTATAAACTTACTCTTATTTTTATAAATAACTATATTCTTTATTTATCTAGTCAATGTCAATTCTAAATTACTCATAACATTCAAAATACTTTTTTATGATCATTCGCTTTGCGGAAATAACACTAAATGATACTTGATTCATCTTACAACCTTACAAATTATTATTCTATTTTACAGTTTTATTATCTTAATTAGTTGATTAGTTTATTTAACACAGACCACACTATCATTTATATACTATATAAATATTTATAAAGACTTCCATTTTAATTCCAAAAGTTCTTTTATCGGTAAAAAAAAACAAAATAAACAAAAAATTAACAATAAAATTAACAATAAAATTAACAATAAAATTAACAATAAAACTAAAAAACAAGCATAATAACAAGCACAATGACAAGCATAATGACAATTCAAATATACATTGCAATAATAGTACCGATGATTGAATTGACTATTGGTAAACGACCTAACACTGAGCTTAAAATAATTGAATAATTCAGTATTAAATCTTTAATATAAAAACTGTAATTTCCAACAATCTCGACATTTTCGACATTACCAACATTATCAATAGCATAAATACTGTCAATACTATTATAAGTTATAAAATAATAAAATATTGCTTTTGATAAGTTAAAAATTAAAGGATCAAAATAATTCAAGATTAATGGACTTATATTATTGTTATTATTGTTATTATTGTTATTATCGTCATCACCATCATTATTATCGTGGTAAGAATAAGTATTGTAGTTATTTTTAGTAAAATTAAAATAATAACTTGTAATTAAGGGCAAAACAACAAATTGAAATGAATAAAAGTATAGTAATACAAAACTGGGATTGTTAACTGTGTTATTGATTATATTAGCTTTAATTGAGTTGTTATTAGTAATTGAATTATAAAAGTTCAATAGGAGCGAAATAAATTCAACTGATAATTGAATAAAAGTAATTGCATTGATGGTTGATAAATTTGATTTAATAGCCGAGTTTATTTTTAAAGTGTTCTGAAATGTGTATTCATAGTAATAAATCAAATTGTCTGTTAGTTTATCTAGAGTTGAATAATTATCAATATATTCCTCGTCATCAGAATCAGGATCAAATTCGGTGTCTGAGTTAGAATTGAAATGGTTTATATCATCAATAGATTTTACTTTTTTAATTTCAGTATTATTGGTTTTATTTTCATCAATATTCTCAATCTCTTCAAGCTTAATCTCTTCAAGTTTAATCTCTTCAATCTTAATCTCTTCAAGTTTAATCTCTTCAATCTTAATCTCTTTAAGATTAATCTCTTCAATATTACCATTACTATCAAATTCGGATTCCACTTTTATATTGGATTTATTATCATTCAAAACAACTACTTCTAAGCTCTCATCAGAATCTATATCCGAAATTTCTTCAGAGCTTTGCTCGGATGAAACATTTATTGTAGAGGCATAAATTCTTTGAGAGATTTTGCCTACTGATTTGTTTTTTGCTAATCTGGTTGGTGACGAAAAATTGTTGGAATTGAATGATGAAACCCTTGAAGAAATTCTCGTTGATTTTCTGACTGAACTTGTGAGAGAGCTATCAATGCTGTTTTGATTGTTTTGATTGTTTTGATTATTCTGATTCTGATTGGTATAAAATGGTTTGATTGGGGATGAAGATTTTCTCAACTGAAGATAGAATTTTTCGTAATCAGAGTTGGATTCTAGTTCTGGATGATTGCGGAAATGGGTCACAATTTTATCTTGAATCATCGCTTTTTTTGCATCAAGATCTCTTTTTTGAGAGAGCATGTTAGTGGTTGGACTAGCAAAGGTGGATCATGACAAAGAAATGTACTAACCCTAAACCCAAGTCATGGGCCAAAGCCTGGAGATCGGCTTTACGCATTTTCATCAAGCTCATCTCGAGACTGGATCTGTTTGTCTTGCGTAAAATAAAAGAATATTAATGCAATGGACAGCTCTCCTGGCACTGTTTCTGATCCCCTAACACCACCAGCAAACATTCAAATCCAGCTCCAGCAGAGTGACGCGAAACAGAAACCCAAACACAGAGCAGGCTCAATATGGCAAAGTGTAAATACCGCTCTGTCATTTGTTTACTTTTCTCTCAAGTCAGGTGATATACATGTTACGCGTTTGTATCACGTGTGTTTTGGAAGAGCGCGCGCGAGCGGCGGATATGGGCGGCGGTCTTTTGCCTTGAGGCCGGCAGATAAGAGCGCGCTTAAGTCTGTTCTGGCACAAAGAAGGAATTAGCGCTAGGGCTTTTGTGCTCAACACCACTGGAGACGATTCGCTGAACAAGTTCAGAGGCTTTTGCAGATGCCAGTTATATTTGACCAACACAGCCAATGATACTCCTATCCAGCTGCAATTGCTCAATTGTTCCATGATACATAGATTGAAGACAAGTTAATCTCTTTCTTGATAAACTTGTGTCCATGTCAAACCCATGCTTTTCTTTAAGTTTCAGTCGCCATAGATTGTCGCGTTGATTGGGATTGTAATTACACCTTTTTTTATCTATTTTGGGTTTGCAGTTTCACCAGCAGAATCATTCAACTCAAATCACTTGCTCAATTGATCTGTTTTGTTCTTTTTCTTGCCGATCAAAAAAACATGGGTGGTTTTTTGGTTTTTAGCTGGTTGAAGCGCAATCCAAAAAGGAAGAGAAAGGAAACAAAAAGCTCATATCATAAACAGTATTATGAACAATATAGTGCATAGGCTATCTTCAAGCATTTCAAGCCTTAAATGCATTCTACAGGTTTCCCTTAATTTGTAGTATCTAATCTCCATCCTCTAATCTTCCATCTTTAATATATTTATTTTATAATCTTATGCCTCTGGAACCTGATCAGGAAAAATCTGAAAACCATAAAAAAACCGTTTAAAATATGCAAAAACCTTTCAAATCTTGATTATATCTATAATTACACTCAAATTTTACACTTCATTTTGGCTTTGGAACATTATTGCAAAAACCAAATAAAAATGCTTTATCACACTATTGTGGCAACTGTATTTGGCTCTGGTCCTTCGATTTTGATACTTCATTTCTATAGTTTTTGACGTTGTTCAAGGAGCAGAGCAGCATCAAAAAGGCCATTTCTACAGACAAGCAAGTGATAAGCACTCTAAAATTCTGACTAAGATAGTTATTTCGTTACTAAATAATTGCGTAACAAGAGGGCATTTATCATTTTGGGTATTACCTTAATAGTCATTATCTTCACCTTTGATGGCATTTATTTCTTCGAATACAAACTCTGCAAAATACAGGTTTCGAATCTGATTTAGCAATTGTTTTCTTTATTCATCTCATTAATCGGGTATTTAATTTTGTTCTCACAACATTCACTCACTTGCTTCTTAGCGTTTTTTGTTTTTAACACTAAATCTCTTGTCTCACCTAACTTCTAATCAGGAAAAACCTATACAATAAATTAATCCAGACCATAATATCTTTCAGATCAGAAATATAATATCACTTACTACTTGATCTACCATCTACCAAAATTCTATCCGAAAAACTTTTTTGCTTTCCAATTTCAAAACATTCAACGAGTTTCCTCCATTTCTTCCCTCTATCGTAACAGTTCCATATCAGCCATGATTTCCCAGCTCCCTACTCTTCTAGATTCCTTCAGCTGAACTATTCGAATACAATTTAACCAATGGAACATTGTATTCAACGTTCTTTTGTTTCTTGAGTAATATTAACATCGACAATAAGCCCATTAGTACCATCGTTCCAGTATGACATTTAGCAAATGTATTGCAATTCCAGTACCTCTCTTTTCCTACTCAATTGTCCTACGTTAACTCTAAACCTCCCGTTTTAACGTTTATACTTTGCTTATCAACAACAAATACTTCTTAACCTTACATTTTGATATGGCGACGTTATATTCGACTTAAATTAAATTTGCTCTCTTTTCGCTCTTCTTACTGAGTGAGTCACTTGCTATTTAATAGACAACCAACTATACTTTCCAAGTATTATTGCTATTATTTGTGGTTCCCATTAAATATCAAAAATAATGTTTAGTTCAACTTTCAATCTTATCAACTTGTAAATTTCTGCACCCACTGTTCATTATTTCATTCTGTTTAATACACTTTATTCGGCACTTCTCTATCACTATCTCTGACTTTATTTTGACTTTTTTCTCAGACTTTTTCTTTTTTTTTCTTTCACTTTTAGAAGGTGCTTAAAGCCTAAAACACTTAATTGAATTTTACCCTTTGCACTTTTCAATCTTAATCTTGATTATTGATAATGCTTGGTCTAAAGTTTATTCCATTAATTTCATATTATTTGGAAAATACAATATTCTTTTACTTGATTTGTTATCAAACTTTTCTACAAAACTATTTTCTATTTTCACACTCCCAAAAATTTCTATGATCTTTTGATTATCAATGAATATATAAATACTTCACTATCCAACTAGATTCTTTTTCTCTTTTTGCATTGTTTACAATTATTTAATCGTTCTTTTTCTTTTTATTTGTTTCTTTTTTTTTCTAATTAATACTATTATAATATTAACACTAAATATTCACTTTCTCCCTTTATCTATCTTAACTCAACATCAACACCAACATTAATTAGCCATAGTTGAAACTTAACTCTTCACTGAACTCTATTTTGTCCTTCTGGAAATTAAATTTATCATCTTCAAAGATACTCTTCTCATTCAAATAATTTATTGACCTGGGTTAAATTTAATTCAAATATAATCAACACATATCATACACCATAACATACATAACATAATCACAATGTCTGACAAAGAAAAGACTAGTGGCTCAACTTCGGTTGACGTTGAAGACCAAAAAATAGGAAATGTTGGTTCTGTCCTAGATGTCGACTTGATGAATGTCACATCCATACTATCCAACAGAGGTTTGAATCCTGTCATCGACCATGAAATGTCCGAGGATGAAGCTCGTATCACTGCTTTAGGTTATAAACAAGAATTCAATAGAGAATTGACCTTACTTTCTACTTTCAATATATCCTTTTCCTTATTAGGTTTACTACCCAGTACTGCCTCTTGTCTTTGGTATAGTTTATATGCTGGCACTGTTTCCATGTCTTGGGGTTGGTTTGTTGCCTGGTTAAGTATCCAATGTGTTGCCTTGTCAATGGCAGAAATTGCTTCCTCAATGCCTTTATCATCAGGTTTATATTATGCCTCAAATGCTTTACTATCAACTGTTTCTCCAAGATGGGGTCCCTTTGCTTCCTGGTGCACAGGTTGGTCAAACTTCTTGGTTCAAGTCACTAGTGGTCCTTCAATTGCTTATGCCTTGACTTGTATGATCTTAGCTTTAAAATCATACCATGATGACTCTTTTACTTATGGCAATGGAACCATTTTTGGTGTCACTACTCTATTCATGTTTGTTCAAAGTGCCATCTCTTCTATGCCAACCAAATACATTGCTTGGTTTAATAATATGGGTGGTTCATTGAATATGTGCTTCCTAGTGATTGCAATCATTGTCATCTTAGCTGCTGACAACAGAGAACAACAAGGTCTATCCAGATTTAATAGCAATTCATTTGTGTGGTCCACTGTTACAAACCAAACTGAATGGTCTGATGGTGTGGCAGTTTTAATGTCTTTCTTGAGTATTATCTGGACCATGTCTGGTTATGATAGTGCTTTCCATCTAGCTGAAGAATCAAGTAATGCAGCCATTTCAGTTCCCAGAGCCATCTCTCTAACTTCTTTAATCGGTGGTATTTTTGGTTGGTTTATTCAATTAACTCTTGCCTACACAATTGTTGATCTATACGAAGTTAACAATGATCCATTGGGCCAACCGTTTGTCACATACTGTGCTCAAATCTTGGAATCCAAGTATGTTGATTTAGTTATTTGTATGACCATTATCTCTTCATTTTTCATGGGTCAAGCAGGTATGATTGCAGCTAGTAGAGTTACATTTGCTTATTCAAGAGATGGCTGTTTCCCACTCTCAAGAATATGGAGGCAGGTCAATTCCCATACAAAGACTCCTGTCAATGCTGTTTGGTTCAATTGTTTTATTGGTGAATTGCTATTATTGCTAATCTTTGCTGGGGAGACTGCGATTGGTGCTATTTTCAGTGTTGGTGCTCTTGCTGCCTTTATTGCATTCACGATTCCAGTTTTCATCAAACTCATCATTCCAAAGGAAAACTTCAAACCTGGTCCATGGAATCTAGGTGCTTTCTCAAAACCAATTGGAGCGTTAGGATGCATTTTTGTTATTATTATGACTCCATTCTTATGCTGGCCATACTTGAAGGGCAAGAACAACACTCCAGAAGAAATGAATTGGACCTGTGTTGTATACTTTGGCCCTATGCTTCTATCTATTGTATGGTACATTGTCGATGCGCACAAATGGTTCAAGGGTCCCAAATTGAATGTCGAGCATCTTGTTCCAGCAGAGAAAGCAGAGTAAGTGCTGTTGCTGGATGACTACTTCAACACCTCATTTTTTTATTTTCTAAAGTTCTTTATCTTTGCTTTATATTTTATCGCCTTTTTTAGAGTTGTTTTTTTACTGCTTTATCCTACTTAGTTTAATGTTATTTACCCGTTTTATTTTCATCACTACCACCACAATGGTGATATTATATCGCCCATTACAATACCTGAATTTTCTATATTTATTATAGACAGATTTATTATAAGCTAAAAACGCGGCTCTTCAGTTATTGTTGGCATCTAAATTGCTTACAACTGAAGTGAAGGTAGATATCTGCTTTTGAGGTAAAATGTTGCATTAATGATTTTCAATTGTGCATTTCCTACTAGAATTATTTAGGTGAAACTATACTACATATTTCTATGAACTATAGTGATTTTAATAAACACAAAAATGTGAAGAAAGACCAAAATAATGCTCTTATTAATATATTTTATAATTTTTTGCCAATTTTAGAACCTCACAATCATCAGGAAGATCCTTCAATCCCTTCTTATATTTAATTATTCTATTATCCAAAGTTATTTTTTTTATATTCCCGGGCCCTTCCAACATTGTGGCATTTATTTCATGGGTGATAAAAATTTTCAGTCGTAAACAAAGGCTTTTAATAGTTTTTTAGAGGCTCAATTCGTGAAATTGGGTTATTTCTTAAATTTAGTGCTTCCCTATGCGATATCCCTTTGAAGTATTTTAAAACTGATATTTTGTTACAACTCAAATCAATAATTTTTAATTCTGCCAGATCTGGTAAATTTTCAATAACATAAATGCTGTTAAAAGGTAAATATAATTATTTTAATTTAGGAAAATATTGAAGATTCCCATGTTTTCAAATATTTTAATTTATCCAAATTGTGTAGAGTTCTAATTTTATTGAATGATAGATTCAGTTCTTTTAATGAGTGCAAATTTTCAGTATCTTGAATTACTTTTATTTTGTTTTTCGATAAATTGAGTACTTCCAACGCTTTCAATCCTCTTAAATTTTCAAGTTGTTTTATTCCATTACCTGATATGTCTAATTTCTTTAACAATCTCGTTTGGTGAATATTTTCAATTTTCGAAATTTCATTCAATCCTAAATCTAATTCTTTCAAGTTTTTGAAAATTTCCAAATTCTCCATCTTTGAAATAACATTGTACTTCGAATTTAATACTAATAAATTATTTATTAAAGTTTTAGAGTTTGGTATTATATTTTTATTGAGGTTTTCTGCTCTCCTGAATGATTTCGTAATCTCAAACTTTATTTTCTGGATCATGTTTCCGATAGATCCAATTTTTCTAAATTCAGCCAATCATATAGCCGTTCACAATAAAGCTGATATGAATTACAAAATTCAATTGTTTTCAATCTGCACTATGATTTTCCACTAAATTCAAATCATATAATAATGGAAATTGATATAAATACTTAATCTTATGTAACTCGTTATACAATATGTTGAGATATCTTAGATTTGGAAATTTATTTGAATTTTCAATTCTCAAGAGCTCATTGTGATTCAATAATAATGACTGAAAATTAGAAAAACATACAGTTCTAAGAATCGTGAATCTATTGTGTGATAAATTTAGTTTTTGTAAACTATATGAGATTCCTAAATCAGTAAATCTTTCGAACTTATTGTATGACAAGTTTAAATCAATCAAATTAACCATTTTCGGCAAATTTGGAAGTTTTTTTCTTAATATTTTGGATTTATCTTTTGCTGGAATTGAAGTTGATTTTGTTTTTATTCGACTAAATTTAAAACATTTATACCAGACATAGGAGTAAAAGTGAATGTGTTTTGAGGAAATATTTGAAAGTTCTCATTGATTTTTTAGAAAAACACAATCAAACCCAAATATATCAAGAGCGTGATTAATATTAGTATCAAAAATTGAAAAATCATTATAAGCTTTTTGAGTTTTATAGCATACCAATATTACCAATTCTTCTACAGATTGAATAAAAGTAAATATTTTATTTTTTCTATTAGTCAAAGCGCTGGAAACGTTGGGACTATTTATGATTAAACATTTTGCAAAATACCTTAATTGATTTTGGAATAATAATAAATGTTTAATGTTCAAATTTAAGTGGCTGTTTTGCTGGAATCTATCTGGCTTCTCTATGACTTTGGAGTACTTTGGTGTCAGGTTGCTATAAATGATTTTGACTTTATTAAAGATAATGAAGCATGCACTTGTTTTTGCTAATTGGTTTTTTGATGATGTAAAAAGAATCACTTTATCAATTGGAACATCGTGTAATATACAATCAATAATATAAATGGTAAACCATCCAACATATTGGGGATATATTTCACGGTTTTGTTGCCTAAATTAAACAACTGCATTTTTATAGCTTATACTTAACTTATCCTTCAAGAAAGAAATATTCAGAGTAACCTCAGTTACGGATTTGAACCATTATTTATTAAAAATATTGGACAATTGATTCTTACTTTATAGATTAAAAGCAAAAGATCTGCAATGCGCTGTATTACTAAAGATAGCAACTTGTACATGCATGTTTTAGCAATTACTGTTTCGAGCATCATTTCAGTTTCACCACCTTATTTTACAAAAAAGCTTTTCAGGGCTATGTTAGAGGATTGGTTGGCACTTTGATAACAATAACCAAGCCAAGGACTGGATTTTTGTTTAATGTAACATTGCATCAACAAGCATACAAAGAAATTGATTAAAATAAGGGTGTTTGTCATGGCAGGTGTCTCTATCAACATTAACCTATTTTTTTATTGAAGTGGTTAGATAACTGTACTGTTTTCGAATTGTTTGCACAGCCTTCGCACTTGCTTTGGTAAAATTTACGGTCCACTTTGCGGTTTCTCAAATGGAATCCAATACAATCGTTTGATTACCAAACGAGTGTATATATTATTTCTATGTAATTATAAGAACTAAATACTTTAGTTATTAAAATGAAACATAAATTGTCGACTTTTTTGGTAGCCTTTTAGATTATCCAGCAATTTTCATTGCTGACTTTAAACTTCTTGCTAATTGCCTTTCCAATTTACTTGCTAAAAGTTACCAGTCAATCAAAACATTCAAATTAATATTGATCATCGTAAAATTTAATTAGATATTCACCTCTCAGATTTATCTTCATTTTCAAAATTAATCTGTTGTTCAAAATATCAATATTAAGGACAATCATTTTCTCGGTTTAATTCTTTTTTAATATATATTTGTATAGAAGTATTAAAAATATATATAAAAATAATAACAAAATAAAAAAAAATTAAATCAAAAAAAAAAATAAACAAAATAATAGTTAATAATAAAAATAAGCATAGAAAAAAAATTTACTATGGTGCTTAGAATTTCTATTACGGACACAATATATTTCAAGAAAAAGATTTAATCTCATTTCCAATTAAAAGATCAAAAACTTCATAAAGTCCCGATTCTTTGAATTCAATTTTGAAATTATTATAATTGAATTTCTTTGATAAATATACTCTTTGTCGCTTGTTGATTTCCATCAAATTTTTGGCAATTGCCATTTTAGGATTTGGCTCAATCGACACCCAAAAATTCAAACTGAAACTATCAATTAGGCAGAGTCAGTCATAACCTGTTAGGTGATTCATGACTAGTTCTAAATCCTCTTTCAAACTATGGAAATTTTCTAGCAAAAATTTGCTAAGTGCTTGAATATCGGTGGCAGTTACCTACACTCTGTTTAAAAGCTCATCAGCTGTTTCAGCAGTTTTGAATTGATGGCGGCAGATTTTTAATTTGTTTTTGAACGAAAAAAACTTTGAGATGAAATGTTCAAAGGCCTCATCAAGCCAATTGATGATGGAGGCTTTTCCCCAAATTGTCTTAAGGATTTCGGCAATTTCAAGCACTTTGAAATATACACGAGTATACTCAATACTATTCACTTTTGCTGGACAAGCTATAGGAACACATTTATTGGAAAACATTTCATCGAATATTATCACATTTAGATAAGTTTAAAGGAGATCAATTATGACGCCTGTTTGAATTCGACATTCGTTGGAGTTTGACCAGGACAACTAAATGTTATTGTTGGATTTGATTGGTCAATTTCAAGATGTGGATAATTGCCTGGAATAATTTTAAATATCATAAATTGGTTTGGATTCACTTCTAGAAGAAGGGCCATTTTAGTTTGAAGAAATAAGTACAAGGATAGCGCATTAAAGCTCCGAAAACCTAGCATGCGACTAAATTCGTTAAGAGCTTTAATGGGAAATAAATCCATATTTACCCATTCGATTACCAGCTCGATTACCGTTAGCGACTCCATTAGTAATATTGTTATTACCATTTTCATTGGCATTACCAGCTGCAGTACCGGTGCCTTCTTCAGTATTATCTAATTGGGTTTCAGATTTCTTTTTTAAAAGACGTTTTAAAGCACGCTTTATTTTGCTTTTAATTGGAGCTAGGTATAGTTCTTGAGGAGGCATCAAAATCCGATTTCGACGTCTTGTGTGTCTTCGGATTCAATTAATTGTAAAAACCTTTTGGGTGAGCCGGCAATTGATTTTTTTAATAATGTCTTTTTGATCTGCCATCCATGGATTCTACGTGTAAGTTTTAAGAGAATTTTCCATTGGATGGCATCGGTCACACAATTAAAATCCTCCATTATGTAGAGCAAAATCTTTTGAACAAGCTGCTTTGCAGTATGGGAACTGGTGCTTTCATGCCCAGCTCTTATATATAGTGCACACAGAAGCACATCACCTGCAGGGTTGTATGTACATAAATACAACACCAAAATGGAGCCTTCGAGAGCCAAAAAAGTGGACAGGACATATGCTTGCACCCGTAATGCTGGTTTTGCTTATCTGCAGACATCTGCATTTACCTGTATGTATGTTGAACGACTTGGATGTTTGTTTTTCTGACTGTTGATTGTTTTGCATTGATATAAGCAGAGATATTTTATATTTCTGGGCTCTTGCTCTATTGTTTTTTATTGTTGTGCTGCTTTATGTTCTCCTGTGATGTTCGGAAGAAGGTATAACTGGGATCCACACAGTGGCGACAGAGTTCTTTGCAGGGTCCCTGGATTTTGCGCCTGGCCTTCGATTGTATGTTATTTTGGCAATGAATTGTTTTCAGCACATCACTAACTAGTTATTTACATATCAATTTATTTCACCAACTAAGATACTTCCCCTAGAAAACGTTCCCTCTCATATCCTAAAAGACCAACCAAAGAAATCTGCTCAAAAAAAGTATCCAATTGTGTTTTATAACGATCCTACTTATTACTGGGCAGCCAAGTCCAATCTAAAATTACTTACAAACAAAGTAATAAATGATTTTTTCAAAGAAGATTTGGACAAGCAAGATCCGGCTTTAATAAACGCTTATCAAGAAGCATCGAAGCACCCATCCTTAAATGACTATCTCACTTTGATAAATAACGATCAAGATAATAATCAAGATAATAATGAAAATAATGACAGTGAAAGCAACTCCGACAGTTTCAATGCGGTTTACAAGACTGAAAATGTCTTCAACGATTTTGATACACTCCAGAAAGATAATCCGAATATAGCAAAACAGGCAGTTAGTAATAAAAGTATTAATCAGAATACAAACAATAAAAATTTGATCAGGATAGAGAAAAGCTCAATGCAATTAATAAGAATAGAAAAAGAAAAGGAGTTTGAGAATGACTTTTGGATTCCATTAGTGGGTAGTCGTGTACTATGTAAAGTGGAGGGATATCCTGATGGTCCTGGAATGGTATGTGAGGTCTTTAATCTATTCTATTTTTTATTTTGATCAAAGATAAACTAACTTTCATTCCTTTTTTTTTCGTTGATTAGATAATACCTATCAAATTGGCTCCTACTGCTATTATTGAAGATAGACCAAAAATAGGAGATGATCTTTATCTTGTTTCCTTTTATCATGATAGCTCTTATTATTGGGCAATAAGAGACGATCTATCCTTGTTAACAAACACTAAGATTGAATTGTTCTTAAACGATAAAGTACTCAATTCTCAGGAGACAACCAGACCATTTGATCAGTATTTGATTAAAGCATACAAAGATGCTAAAAAATATTCTCATTTATCTCAATTCATAAGCTATAAAGATTTTCCTGAACAAAAAGTTATTGATTTACCATACCAGCTGATCCAAAAATATGAAATAGCAGTCAAATGTTTATTAAAAAGTATACTCATTTTGGATGATAAAAAAGAATCAAAAAATACCATGCAAGATGGTATTTTTCAAATTGGTGGATTGGTACACCTGGACAAACGAATTGAGTACCCATTAAATATTCAAGATAATAATCCTACTACTGACGCTGATAAAAATTTCAATAATACCAATAACAATACCACACATGGTAATGATAACAATGCTAATTCTGATGTCAGTTTTGGTCCTTTATTTAACTCCGGTGAACTTAAGACTCAAAACACAGATACCAGAAATCAGCACATTACAGTTAAAAAAGAAAACGAAGAATTACAAATTCCCAATTTCCATGTTTCAGCATTGTCGCCTTTGACTTCCAAAAGAAAAGCCAGACAAAGAAAAAAGGGAGCCAGAAGTTTGCAAAGAAAGAAAATTGGCAAAAAGATGCTAGGAACCACAGCTGGTGAAATTCCAGGAAAAGCTCAACAAAGAAGTCTATCTGCCCTCAACAATTCTACCAACTCACGTCCTAGCCTCTCTCCAGCAAAATCGTCTCTCTTCAAGCCTCCTGATTTCTACAACCAGTATCCATACAACCGTTCATCCAGATCCACTGAATCATCCTACAGCGCTCTAGACTCCTCTCCCATCACCAAAAAGAAAAAGTACTGAACAAGTGCTCAGAAAGTGCCAAAGAAACACTTCTCTCTGTAAACATCTTATTCTCCCTTCTTAGAAACTTCACAGAGCCAGAGCACCGGGTTCCTGTGGACTTGCATGGTGCTGCAGATTACCCGTTTTTTCTGTTTTTCCTCTGTTTGTATTTCCTCAATAAATAATCCACCATCTGCTTCGAAATCTCCTTACAAACCCACAGCTGAACTACCAAAGTATTAAGTTCCACGTTTGCCACCGAGTTTATTGTTTGTGCACCGAGCTTCTTGCTGTTTTATGCTTTAATTGAGTGATTTGGCCATGAGCAAAGATGAAAGTTGGTCTCCTAAAGTAGGCAGTCGAGTCCTATGTGTGGTTGATGGATATGATCCATGGCCTGGTATGGTATGTCATATCTATATCTGATAGAATTATTTTTACCATTATCTTATATATATAACCTAACATGCCTTATTTTTGTTTGTTCCAAGATCCTAGAACCAGATGAATGTCCCGAAGATGTTTTAAAAGAGCGTCTCAAAAAGAAGGGAATACTCTATCTTGTTGCATTTTATAACGATAACTGTTATTATTGGGCAAACACTAAAGAATTGGAGATTTTAACTGATTCAAAAATTAAACATAAAGACAAACGCATTTTACTTTCCAATCATTCTTTGAGAAAACAATTAAACAAAGCATATAATATGGCTTTGAAAATTCCCACTATTAATGATTTTCGTAACCAGGTGCTTCATTCCTCGGCCAGGAACACTATTAATGAAAAAGATGAAGCTGTAATTGATCAAACTGGATACAACAATGATTATAGTGAGAGATCCGCAACGAAATCTTTGAAAAAAATTAATTCAAAAACAATGTCTCAAAGATCAGAAAAAGTTCCCACCACACCTGGCTTCTCTCAATCAAAACAAATAAAGAAAAAAATTAAATCAAACTCAAAACCTCGTTCTAGTGGCATCACTAAAGGGACCACAGAATCGCCTAAATCAAAACCCGACAATGATAGCTTGGACGGTTCGAGATTAACTTCCCTTAAAACCGAAAAAGTAAAAAATAATATCATAAAAAACGAAGATTTTAAAGAACAATTAGAACAAAACACTAGAAATAAGCACTCAAAAAAGCTCACCGATACAAATAAAAACTTTGACATTAAAGAAAATTCAGAAATATTAATAACAAAAGAAAATCATCACAATATTGAAAAATCACTGCAAGAAAATTCTGAAGTTTTAGAAAAAAGAAAAAAAAATCATGAGAAAGAACAATCTCCCAAGAAAAACTATCAAGACAAATCCTATCAAGATGTAAAAACAATAAAAACAGAGCATACACATACACAGGAGCTAAAAAACTTAAAAACTCAGGTAGAAATCCCATCAAAGAAAATTGAAAATAAATCCCGAGATAAAGACCATCAATATGGAAATTCAAATGAAGAGTCAGAAATATCAAATGAACTTAAGGAAGAGTTGCAAGAAAGAAAAAAAAAAATTAAACTGGAAATTTTATCAAAAGAGAAAAATTTTCAAAAGTTTCCATCTAAATCTAATTTTGACCAAAAAGTTAAATCGAAATCTTTGAAAACATCGACAGTTATAAAAAAAGAAGATATCAAAGGCTTTCTGAAAGAGAAAGCTTCAAATCGAAAAAAAATTAGTACAATTTCTAAAGTGTCAATAAAAAGAGAAGAAGAATTATTAAAATTTGATTTAAAAAAACAATCTTCAAAGCAATCTTTCAAGCAACCTTCAAAGGATGGTTCTAAGAAAGATCTTCAAAATGACACAAGATCTTCAGGTTCTTTGAGTAGTACAATCAATCAATCTGCATCCACTGAGACACGCAAAAGAAAGATGTCGGTTGCTAATTCAAAATCAAGAACTTCATCTCGATCTGGGTCCATGTCTTCTTCAAAACTTTCAATTGAATTAAATTTAAAAACTCCTGGAAAGTCTACAAAGCTGGTAACTTTAAAATCTGAGAGATTGGAAAATCTTCAAAGAAATAAAACAATCAAAGATGTACATTTATTGCATAAAAAGGACAAAATTGAGCCTTCCAAAAAAAGGAGATCTTTAAGTCCTCCGATTTCCGAGTCATCAAATGAGGTTCAATTTAAAAAACGAAGAAAGTCAAATACTATCAAGTCTGAGTCTTCTGCCTCTACTTCTGCTTCTCTCCCTTCCACTGCCTCCAGCACTTCAAGCTCTTCAAGTGCTTCAATTGTTGCAAATTCTACAAGTGCCTCGAATATCACTAAAAATAAGAGGACAAATCAATTTGCAGATACAAAAACTATCAAGAAGAAAAAGAAGGATAATTCTGATTTGATTCATCCCATTGATAAAAATTTTAACCATCCCATAAAAGAAAAAACTAAAATTTTGCTTAAAAAGGATCGATTGGTCAAATCCAAAATATTAAATGACAACACTGGAACCAATCTTCAAGACACAAATAAAACAAACATTGTCGAGAAAGAAATTGGTGACGACAAAAGAAAACCTCAAAATGGAATAGCTAACAAAAACCACCAAAGTGAACAAATTGTTAAGTCAGAAGATAATAAAATATCTCTGCCACAAAAATCGAAAATCGAAACTAAAAAAATTAGTAAAAATGGCGGAAAAAAACAGGATTTACTATTAAAAACTGCTTGGGGTTTTCGTTTTGAATTACAAAAAAATCTAATCGAAAAAGCTAATTTAACTGATGAAGAGTTGAAAAAACAAGCTGCTGTTTTTAAAGAATTGGAAGAGTTCAACATGACTTTGGAATACCTTGCTAGTACAAAACTATATAAAGTTTTAAGAGAAATTCTCCAAAAGAAGGAATTAGAATTGAATGATACATACAAGTTTCATCTTAAATCCAAAATTCTTTTGGTTAAATGGAAACAATTTATAATGGAAATAAAAAATTTGAAAAGTTCTGATAGCCAAAAACAAAATCCTGAAAATGAATCTATAGCCACTGTCGCCACTGAGCTACAAATAACAGATAGTGTTGACGAGAAATCAATTCTAAAAAAAATATCTAATAATGATGTTTCAATCCCTACCAAAGAGACCTTAGAAGGTGAGAAAATATCACCAAAAACAAATGGATTAAGGGACAAAGAATCAGACGAGAGGAATAAAACTAATGATAAACAAGAAGGTACAAGTCAAGTAAATAAGACTTTGAAAGTATCTGCCTCAAAAACTGAATTTTTTGGTGATCATTTCACCTCAGTAAAAGATAATGAAAATTCACTGAAAAAACTAACAGAATTGGATAAAACGGAAAATCTTAATAATAAAGATGCAATTGAACCTACCAAGCAAAGTGAAAATCATGACGAAGTTAAAAATAAAAGTTTAGATCTAAGAGGCTAATTTTCCTTTTCGGTTTTTAATTCTGTCAGTTTTATTCCTGATATTAGAAACTTTTTAGAGATTTTTTAAAAAATTTCAAGCGCTATTTTTTTAGAATAATCCAAATTAAACTCAAAAAATATTAAAAGAGACCGAAGCAATATCTAATAAAATGAAGTTAAGACAGAGTGAAATCAAAAGAAAAAAACAAACAATATATTTTATATGAAAGATTTTGATAAGAATTCAATATAACAGGAAATACAATAAAAACAAATATGTCAAACCAAAAGAAATAAAAAAATTATAAATTATAAAACAGAAAATAAAAAATAAAAAATAAAAAATAAGAAATAGAAAAGAGAAAAAATTAATTAATTAAATAATTAAAAAAATTAAAAAATTAAAAAATTAAAAAAAATAGCAATTAATTTTTGTTTTTTTGTTTTTTTGTTTCATTAATAGACAAGAAAAAAACTTGTAATCTGCAGATCCTCGATAATTATATACTATTCTGAATCTGAACCAGATAAGATCAAATAATCCTGAGAAGTATCTGATTCTTTTGAAGATAATCGAGTTTGAGTTTTTCTTAGTTGATGGTACCCCTTATTGGTTTGATTATTGTCTTTTAAAACTGATTGACTTTCTTTTTCTATTTCCTTTTCCTTTTCCTTTTCTTTTTCTTTTGCCTTTCCATCTTCATCAATATCAATTATTACACTTGTCTCAGAATTAACATCAGAAGTTTTTCTTTCTAATTCCCTCATTTTATTTCTATATCTAGAACTTCTTGTTAACTCAAAGGATCTATTTAAGGAGTCAATGATATTTTGAGAGGGTGTTTTTAAAGCCTTGATTTGTTCTATTGCCAGACTCTGCTCAGACGCAAAAGATGAATTGTTTAAATCTAACACAGTTTTGGATGGTGTCAGAATTCTTGAATTGGTAATTTTTATATTCTTTTGTTTATTTTCGTTATGATTGTCATCACTGACATCACTAAGATTGGTGGATATATCACTCGTAATGTTCTTTTCTTTAGTATATTGTTTTTCGTCTTTTTGAGCAGGTTCTACTATTTCAATAAAATCGTTATCATTCTTTTGTTTAGAATTATTATCATCATCAGTATCGTCAATTTCAATTACAGTTGAGTCAGTTGGTACAATTAATTCGATCGAGTCAGTTGAGTCGATGGATTCGACTGATCCATTTAAACTATTTGATTTCTTTAATCTTTGAGCTCTTTTATGAATTTTTGTAGGTACTTTTTTCTTTTGTATAGTTCTTGAATACTTTGAGATTCTACTTGAAATTGAAGACCTTGGCTTGGTAGATCTTGACAAATTTCTTAGATTATCAGATTTAGTCAACTTGTGAGCACCAACTAACTCAATATCACTTTCACTTTTACTTTCATCATTTATTAATTCAAAATCAGAATCTTCTGATTTATCTGAACAATAATTATCTAAATAATGGGATAAATTTTTTGAGCTTAAAGCAATCTCATAAGCTCTAACTAACTCTTTTGGAAATCTTGAATTGATGTTTGATAACCTTTTTTGTTTGGACAGACTATACTTGTTTAAATAAGTTCTGACATCTTTCTTCGATAAATGTTTCAAACCAGAGGCCGAAACCCATAGATAAGTCGGTTCGCCAATAAATGTAATTGAAACCATATCTAATTTTTTGGGCTTTTCATCAAGAAAATCCTGAGGTAATTGGTCTTCAGGACAAATCTAGTAGAAGAGCATGGAATACAGTTAGTTATATAAGGTAAAAAAAAAACTTCTAAGAACGAGACATACAAAACAGGGCCAGTCTGAATAACCAGGAGTTTTAACAGGTACAACAAGATCACCAGAATTGAAAGAAACAGAAACCATATTTACTTCTAACCAATAAGCTAAATGAGTAAATAACAATCGCTGGAAAGATAGGTAAATAAAGAACCAAGTTCTTTGACTTTAGGGGTTGAAAGTGACTTAGCCTTATGAAACACAAGATTGAAATGGGCAGGATCTTTTCGTTTCCAACAATTAGATGATGAAATACAGCAATAAACAGTAGAAATAGCTCTCGATGTCTCTCTGAGGAGAGTTTTCAGTGTCAATCATGGATTGAAGTAGAAATTTCCGGCAGTTGTTTCTTTCCTTTGCTTGTTTGGTTTTTTTGGTGTTTACTTTTCTGTGTTTTTCTCGAAAAAATACATATATTGTTCGCGTTTTGATCGACCTAATGCAGAAATAACATGTCCGCGGAAATTCCAGGTAGCGAAAATAGTGCATGCGCTGATTGGCTGAAGACCGGTGCGACGAAAACTTGCGGATTGGGAAGTGTTTGGTTTTACGCTTTTTGCTGGATTATTTACTGAATGCTACTGAGATCAGAGTAGTGGCCTGCAATGTCGTTGCAGTTCACAAATGTCGTTGAAAACAGCTGCTGTTTCACTGCTGGGGTCTCTGTTTAGGTTCTGGTGCTGAAATGCTGCTTACCAGCATTGTGTATCAGGTTTGTATGTCAAGTGTGGTCTGTTGAGGCTTTTGTTTCTCGTAAATGTAAACCAAAGGTGACATGTTTATATGTTTATTCAAAAAATCAACTATGGGGCTGATGTTTTTAGTTTTAATTATTTCAAGCGCCAAATCGATTGTAATATCGAAAAACCTATCGATTATATTGTCTTCTTTTAGTTTTTTTTCCTCAAAGAGTGTTTTCTTGATTTGATTAGTATTTATCCCATTGAATGCCTCAATTGATTTTATTAGTTTCCAATTTTCAAAATTTATGTTCGTAGTATTGTTAATGTTTATATTTTTGGCATTTTTGGCAAGGAAGTTTGAATCGATATTAATGTTAGTGATGTAATAGTCAAATGTTGGCCAGATTTCATTTAATTTCGTAAAATTTTCTGTTTTATCATAAGTCAAATTAACGCCTTTTGGAAATTTGTCTTGTCTTAGGTAGCCAAATTTGGTGATTCCAGTCATGCATGGGTAAACATCCATATGGACTACTATATCTTGATTTGTTTGATAAGTGTCATGGGTGCTTTTAGAATGATTATGATTATGATTATGACTATGATTATGATTATATTTGTTTAATATAAATTGGTTAAGTTCTTGCAAGGCATGTCCTCCGGGATAGTTTAGCGATGAGATGTAGATGTTGATTAAAGAAAATGAAAATGATAAGAGGATGCCAATGATTGTTAGATATTTTATTCCATTGAATTTGGAGTAGTTGTTAATTCCATTAGCTGCTGCTATAGTTAGGCAAGGAATTGTATAGATAATGAATCTCCATTCTTTATGGCCTTGAGTCGACATTATTAGGATGAATAGAAACGAGGATAAACCTAAGATTCTAATCATATTTTGATCTTGGTCTTGGTCTTGGTCTTGTTTTTTAGTAATAGGACCACTTTTGTATAGGCCTAGAATTGATAGGATTAATACTGTGGGAGGGAAAAAGATTTTAGGTAAATATTTATAAAAATAGGCTAGAAAAGGTTCAACGCCCCATAATTTTGAGTTTCCCTCAAGGACATTGAATATCAAGCTTATTAGTTCAGGTATCATGGGAATAACATTCCAAAAGTAGGAGTCTATTATCGAGGACAATAGGACGCTAGCAATGAAACCTGATAAATGATAAATGAGAGCATTTCTGAGTGATATGAATGGATAGACAAATACTAGGACAAAGGATAAGGAGGCAGCAAAGGCGACGATTTCTACTCTAAAGATGATGCCTATGAAGGATAGTAGAAACAAGGCAAGTGAGTATTTTTTGTCAATTATTAGAGAAATTGAGTAGTTAACAAAGGGTAAAGCGATGAAGTTTGGTAAGAATCTTGTTGAGTAGTAAGGAAGATGGAACTGTGTGAATTGTAAAAGACAGTACCAGTTTGCTAATTGATGTGATTTTCTGGATAAAGAGTTTCTAATTTGAAAAATGGATAACGAGTTTAGAAGACCTAGAATTAGTCGTGAAAAGAGTTGCAAGTCCAATTGTGTTGTAGAGGAGGAAAGAGGGTGGTTTAGTAGGAGATTTTGAAAAGGCTTTGAAAGCAAAGAGATTAAGATTGAGCCGATAAAGGTTCTTGGGACGACACCAGGAAATTGAAAATGATCAAAGTTGAATCTGTTTGTATTGAAATTTAGTAAGTCGTAGATGGCCTGGGTATTGAAGCTCTCTTCTACTTTTGAGTAGGGAGAGATTATTAAAGCAAACGAGATAAATAGAAGGAAAAAAGTATCATGAATGATCCATTTCATTTTCGATGATGATAATGATAAGAAAAGCCAGGTGGTGAATTAATGCTCAAAGAGAGTGGAAGATTGTGTAGGGTGAATGAGTGATTAAGAAAGCAAGTAATTGGAGTTGATTTTAAGGATTGGAATTGAAATCTAGACTATAAAGATAAGGATATTGAGAATTGGATATATAATTTTGAGATAAGTTGTAAATTTAAAATTGAAATTGAAATTAAAAAATGCGGAACATCCGCGGTGAAAATAAAAAGATACTTTTTTGTTTTTTCCAGCTGATATTTAACAAAAAGAAGAAAACAAAATGAGTGGTTTGGACAATTTTGACGAATTTGACGAAATACCAGAACTAGTTACTGGAGAAGAAGAATTGAAGGACGAATATGTTGTCAACTATGATTTAGTTCCTCCCAGTAAACACAAGCCAAACAGAACCGCCAATACAAATGGTGATGGCGATGAAGTTGACTTTATCAGCTCGGATAGAAGAAAGGTTCCAATTAGCATAATCACAGGATATTTGGGATCAGGAAAGTCTACGTTACTAGAGAAAATAGGTAGAAAGGGCAAGAAGAAGTTTGCAATAATATTAAATGAGTTTGGGGACTCGAAAGAGATTGAGAAATCAATAATTGTCAAAGATAACAAGAACTCCCAGGGAGAAAAAATCTACGAGGAATGGCTAGAGATAGGCAATGGATGCTTGTGCTGTTCGGTCAAGGACAATGGGGTCACAGCGATAGAAAACTTGATTGATAAATCAATAGGAAAGATCGATTATATCTTGTTAGAAACAAGTGGATTGGCAGATCCCGGACCAATTATCAAGATGTTTTGGTTGGACGAAGGAATGAAGTCGAATGTATACATTGATGGAATCATTACAGTGTTGGACGGGAAGAACATTATCAGGAATTTGACTGAAGACAAAGAAGAGTATCGCTACAAGGAGAAAAGCTCTCTCTACGTTGATCACAACGAAGAAGAGAAGGAAAAGAAGGAAAAGAAGGAAAAGAAGAAAGAGAGGAAAGAAAACATCACCATCGCACATTTGCAGATCGCAATGGCCGACGTACTTTTGCTCAACAAGGCCGATCTCGTTTCGCCAGCCCAGAGAGACGAAATCTACGCCCACATCCGGAGCATTAACACCGTTGCGCCGGTCTACGAAACGCAGTACGCCGAGCTTGATACGGAACGGATCTTGAGCTTGGACGCCTTTTCCACACGAATAACGAACAAATGCGGAGCTGATAGCGAGGGTAGTGCAACAAAGATCGACCGCTTTTTTCGTTCTGTGTACGCCGACCACGGAGACGAGGGCAACTTTCACTTTCACCACAGCAGTAGTATCGAAACCCAAACGCTCAGTTTCGGCAGCTTCGACTTGTCGGCTGGTAATTTGAACAAAGTCGAGCTGTTTGTTCAGCACGTGTTGTGGGAAAACGACGTTGCTGGCAAAAGCGTTGAGATACACAGATTGAAGGGGTTGTTGGTTGGCAGCAGTGAGTTCCGGATTATACAGGGTGTACGAGACACGTACGAGATCACAGACGCCTTCAGCGACGACAGCAACGGTGGTGCTGTGTTTGACCGAAGTAAGTTGGTGTTTATTGGGAGAAGCCTCCGGAAAGACGCATTAAAAGCAGAGTTCTTGCGGTTCTGCTCGGACATCGAGGGCGTTAGTGCCGGTACTGTCGGCGTTGTGTGAGACAAGCAACACGTTCCGTCTATACAGGGCCACGGCACATGTTCGGCGTGCTCAGACTCCCCTCACACACGAGACGTTGTCTTTCCAGGGGGCTTGTCGGAATGCGGTCTCTGGCAACTCTCGAGATAGGTCCGAGTTAATCCGTATTTGTATTTGCACGTGGCTGCAGCAGCCTCTTTCCGTCCGCCACATATGCGGTTACTCTCATGCGCTCTCTGCGTCTGCGGCGCGTTGATTGGCTGCCGACTGAACCAGGGTCACGGTCTGCTTCACTTTCTGCGTTGCTGGCCGGTTCACACTGGCTCTTTTACCGGTTGTTTCTATAAATTTGTTCCAACCCCCGGTTTTGTTTTTTGTTTCCAAGTTTATTTTATCTACTGATTAGTTTAAGTCTATTTCCCTTCCTCACGTTGAAAAAAAAAAAAGAATAAATAAATCAATAAATAAATAAATAAATAAATTAAAGAATAGTCGAATATTTTATTTTAAATTAGACGTTATTGCTTATTGTTTTCTTCCAATTATTTGCTTCCACTTATTAATTGCCGATTTTCAAAGTCCCATTTCCATTTTCAATTGTCGATTGTTAGTTATTTCCTTCTGTTGATCAGAATGTCATTAGAACCACTAATGAATTCAAAAGAAATTGATTCCACTTTCAGTGCTTTACAAAGCTATACTCAATCTGTTCAATCGGTTCCAAACGTAGTCAATTACAACCAGGAGCCAAACCAACTGCATCCAGCTTACCACTCTCCCACTGACTCCAATAATGGCAACGCCAATGGAAGCAACAATAACACCAACAATGCCAACAATAATAGCAACAATGGTAACTCAGGGGTCATCATCAAAAGTAGTTCCAGTGATAACAACTCTCCAAATTCTCTAATGTCAACCTCCTTAATGGCTATCAACTCACTAAACAATGTGGAAAGACCTCTTTCAGCAAGTCTTAATCTGGATTTGAATCCAACTATACACAATCCCATGACAAATGGTAATACTAATAACGGCTCAACTACAAATCTCAATTCCGGTCTCAACTCAAATCAAAATATAAATACAAGCTTGACTAAAATCTCAAATTCAAATCTCAACAACATCAACAATATCAACAATTCTCCTCAAACTCACCACAGAACTAGAGTTAATAGACCAGGTCAAAGATTCGGTGCAAAGAAGAAGAGCTGGGTCTGGAACTGGTTTGTCCAGGACCCTGAGAACCCAAACATTGCTACCTGTGATGAATGTCTGAAGCTTATCGCCAGGCTACCAAGTGATAAAGGCTCTCCTAAAAAGCTATGCGAGCATTTGAAAACTCATAAAATTACAAAAGAATCAATGAATCCTCGGAGAACTGTGGTCAACACTGGCGATTTCAGTAACACTCTAATTAACAATCTCACAAACAACAACCTCAATAATCTGAATAACACCAATAACAACCTAAACAATAGTAGCAATAACAATTTAAACAGTCTCAGCAACAATAATAACAATAACCTTAACCTCAACAATAACAATAACAACAATAACAATAACAATATTCTTAGCCACCAAAATTCAAATATAATCAATAACTCAAACAGCTATAATGGCCCATTAAGTCTTGGAACCACAAGCAACGGAAACACTGTCATCGATTCAAAAGAATTCGATAACACTGAGTACACCCAAATGAAATTTCATAAAAACATAATGAAATTTTTAACTGAAAACAGACTACCCATTCAAATTGTTAAAACTCAAAGCTTTAGACAACTAATCTACACGCTAAGGCCTGATTCAGTATTAGACTTGAATGAACTAAATAACCTATATAGCTCTTTGCTACAAGTAATCAAAAATGATCATAAAATTACTTCAAATAACAACAGCAACATAGCCCAAAATAATAATAACAACAACAACAGCAGCAGCAGCAACAACAACAACAACAACAACAACAACAGTAATAATAATAACAACAATCAAAACAATAATCAGTTGCAATTGCAAGACAACCTGTCTCTCAATCACAACTGGATGTGATTTAATGGATTTTTTCGATAACTCCCTGTTTATTATCTATTTTTTCTCGCTCTTCCTTCACCTTTATTTCTTTTTTCTTTGGTACTCTTCTTTTTTGTCTTCTCCTGTCATATTTTTACTGTTTTTGTAACCTCTTTCTTGTCATACTATCCTGGGCTGTTTCTCTTCTATATAATACTCGTCTTTTTGGCGTTTGCTTTGTTTACTTTTACGTATTTTCCGAATAAAAATAAGTGGCGTCGCAGATCATCCGAACTAAGGCACGTGATATTTCTCAAAACAGAAGCTGATATAATTAGTATTTAGTCGGAACTTAACTTGGCTTTGCATAATCTATTCTAATTGCCTTTTATTGAGCTACAACCCACCGTTTTGTCTTCAATTTTACACCAGATATATCCATATGTATCTGTATATGTATATACATGATTGAACTTGTAATATACCCGATATGATTACTGAAGAATTCAAATCAAAATTAACTTCCTCCTTGACCAAAATTGCTCTGCTTGAAAATGAAATCCAAAATAACAATAAAATCTTACACAATTTGTTGATCTCAAATAATCTAATAACAGAAAATCTATCAACTATAAGACTATACGTAGCAGATTTCTTGAAAAATAACACTTTTCAATTTGACCTCACTTGCACTCATTTTCTTACAAATACACCAGAAAATTGTACAGAAATAACTGAAAATCCTAAAAATCAAAAACACAATACAGAAAGCAATGCAGAAAGCAATACAGAAAGTAATAACAAAAGCAAAATAAATCAAAATAACAACGATAATATTAATGAACCTGACAATTCGCATTTCAACATCTCCCCATACTTATCATCCCCTTTCAAATCAAATTCAATGTCCTCACTTGAACGCGATAATCTGCTTGATCTTATCAAACGAAAAAAAAAGGACCTCGATGATATCTATCCGAATACTAAAATCATAGTTCCAGAAAATCAATTACTTCTTTTGACACAAAATCCTCAGCTAAATAACCAGCTGATTGAAAATAACCATCAATTTATGATAGAGGTCGATGATACTGATAAATCAGATAATCCAAGTGACTATGATGGCCATCATGAGCTTGATAATAACTCACGTAGCAATAACAATCAAAATAGCCAAATTGCTTTTTTAAATGATAAAAGCCCTTTAGATGATAATATTCTAAAAAAATATAAACATTCACTTCTCCAATTTTCAAATACACCCGCAAATTTAAAATTAATTCAGTTATCCGAAAAACTTGAAAGAAATTCTCATAGAAAATTAACAAGATCTCTAACAAAAAAATTCATTCATTCAAGCAACAGTCCATCACAGAACAAAATTACATACGGTTCAACATTTAAACCTGAAGATTTAATATTAGCTTCAATTCCCTGTTTTCCTGATTGGCCTGCTTATGTTTTGCCTCTATGCGATATTCCAAAAAATGTTTTGGAAAAAAAATCTAAATTTGTTGACCCTAATTTTCCAGATGCAATCTTGATTCCAATTGTAATGCTTTCTGATATTTCATATTATTGGTGTAATGAATCACAACTTCGGTTTTTAACGAAAAGATTCATTAATGATGAAATAATAAAAATTGAAAGTTTTCTTGAAACTGCTCAAAATCGCAAACAAAAATATTTAAACCAATCTCTACTACTAGCTTATAAACAAGCTTTAAGCTGTAAAAATTATTACCAAGATTTTAAAAATAATTATCTGACAAAAAAATTTACAAAAACAAAAAAAATTATTAATAATAAGAATGAAAAGACTAACACACCAAAAAATAAAGAAAAACAAAAAATTTCAAATAATATAAACAAAATAAATACCAAAAGTAAAAAAAACAGGTCAAAAATAGTTAATATAAAGAATCCACTTAAAAGAGTAGACACAAAGAAAAGAAAAATAGCTACGCTTTCTTCTTCCCTTTCTCTTTCTCCTTCTTTAGCAAAATCTTCTTCTCCAGATTTTGTATTAAGTATGGGTTCTTCTAATTCTCTGACTCCTGTTTTACAATATTGGGATACTCGGCATAATGATAATATTGAAAATCTAAATGATGGTTATGTTAGCATAAGCGATGACAGTTCTGATGCTTCCGCTGAAAGTGATCTTGAAAGTGTAGATTCAAATACTTATCACAATACTGTAAAGAACTCTTCAATACTTGATGATTCTTCAAATCAAATCGAATTCGAGGATAAAGAAAATCTAAACAATATTAAAACGCTGAATCGCTCGATTGCAATGAAGAAAAAGAGAAAGCTTAACAGGCTCAAAGTCCGGTTTTCATCAGTTGATTTTTATGATGAAAACCTGCGTTTTAACAATACCAATGACCAAAATACTCATGAAATTATTGGAAATGATCTTTCTTCACAAAGCAATAACAGCCTTCTACATAATGATACACCCTCTAATTATTTAGAGATCAACTCATTGAGTACTAATGGCTTTGAAATTCCTTTTACTGATTTCGATGATAATGATAATTTAAATCAAAATAATGAATCCAAAGACTCAAATACTAAAATGCTTGAAATTGTTGATACTCAAAATCTTAGTTCTTCCGATCATCATCAAAATAAAAAAATCGCCCGGGTTGATTCCAACACTTCTCTAATTTCACAAAAAGACGACAGTATTGATAAAAACATTGTTAGAATTTATGGATTACTAAATAGTGTCAATCGTAGAAATATTGCAAATGAAAATGACAGCCATATTCAAAATGATCTCAATGTGAATAACCCTCAAGACAGTAATAATAGTAATGGCTTCAATATTGATAAAAAATATGATTCACAGCTTCCGAAAGACAATAAAACTCAAATTGATGGTCAGTATAATAAAATTTCCACCGAAATTAATGAAATTTTAAATCACAGTATTGAAGAAAAGATATCTCATGAAATTAATGTCAATTGTATTGAGATCAATAATATTAGCCATAATATTAATAGTTTTAATGGTCAAAACGAGAATACTATTAACGGAAATCAGGAAAAAATAATCGATCAACGTACCCAATTTTTTGATTCTTATGGCAAAAAAAAGAATTCAGATACAAATGAAAACATTGAAAAAAACACTTGGGATCATAAAAATAATGAGACCGATGAAAACACTTACCTTAAGGTTAACAATCAAACTGATAATAACGATGGTGTTCCTGAAAAGATAATCGATAAAATACAATTCCAGAAAGATAAGGAGAAAGGTATCGAAATTCAAGCTAAGCTGGTCAGTTTTGAGAAATCAAGTGAAGTTTTTTACATGAATGAAAAAGGTATTGATAAAATTAATAATGATAAGAACAAAAATAGTGATACGAATAATAATAGTGATATGAATAATAATGTTGATACAAATATTAATGGTGATAATGATAATGATAATGATAATAATTCTACTGGTGATAATATCGAAATTAATGATATCCAAAGTGAAGTAAATAGCAAAAATAAAACCGAAAACAAATCAAAGAGTATTGAAACTAATGATATTGACAATAGTAAAACTAAAGCTAATAAAATTAAGAAAAAAAATAAAAGAACTAAAAAACCTATTGCTAAAGGTTTAATGAAGAAGAAAATCACTAGCCAGTATTTTGAAGCCAATCCAGAAGAAGTTTCAGAATTAAATATAAATGATCCAAGAATAGCTGATCCTCCTACAAGTAGAACCAGATCAAGATTCAAAATTAAAAGTGATGCAATATTTCCAGAGCAAAATTCGTTTGAAAATCTGGCTTCAAAAAGTTTAAAGATGAACTTGTTTAATTGAAAGCATGGTGATAAATTTACAAAAGTGTTTTGATTTATTAAATTTTTACTAGTATATAGAGTAGTTTGACTATTTCTTTTGCTTTTAATCATCCTTTTGATACTATAATATAGTTATTTTCCGATATAATTAAATTTTTAAGATTGCTTTTCGTCTCTGTTTTTTTATTTTTATTTCTTTTTAGGAAATTATAATTTTGCATTTGGGTCTACAAAGATATCTGTATCATCTTGCTCAAGGTTCCACAATTTTTTCATTTTGTTATTTATAAAAGTTAATTGTTTTTGAGTGAATTTAAGGTTATAATTTAAATTCAAGTTGAAGAATGAGAAATTTAAATTTTTGATTTGATCAATTAGAATCAAAGATAGGTTTATTGCATGATATGGAATAATTAAAGTGAATTTGTTTAAAATTTGATTATTTGATAATTTCCCGTTGCTAGTTATCATTCCAATCAAATGGCCATTTTCATTGAATATTCCACCTCCAGAAGAGCCGTTGAAGCAAGAGGCAGAGGAAATTAGTAAAGAAGGTAAATTAATATTGAAGGGTTTATCATCAAGTAAGAGTTCAAGATTTATTGATGAAATCAAGTTTAATTTACCTAAAGTTATCAAAGGTGGGTTATTAATGATTATTTTTGTTTTGTTAATGAAGGAGTTTTGATTTAAAAATAAACCATAGCTATATGAAGTCACAGAGGAGTTCTTTTCATAAGGATTTCGAGGATTTTTTAAATCAGGGTCATAATTATAATTATAGTCATAGTCATTTGAGTGAATAGTCAATGTTGGAAATTCATCCGAAGGTAAGGGTTTTTTCAAAAAAATAAAGATTAAATCTAGAGAGGTGATTGGAGATTCAATCAATTGAAAATCATCATTTGATAGGGAATTGATATTATTTAACCAGATTTTGATTTTTTTAATTTTAGTTAGATCGTTGTATGGGTTAATTACGTGGTTGTTTGTAATTATAACTGTGGGAGTTAAGATAATTGATGAGCCCCAAAATAAGTCGCCATCATTAGTTAGTACAGTTATTGGTTTAATATTTTTTGAGACAGTGAGGTTTTTATTAAATTTTATTTTGTTTTCTCTATTGATTGAATTATAAATCAATTCCATTTTGTTGGCCTGTGTTTTATTATTATTATTGTTTATAAGATCATTTGGAAAAAGAATTGTGTTTTGGAAATGAGTTAAGGATAAGTGTAACGATGTATCAAAATTTAGTAGCACATTTAGTATGGAATACCATGATATAATAAGAGATAGTTCACCATCGCCATTTTTCTTTTTAAAGGCACCAGCTATTAAGCCAATTGATGTTGTAATGTCATTTGTGGGATTTTTGTTTTGCAGCAGATTGATGAGATTGACTATTCCACCATTAATGTTGTCAAGATATCTAAAGTCAGAGAGGTAAGCCAAAGTGTAATCAGTATTGCAGTAAACTAGTTGGTCGAATAAGGAGGAGTCTGGACTTGGGATTGATGTGTTGTCGTTATTAGTTGAGGGAATATTAATGTTATAAATTATATTTGAAAATGAGCTGAAATTTAGGAATAAAGAAGGGTTAGTTAGACTGAAAGGACAAGATTGAATTGCTATTTGAGAGTTGTGGGTGTTGAGGTTGGTGTTATTTGTGGTGAAATTTAGAAAAAAATTGATTTCACTGAAAGAACTTAAAATTTCATCAGACAAAATATGGTTTGAGGCTGCTTTGAATTTAATTATGGATAAATTTGAATTATTTTCAAAGTCATAAAAGGGAAGAAAAGTGAAATTTTGAAATAAGAAGTTTGTATTAAAATAGTGAATTAAATTTTCATTCAACTGTTTGATGAAGGAAATCTTTAAAGGGTACCAGTTCAAGACATTTTTAGTGCCAGAGTTGAGATTTTGACAGCTTTGATTAAGTTTAAAGGCAAATCTGACTGTGTAGTTGTAGTAGATATCGCCTAAATTGACAATGGAGAGAACAAATTGATCGATAATTTTGGAGGCTGTTGCTTTTATGCCTTTACCAGTGAAATTTTTGGAGTGAAAGGTGTCTAGCAAAACCAAGTAGATCCCAGAAATAGCATGATATTTTAGAATCTGGCTATTTTTCGGATGGGAGTTGTAGTTGTTTCTCTTCAAGTTGAACGCCTGCTGGCCAATGTCAGAAGCATTCTTCGAGGTGAGATGGATGGTAACCGGTGTGTAAACCCACTTAAACTGAGGTTCCAGCATTGCAACAGCAGCCCACTAAGCGAATACTGGCAGCAAGAACAAGAGATGAGGTGACTTACATCTATTTAAGCTGCGAAAGAACCATCATCCAGCTCTGGTGAAGCTCTTCCAACCTTCCGAAAACAGCACCAACGCAGAGTCGCGTATTTAAACCAGAAGTGGCAGCTCGGTCCACGGGCCCAGCCAAGCACCCACGGCGCACATCGGCACGAGTCACATCATTATACGTATGGCACGTGCATATATCCTGCGTTTGAACGCGTTGATGCGCGTGGATCGCTGTGTATGACATGGTCAGCCCCTGGGCTAGACGGAAAGGCTGTCCCTTGTTTGGCGTCCTGCTAGGGGAGGGAGGCATTTGTGACTGTCCCGATCGCAGAGACGTTTCTGGTGACACAGCGTCGGCCGTTGTCGAAAAGTGACGAAAAACGACGAAAAACAACGAAAAACGACGAAAAGCAGCAGAAGCAGAAGAAACCACAATTGAAGCAACAGCTGCCAGCCGAAAAGAAAGCAGTTCTCATTTGGGGTCAAGTTATAACAAATTATCAGCAGCACCTTCAGCCAATTCTATATAGCGACATATACTCTTTCTAATCTTCACAACAGAATATTATAACAAACTCTGTTTCATTGTTACGCTTTTTTCTATTTTCACTTCATGAACTTTCTTTTTCACCTTCTGTTTGTTTTCTCTTTATAAATTTCTTTAATTTTTCATTTAATGACATCCCACAAGTTGAATTTCCTATAACAACAGTTAACAGTCTCTGCTTAAGCTCTAATAACTAATAATTAATAACCAACAGTTGATGAATAATGCTAACAACCCCAAACAACTACACTAAAAGCCCTTCAACAGCTTCGTTATCTGATCTGAATAACAAACCCACCAGTGTTGCTACAAATACAAACAAAAGAAGGACCACAAAAAGAAGAACAAACTCAACAATTATCTTGCCTTTTGATTTCTACAACAAAAACAACTTATCCAACACTAAAGACAAAAATTTCAACAACAATACAAACAACAATTATAATCACAGCAATAAAAACCATAATATTGGTATTAGTAACAGTGCTAACTGCAGTTTCGGTGCTAGTGATAATAGCCAACCTCTATCTCTATCTTTTTTACACAAACCTCGTCACTATCCTCAGGATGATAAATATAACCCGATATTAATCGCTCAGAACGTTAAAAAAGTGACAAATTCAAACACCCTCTTTAATAAATCAATTTTAAACATTGATTTAAATTTTAATGATGAAAACATTAACCACAACAATTTTGATATCAATAACAATCTAAATGATATCAATTCACCCAATAATATCAATACCACCAACACCAATAACAATGACAATTTATTATCAAGATCAACTTCTTTAAATTCCTCGTTGGCCTCGAATTCTCCACCCTTCCCTGTCTCTAAATATGAACTACCACCTTTAGTTCGAAAAAAAAGTGGTGAGCTAGTCAAATCATCTTTAAAACTATCCCAGCTCAATAACCAAACCCACAAAAAATCAATATCATTGCCTGCCACCCCAACTTATAAATCGGTTCATTTTAATTCTTCAATGACCGATGTCAAATATTTCAATGAAAAAGATCGTCCAACTGCCATATCTGCTTGTGCTTCTCCTGCAAACATGCCAAATCCTTCTTTTGGCTATCCATCTCGTTCTCAGTTTAATAGCTGGAAATTTGGCCCCGACGATTCCGATTCTGATTCCGATTCTGATTCTAGTACTGATTCTGATTCCGAAACTGATTCTGATTCCGATTCTGATTCTGATTCTGATTCTGATTCCGATTCTAATACTGATTCTGCTTCTGATTCCGATACTGACTCTAACCACTTTAATGAATCAAATGAATCGAATCCCTCCAACAAATCTGCTCAAAAAAATAACAATATTACTTACCATTCTGATGACAATGATGACGACGAAGATGACGACGATAATGACGATCACTCAATTACTTGGGAACTATCTCTACCAAACTTCAAACCCTACTCTAATAACACCATCCAATCAAAGGGTGATATTTTCTTAGAAAGATGTTTTCTATCAACCGATAAAAAATTCCTAATGGGTTACATTGCTGCTAAAAACATTTCCTACGAAAAGTACGTTTGCATCAGATATACTCTAGATGACTGGAAATCTATCACTGAGGTGGAAGCAAACTATATTTCCGATAACACAAGATTTTTAAAAAAAAATGGCTACGATCGATTCACTTTCAAATTGCCTCTAATAACTCTATTTAGTCACGATTCTCCAGTTATAATCTCCTCTAAAGATTCAAATCATAATATTAAAATTTTACAAAACTCTTCTCAAATCTTATTATGCATTAAATATATCACTGGTGGTAGAGAAATTTGGGACAATAATAATAACCAAAATTATTTGGTAATTCTCAAAAAAATTAAAGAAATTTCCCTCACAATACCCAAATCACGATTGAAAAAATTAAAACTAAAATCAAAATCAAAATCAAAATCAAAGTCAAAGTCAATGTCGAAATCAAAGTCAAAGTCAAAATCAAAATCTAAACAAAAACAAAAACAAAGATCACAATCAAACTCGAAATTAGAATTGGAACCAACCTCAAAATCGACTGAAAATACCAGTTCAATCTCTGAACTGTCTGCAAACAAAATCAATACCAATAAATCTAGTTCAAATTCTAAATTAAAAGTTAAAAACCCATTGGAAAATAATTTCAAAACTGGCCTTTATGGCCAAGAAACCGATAGCTATTTTCCTCCTTTCCCTCAATTGGAATCACCTTCTTCGGTCGATTCATCAACAATTAATGACTTGAATTCCTCTCTAAATTCAAACTTCAATTATCTCAATGCTTCAAGCCTTACTAATCTGGACGTAATCTCAAGTCCTTCATTTGAAGAAATTCATGAAAATTCTATCAACTTAAAATATCCTTTTGCATCAAATTCTCAAGCAATTCCAAATAATCCCAACACTAACAAATTTTACTTTCATTCTCCCCTAACCTCCACAATGGAAAATTTAATTTTCAAAAATTCAACCACAGTTGACGCTACAGTGGACTTGAAAATTTTAAATCAAAAATTAGAAGACTTGAAAAATAGTAGCGAAAATAAAGTTAGTGTTGCTGATGATGATAATGATGATAATGATGGCAAAAAATCAAATGACCATGATACTAATGGCACAAAAAAAATATCTGATAGTAAAGACAAGTTTATTAAAAATACAAATACAAATACAAATGCCAATCCAATTTCACATGGTGAGGAGATCAAAAAATTAACTAAAGAAAGACCTCCTGTTGATTCTAAAACGTATCAAGAACTTGTTGATTCTTATTGTTTCTTCCAAGGATCTTCCCCTGCTTCTAAAATAACAAAGAAATAAAAATCAAATATTAAAACTGATTTACCCTTCGTTACACTTTTCTAATTTAAAAGCTAAAATTTTTTTCTCTTGAGTAATTTTATCATTTGTTAAATTATGATTTATGCTGCAATGTCTGTTTGTTATTATGACTTTAAAAATACTAGACTAAAAAAAGAATAAAAATATGTTTAAAACCTCGAAAACAGTACTTTTTGTGGCTTTTGATATTTCATTCATTTTGTTTATTTCATTTTACTTTATTTCATTTTACTTTATTTCATTTTACTTTACTTTACTTTATGTTACTTTACTCTATTTTATTGTATCTTTTTTGCACGATGTGTTTATTTCCCTTTTTGTTTTATTTTACACTGATTTACCTATTTGATCTTTCAGCAGCACTGTTCTTTAGTTTTTAGTTCTTTCTTTTGTCCGAGGTAAATAAACCAACAGCTGCTCTACAACATTTGCTCTTCTCTAACCAACTCCTTCCTCTGTAAATCCGATTATATCGTCTCCGCCCGTTTAGGCAACTGCCTTTTTAGGACACACGTGCCCAGAACCTGAAAAACCGCGTCCTGAAGCGGAAAACGTAATTTGCAACTTTTCACTAAGCATTGATCGAAATCGCTGAAATGGCTGCAAAAAGACAAAAGGTGGATAAATCTCGTTCTTCAGCCCCAAAGTATCAAACAAGAGCCCAAAAGACATCGCCAAAGGCTGTTGCGACTTCAAAAAACGAAGCTAACAGTGTCCCAACCATGGTTGTTCATCCTGCGAGTGTCATCAGTGGTGTTATCAATAATTCTATTCACCACACATCCTTCAAGTCCTCTGTTGCTGTCGATTATGTACTATCTATGGAGTGTTTATACAAAATGTTTGGGGTAATAAAATACCAATCCAATGCCCATAGCATTGCTGAAGATGATTTGGCTTTATATTTGGTTGACTCAGAAGAGGTTTTGGCGGGCTCATCAATCAAATCTCTGCAATACGTCAATGATAAAATTGATTCACTTAAACAAGAGATAGAAGCTTTACAGAATCAAAATAGCAAACTAAATATCAAGAATAAAAACCTTTTATTTTCATCGTCTAACTCAACTACAACAACTTCCTCGCCTGCTTCAGTTTTAAATTTGAAAAATTTATCTAAAAATGGTTCAGCAATGGTGGATGATGAGGGTTCGGTTTCAATTGAGCCAGGACCATTCAAAAAACTAGATTTATTCCATGAAATCAAATCTTTGTCTAGAGAAAATTCTATTGATAATAATAATATAAATAACGAAAACGAGTTCAATCAAATTTTTTTGCATAATAATAAACTAGATTCATTATATGAAGCAGAAACTAATTCAACTATTATTTTCAATAATTTTTACCCAGAAGTTAATAACCATCAAAGAGTCTTGAGACATGGAAAAATGCCTTCTTTACAAAAGATAAATCAAAGACTCAATGTTGATCCATTAAATCTGAATTTGAACAGCAATAATAATGATAATAAAAGTGATAAAAATAATGATAAAAATAATGATAAAAATAATGATAATCGTAATGATACAATAAAACAAAAAGATGAACCAAAAGCGGAAGAAAAACCTGTCGAAAAAGTTGAGGAAGAAAAAGAATCTCAAAATGAATTGGAAACCAGAGGAAAATCTTCAGATTTAGTTGAAGAAACAGAAAAAAAAACGGAAGATAAAACAAAAGAAGTAGCAAAAGAAAAAACAAAAGAAGTAGCAAAAGAAAAAACAAATGAGAAAGCAAATGAGAAAGCAAATGAAAACCTTAAGAATGATAAGGCAAATAAAAATGAAAATGAAAAGGCTTCGTCTGATATCAAAAAAACTGAAGATTCAGAAGAATTAAATCACAAAAAGAGTAATTCTACTGATGAAAATGATGAGAAAGATATTGAAATGAAATGATTTTGGTTAAAATTGTAAAATATGAAATAGAAATCACTATAGTTTAGAGTTGTTTTTCTGTGGAAATTATGGATATTTTGATTGATAAAAAGATTGATTCAAATGTACACAACATTAAAGGGTTTTTTTGATTATTTTAGTTGATAGTTCAATTTTCGATTTGAGGCTTGAAAAAACTCTGTTTTGTGATTCAAAAAGAGTGCTTTGATCTACTGGAAATTGAATGAGCCCAAAAAATAAAATCTACATTTAATGTCTTTTAAAACATATGATATATTGATATATAAAAATCTCAAATAAACTATCAGTTGCGTTATAAAAAATCACTATGAAACAAAAACAAATAAACAGAAAAATTTAAAACAAAAGAGAAAGACAACTTTATAAATAAATAAAATAGAAATTAGTAATAATGAATAAACACGAATAAACAATACAGAAAGCTAGTTTATGCATTTTAGTCATTAGATTTTTGAAGGTAGTTAGCTAAGATTGAGTTTAATCTTTGGATTTCTTGCTTCAAGCTAGCATTTTCTTGTTTCAAGTTTGAATTTTCTTTAATAATTTCTGAATTGATACCAACTAAACCTTCTACTTTTTCTTCCAATTGATTCATTCTTTCCATTTTTCTAGCTCTTGATCTTCTTGCGGCCTCAGTGTTTCTTGCTCTTTTTAACGAAACCGGATCATTTGAGTCAGGAACAATTGGGTTTAAAGGAGCTGAACGATGCTTTCTATTATAAGAGATACAGCCCAAGTGATCAACTTTAGGAGTCTGAGGAGTACTAATTTTTTTTCTTTTTTTGATATTTAAATCAGATTCCAATTGGTTAGGTAATAGAGCACTAGATGGAGATGTAGATATGACAGGAGGAGTTAAAACATTCAAGTTTAACATTTGATCATTTAAGTCATTAAGAGATCTTTTTTTGGAATGAGAAATAATATTATTAGAGTTAAGGTTAGAGTTATTATTGTTGATACTGGTGTTGTTTGATGAAAACTCATTTGAATTAAAGAGATCAGAGAGAGAAAGAGAATTTGCGGATGAATTAATGTTTTCAAAGGCATCAACTAAGTGCTTTGATTGAGTGAAAAAACCATTCATATCATCAAATTCATTGAAATCAATTTTTTGAGCAGCAGATTCTTGAGACTCTTGTTTAATGGCGATTTCATCGTTATTGTTATTATTATCATTGTTATCAAATAATGAAGTCCAGGTAGATGAATCTAGTTTTTCATCAAATATTGAAACATTGTCATTAGAAAACACCTGATCAGTGATGAGCAATAATTCCTCACGAGATATGGTTTGTTTAGGAGCAACAACATCATCATGGCTGATGGCATTATTACGTCTATTACTATTTTCATTACTAAAGTTAATACTATTGTTATTGTTATTATTGTTATTATTGTTATTATTGTTATTAAAGTTAAAAAAATCTTTTGAAATATCAAACTCAGATAATCTAAATAACTTTTGGTTATTTGATAATTTTTTAGCTAGATGATTTGAAGGAGGGTTATTGAAATTCAAATCTTCCAATGAGTTTGGAGCAAATGAATCGAATATGGATTCACCCACAATAGAGGTTGAATTTGTAGGAAATTCAGGAATTGAATCGAAAAGAAAATCAGACATTAAGGATTATCTTTATTGTTTAATTTGTTTTTTTTTAATTGTTTCAATAGAAATTTAACTATTTATAATTTGTTTAAAGATTGAATATATAAACTAAGGATAATGATAGACAAATTTGTTATAATTTAATAGAATATATGATTATGATTCAAAAAAAGGGGCAAAAAAAATTGAAATTGGTAATTTATGGTGATATGGATTTAATAAGAGTTAATAAGTAGGATAAGATAAGATAAGATATGTTAAGACAGTAGATGATAGTATGAAAGTGGAAAAGACATCTTTAAGAAGAGAAAACTTTAGTTTTCTTAAACGGTTTAATGGTTACAGCAAAATCATTTTGAAAAAATATAATGAAATGAGAATTTTAAAAACACTTAATTTATTATTTAATTAATTGTTTCTTTTTAGTTATTATTTTTAGATAAAATGTAATTTTAAAAATATATTTTATTATAATAAAATAGAAAATTTATTTATTTTAATAGTTAATTTTTAAACATGGGAGTAAAGGTAAATTGATATTGTAAGATTATAATTGTTTTTTAATAAAATACTTTATATTCTTTCGATTGGAAATTTAATTCTAACAAACGAAAAATCTCTTTTTAGTAATAAATCACAAGATTTAAGCAGACATTTTGAAAATCTAAAATAAGTAAATTCTGTAAGAGTGGTGAAGTAAAATAAGAAAGTTGGAGGTTGAGGAAGAAAGAAAAGAAAAGAGAAATTTTTCATGAAAATTCAGAGGATGGGAAAAGCGAATCGTTTTTATATTGAAACAAAAAAAGGAAAACGAGAGAAAATGAAAGAAAACGAAAGAATTTTAGTTCAAATCTGAGAGAATTTCGGGCAGCGTTCGCGAACGCGCGGCTGTGGAGTTTGCGAGCGCGGATTGGTACCGTAGTGACTCATGCTTCCCCGATAATGCGCGGTCGCTGAGACAGCGAAAGCGGCTGTTTGCTAATAGAACGGCCCGCATTGGACAGTCACGCATCTAGTGTGCTGGCCAATCAAAGCGTGCTCTATCTGCCAACAAACGTGAGAATTCTCCGGCTCCAGTTATGCAGCGCAAGTGTCTGCATTATCAGCTACGAGAATAGCAAGAACACGCATGAGTATACGTATTTCCCTTTTAGGCCGGTGCACTGGAGTGATGGGCGGGTATTTCTTCTTTGGGAAGTAGCAGAAGAAGAAGGAGAAGAGGAAGAAGAAGAAGAAGAGAAATAAGAAGAAAATATCCCAGACCATTTATTTGCGAAAACCAGAAATCAGACACAACACAAATCTAACAAAATGCAGCAGAATGTAAAAGCACGAAGAAAAAATGACAAGGAAAACTGTATGGAGCTCTAATAAATGAGAAAACAAAAGCAAATGTCACTAACACAAAATGATCGAAAAAGAAGAAAACAAATTAACAAAGAAAGATGAATTAAACAAAAGAGAAATGAAGCATGAAGATAAAAAGAAGTCATCAAAACGATTAAAATGACCAAGATGATTGAAATGACCGAAACTATCTGAAAAAAAACTCGAGATAAAAAAGAGAGAAAAATTATAAAATGAAATCTAACTATCTAAAATTGTTGTTCCCATTAACTTGACTATTATTATTAACATTGAGATTGTAATTTAAACTATTGATCTGATCATAGTTGTTACTCAAGTTCCCATGAAAGCTTTCTCCGAAACTGTTAATATTCATATTATTAACATTGCTATTCATGAAAGTATTGTTGATTACCACCTTGTTGTTTTGAGCATTACTACTGTTTAAGCTTTCATTATTAGTCCCAACGCTATTGTTCATAAGTGGTGATGTTTGAAAGTTATTATAAAAATTATTAGCGAAATTCATATTGAAATTGTTATTGAGGTTATTAACGTTATGTAAATTACTGAAATTAAAACTTCCGTTATCATTCATATTATTTTTCTTTGGCTGATTTGGGAGTTGTAATTGATTTACATTGGGGTTAATTTTAGTATGAGGACTGAGATTTATGGTGTTATTAATAAATTGAGATGAATCGATAAAGTGGTTAGGTTGGATAAGTGGGTTGTTCATATTTAGCTGATTGTTTATTGAAGAGTTGATTGAAGTGTTGATTGAAGAGATGATTGGATTGTAAACAGGCATATCGCATTGATTCATCTGATTTAGTTGCGCATTTATTACATTGTCATTATTAACTTGATTAACTTGATTAAGTTGGTTAACCTGGTTAATTTGATTATTGATTTGGATGCCCGAATTTTGTGAAGATTGAGTAGCGCTTTTAATATTAGTATCATTTTTAATTGAGTTTGGATAATTGTTTATTGTATTTAGATTTTGGTTTGGTTGATTATTTTGATGATTATTTTGATGATTATTTTGATGATTATTTTGATGATTAAAGACATTTTGGTCAATGTTTATAGAATCACAGGAATTTATTTGTGTTGGTTGAATCTTAAAAGTTGAAGATTGAATTGAATTTGAAGTATTTTTATTTTTATTTTTATTTTTATTTTTTGATTTTTCTAGATCTTTTTGATTTTTCAACATTTCTTCTTCCATTTTTGCCTTTTTTCTTTTAGTCATATATGTTTTTCTTGGTTTTTTAGTATCTTTTGATTTTTTATCAATTTTTGTGGTGTGAATTTTTGATTTTGTATGAGATTTTGTATGAGATTTTGCGAAATCTTTTTTAGATTTTGATATTGATTTCGATATTGATTTTGATTTTGATTTAGAAGAAGATTTCTTTGATTTGGTTGAAGTATTGGATGAGTTAGTTGATGTGGAAGTGGTGTTGGAATGGGATGTTGAAGGAGGTGAGGAATTATTTGAATTTTCAGTTTTAACATTGATTATGTCTTGAGTATTTTCTTGAGTATTTTCTTGAGTATTTTCTTGATTAAGATGTTGATTAAGATTATTACTAATCATATTCAGTTTTTGAAAAGAGTTTTTCTTTATATTGTTTATATTGTTTATATTGTTTATATTGTTTATATTGTTTATATTACTTGGATTGCTTGGATTACTTAGATTATTGATATTATTTAAATGATTTATTGAAATTGAAGCTCTTTTTTTTATGTTTGATATCATCGCCAATTTCTTTGAGTTTAGGATATTTTTTCTCCAATTTTCAACGTATTTGAGACGTGAGAACTTGTCCTTTTTGGAGTTGTTTGAGTTGTTGTTTGAATATAGGCACATTAGATCTATAAATTTTGAGTCCAAACTCAAGTTTTTGGTGTGGGTGGAAGGTTTGAAGTCCTTTTTAAATTCCATCCTATGAATATTGTTATTGTTATTGTTATTGTTGTTGTTGTTGTTTAGTTGGTTTTGGAGAAGTAAATCTGGGTGGAATATTGAGTTGGGTATGGATAAATTTAAATTTGTGTGAATAAAATTTAAGATTTTTGATTCAATTAGAAGGATATTCAGGTCAGATAATAGGGAACTCTGAGAGAAATGAAGTAGTAGATCGTAGTATATGGATAGATTATTTGGTTTTAGTAGAATTTTGAAAAATTTAATGCTTGGGCTGTTTCTATGGTCAATTATTTTTAGGATGATGTTGCCGTTGTATAGTAGAGGACTGTTATTAGGAGAGCTTGTGCTAATAGCGTTGGTGTTGTTGAGTAGTAGATGGGAGAGAAAGTATGGAAAGTGTTGGGCAGCAATAAACTTAAGGAAGATTTTGATTAGTGGGTTATTTTTCAGGATTGTCGAGTCGCTGTTGTTGAATTTGTAGTGGGAGCTGTAGATGTGGAAGGAGAGGGAGGAGTTGTTTTTATTTCTGGCTAGAATGGCATTATCCAGTTGATTTAGGCTGTCTTTGTGAAGGTTGAAATTTAGATTTGAGTAAAAATTGACGAAAAGCTCTTTTGGGGTGGAATGGGAGAAGGTGTTGGAATTCTCGAGTATATTGTGATTATCAGCATGGGAGTGGGTGGGAGCATGGCTTGAGTTGGAGTTGGAGTTGGAGTTGGAGTTGGAGTTGGAGTTGTTGTGGATTATAGAGTCAACTAGGTTGATATTGTCAGTGGTGAAATGGGTAGCAGCATTATCGCAGTGAGTATTGTGAAGGGAATCATCAAGACTGGAACTGTTCATTGATGCTCAGTAACAATCCTCAATAGACAATAGCGGCCAGACAGCGATTCAGAGGCAAAGCAAACATAGGTGGAATTGGACAGTCGCAGCTCGAGCAGCAGAGATGGGAGAGATCCAAACAGCTGCACCAAAACCCAACCGAGCTCAAATCGAAGGAAAACGAAACAAAAGCCTCTGCTGCCGAAGACGATATCGCTGCGCGCTCCTGAAGAGGCCTCAATGGCAGATGTCTCACCTCCGCCGCCAGCTATTGTTGCACGAGCCCCTCTGCCGGCAGCAGCGTGCTCCACAGGCCTGGGTGCGTTGCAGCGCGTTCCACTGCGGGCACGTGTGCGTGCTGGATAGTACACGACCCGTGCTGGTGCTTACACTGCCATGGGATGAGAGGACGCAGCTGCTTCAGATGCCAGCCAGAGCGACCTTGCTCCAGCACAGACACTGCTTCATGGCTTTCCCCAACGATGCTGCCTGCCACCCCGAAAGAAACAGCTGCTGCGACCCTTTTGGCGACGACTTCTACAACACCTCCTCGCCTGCCACCTTGTCCTCGCTCTTTACTCTGCACCCACGCTCCATTGACCACATTTTCGGTTCCACTTCCCCTGAGCCCCTTCATCCTCTGCACGACCTCAATGCCAACAGTGCTGCCTTTGCCCACAACTGCTGCTCTGCCTTAGCTGCTGTTCCCTTGTACTCGAGTGTCTTGAAGCAAACTCTAATACCAAACCCCAAGATCCTCTATATTTTCCGCCTAAATGTCTCAATTCAAAACACCACATCTGACAACAAGCCTAACAACGGCCCAAACACTGCTCCCGACACTCATCATAACCAATTCCTAACCACAAATCAGGCCACCAATGGCTTCAATCAAGACCTACTCGATTTTATTAAAAACCCGCTGAATACCAATCCGAATACTGATGCTGACATCGACAATCATATCGATAACGGTATCGACAATGATATAGACAATGATATAGACATGCAGGTGCAAGGCCTTAAAAATAACACCACTGTCAACTTCAGCGAATTTGAGTCCGAATCATTCTCTGATGACGAATCCTTTTTGAATTACTTCAAAGACCAGGACTCAAAATTATATAATTCATCCACTAATTTCAATACAACCAAATTTCATAACAATGATCAAATTGAAATTGAAAACGAAAATGAAAATGAAATGGGAAATGAAATGGGAAATACTACCATTGTTGATGACACAATCAACAATACCACAATCAAAATCAAAAATGAAAATAACATTTCTGATAATAATACTAATAATACTAATGATAATAATGATAATCAAATTATCAAAAAGATCACAGTTATACTAAGAAAAACATCAATTGAAATTAATAATAATGGCCTCTTTCTCAATCTACCCTCTTACATTCTCTCGGCTTCAATCTTGCATTCAACTAATAACAATAATGATAACTTGCTAATCTATCTAAACTCAAACTATCTATTACTAATAAATTTCTTTTACAACCATTCCAAAAAATCTTTTACTCCACTAATTCTTAACTACTGGGATTTCACTTTCAATCCAAATTTCAATCCAAATTTCAATCCAAATTTCAACCCAAACAAATACACTCATACAAAAAACAACCACAATTCTATAAATACAAACCCTTTCAATTCTAATAGAAACAATATCCAAAATATTCTATCAAATCACTCAAACAACTCCTCCTTCACTCTAATTTTCTATAATGGCCTAATATCCATTTTCAATAAACTAAACATCCCCAATAATACCTCTAATATCAACAATTTGCAATATTCCGTAAACTCAATCCCCTCAAAGGGAAATATCCTTCATTCTTGCTACTTGCACACTAATATCCCTCAATCTAACGACTCACATACTAAAAATTTAAAATTGTTCAACCTCATAATTACTGACACAAACAGACTATTAATACTAATCTTTTCCTGGTCCCTATCCAATAACCACACTCAACAGAACACTCAACAGAACAACAATTTCAAAAATACTCTAAAAAGACAATCTCTAATTTTATCAAATAATTTTGATATCCCAATTTTTGTCATTCCCTTAAAGTCAAACCCAAATATACTACTATTTGTCCTAACCAATAAAATCATCCTAGTTGATACACTCAACTTGATCCCCGACCAATTTAAAGTCTTTAATATCAACTGGACTTTTCCAACAAACTATTACTGTCCCGATCAAAAAATCAGATCAGATATTATTACGGATCTAAATAACACCGATGAGGTTTTAATAGCCACCGAAAATGGCATAATTTATTCAGTTATAGTTGCAAACAACTACATTATAGACCTCAATCCGCTCCTCAATATCGGAAAACAATTAAACGTTTTCATATTTGAAAAACTAAATTTTCAAAAAAATTTCACAAACTCAAATTATCAATTAATCTTTGGCGATGATAAATCAGATAGCGGTATCTACTTCATATCTGGTCTTCCAATTTCAAACAAAGAAAAATTATATCCAAATATAAGGTACTTGAAACACTATGAAAATTTGTCTCCTGTTTTTGATTATAAAATTATAAAGTCTTGCAACAAATATAATTACTCCTCAAACGAATTGTGGCAGATCTCCGGCGAACATAAAAACGGTTCCTTGGTTCAGTTAAGGTTCGGTTATAAAGCTAAAAGTTATTTTTCCTATTCTAAATTTAAGAAAGCAATAAACTGTTTCCCAATAGTACTTGATTTATTGAACCAAGAAAATAAATTGGAGAAAAATATATACATATTGTTTTCATTTGAATATGAAAGCTCGCTTTATTATTATAATCACAATGCCAAAACCAATAAAAGTAAAAATAAAAATAAAAATAATCTAGTTGATATAAATGAATTTAATATTATAGATCAGGAAAGTAAAACTTTAATTGCCTCAACATTAGTAGATTTGAATATTTGCTGCCAAATTACTGAAAAATCTATTGTGTTGACAGATTTTTGTGAAAAAAGTATAATAATATTTCAATCTAATTATATAATATTTGGAGATATCTTGGACAACAAAATTGTTTTCATTAATGAGGTTTTTGATCAAGTTGAAAACAAGAAAAAAATTGAGTTGAACTGTTTTTTGATTTTGAAAGCTAAAAATCAAAATCAAAATCAAAATCAAAATCAAAATTATGATCCAGACAGTGATATTGAAATGAAGGAAGATGAAAATGAAAATGAAAAAGAGAAAGATTTTTTGCATATAAATTTGTTAATGTCTTCTATTTTTCTTGAAAGTCAACCATGTTTTATCAAATTTTTTAAGATTGAAAATAGTTTATATTTTGCTTATGGAACCGAAGATTTTAATATCTTCATTTACAGATTCGAAGAATTACGGAAAAAGTTTGAATTTTTTCAAAAAATTGAAATGAATAAGATATTTGAAGAAAACTGGATTTTTCACGATTTTATTGCTATTTGTTATAAGAAAGATAAATATTTTATTTTTATTTCAGATAAGTTGGGACAGTTGTTTAGAATTTCAAGTGGAATTGATAAGAAAAATAGAAATTTTGAAATTGGAGAAATTATTAAACTACAATTGGGAGGAATTCCTATCAAGTTTCAAAAGAATAAAGAAATGAACTCATTGTACTTAATTTCTGGAAATTTATGGTATATTTCATTTTCTGGTGAAGATTATTACCCTAAAAGAGTTTTCTTTCAAAATGAATTGACGGATAAGTTGATTACATTTACAATTCCTTTAAAGATAAGTGAGGAAATTAGAAAGAATAAAAAATATCCTCTAAATATTAATAACAATATTAATAATTGTGAGTTATTGTCGATAAGAGAAGATGGGTTTAATATTAGTAAATTTCAAGAAATAAAATGTTTATGTTCTAGGAAGATTAAATTGGGATTTACACCAAGAAAATTTATATATTCTAGAGAAAATAATTGTTTTATTATAATATCTGATAAAGTTGGTAGTAAAATAACATTTGTTTCTGGAAGTTTTAATTTTTCTAACCCTAGTAGCAATAATTTTAATAACAATAATGTTAGAAATAGTACCTTCAGCACCAACCGATATAAGACAATTAAAAGCTATGAGATAAATAGTGATGGATCAATTATTGATAAAAATAGAATCAAAAACAAAAACAAAAATAAAAATAAAAATAAAAGTGATAATGGTAGCGGTGATGATAATAGTAATAATGATAACGATAATTCATCAATGTTTAACTCGGAAATGAGTCCATTATCAATTTGTGAATGGAAAGTTCGTAAACCTAATTCAAATATTTCATATAAAAAATTGGTTATTGGGTGTAAGAGTTTAAAAGGACATGGGATGATATTTTTTGTTTCTTATGGTTTCAGTATAGCATATAAGGACAAAGGAAAAGGAAAAGAGAAAGAAAATGAAAAAGAGAAAAAAACTGGAAATGAAAATGAAAATGAAAATGAAAATGAAAATGAAAAAGAGAATGAAAATGAGTCTAAAGAAAGTGTCATTGTGTATAATAAGATCAATTCCTTTAAGACCGATGGACCGGTATTTGGAATTGAGCAGATAAGTAATGAATCATTGATTTATCATTCAGGTAGAAAGGTTTTTATGATAAATTATGATTTTATTAGCAAAAAGATGAGTTTAAAAGAGCTTTATGTTGCAGCTAGTTTGATTGTTTCAATAAGAATAATTGGGGATAAGATTTTAATTTCGAGTAAAGATGATTCAGTATATTTATGCAAGATTTTGAAAGATAAACAAGTTATTGGATTACATCACGATGATTCAATGAGACAATTAGTTAATTCAGTTTATTTTTCGAAATTCAGCAATAATGAAAATAATTATGAATTCAACAATAGTTACAGAAGCAACAAATTTGCAGGGATGAAAGAATTAGATGAAGCCAATGAACAAAGATCGGAAGAATACGATAGTGGATTTTTTGTTGATATTGATATTGATAGTGAAGAAAATAGAGAAGATATTGTTAGCAATGTAATAGTTTCTGATAAAATCCAAGGCACAATTAATGGATTTTATTCAATAAAAAATGATTTATTATTAAGAGATACATTTAGATATAATATGAATCAAGTCTGTCGGTTGGAAGTCGGGAGTTTTCTACCAATCTGGGAGTATTTAAACAATTTCGAAGATAAATTGGTAAGAAATATGAATGGAATAAATGAGGGTGTCAGCAATAAAAACCATTATTCGAAATTGAACAGATTTCTTTCTGTTAGTGTTTCAGGTGAAGTTTTGTTGTTTACGTTGTTAATTGATGAACAATACAACAGATTGAACAATCTACTATTGGAAGATCTACGAAGAGAAGAACAAAGAGAATTCGAGGAAGATGAAGACGACCATGAACACAAGAAAACCGAAGAAGAAGAGGAAGAAGATCAATTCGAAGATAAGGGCAAGAGAGCTCTCTTGGGAATACAGTCTGTAAAATGGATGGACCAAAACCACAAGGTGATTGACGGAGACTTGCTCACATACAACTGCTCTAGGAGGGTCGTCGACATGATGAACAGCATTCTTCTCTAGGCTTTATGCTAGAAGATCATACTTTTGTGAAAAGATCATATTTCACGGAAAAGATCGTCTTTTTGCGGAAAACTCGTTAATCGGAAAGTGACTCATCAAACACGTGCCTGAACCCAGAAGACTGGCTTTGTGAAACTTTTCTCTGAAATCTTTTCACTTTCAATTTTTCGAGAATCGACAACAGACAACAAACAGAGCTATCTTTTTGAGTCAGTGCTGCTTTGAAAATTGCGAAACTACGCCACTAGAACTTCAGCAAGAGCCTGGCACAATGTCTAATCAAATATCTGGAAAAGAGCTAGCAAGAACATTGGACAAATTGGTCATCCAAGACGAAAAGTCAGACTGTAACCACACAACCCACAATAACACTCCCAATAATATCAAAAACAACAATCATGGAAACAACAGTGAACCTCATGAATCATCAAAGTTGGCATTGGGCTCGAAAACTTCTACTTCTCATCACCACCCTATTCCTTTGAAAAACTCTTCCTATAATAATAACAACTATTCTTCTGTAATTAAAAATTTTACTCCTAGTAGTCGTATTAATGGCATATACACCCCCCTACAGACCAGACCGGCTTCTCCTTATACTTTACATGCTCCTATTGATTTTGATGGTCTATCATGGCCAAGTATCGGAGCCAGAGAAATCAAAGAAGAGTCGTCAGATGAGGCTAAACTCAGAGAGCAACGAATTGCAAATTCAATCAAAGATATCCTAAAAGAACTAGGTGAAGATGTCGATAGAGAGGGTCTATTGGAAACTCCTGAAAGATATGCCAGGGCAATGTTATTTTTCACCAAAGGTTACCAAGACGACATTAGAGACGTTATTAAAAGAGCAGTATTTGAGGAGGATCACGATGAAATGGTGGTTGTGAAGGATATTGACATCTACTCTCTTTGCGAACATCATTTGGTCCCATTTTTTGGGAAATGTCATATTGCCTATATTCCAAACAAGAAAGTTTTGGGTTTGTCCAAGCTAGCAAGACTAGCTGAAATGTACTCAAGAAGATTCCAGGTTCAGGAAAGATTAACTAAACAAATTGCGATGGCTGTCAGCGAGATCTTAAAGCCATTAGGTGTAGCTGTTGTTATTGAATGCACCCATATGTGTATGGTTAGTAGAGGAGTTCAAAAAACAGGCTCTTCAACAACCACCAGTTGCATGTTGGGCTGTTTTAGAGGCCAACAAAAAACTAGGGACGAGTTTCTTACTCTCCTCAACAGAAGATAGCTATGTATGACCATCTGTTTTTTATTTTTATTGCCATTTTCATTCTGATCCATTCAAACACTTGAACACCCATACACTTTCATATTGATGCTTTTTCCTTTTTTTTGATTTTTGATTTTTGATTTTTGACTTTTCTTTTTTCTCTCTTCTCTTTTCCTCTTTTTTCCTCTTTTTTCTGCTTTTATCTTTTGTTTTATTTTTTTTTTGGATAACTCACAGATTATATATAGCCTATGTCTTATTTTTTATAGTTATCTGTATTATATTCTATATATTTATATATTACATACTTTCACGAACATTATCTCAACATAATGAATTTTATCTAACATTGCTTTCCTTCCTCTTTCTCCTCATTCGGATCTTTGTTCTGTACAAAACGAAGTGGAAAAAAGTTGATACTTTGTTTTTTTTGCCTCACTTCTTCTCATCCAATTACTCTATATTTCAAACATTAATTCAGAAAATACTCAAACCTGAGTTTTATTGTAGAAGTTAATCCTACAGCAATCTATTTGATCTTGGACTCAGTGATCCTTTTTTTTTATCTTTTTTTTATTTTTTTTACTTTTTATTTGTTATGTCCTCGACTGAATTTCTTCAATTTGATAGTGATATCAATCAAATCAAAAAAAATAACCAGGAGAATACTTTGGATCAAGCTCAAAATACCAAAGCCTCTCATGATCATCACAGCGATTACGATGATGAATCAATCACTCTTCTAAATACTGATGACGATCTTCCCTCAATTCCTGAAGAAAATGATTATGACCTCGACAACTTTCATAACAATAGTAATAACGATACAGTCAACAACAAGAGCAACGACACCTCTTCAGTTTTTGGAATTGATTCTGATAACTACGAAAATACATCTTATACATCCTCAAGTGCTTCATCTATCAATAATTTTGAACTAGCTGATAATTACAATTTCGAACTGCTATTCAAACATGATGATATAAACAACTTCAACTTTAATCACCAAAAATACAATTATAAAACAATCAGACAAAACAAAGTTAATAAAAACAATCAAAATCAAAATTACAACTACAGTGATACTGAAAATGATAAAGGGTATTTTGCATCTTTTTTCATTCCACTTGAAAGAAGATTGCAAACTTTTCTGGTTTTATGGCATACTATTGCTATTCCAATGTTTTTTGCTATATTTTTATTCTCACTTTCGTTTTTTCCTTTAATATGGTGGTTTTTGATTCCTTATTTTTCCTATTATTTTTTTGATAAATCTCCTGTTAATGGTGGTGTAACAAAGAGATATTCTTTGTATTTCAGAAGTCTTCCAATTTGGACTTGGTTTTGTCAATATTATCCAATCACAATACATAAAACCGTTGATTTGAAACCAACTTTTGAATTAGTGGATGTAAATGATAATGATAATGATACTGAGAATCGAGAGTCAAAAGAGAAATCAAAAGACAGTTATTACATAAATCTCAAACTGTCAAATTTTTTTAATCTTCAACTATTTAAAAAAGCCGATGCAAATCATTTATCAAAAAAAGAGCAGCATTTTGTTGCCAATGGCCCAAGATATATATTTGGTTATCATCCTCATGGTTGTGTCTCAATGGGTGTCTTTGGTGGCATCGCTACTGAAGGTGCAAATTGGTCCATTCTATTCCCAGGCATACCAATATCAACTTTGACTTTGACAGCCCAATTCAAACTACCTTACTACAGAGATTATTTAATGGCCTTGGGTGTTTCGTCTGTCAAAAAGCAAAACATCCAAGAGGTTTTGAAAAGAAACATGTCGATATGCATTGTGATTGGTGGTGCAAGAGAGTCTTTGTTGAGTCGACCTCACTCAAAGAAATTAGTCTTGAAAAATCGCAAGGGCTTCATCAAAATGGCTCTCAGTGTGGGCAATATCAGCGTTGTTCCTGTTTATGGTTTTGGCGAGAATGAACTCTACAATGTGCTTGAGCCCAAGACAAATTCTTTTTTCAGGAAATTTCAAGATTGGTTGAAGGGCAACTTTGGCTTCACTTTGCCATTGTTTCATGCTAGAGGCGTGTTCAATTATGATTGGGGTGTTTTGCCCTTTAGACATAGTATTGATATTGTTGTTGGCAAGCCAATTGAAATCCCAAAAATCGACAACCCAACTACTGCTGATGTGGATTATTACCACCAGCTCTATATTGATGAACTCACTAGTGTTTATGACAACAATAAAGAAAGATTTGGTTATACAGGCACTTTGGAATTCGCTGGCTAGATTTCGATCACTCAATAAAGTTTGGTTACTAATTACCTTGAGGCATGGATATTCTATTTCTGTAATTCTTTTATACTATTTTTACCACATTGTAACATTATGTAGTTTATTGATTGTTAAAACTGATAAAAAAAACGTACAATTTTTAAGCTTTCTATTAATACATGGTTTTTAATTTTTTGGGTTTTTGAGAGTGTAATGCTAAAACGTTTTCAAAATCACACTGAGATGCTTTTGGTATTGGAGACAGCTTTCTCTTCGTTATGACAAGATTTAACAGTACTTCCAACTGGAACCATCGAAATGAACTCAACAATACCACTGATAATGGCTATGAAAATGACACTGATTCAGCCAGATCTTTAATCGTCCACCATATTCTTCCCTCATTTCAAATGTATGAAACGTTTATCTCCTACAGAAACAACTTTATTCAAATGATATTAACTTCCGATACTACAGCTTTGGAACCTCCCACATACTCCCTGGGTCGAAATGAAGTTGCTTCAAACATTGCTCATACTTCCAATTTGGTGAATCAAGCTCAAATAGCGAGAGAAAGTATCTACAACAAAAACAATGCTGATGGTGGTGATCAAGCTTCGGTCGAGTATCTATCAAATTTTATTGAACCATTTGAACCAGCTGGCGATATTGACAACAATTCGACTGTTTTATTTGACAATATTGGCAATTTCAAAGAAAAAACCAACAGCTCTTTATGTCTTGAACTATTTCTAACCAAATCTGTTCCTAAACTTGACAAATTGTCTAAATTTGAGTCTCCATTTAAAGAATTCACCAGTGGTGATCCAATATATGGCTTTATCATCATTGAAAATAAATCCTCAAAGGATATCTCTTTCCAAAATTTCTATGTTTCTTTGGAAGGCAAGATATCTACTGTTAACCATGATCATGAAAATAACATTATCCTATTGACGACAAAACATGTTCTACAAATGTTGGACTTGAGTGCATCTTGGTCTTTTGGTTCCATTGTCTCTTCTTATGGTGCTGCTTATACTTGGAGTAACAACGAAAAAATAGGAATAGAGAGAACCATTATTGGATTGCCCAACAATCGAGTTTTAAAGGCCAAAACCAAATATAAAAAGTTCTTTTATTTCAAGTTTCCTTTCAAGTTATTGGATACAATTTGTAATGAGAACCAAATCAGTTCTCATCTTAACTTACCACCAACTTTGGGTGTCAACTTAAGTGAAGGCTTTAAAACTCTTCACAATGAAAGTAACTCCAAAAATACTAAATTCATTCAAGTTGATCCCATATTAGGGGCTTCAAAGTATTCTGAAAAAAGTGGGTCTACCATTGTCGTCAACGACTATAATGAAGATAATACGTTATCTGTTTCATACTCAATAAACCCAAGATTTGTTGGATTTGATAGTTCAGTAGATCAAAATTCATCATATTTAGAAAAATTTTTTATATTGAGTAAAGATGAGTACAATATTAGATTCATTCCATCCAAGCTAAAAACCGACTATTCAGGAGACAGAATAATCACAAAGGCAGTTGAGTTTATTGAAGAATTTAATAATTATTTTAATGAGTTAAAAAATATAGTTCATTTTATTTCAGACAAAATTAATCAGATGGAATCTGAGCTTGTTCAACAAACTCGGTCTGGAAAATCAATGGATGATAAAGCAAACAAACATTGTCTTTATTCAAGTTACAATTCAAAGATTAAAAAAGACTTTGTGTTTGATGAAAATTATTTGGAATTCAAACTTTCTATCAATGAGGTAGTAGTTAAAAACTTTTTTTTTGAGAAGCTTCATTCTATTCAATATAATGACTATGGTAGTCCTCCCGAACAAATTATTGTTCAAGCAAAAGTTCCCAATTACGAACTTCCATATATTTGTCCAGAATTATTAATATTTAAAAATGACCATCTTAAAACACTTTCAAATAATTTTTATCAAAACGAGAATCTAAAAATTATAAATTTTGCGATTTTGGTTCCAAATATAAAAGATGATGAATCAAAAGAAAAATTTACAAGGTTTCCTAAAATCAGCGACTTTAAAATAGACATAGTTTGCATTAATCTTTTTTCAAGCCAGTCTCTCCCATTGAATTTTTGTCATTTTCTATTTCTTGGTTCCAATTATATTGAATTGAAAAAAATGTTTCAAAATCTAGATGAAAGAATAGCCGAATTAACCAAAGTACAACAAAAAGAAATACCAGCTAATATTGTTGATTATGTTGAAGCAATCAAAGGGTTGAAGTATAAGGTGCATGCAATCGAAAATTTAATTAGTATTGTGAATATAAGTGAAAGTGAGAATGGGGATGAATGTGATGCTAGCAACATCAAACTGCAAAGGGGTTGGAAACGCATTGAACAATCAAATGAATGGAAGAAAAATTTTGAAGTAGTTTGGAAATTTAAAAGCAGGAATCGAATTACAGATACGATTATACCGGATTTTCAAAGTTGCTTGATATCAAGGTTTTATTTTATTAAGGTATCATTTGGTTTGAATAACAAATATCGATCTGCATTTTTATTACCAATAAATGTTTCAAAAAAAGACAATTAGAGTTTATCTATTTATTCCAGAATCTTTATTTATTGGTAAAGAACTAGATGAGAAATCATGAGATATCTTGCTGTAGAATAGAGAAGAATCAAAGGACCCAGCACGACGAGTCTCTTGAACATGTTATCAAATCTAACAGGACTTTCTACTTAAATAGAATTAAGTCCCTTCAATTAAAACTTTTGCTTAAGATTTAATTGTTAGGAAATAAGCAGAGAAGTAGTACTATTTATATTTGCAGTTGTAATGGTAAATGCTGTCAAGTTGTTGTAAGGTTGTTGAACCTATTAATCTACAAAAGTACTGTGTGGATTCTCAGATGTAGAAACACTTCTTTTACTTCTGTTGTTTTGGCAACAGTTTCCAAAAAGAAAGATTCTATAAAATCTGAGTTAATTTGGCAGTTATCATCTACTTAAAGCTAAATAGATGTATAGAGAATTTGAATTTCCAGTATTATTACTATTATTATAATTATTATTGCTTTTATTATTATAATTCGAATTTCAGAATTTTGGATGAATGATATTTCAATAATATCAGAAGACCATTGGAATAAATGATAGCAAAATGCACCTAAATATCGAAGCGAAAGCAAGTGATTTAATTGACGATACATCTCTGTCATGAAATGGTATCAAACCCACCAGAGGTAGAAGGAGTAGTATTTTATAACAGTTATTATTATTAAACAATAGCATTATATTTGAAGCTAAACCTCTCATTCAAGTAAAGCTTTCTTTATGGGTTTGATATTGTTTTTAGTAGTTCATAAAGCTTTTCCTTTATCAATTGAATGTTCACTGTTCCGAGCTGTTAGAGCAGTTGATTAAAACCAATGGAATTTTGTTCTTCAGATCTTTTGTAATGTGTAAAGCCATGGGTTGGCTGAATTTCGAAACATTGGATCCATTCAGAAACCAAACTACTGTAGCTCCATCTCATAATGACGACTCTTCCCATCACGTGCAAGGCATTTTTCAAAAACTACCATTTCAAAAATCAAAAATCAAAAATCAAAATTGTAAAATTTTGTTCTTTCTGGAGCATGTTGTAGCGAATCCATAAATGCATATCAAGGTAAAGAAGTATCTAAAGAAGAAAGTCGGTGGTAGCAACCGAAACTAGAGATCCGGCCGCGTTGCAGCACCTTTAATTTAAAACATAGAAACGAGTAGCGAACAGAACATTAGCGAACAGAACATCAGCAAAAAAAGCTTGAAAATAGTGAGACGTTACCCGCCTTGCCAGAGATTGCTTCTTGGGAGTCTACCTCTCTAAGATGGGTAACGTGACGTCTGGAAAGCTCGCTTCCCCTTGGAAATAAGTCATATTTGCTACTCACAGTCCCTTTAGTTACACCTAACTATCTTATTGCACACCACTCCATCTCCCTTAGAAGTAAGGATACATAAAGGCAACTAATCTATATACTTACTGAATTCGTAATCACGTGTACCAACTCTCAACATTGCTTACTAAGTTCCCTCAATCATCAATTGCAAAACTAATCTTTGAAAATAAATAATATGGTAAAGTACTTTGCACAGCAGACGATTTAATTGCCATTAGAAAACCAAACAATTTAAATTTCATTTTACTTAGTTATTCTGAATCAGACCTATATAAAAAATTTAAACATCCGTCCTCACTGTCATATAAACAACTTAAATATAAGTCCTCACTGTCCTCACTGTCCCCAACCCAAAAGAAATTGCCGAATCGCTGAATAATCGCATCTAGTTGGGCTGAAATTGAAGCCTCTAGATCATCTAAGTCTTCAAAGATAATAATTTCCATAAAACCATTATGAAACTTGTCCAATTCATCTATACATCTTTGCCCAACTGCAGTGATGGGATTTCGAATTAGCACCACAGTTAGCCATTGTGAAATAAAAATATTATCGATGGTTTCAATCTCATTATCATTTAAATAAAGATATTTTAGCTTTTGTAAGCTATTCAAATTCTCAATTTTACTAATACAATTTCTAGTTAACACCAACAGTTCCAAATTAATTAATTCATCGAGTCCCTCAATTTTTGTAATTGCGTTCCTTCTTAAATCTAAGTCAGTTAACTTTTTCAACCCTTCAAGATTCTCAATCTTCCTCANNNTGTTTCCCTCCAAATTCAACATGGTCAAGTGTTTCAAATGGCTGATATTCTGCATTTTCTGTATATTATTGCCTCCCAAATATAACTTATTCAAATTAACCAACTCTTTCAAGTTATCAATTTCACTGATATCGCAACTACGTAAATCAAGTACAGTGAGGTTACTCAACTTGTTCAAATTTTCGATTTTTCCAATTTTATTTCCATATAGTGATAGTTCTTTTAAATTGATTAGTTTATTCAAATTCTCAAGTTTTGTGATTTGATTTTCTCTAACTGATAATTGTTCAAGATTTGTCAATTTATCCAAATTCTCAAGCTTTTTGATTTCATTACCTTCTAACGAAAGTAGTTTTAGATTGACCAACTGATCTAAATTTTCAATATTTGTAACCTTATTACCATTTATCTCACAAACCTCTAGATTAATGTTCAAATTTTCAAATTTACTAATTTCATTTTTCGAAATACACAAAGTATGTAGCTTTTCTAATTTATTGATGTTCTCAATTCTTTCAATTTGATTGCAGGATAAGTCTAATTTTCTCAAGTCCCTCAAACAATTAAACTCAATTGGAATTTCTGTTATCTTATTTTTAGATAGATCTAAAACTCTAAGATTATTTAACTTTGAAATTGACGAGTNAATTCTGCTGATTCTGCAATTTCTGATTGACAAAACTTTCAAATTAATTAAATTATCCAAGTTCTCAACAACTTCTAACTCACTATTAAAATCTAAGTCCAACTTTTCCAAACCAGTTAAACAATCTAAATTTTCTATTTTCGTTAAATTGTTGTGTGATAAATATAATACTTCTAAATTAACAAGATTTTCTAAGTTTTCCAATATATGTATCTTGTTGTTATCTAGTAATAATTTTGTTAAATTAATGAAATGATTTAAATTATCAATTCGTTCAATTATATTAAGGCTCAAGTCAAGACGCTCTAAATTCATAAATTGTTGATTTCTCAATATCTCCAACTTGTTTGTATCATCAATAAAACCTGATAACTGAATTCCATTCAAATATTTAGGATTGCAGATTAACAGATTAAAAAAATTATTTGTAATTTCAAGCATGGCGCTGTTAAACAATGTTTCTTCTGGGGAAAATTCGCGTGAGAGGAAACGAGATGGTTGAACAATAGTGATAGTTTGAAGATTCTCAAAATAAAGATCCTGTGCTAAATATTGGTGAATAGCCATTTGGACTCTATAAAAATCCTCATTTCTGGAAGATTGAGGTGAGAACAAACTAGATGATTGAGCAGAAACGATATTTTGCAGATTATCAAAATACAAATTCTCTGTTAGTAATTGGTCAATAGATTTTTGAAGTTTATAAGCATTCTCAATTCTTCTTGTGTGCTTGCGCTCAAAATAATGAATTGGATCATCAATAAATAGCGTTTTAGTAAATGATTTCAAATAACTTTTAAGTATAAAGCAATCATCTTTTAATAAAACCATCTGCCATTTACGATCATTCCACATTAAATAGCCAATAGAAGTATTTCTTACGCAAAATCGATTATATGCAATTTTTAAAACAGTAAATAGTTTTCTGTAACAGAGATAGGAAATGTACTAATTGTCTGATAATGAGAGCAACCAAACAATATCCAATGGCAAATATTCTACAACCAACAGAAATACATCAGGATGAAATAATGCAAAGTCCATAATGATGAGTTGTTGTGAGCAATTGCTTCCACTGACTGGAGACTAGAGGTTAGATATACACACGTCTTTGGTGAGATATAAGAAGTGTGAGTTTNAATTAAATGGTATGTAAATCAGTTTTTGCTTCTTTAATAGCTATGGGAGATGTCTCTCCTTATATCCTCACAGGAGTTTTCAACATTGAGATTTGGACCCATAAAAATAGCCTCCTCCTTCATTTGTTCCCAACTCTGGAAGAGCATATAATAGAACAGTAGCTATAACCTACACAACTTATAGTACATACAACTTATAACCTGCGCTACTTACAAAATGCGCTACTTACAAAATGCGCAACTTACAATCCGCGCTATGTATAAGCTGCGCCACATGTAACTCGCGCTGCCAATTCCAAGCCGTGATCACGTGATCTCCGGTCCAGCAAATGGCTGTTTCTGTTTTGTGGAGGGCCCCTTTGAAGCTTATCTTATCTCCTGCTGTCCCAAAACAGCTGTTTCAGCTGAAAGAAAGAAGAAGAAAAGATATAAGAAGAGCAGTTTCTGGTTCTTTCTTTCTGGTGTTTCGATATCTCTTTCGACCACACTTTTCATCTTTGGCCTGAAATATCGAAGATGAAGGTCTCTACTGCACTCTTTAGTTCTCTCTCGCTTTGCATTTCAGCCTCCAGCTCTCTCTACATTCCTCTCTCGGATTCCTTCTCAAACAGCAAACTATCAAGCTTGTTGTCGTTTTCCTTATCCCCAAACACTTATCCCAACATCGACGAGTTGCCATTGATCGACACCCAAGCTTATCAGAATCTCGTTAATGTGACAGATCTCGAAAGTGGTGCAAACGACCTCTACTCATTTGCCGAATATTCGATCAAGCAATACGACCACCCAACAAGAGTTATTGGTTCAAAAGGTCACTGGAAGACTATCGGCTACATTTTAAGCACACTCAACCGCTACAAATACTACTATGACATCTCTACTCAAGATTTCTTCAGCACCCAAGGCAAAGTGAAATTTTCGATGCTAAAAGTCAATGACCAGCTTGTTGAAGATGCTCAACCTTTAAGCTTGACCCCACCAACTCCAAATAAAAAAGCCGTTACTGGCCCTTTAGTATTAGTTGACAATGAGGGCTGCGATGTATCTGACTTTAAATCAAATGAAGCTGCAATCAAAGATTCTATTGTATTGATCAAAAGAGGAACTTGCCCCTTTGGCTTGAAGTCTCAATTGGCTGGTCAATTTGGTGCTTTGGCTGCTGTCATTTACAACAATGAGCCTGGTCTATTTCAAGGCACGTTGGGCGAGCCATTAGATGATCAAGTTGCTTCCTTGGGTATCTCAAGTGAAGTTGCCTCCATTTATATCGACGAATTGAAAAATGGCGCCACTTTGAACACAACAGTTGTTGTTGACTCATACATTCAAAAAATTAAAACTACTAATGTCATTGCTACATCCAAATCTGGCGACCAAGATAATGTCGTTATGTTGGGAGGCCATACTGATTCTGTTGAAGCTGGCCCCGGTATTAACGACGATGGGAGTGGAACCATCTCATTGTTAAACTTAGCTGTTTACTTAACTAATTTTAAACTTAACAACGCTGTTAGATTTGCATTCTGGGCTGCTGAAGAAGAAGGTTTAGTTGGCTCAACTTTTTATGTTAACAGCTTATCCCCCAAAGAAAATTCAAAAATTAGATTATTTATGGATTACGATATGATGGGTTCTCCAAATTACGCCTATCAAGTTTACGATGCTAACAACAATGATAATCCCATCGGCTCTGAAGAATTGAAAAATCTTTATATCGACTGGTATACAGAAAACGCCTTAAACTACACTCTAATACGATTTGATGGCAGATCTGATTATGATGCATTTATTAAAAATGGTATTCCAGGTGGTGGAATTGCTACTGGTGCTGAAGGCATTAAAACCAAACAAGAAGCATCAATGTTTGGCGGTGTAGCTGGCGATTGGTACGATCCATGTTACCATCAACTCTGTGATGATTTGTCCAACCCAAATTATGAAGCTTGGGAAATTAATACAAGATTGATTGCTCATTCAGTTGCAACTTATGCTAAATCACTAAAGGCATTTCCACTAAGAGAAGATCTCATTTATTCTCAAACTCATAAAGTTCCAGTCTTTAAATATCATGGTGATCATCTTATCATTTGATCATTTAAATTAAGATTGGTCGAATTACTACAATAATTTATTCATTTATTTACATTTTTGTTGTCATTCTTTTTTTTTTCATTCATTTTTTATAATACTGTTTATTTCAAAATCTAAAATTCATCATATTTTTTTTCTTTAGTATAAAATTTAGTAAAAATTAGTCAAAGTTAGTAAATTAATAAAAGCTGATAAATTTTTTGCTTTAAAAAAAACTGTTTCAATATGCTATTATTTTTGATTTAGCATATAATACATTTGTATATATGTTGGAATCTGTATATGTAGTCTAGGTTGATTGAATTATTTGGTTTTTATGTTTAGATATCGACTATTAACTCATCTATTCTTCAACTCGTTCAAATCATCAATCTTGGAGTTTTGAAAGAGAATTTTATCAATGTTGTTTTGGATGTCTTTAAAAGAATCAAACTGAACATAGGCGATTTTTTCCATTTCACAGTACTTGATTAAATCCTGGCCTCTTTTAGCAAACAATAAATCAGTTTCTCTGGCAGCACTTAAATCGCTAACACCATCACCACAATAAAAAAATTTGATTTCATTTTTATCGTTTTCTAAATTATTCAATGAATGGTGGCGACTAACGAATTTGGAAATCTCTTTAATACAAATCGATTTGTCATGGCCAAAACTTGAATTGTCTCTATATTGGATATCCCATTGTTCTTTATTATCATCCAAATATTTGACATTGTTTGAAACAATTTCAATATCATCGTTATATTTAAAATTCTCATTCTTGAAAAAATTTGTCAAAATCGAATAAATAATTGGTTTCATCCCACTACTAACAATCACAATTGGAATATCATGAACCTCGCACCATTCATAAAATGATTTGAAATCCTGATCAACTTTGATATCCCTTTTTAAAATCTCAAGACACTGATCGAATGGCAAACCAACAGAGTTTAATTCTCTTTTAAATCCATCTCGAAAACTCGTCTTGCCAATTAAGATCTCGTTACCAATCGCTTTTCTTTGGTTTACTCCCATTCCATAATTATCAGTCAAATGATCATTGCTGTCTTCCAAAGTGATTGTGCCATCAAAATCGGTAAACACAATTGCCTTTGCAGACTTCAATTTTTCGATATTCAAAGTTGGGTATTTACTGGTAGTCATCTCGATATTTTGCTCTAAATAACTAGCTGGCAGTTTGTTACACACTTTGAGTAAATATAATAAAAGCGAAAGTCGATATAATAGATTGATATAATAGGTTGATACAGGGATGCTCTAGGGTTGAATTGGGCGCTAAGAAGGTCGTTAAGAAGGTTGGAAAGCTGTTCGCTAGTCAGTTTGATCACGTCATTGCATTGTAGAGCCCTAGGGCTGTATATAGGGTTCTTAAAACAGTTCGGATTGGGACACACAAGGACACAATGGGGCTGTCCTGAATGCCATTTTGGGGCATGTTTTTCATTGGCTGATGAGAAATAACTTCAAAGCAGACTGGAAACTGGTGGATTATATATTCTGCTATTGCCTGTCATTGCTCTGTTTTTTACACCAGATGAATCTTCTAGGATAAATGTGGCCTTCGAAATCTGGATTAGGTGTTCAGCTAAGTTATGGCATAGATTCAAATGGGTACTATCTTCAAGACTTTGATAGTGAGAATGAAAATGCTCAGGATAAAGAAAGCATCCATAAACACAGCCACAAATCTAAAGATAAAATGGATAGATCTTGGTTCAAACCAAAGGATATGAACTATAACAAAAATAAGATCGATCTCAATAAAATTCAGTTTTCGAATAAAAGATTGGTCTCTCCTCAATTGTTTCTTCTGAATATCAATCCAACTATCAACCATCCAAACAACGAAACAAAAATAAATGGCAAATTTTATGTACCGAATAACATTCTAAGCTATTTGAGCTCAGAATCCAAAAATTTGAGTTCCAACTACTTGTATGATCCCACGATTGATAATTACATGACTTTTATTAAATTGGATAGATTTCAGCTAACACTTTATGTTTCAGGAAGTTCTTCATCCTATTTAAATATATCTTGTTTGAATTACAGATCCGAATCAATATCTTCATTGAGTCAGAGCTCAAATCAAACTGATACCTCTCAAAATATTGATTTTGAAATAGTTGAAAATCGGGATGACGATATTAATAATGACAATGCTAATAATAACGAACCATTTAGATTGAGAGTGCCGAGATTAAGCCAACCAAAGACAATAAACTTATCGCATTCGATAAAACAGCTAATAACTCCTCTACAAAATTCAAAAAGTAGACTGAAATATCAATTGGATAAACCTATTAACTCTAAACCCAATAAACAGCAAAGCTTGAACCGCAATAACATAAAAACACTTTTGAATTTCTTTCCCAAAACAATTTATTTGTTGGTAACAACAGACATGGTCATTTTTGTTTTCAATTTAAGAGTCGGTTATCATTCGTCTTCTTTGAATAAAATGTTTACTATTGAGTTAGTTGGTCAATTATCAGCTTCAGAAATCAATTCTAACAATGATCAAGCAAAACAAAATCAATTTCAAAATAATAAGAAAAGTGAAAATAATGAAAATATTGTTAGTGATACCGATAATCGAAGCGATAGAAGTAATGAAAGTGATAATTTTCATTATCAAACAGATGTGCTTAAAACAGAGAATTATTCATTTGCTTACGCTAATTTCAATCCATCAAATACTGATCAGTTTATTGCGATAGACATTAAAGGTAATTGGAAGATATTTGAAATTCGAAAAAATAATTTGGAGACAATTATTTCAAATAATAATTTTTGGTTTGGCTCAGTTTATATGAATAATTTAGATAATGATAGTGAAAACAATAAACAATTTAATTTAAGTTTATCAAATTGGAAAAGGGTTTATTGGAATCCAAACAACGAAAACCAGATTATAATTCTAACTCGGAATTCAATCTATCAAATTGATTTATTTACAAAATATTCTGTCAGTGGTATTTTGGTGAATTTTGAAGACTGGTCTCAATTAAGAGATTTCCAAATTGCTCTGTTTGACAATTCAATTGCGTTTTTGTTAACTTCCAAAGAGTTGATAGTTGTGAAATTTTTAGACAATAATAAAAATGATGAAAAGATTGATAATTCTTCATACATTTTTCGGCCAGCTTTTAAAAGATTGATATCATGGAAACATTTTTTAGACCCTGACGATGTCTCTATTAAGTTATCAATTGCTGACATTAAACAAAATGCAGATTCAGATATGGTTTTTTTATTGACGGTTTATTCTCAGATTCACTCTTTGAATTTTATTTATGAATTTTGCAGAAGTGCATCGACTGATTTATTTCAATTGGTTAATCAACCCTTTTATATCATTTCCAATTTGAACTTAATTGTTCAATCTAGTCAATTAATTGAAGTTTCCAAGTTAAATAGTTCTGAACCACATTACCAGAATATATTAAAAAGAAAATTCAAAAAAAATGGCAAATTTAATTATTTAAAAACACCTAAAAATCCTATTTCAAATGAGTTTATTTTGGATTCGGATGCAGAAATTGATTATGATGATGGAATTTTCAATAATTATGAAAACAATTCCAATGAATTTGTGAATTTGGCTGAAAATTCCAAACATAATTCTGTGTCTGAACTTGTTCAGCACGAAACAGATAGAAATGCAGCTAATGAATACATTTCTGAGATAAACAGCGTTGAGGATCTAAAAAACACAGATACCCATAATAATTCAACTTTATCTCATAAAGATAATGCAAAAGACAACAATATGTTCACATTGGAGCCAGGAAATGATGATGAAAGCACAGATTTATCGGATTCTTCAGACAGTGAATCAAGCAATTCAGAGAGTGATGATGATAGCAATAAGAATGATAGCATTCAAGGTGAATTTCAAAAACCAAACAATTCAAGGAACAACTTTGATAAAAATAGGCCATCCACGAAGCCTACTAAACGATATTTTGCATTGTTTCAAATCTCAAATCAATTGGAAGTCACCAGAACTTTATATTCTACCTCATCAAATTTAATTATATCGAAATATAAAGCTATGCTTAGTTCAAATAACGCTTTTTCCGTGTATAACAATTTTGATTCGGGCATTTTTAAATATAGAGTAGATTCGCCATTTTCTTCAGTTTATAACTCTTCCTTTTGTCACTCTCCTAAATCTGGCACTTCTTTGCCTACTCGGAATATTGATTTATTCAGTGTGAATAGAGCAATTATTTCAAGAGGACATAAAACAGTTCCCTTTTTTAAAGTACTTGGAAAATGCAAAGAAAATAAGAAATTGTATCAAAAGTTGTTTCATCTTGATAAGCCAAATGATGCAAATTATTCGGAATTAGGCGATAGGCTTGGTGATATTATTCTAAATTCAATCAGCCCAAAGAAGGAAAAGCTCGAAATTTTTAAAAATGAAGAGTCAGATCGGGAAACAGATGGCCATATAAACTCCTCTTTTGTCATGGATCAATATGATAATGGCTCGTTTTTGCTTGGAAATCAACTTGCACACATGGACAGTCAGTCAAGACCCAATGGGACGCCATTGAACAGTAATGTTTTGGAAAATAAGAATTACTTCTTTAGCAATATTATTGATTTGTTGATGAGTAATGATGAGTATTCTAGTATTTTTTCGTTTTATGATTTGGGGAAATGGGATTCTGCTATTCAGTTGTTATCTGAAAAAATCAGTTGTGAAAACCTCGAAATTATTAATAATATGGGATTTAATAATATTGTTTTTAATTATTTCATAAGAGAAAATAATTCGTTATTTCAATCCCTTTTTTGTCATCTATCTGATATATGGAATTTTAAAGAGATTCTGAAAACATTTTCAATTTATGACATATATTTTAAAAAGCTTTCAATTGAAATTGGGTTGTCTCTTATAAATGTTGGTAAAGGAAGTGAAAATACTCCTGAGAACGATGAGTATGTTATTATTAAAACAAGTGAACATGAGCAAATAACTCTACCGCCTAAAATAAGAACTTTAGTTGATTTTTGGGATGAGGGCGAAGAAAATAATGATGAGAGTAACGATAATTTCTTTGAGAGCATGCTAAACGATAGATTTTCTGAAACTTATACTAAAACATTACCAAAAATCTCGATTTCTCAATCGACTAATAAAATTCCTTCAAAAGACTTTCAGTTTTCTGAAACACAAATTGAATATCCCAACAATGTATCTCAATCATCGAGATCAAGCCAAGTAAAAACTTCTCAAAGAGGGTTTGCATCTCAAATTGAACGAGGACCATTTGGAGGAGTTAAAAGAAAAAAAAAGAAAAAAAAAGGTGGTTTTGCCTAATTATATATTAAGAGTATTTTAAAATCTAGCTAAATCAACAAATTTGTCAATTCAAAGAAGCAAATGGTATAAATGATATAAAATTAAAAAAGGTAAAAGTAGAAGAGATAGAAGTAGAAAAGGGTCAGAAAATCAGAAGTAAATATATAAAGAAAGATATAAATTAAAACTGTAAATTTTAAAAGGAAGATGATTTATTTTGGAAAAAAAAATCAAAAAAAGGAATAAGACATTACATATATAATAAGAGGACGGAAAATTATAAAACAAGATTTACGATTAGAATTATGATTAAAACTTAAAATAAAAAATTTGAGCTAAAAAAAAATAAATGAAGTGGGTAAAAAATGAAATTAAAAAAGAAAAAAAAATACATGGTTGATGATAGTAAATTGTTTAAAAAATAAAGTGGGTGATTTTCGTTAGGGTCTAAAAATGGTTAAATTCTGTCAAGACTCATCTTCGTTCATTTCGTTCAAAAGCCAGGTTCTCCATAGCTCGCCAGCATCGTTGATAACGTCGTCAATATCAGTGAATGTTTTATCAATGATATTCATTGGAATTGGCTTGGATTTGAAATATTTTCTTGTGTTAATTGTTAGATGTTCATTGCTTTTGGTATGAGTTTTAACTTTTTCTAGGGGGTGTTCTCCATTAAGACTTGTTCTTGAAAGGTTTCTGTTATTCTGAAGATGTTTTAGTCTATGTTTGTGTTTGTGTTTGAGTTTTTTAGTAAGGAATGGGGATGTTTGGTTTAGATATTCTTTGATTTCTGATTCTTCCAATTCCAATAGGACATTTTCTTTTGATTTTAGCATGGATAAACAGATGAAGATTATTTCAGCTTGAGGGTCAATTTGAGAAAAGGGAATCACAGATTCGATATCATCATTTATATTTGAACTCAAGTTGTGTTGAGTATGATTAAGATGATCGATTTTGACACTATCGTTATTATTTTTGTTGTTGTTGTTGTTGTTGTTGTTGTTGTTGTTGTTGTTGTTGTTGTTGTTGTTGTTGTTGTTGTTGTTGTTGTTGTTGTTGGTATCGTTACTAATTGTTGTTGCAGAATTATTGATATTGTTGTTAATCAAAGATAAGTTTGTTAGTAGAGTATTAATTGACGATTTGCGTTGATGGTTTATCTCGTTATCAATTGAATTTGGAAATTGATTTGAGGTAGTTCTTGATAAATTATCGTCATTATCGAAATTATCAAAATCGAAAGACAAATGATCCCACCAAAAGATATCCGGGCCTAATTCTTTTAGTAGTTGGTCATTATTTATAAAGTCATTAAAGGGGTTTAATTTTTTTTTATTTTTAAAATAGTTTGGGGATGAGTTACTGCTTGATTTTGAACTTGAGCAGGAGATTGAAGTCGAATTGGATAAGTTGTTTTTATTTTTGATAATAATGTTATTATTTAGGAGAGAGCAAGAAGGTCTCCAACCAAGAATACAGTCCCAAATTCTAGCTCTATCGAATTTATTGAATAATTTTGCGCCGTACCATTTTAACCACCAAATTATCCAATCATTGTTATTATTTGAGAAATTGTTTGTATCGAAAAAGATATTTTCTTGTTTTAGGTGGTTGGTTAGTTCGGGTAAAGTTGTATTAGCCAAGTATGAGAAAAAGGAGATTCTTTCTTCGATTGAGCCACCTTTGATAGGGAGAGTGGTTAGGGAGTTGATAAAATCTGTGGTTGCATTTGTTGTTGTTTTCAATAGGTTATTGTGGTCGGTGTAATTGTTAGGGTTGTCAAAGAAATCTATGTTTAAAAAGGTATCATCTTCAGGTTCTGGGGAGTGTAGTAAGACTAGAACTATTCTTTCATAAATCTCTGGGAAGGATAGTTGTTTTTTGGGCAAAGATTTTTGTTTATTTGAGGTTGAGGTTGAGTTGATATCTAATCTTTTTAGTATTTTAAGTAAGTCATTATTGAAATAGGTATTATCGTTAATAAAGGAATTTGAATCGTTGTAATCATAATCATTATCATTAGAGTTGTTAGAGTTGCAAGAGTTGTTAGAGGTGTTGGAAGTGTTTGAAATATTTGAGTTGTTGGATGAAAAATATATGTTATTGAATAATTGAAAGTTTGGGAAATAAGAATTAAATTCGTCAAATAGGTTAATGATGCAGCTATTTTCGTTAAGGTTAGGATCATTGAAATAAGTGGTATTTATGTCATAGAATGAAGAGCTAAGAGAAGAGAACAGGGTGAATGAAGTATTCGAGGAGGAGGAGCTTAAAGAGTCTGAGCTATTTTTTGTTAATATGTTGTTGTTATTCGTGACAAGTTTATTAAGAGGGATGTGATTTTTGAAATGTTTCAAGTTGACATTTTTACCTAATAAGACATATTTATTGTTATTGTTATTATTATTATAAAGATCATCATTTAATAGAGGTGGAATCCATTCGGCTAAACCTAGAGCTATCCAAGTCAAACCAGATTCGTATTTGAATATTTTGCCCCATTTTTTAAGAAATTTGACTATTGAGTATTCTAGAGTGTTGAACAAGTTGATTTCTATTTGGGATGCTAGGTTGTTATTGAGAATGTTGTTGTTGTTGTTGTTGTTGTTGTTGTTGTTGTTGTTGTTGTTGTTGTTGTTGTTGTTAAGGTTGTTGTTGCTAGTTTTATTATTGATGGCAGCATTATTTGTTTTCTTTCTTTTGAAATAGGTATTTAAATCGTTTTTAATTCTGTCTAATGGAATGTAGTCATTATCGTTGTCGTTGCCAATTTCAATTTCATTGTCATTAGGGCTAATGTTATTATCTTGGGCAATAATATTATTGCGATGATTGGTATTGTTAGAATCACTATTATTTGGATCATTATTTTGAACACTGTTTGAATCATCATCGTTATCATCATATTCATCGTCGTCTTCATCGTCGTCATCGTCATAGTTGGAGCTGATGTAAGGGTTGAGAACAAAAGGATGATTTTTTAGCAATAAGGGCCAAATTTTGTATCTTAAAAAAGGTGGTAAACCCTTTTGTCTCGCGATTAGAGCCAAGGCCTCGATGTTTTGGTTGTCAATAAACTTGAGAATCAAGTTTATTATGGAGGAGTTTAGATTGGAGTCATCATTTGGGTTGTCCTGTGTAGTTTTGGTGGTGGTGGATTTTGATTTTGATTTTTGATTATTGTAGTTGTTGCTGTAGTTGTTGCTGTAATTGTTGTAAATGGATGAACTCGGAACAAAAGTTTCAGTTGTCATTTTCTCAGAAGCAGGAGCAGAAACAGAGGTGAGCTGGAATTGGAGCTGGCACTGCAGAACAAACAAAGCAAAGTGCTGAGCAATAGACCAGAGGAGAAGCAGACGAACCAAAGAGAGCAGATCAGAGTAAAACAACTCTCAACCATCAAAAACAGGAATTTTTCACTTCACCTTTTTCTGAAAACTGCAATTGTGGAGGAGACGCAAAAAACAGCCGCCGGAGCCCGCTCGTGCGCGGCCATCGCGGAGTAGACACCTGACCGTATCCGGATCTGAACCACGTGAAAACCACGCGACTGTCACACGAGCCCGGCTGCATAGTTGCGTCATGAGTACGTCATGAGTACGTCACAATCACGTGATTATATGACTCAGAGCTGACTCAGCAGCACGTGTCTAAGTTCTTGTTTGTGGCCGCTTCCGTTTTGGGTTTTTGGGAGCACAGAGCTATTTTTGGAGTGGAGGAGTCTTCGATGAGAACTTCGTCTTCAACATGAACAGCAGAAGCAGCAGAAGCAGCAGCAATGGTCGCAGCAGAGGCTCCATTTCAGCTCTCCCCAGCGAGATTGTGCTCAGGGTGCTCTCCCTCCTTGACTCCCACGTCCTCATCACCAAGGTTCTATGCTTGAACTCGTATTTCCACAAGCTAGCTCTTTCCATTCTCTACAACAAGATTTACCTCAACGACTACAAAATATTGAGCTGGAACTCCTCTCTGCACGTCGATCCTCTCTTCTACAATTTTGCCCACTACTCCTACTTGAAAATTGACTACCAGTTGCTTTACTCAGACTGCTTCAATGACAAATTGCCCCCAAGAGACTCAATTGACTCCATTATAAACCAGAAAATCCTCCACCACTCTTCCTTGGATGATAAAGAAAAAATGGTGCTCTACAACTACAAAAGAATATTGAATTTCTTCTCGTCCTTAAAAATCTTCATCTCTACTATCAACAAACACCTCTCCTATTTATCTCTAATCAACACCATCTACTTTGATTGGAATTTTGTCTCCTTGCATGACGATTTTGATGTCTACTTGCTAGATTTGATATTCTCCAAAATATTGATTCCTCTATCAACTCACAACAACAACACATCTCTACTATTCAAAAACTCTATAATTCAAAAGGCTTTTTATGACTACTATAATACAAACTACAATAATGTTACCAAATCTCTCCTAACTCAACAAATCATAGATTCCATTTCAAACAACTTAGAATTGAAATACATCAACGACTACTACATTTGGGACACCAATTTCAGCAGAAACTTTTCTTTTTTCCAAAAATTCCAAAAAAAGTTCCTATCAAACTCTCTTATCATCAAAAATATCGATCTCCATTTTTTCGGCACAAAAAATTTCATATCAAACCTAACCTTCATTGTCAACTCATTAAACCTACTATCAAACAACGACAACTATAACGACTACAACTACAACTACAACTACAACTACAGCTACTACAAAAAAAAAATCATTTTTCAAAATGTCAAATCTCTAAACATCTCAATTGATTTCGATAACCCCCAGGACTTTACAAATAACCCAATCTCAATCAAATTCTTTCAAAACTTTATCGACTTGTCTCTCCTAAAACACCTAACCATAAACCAATGGTGCTACCATTTCAACCAATGCGAATGCATCAAACTATGGATCTCCTTCATAAACACCCTAAAATTCTCCAAAATATTCAACAACTTTAACAACCTACTCCAGCTAAATCTAATCAACTTGCCTCTATCAAACTTTCAAATCTTAAACGATATTTACACCTTCATCTTCTCATTGCCAAATCTAAAACTACTCAAACTAAACTACAAAGATTTCAATGACCAAAACAATCTCCTAATAATAAACAACTACAACTCAAACTATAATTCCCTAATCAACCACCTCAACCTAAACCTAATCTCTCTTTCAAATTTAAATTTATCCTACATCGACCTAACTCTTGATTTTCATAGAATCTTCTTGAAAAACCTATTTACAAATAACTTAAATTTCGATCTAAAGAATCTAAATTTTAAATTCTTTTGCGACTGTCTCCATTGCTCAAATTTCAAAAAAAAATTCTCTCCCTTTTTTGATATCTTTCAACACAATAGAAATTTCTTAAACTACATCTGTACTTTTATAATTGAAATTCTAAATAACCTAAAAAACTCATTCAGATCAAATAAAATGCTAAATCTATCAAACTATTTAGATCATCCAACCCCTTCAACCAATATCAAATACTGCTACTTTAAATTCAACACCACTCACTATATCAAATCTTTCAAAAAAAACCATCTCTTATCGGATTTTTATAACAAATTCGATATAAATCTAATCTTCAAATGCTTATCTCATTATTATAAATTCTTTATAAATAAATTAATTCATTATTTACCAAATTTAAAAATCATCGTACTCGATGATCTACCTTTAATTATCACAAAAAATATTATCAACACCACCACTAATCACACAAATATCGACAATCACTTTCAAAATCACCTTCAAAATCACCTTCAAAATCACTTTGATTACGATTTAATGTTCAATATCTCAAACGATGACGATTGGGTTAATACTAACCATGATAACTTTGACATTCATCAATTTAAAAAAGATACTGATGATCTTTACTCAAATTTTAACACTCAAATTGATCACCAAATTAATGAATAGTATTATCATCTTTTCTTTCCCCTTCTCTTTAATAATATTAAAAACTCATTTTTTCATTCTCGGTTATTCAATTTCACACGTTCATATTCATCTTTCACTTTAATTATAATTTTTATTTCTCTCTCTTTATTTTGGTTGTTTTTGTTATTGCTTTCTTTTCGTTTTTAAGGGATAATTTATATTACAATTATATACGGTATATGGTAGGTTAATATATGTTTCATTCATAACTCGACATATACCTGTACAACTTGTCCATTTTTCTTTATCTTAAATAAATCAATATCTGGACAAAGAAACTAATTTCAATTCAAAAATTTAAGTTAATCCCGAAATTTCTTTATTCAGTTTTGTTTCGGTTCGGATTCTTTTTATGCCTTTTCTGGATCTCTTTCATCATAAAATGGGTTCACTTTAGTTTTAAACCCAATGGACTCTGAATTTCATTATTAAATGGGTCTTTCCTGCAGAACCTTGGTGGTATATAAACCATTTGAAACTACTCCAAAAAAAAAACAATAACAAAATTGGTTTAGATTTTACTTTGAGTAATTTGTCCTTTATTGGTAATGTTTTTTCTATAAAAAGAAAAACCTAAAGATATTAGAAAATTTATTGAAAGTATTAAAATACATATGTGTATTGGTGGAAAAATAACAATTAGTAAAATATTTGATCATTAAAAGAGAAAAATCAGAATAACCTTATAATAAATAAGATAACTTAACAAATAAAAAAACAAAAACAAACGGAAATAACCATTAAAGGTTTGTCTAAGCCTTCTTACTGAAAGCAGTAACAGTTCTTCTCTTGAGATTTCGAGCAAATTTGTGAACTTTTTGAGTAATAATGTCTTCATCAGTTCTGTCGACATGTTGCTTTTCATCATCAACTTTTTCATTGGCAACACTATCAGTTAATGGTGGATCTCTAAGGAAGAAAGCAGCAAAAATCATTGGAACACAAAAAATTACAGCAACTAAATTTAATTTCAATTGAACATCACGATAAGCTAAAACAACCTGTTGTCTTTCAACAGTTTCCCAGGTATAGGTCACGATAAAGGTAAATGGAGAAGAATAAGCAGCTTCAGCCAAATCATTGTCAGCAAGATGGTAAACTAGTCTATCATGTAAATTCAAAGTCCAGATAGCACCACTAATAGCAGCACCAACAGCAGCACCAATTCTATATGTGGTATAAATCAAAGAAGTTACATTGGCCATGTTGTCATGACTAACAACACTTTGAGCTGAGACATTGATTGGATAGGAAAAGAAACAAGTGCCCAAACCCCAAACACATAAGGCACCAATGATACCAGAATGAGCATCTTCACCACCTCTGAAATGCAATAAAAGACCCATTGCTAACATCCAAAGACAACAACCGGTGATGATGAAACCCTTTAATTTCTTGACTTTGACAACAACAAGACTGAAGAATGGAGCAGCAACAACAGAAACAAAAGAAGAAGTTAACACAATTCTGGTGGCAGATTTCACAGATTCGTGGACTGCAACAACAAGGACAGTGTAAAGATAATCAGCAGCCAAGTAGAAGATGAAATCCAAAAGGAAAGAAATAAGCAAAGCAGACCAGATACCACGATCTTTAACTAATTCGAAAGGAGCAATTGGAAATTTGGCATATCTAAATTCATAAAAACAGAAAACAGGAAGCAAGACACCACCAAAGACAAATGGAATAATGATTTTATATGAGTTCCATTTGTCCGCAATACCTTCAGCAATTGTTAAGGGAACCAAGAGACAACCCAACATAGCAGTCATTAGCACAAGACCTATCAAGTCTAATTTCCAGAACAAATAAACAAATGCTTTTTTATAACCATGGTGTTGAAACAAAGTCTTTTGTTGATTAACCAATTTCCATTCTTCAGTTTTGGAAGCTTTATAATACATATGAAGGAAGCAACAAATTAAGGGAATACAGGCCAATGGAAAGACGTAAGCCCATAAGGCAATACCCCTTTGCCAGTTTTCTCCACCAATGGCAGAGGTAACATCACCAGAAATCCAAGTGTTGATTATAAAGGGATAAGTAGGAATAAATTGGAAAAATAATCTCCACTTTAATGAAGAAAAATCGGATAAAATTAATAACAAAACTAATATAACACCGACATAACCAATATAGTACAAGATGGTACCTCCAGCATATCTTTGAACATCATAAGCTTGAGACTGGATGATGGTACCCATAGAATAAAAGACAATAGAGACCAAGAACAACTGGAATCTACCAAAGACATCACTTAATCTTGCGTAAATAGGTTGAGAGGCAGCAGCAATAACAGCTTGGATAACATTGACAGTAGCTAAAAGAGAATGAGCAGAGTAAGAGGAAGTGGCATAGGCAGTAAAGACATATCTTGTGTTACTGTCTAACCCATAACCATAACCAACCAAAAAGGCAGAGAATAAAAGTACAGCTTTATGATAGACTGTGTTATATTGGGCAGCTAGGATTTCTGATTTTTGGATTGTTAAAGATTTTGATTTTTTGAAAGCATTTTCAATTTGAGTTGAAGAGTTGTTTTCAAGATCATGATGGTTTTTTGAAGAGACAGAAGCTGAGTCTTTTCCAAAGACTGGTTGGTTGAGCTCTTCTAATGGTGGAGTCGCAGGCATATTAAACTAGAATAACTTGATGAGAATTTAATATGGAAGAGTTGATATTTTTACAGGAAAATCAGTTTTGATTTACCGATTTTAATTGTAATCTCAATTCAAGTGTTTATTTTGAATTAATGTGAATGTGGTGATGATTAGTTAAAAATTTCGCAATACAATAAAGCAGAAGAAAAAAAAAATAGATTGGACGAGTGAAAGCAGGGAGAGAAAATTGAGTCTTATATTTTACAAAACATTACAAGATTTCAAGGAAAGAAAAATAGAGGATATTGATCAACAAAATTTAATCAAAAAAATTTAATCAAAACAATCTATAGATTTTTGTTTTTTGCACTTTTTTTGTCTTTTTTTTATTTTTTGTAATTTAAATTATGAAAAAGAAAAGCACAAAGCAAGAAAGCAAGAAAGCAAGAGCAAAATAAATTCCAAAGAGCAAAAGTTAGGTTCAATTAATATAAAAGGATAAAATAATTAAAACTAAAAGTGTGAGTTTATAATTTAAAGTATAAATCAGTTTAGAACGTAATCAAATGGTAGGGTATATGACTTGAAATGAAAGAAAATGAAAGAAAAAATGAAAGAAAAAATGTAATTATGAACTACAATTGGAAATTATCCGTTAATTAATATTTATATATCAAATTAAGTAAATTAAAGTAAAATAAGCAAAAACAAAAGCAAAATTTAGAAATTTTAGAATTTCAAAAAAAAAAAAGGATGAAAATCACTAACATTTAATAGAAAATTGAATTGCTGAATTGATTTGTTTCTTTTAATTTGAGAGGAAAAAGCAAAAAAAATATAAACGTAAGAAGAGGAAATTGAATAGTGGAAATTTGAATCATTAGTATTGATTAAGACTTTGTTAAAAGTTAATAAAAATTTAGTTAAATGTAGGTGTGAAAACGAGATTTTTTCTCTTGGAACAAATAAATGGTTAAGTTTACGATAAATCCTTAGCAAAGAAAGAAATTGGAAGAGAGAAATTTAAAGTTTGATAAATAAAACAGTTGATGAATCAGAAACAAAACCGAGTGAAAATGAAAAGTAAAGAGAGAAAAAAGAGCATTGGCAAGAGGATTAATTTCACGTAATAAGAATTATAAATAATTTAGGTTTTTGAAAGTCCTGGTCAGCAAATAGCAAATGGAAAATAACAATATATAGATAATATAATTGCAAAGAATTAGAGTACTGGAAGTAAGACAAACTGGTTGCGGATTTTTTAGATTAAAATTAAAACCAGGTTTCCAACATCTAGATGAAACAGAACAGATTAAGAAATAGAGAAATTCTGTTGAAATATTGAGGTGAATGAGTTGAAAATAGTGAAATAGCGTAAATTTGAAATAGGCGGGATAAGACTGGAATAACACTAATAATATTTGCGACATTATTAAAGTTTTATGATTTAAGAAAAGATAATCCACTTGATCGATATTTTTACAAAGTTTAAAACGTATGAAAATAAGGAACTGAGATTAACAACAAATGTAAGTGGTTTCCCACCATTTTATTTTCTGGTTGACCATTTCCATTGATTTAGATGATCAAGAGCAACTTTAGTTTCTCAATTAGAGCAGCTTGTTGGTGATAAAAAAACAAGACTAATCAAAGTGATTAGGCTTAATGATAAAACACCCTCGCCAAGGACTAGTAATTTTCACAAAGACAAGAATGTGGGCCAGTCTAAGTGAATATAATAAATCTAAAAGAGCGAAGATGGGAAGGGCCTCCTACGTCCATGATGCTAGGTGCAAATAGAGGATCTAACTGGCGAAGCACTTGTGTACTACCAGAGCATGAGATTACAAGACAGTCTGGCTCTGAAGTCGTTCTCCTTCTGCTTCTCGTTCTACTTCTGATCGTGATCCAGATATTCTGGCTCAGGTCTGGGTACTAATGGAGGTGTTTTATCAATTCCATCTCCCCAGCCCCAAAAGCGGTCCTGAGATCCTGCATATTGGGGCGTATTGGGACGTGGCATGGGGGTGATACTTAAACTTATTTTGACAGATCAAAGGGCACCACTCCTGCAGAGCAAAACCTTGGCCTTCCAGAAGCTCGAGCTCGCGTCTCAGCGCTCTAATCCGGACGCTTTTCCAAAGTACGAACTTAAACAGTACAAACAAGCTTAATACGAGGTTTTTGAATAGTGTCTGCTTGGCCATTATCTATGTAACTAATCCGGTGGATTTGACAGAATCAGAACTGTGGCTTTCGACATTTACTTGTTGCGTGATTGGGCCTTCTAGCCCCCTCGATTTGCCTTTCTCTTTTACTCCAAGTCAAATGCTCAAACCAATTTGACTGGGGCTAATCGGCGTGAAAATGTTTGCAATCATGAATCTGTTCATTTTTCAATTGGCTTGGCTTGTAGACGGAAGCCTCGCTTGACGTGGAATTATAGCTGCCTTTGGCCTAGTGTTTTTTGGCCTCAGAACCCCACAGCTGGAAACTAAACGAACGGGTCATCGATGCAGGTACAAAAATACTCAGAGGTCGCAGCTGGAAACCGCAGACACATCCGGCTTCCGTGCAGCCGCGCGCACGGATCATTGCACAACCACGTGCAGAGAACCACGGTGGACCGGATGTGTGCGCGGAGTGACTCGGATTTCCGTCCGAACAAAACTCAGCTGGAAACAGTTTGGGAGTTGCCTTTAATCGCTAAAGAGTTGGAGCTGCTAATATCGTTAAGATCGTTGGTACTGATACTGATATCGTCAAGTCTGTTCTTGCAATCAATAGACTGTGTCCTGCGACCACCCCTATCTACACTGGTTTTATTGTTCTGTTTCTATCCCTTCTTTGTCTTCAGAGATGCCCCCTTCTACGTTGTCTGCTTCTTCTGCTGCCTCGAGTAACTCTTTGACACCAACAGCTTCAAATCCACCTTCAAACTCGAATCCAAAACAAAACTACAAATTAAAATATGCCAGAAATCTAAACCCAATCAATTCAACTGCTGCAGATAACATCACTGCCACATCTGCAGATAATGCCCCCAGCGACAACATCGATATCGATAACAATACTAACAATCTTACCATTAATACAAAACCAACCCTTTCTTCTGATGACTCTCCCAATAATAATCCCAACATCAATAACGACCCAAACACAAATACAAACACAAACTCATCAGACCCAAATAATACAAAAACTAACACAACCATTAATGCTAATATTAACGAAAACTCTAATGATAATAATAATGACAATAATAATAGTAACAATAATAACAATAACGACAATTCTAATGATAACAACAACAGCAACTCTAATCAAATTAACGATTCAATTGGTTTTATCAATTTCATTAATTTTAACCAAGATGGCTCTTGTTGCTCAATTGGTACCAAATCTGGCTACAAAATCTTTAGCTGCTCGCCATTTGGTAAATGCTACACAAAAAAAATCGGTGCAATTGGTATAATTGAAATGCTCTTCTCTTCTTCTCTACTAGCCATTGTCGGTTTAGGCGACCAGCCAAACATGTCTCCACGTCGTTTAAAACTAATTAACACCAAAAAAAATCTAATCATTTGTGAACTAACCTTTCCAACAACAATCCTATCTGTAAAATTAAACAAACTAAGACTAATCGTTCTCTTGGAAGACCAAATTTACGTCTACAATATAACAAACATGAAACTATTGCATATCATAGACATCCCACCAAACCCAAATGGCATCATAGCTTTGAGTCCTTCAATTCAAAACAACTATCTAGCCTATCCATCTCCCCCAAGAACCTTATCTTCAACTAATCCACTAGGATCAAACAACATCATGAATAATCAAAACAATCACAACAATCTATCAAATTCCATCCTACTAAACCACAATCTAAACAATAACCTAAATAACAGCATCAACAATAACAATAATGACTCGAATAATTCAAACCAAAAAGACTTGAAAGATTCAAACACAAGAACTGGCGATGTAACAATATTCGACACAAAGACTTTACAACCAATCTGTGTCATTGAAGCTCACAAGGCTTCTCTAGCAACAATAACCTTATCATCTGATGGTTTGTTACTAGCCACTGCTTCCGATAAAGGCACCATCGTTCGTGTCTTTTCAATTGAAACTGGCGAAAAACTATACCAATTCAGAAGAGGCACTTATGGTACAACCATTTACTCTTTGAGCTTCAGCAATGATAATAAATTTTTAACCGCAAGTTCCGCAACAGAGACTGTCCATATTTTCAGACTAGGCCAAGAAGAATTAAACAACACAAAATATCTATCAAATGATTACTCTTCTCCTGCAAACCTATCTAATAATGTATCAATCAACTCAATTAATTCAATTAATTCAATTAGTTCAACCAAATCAAATAGCACCTCAAATTCAATAAATTCTTCATATTCAAAACAAAACAATTCTCATAATCACACTGATAATGACAACGAATCTAATGACCCAAATATAAATAATAATACCCACGATAATATTGATGATCATCTCTATACAAATGGCGACTCTAATATAAAATCTAAAAACATCACTGCTAACGATATGAACGATAACGATAACCAAAATAATGACAACAATGATCAAAATAACCTTGATCTGCCAAGACGTTCATCTGTATCCTCATATGGCTCCTTGGGTTCAATCGATGTCATTGAAAGCTCAAACGATTTGGATTCTTTAAATCCAACAGCAATGGCCAATATCAACCCCTCAAATAATACCCAGATCCTTAAATCTACAAAACCAATAATTGACTCATCAAGAAGAACTGTTGGTAGAATAATCCGTCAATCTTCTCAATCTTTAGGTAGAAAAGCTGCTGAAAAAATGGGTATATATTTACCAAGAAGAGTGAAATCAGTCCTAAAGCCAACCAGACATTTTGCTTCATTGAAATTGCCTGCTTCAAATGGCACTAAAAGTGTCGTGGCGATTGGCAAAGAAATCTCAAAAAATATCATATTAAGCAACTTTCTAATTAACCCAGCTAATGGTCAAGCAAATGGTAATGCCCCAAATTTAAATAATACAATCAATAGCACTAACACTAAAAATCCTTCTAATGATTCAAGTTTAGCTTTAAATTCAAGTGAATCCAAAATAGTCGATTTATTACATGTTATGGTTATTACGAGTGAAGGCATATTTTACAATTATGGATTAGATCCTAAAAGAGGCGGAGATTGTATACTATTGAACCAATATAGCTTGATAAGTGCAGGTAATAGTGAAAGAAAATAATTTAAATTAAAATTAGATAGCAAGTTGGAAATAGGAAGTCTGATACTCAGTTTTAAAATTTAACTCCTATTTGAGTGCTCATTATTACCTCTCATAGTTCATTGATCATTTTTACTATTTTCTATTTTTTTTTCTTTTTATTTACTTTTTGTGAATCACTTATAAACTTTTATTGATTTTTTATTTTTCGGATATAACTATCAATGTCTTTTTAATTTTTTAGCTGTTAGTGTCTGAGATTTATATTTTAATTTTTCAACTTATTTATTTATTTATTTATTTATTTATTTATTTATTTATTTATTTATTATTTATTATTGTATCAATTTCTATCTAATTAAGTATATTATAATAAAAATATTTGCATATTGTATTTAAATGATGAATATTTAAAATCTATTTATTAAAAAAAATTAGTTTAAAGAATTAAAAAGGGGTTGTAAAAAAAAAAAAAAGGAAGATAATAAATTAATAAATCATTAAATACATTAAATGCTGAATAAAAAATAACTAAAAATGGAACAAAATAAGAGAATCTTTAGTATATTTCTTTTTCATGTTCTATTAATTTATAGGAAAACTTCAATATTCAATTCAACAGATGAAACAGCAAATGGAAGGTTAAAATTTTTGGAAACATTAGGATGGATAACACCGATTTCACCAATACATTTAGCTTCGGATTTATCATCTCTCCAGAAGACTTTAGCACCTCTTCCTGGAAAAAAGACTTTATCATCGTCATTGCCTTCAATCCAGTAACCTCTGGAAGTAGTGTCTTGATCAGGGTTTTCAATCCAGGGAGATCTCATAGTTTCCATGATTTTATCTAACAAACCTTGGATAATTTCAAAACCAGAGTTTTTGCCAGCATAGATGGCACACCAATTTCTTTGATTTAAAGCTCTTCTTTCTAGCTTATCATTTTTTAATACAATATCCCCAACTTCAAAAATTTTAATGGGCAAAGAGTGTTTTTGGTTTTCTCTTGTTGTCTTCAATAAACCAGGCAATAAGGATGTTCTTACGACTTGATATTCAAATGTTTTTGGATTTGCTAATTTGACAGCCAAATCGTTATTATCGACTCTGTTTAAAAATTTGAAATTTTCATCATGAGAACATAAAGTCAATGGCATAACTTCTGACCATGAAGATTGAGAATTTGCAATTCTAATAATATCAGTTACTTTTGATATTGGTAACAAACTTCCAGTGATTGCAACTGAATTCAATTCTGTATCAGCTTTCCTGCTTTTGATTAAATTATTATAACCGTAAGCAATACCAACATCTTCCATAATATCACATTGATGTAAGATATCAGGTCTTGTGATTGGGATTTTAACATTGATAATGTTTGGGTCAGAGGAAGATTGTTCCCCAGATAAGGACATTTTAATTAGTAATTGGCAAATTTGATCAGATGTTAAATTCAAACCAAGGCAACGATTCACATAGTCAATTTCACAAGGCATTTCTCTTATTGATAGATTTGGGGTGATTCTTGATTGGTTATTATGGTTTGAGATTATTTGAATTTGTTCAACTTGAAATGGGTTAGATTCAGAATATCTCGAGAACATTGCAATCAATTGATTTAAGACGATTTCGATTTTGGTTTTGTCGGTACCAGTTAATTCAATAAAGACGTTTTTGGTATCTAAGGTGATTTTGGATAGATTCGAATTAATAATTGGTGGCAATGAGGCTATATTATCCCTAGAATCCAATATGAGAGGAAATTTATCTGAATTTTCAATAATGTGTAAGAATTTGCCTAAATTTTTGTCCTTTTGATAAAATTCAATGAAGCTTTCACCATTGACAACTTGCGATTGGTTCAAAGGTATGAAACTGATATCAATTGGTTTGGAAGCTCTGTAGTGAAAATTTGGTAATAATTTATCAAGATCATGAGTACCAATTGCTACTAAAGTTCTATTTCGACATAAATTTGAGTGCAATTTGTCTTGTAAAGTGATGAAGGAATCATAAATCTTCTGGGTAAATTTGATGTTTCTTAAAATTGCAGCAGCAGCATATGGACGAATGGATTGAGTTGATTCATCAATTGTGAGAGTGAAATTAGGTTTATCCAATAAATAAGAGTAGGTTGGAGTGGACTTTTGATGTAAAAACTCGTTTAAGGACTGAGCGATTCCCTCAATACACAACAAATCGTATCTGTTAGCAGGAATATCAATCTTCAATTGAGGTTTTTCGCCTGGCAAACAATCATTGGTTGTATCTTCGTCCAACTCAATACCAAATTCAAAACACAAGTCGTCAAACTCCTGGGTGGTGAACTCTCTGCCCAACAGTTCAAAGAGGTCAGCTTTATCAACAGCAACAGTAGGCATATCCAATTAAGTAGAACAAAGAATAGGAAACAAAGAATAGGAAACACAGATAAGCACTGAATCAGGTTGTTTATCGTTGTTTATCGTTGTTTATCGTTGTTTATCGTTGGCTATCGTTGTTATTATTTGTCATTATCACTGATAAATTAAAATTTTTACGCTGCAAGTGAAAAATCTCACTAACCGGACGCTCTGACTCACCGGCCACTTTGTGCTAACCGGACAACAGTCACCTGACGTCAAACATGCCCGGGCCATGTCGGACGTGCTGTTTTGGGCTGCTCCGCGCTTCCCGCGCTTAACTACGGAGTTGATTATGAATACGTAAAGCGAAAAGTCTGGCGATGGTGGAGGAGACTCAGCAGCAATGATTTGCACGATTATCGGTGAGTGATAGGCTATCTCGTTTCGTCAGAAGACATTGGGTTGGTTTTATTGCAGTGAACAATGAGAGCTTTTGGCAGATTGATAGCATTGCTAGTGATGTTCAATTTAGTATTGGTGTCCTTGGTTAATGGTCAAGAGACTGACTTGTACAAGGTGCTCGATGTTCCAAGAGACGCCTCTGATAAGGACATCAAGAAGGCCTACAGGGTGTTGAGCAAGAAATACCATCCAGACAAGAATCCCAACGACGAGCTGTCTCACCAGAAATTCATTGAAATCGGTGAAGCCTACGAGATCCTCAGCGATAGCGAGAAAAGGCAGGTTTACGATAACTATGGCTATGAAGCTGTCAAAAATGGGCAGAATCCAAACCAGCAACAGCAGCAACACGATCCCTTTGATTTCTTTCAGCATATGTTTGGTGGCAACAGAGGTAATCAAAAAAATGTTAGAAAACAAAAGGGCCAGAACATTCAAGTTAACATCGAATTAACCTTGAATGAGTACTACAATGGTGATTTGAAAGAATACCAAATTAATTTAAAGACAGTTTGTGATCATTGCCATGGCACTGCTTCGGAGGATGGTAAAGAACATAAATGCAACGAGTGTAATGGCTCGGGCCTAAAGGTTATTAAAAGACAATTAGGTCCAGGAATGTTTCAAACTTTTCAAACCACTTGTCCAAAATGTCAAGGAAAGGGCAAATTAATTAAAAACTATTGCAAAAAATGTAATGGCCAGGGTATAATTGATTCAACAAAATCCTTCAATATTCATGTTTCTCCCGGTGTTGATAGACATCATGTTCAAGTCTTTGAAAATCAAGCTAATCAATACCCGGATAAAAATATTATTCCTGGTGACCTATTGTTTCAATTTAATGAAAACTATTCTAAAAATAACCTAGGTTATAGAAGAAGAGGCAATAACCTATTCAGAACTGAATATCTATCTCTCAAAGAAGCATTATTGGGTAATTGGAAAAGACAGCTCGATTTCTTCAATAAAGATGAACCTGTTCATATAAAAAGAATTAAAAATCAAATTGTTACAAATGATGAGATTGAAATCATTAAAAATAAAGGTATGCCAATACCGGAATCTGATGATCAATTTGGTGATTTATATATTCAATATAAAATTATAATGCCTGTTGGTTTAAAAAATCCACATGATGAGTTTTAATTTTGTTAAATAAATAATAAATAATAGTAAGTAATAGTAAGTAATAATAAATAATAATAAATAACAGATAACTAAATAGATAAATTAAAAAAAAATTAAAAATTTAAAAAATCAAGTAAAATTTATAAGTAAGTAAAGTAAAGTGAGGTACTAGTAATATTTCAATTTTTTATCAGAATTGTACAAAGGATTAATAAAATTTTATAAACAGAAAATGGTAATAAGAAAATAGTAATAAGTAAATGGGTAAAACAAAATGAATTAATCAAAGGAATTAACTAACAAATAATCAAGTAGTTAAGAATAGGTCAAAAGAATAAAAAAACAAGTAAATAAGTAAATAAGTAAATAAGTAGATAAGTAAATAAGTAAATCAATTATGAAAAAAGGGCATAATATTACTTTTCTTAAAAATAAAACAAAAAATAAAAATCAATGATAAAGGTAAAGAATAAGACAAAATAGTTGGGGAATAAGTAATATAAAAGGGTAAAAGGGAAAAAAGTGAATAAAAAGTAAAAAAACAAAAAGAGGAAAATAAGGAAATAGAGGAAATAGAGGAAAAAGAGGAAAGAGGAAAGAGGAAAGAGGAAAAAGTCAAAAGTATAAATAAATATAAAATATAAGAAAATTTTATAAATGATTATAAAATATAAAATATAAAAAAATAAAAAATTAACAATAGAACATCAGGGTATAACAGCTCTATATAAAAAAAGTTATAAAACTGATTTTAAAATTCACCTAAAAATTCCAAAAAAAAAATATTCTAAAACTTATTCATTTTTAAAGTCTAAAAAGCTTGAAAACAAAAAGATATTTGATAAAAAATAACAAATAAAATTGTTTGATGTTATTGATATTTGATTCTGGGTATCTTTTTTTTTTCTTCTTGGTTGTTGATTGGTTGTTGATTTTGGAATGAATTTCTTTTAAACACATTTTAGTCTAGCTAGAATGACTGTTCTTTCCTTTTCTTTTTTTTTTTGATCAATTTTCTTTATATTTTCTTAAAATTAGTTTTAAATTCATTGAATTTTTTTCTTTGCCCATTTGGCTGTATTTCTAGTAGTCACACTAAAAGATTGATTAAGTTTAACTTGTCTGAGGAATGTTGCAACCCATGGTGATCTCAAGGCTTGTTGAATTTGGTTATCCTTTGAAAATATTTCGGCTAAATCTCCAATCAAACCACAGGCAGCTCTACAAACGGTGTCAGAACTTGAAAAGTTGAAATCTGTTGGAATTGAAACCAAAAATTGGAAGATTATGTCAACATATGGTCGAAGATATTGTGGCTGTTTTTCTAGACCAGCAACCACGCCGACATAAGCATCTAAAACCGCTTCTTTGACGTCAATAATGTATTCCAAAGTTTCTACAGAAGAGTCTTCTGGTTGTAAATTTTGAGCTGCAGAGCAGATTTTCATGACAACATCCAAGTATGGTTGAAAAGCTTCTCCAATTGATGTAGCGATATCACCAAAGCACGATAAGATGGCCGGTCTTAGTTCCCTTCTTATATCAGGATTTGAAAGATTATTACCTAGTGTGTTCATTAAACCGTTGCAGTAAGGAATAATTTGGTCACCTAATGATCTTGAGATATCCGCTACTAGACCGACAGCAGTATTACAGATTTGAGACTCTGTATTTTCTAGAGCATTGTTTAAAAAGGGCAAGAATGAGTCCATGTATTTAATAAATTCGCTTTCCACAGCTGAGGCAGTTGTGCTGATGGCAATGAACACGTCTTCTTCGATTAGAGAATTTCTTTGATTTTGTTGGATTGATAATAATTTCAAGAACATTTCCATGAGACTATCAGATACAGATAAAACGTCTTTGCCTGCTCTTCTAATGACGTTTGATAGTAAACTTAGGATGTTGGATTGTAATTCTTGTAAATTTGACAAATCGTTTAGCGATAATTTATCCGGTTGTTGAGACATTTCGATTGTGATGTTTAGTCTGTTAAGAGCTTCACTTGCGATTGAGTTGACGAGAGGCATGACATCCTTTGAGGAGAATAATACTAGAGCACTTAGAGCTTCGTAGGCGGAAGCTCTTGAAGTGTATTCGTTATCACCTCTGCCAGAGACTTGTAGTAATACAGGCACTAAGGAGGAGTAGTATTTTGACATTGGAGTTGATTCTGTGTTTGAAGAATCTTGGTTTAGTTGTTCGATTAGATTCATTAGAGTCCAGCAGCAGTTTCTAGAGACCTTTGGGTGAACTTGTAGGCCCTTTACAATGGCATTTATAACACTTGGTAGATGTTGTTCGGTATCGATAGCGTCGATGACTAAATCGGCTATTCTACCTAGACACCAGGCTACGGTTTCTTTGACTTGCAAGTTTTCATCATCAATTAGTTCCAATATGGAGTTCAAGGCTTGGGCAATTAGGAATTTCAATTGGCTGTGGTCGGGGCCATCTAGAATTGAGCCAAATGCCATTACGGAGGCTTCTCTAGATCTCCATTCTGTGCTGTTGATGTTTCTTTCGACAAAGTCCAAGGTTGGTTTAACAACAGGAGTGCCACAATTTTGAGCGAATAGTTGCAAACAAGCACCAGCAGCCATTGAGATGTTCCATGTATCGTCATCTAGATCATCGTTTTGTTTTTTCAAGAGGGATAATAGAGTTGGTAGGACGTCTTCTATTGCGATTAAGGAGAAGTTGTAGGAGGTAAAGTCTGGGTTGTCATCGGGGATTAGGGAGGAGGAGTTGCTGTTGTTGAAGTCTTCTCTTCTGTAGGAGATTTCTAGTTCTTCTTCGCAAACTGTTGACCAAAACTCGACGGCCATGCAGGAGACCTTTTCATCAGTGTTTTGCATTCCTGAAATGGTTAAAGAATAGAGGGCTCTTTCCATGTATAAGGGCATGAATTTGTAGTAGAGGGACATGATTTTAGCGAGGGCACCAAAGGCAGCAGCTTGGAGGTCGACGTCGGAAGCTTGAGTTGCTTCACAGACGACTTGCATGATATAATTACGCTCGCCTTCTTTTTGGAAGTTTGATTGAATGAATTCTAGGGAGTCGACGAGGGCGTTTATGGCGGTTAATCTAACGATTTTTGAGTTTTTTTCAGAGGACTGAGCACCTTGTATGATGGCGATGAGGAAGTCGTTTGCTCTTGAGACGATGCCTGCGTTGTTGGGATCAGCACTTTCGCAAATGTAGCCTATTGTGAGTAGATTTGATCTTTTGATGTGGTCTGGGACTTCGGGTTTTGTGTTTTCGATGAGGGAGTTGATGAGTTCAGGCCAGTCGTTTCTGGAGAGGTCGATTTCAGCTATTGCAGCGACTAATTGGGCAGCAGAGTTTGCTACTCTGTCGTCGCTGGAGAGGAGGTTTTTGAGGGAGTTTGCTTTGATTTGGTTTTTGAAGTTGTTGTCCAAGTTGATCCATCTTTCAGAGTAGATTTTGTGTTGTTTTGGGTCTTTTGAGATTAATTGGTTTTTTAGGGCGAGAGAGGCTAGCATTCGAACCTCAGTTTTTTTTGATTCATTGTTCAAGGCTTCAGACAAGAGAGAGAGATAGAGGGGGAAGTTTTCCTTTGCAGCATTTTCTAGTTGTTGTTCAGCTTGGAATCTCTCTTGAGGGTTTGGATTTAGGATAGCATTTTCAAGTACCTGACCGATATCCATTTTGAATAAGTGAATAGGTAAATACGAAGATTAATTTAGTTGATTATTTAGTTGATTATTTAGTTGATTATTTAGTTGATTATTTAGTTGATTAGTTATTTAATTATTTGGTTAATTAAGAGGATAGGTTCTCTCTTTGTTTATTGTTTATTGTTTATTAAAAGAAAAAAATATTTTTTTATTTTTTTATTTTTTTATTTTTTTATTTTTTTGTTTTGTTTGTTTTGTTTGTTTTGTTTGTTTTGTTTGTTTTGTTTGTTTTGTTTTGTTTTTTGTTTTTAATATTTCTAATTGAAGAGATATAAGGAGATGTAATTGCAGTTGTATATTTAAGATTGAAAATAATTAAGATAATGAATATATATATCGACGAGAATCAATGGGAATTGGGTGGCAGATAGCAGACAAAAGAAGCAGACTGTCAGAGAAAGAAAGAAATAGCAGCAGTGTGAGTCTGAGATCTGAGAGTCTGAGAGTCTGAGAGTCTGAAGGTAAGAGAGTAGGAGAGTAAGAGTAAGAGTAAGAGAGTGAGAGTAAGAGAGTAAGAGAGTATGTGTGTGTTTGAGAGAGAGAAAAAAAAGAGTTTAGGGTTAACAATTGGCTGAAAAATCTGGGAAAGTTCGTTGAATAGTGATAAGATGGAGGAAATTCAGAAGATGGGCCAGATATATATAGTGATTCGTGAAGAAAGAGCTGGAGAAGACACTGGAGGAAGTGCTGAAGAAGGTGCTGGAGATGGATAAGATACGAGAGTCCTTCAGTTGCAAGAAAAGAAAAGGAAAAAGGTAAGTAAATAAACAGACGCAAGTAAAGAAAACAGTCGCAGACCACGAACAGAAAACTCTCGTTGCTGTGAAACACCAGAAAACACCAGAAAAAGCACTTCTAAAACACCGCTGGCGCACGTGCAGCAGCTCCCGGCCCGCAGCGGCAGCGGAAGCACAAGCACCACACTAGGGGTCTGCAAAAATTTTAGACCTCTGCAGAGGTGGCGAGAGCGGGGTCTGCAGCAGCCGAAACGCACGACGTAGCCGCATTCGATTTCGGCAGGTGTGTGCACGTGGCGGAATACAACACCTCCAGCACCGGGATGGTTACTGGGGTCTGGCCGGGGGTCTAGGCTTGTTTGCAACACAAGAACGTGAAAGAGCAATCCAACAGCACAAACAGCACAAACAGCACACTCCAACACAGTCAATGAGACGTCTGGTGATTGTTTTTCTCTTGCTTCTCCTCCTTCCTTTTGCCTCTGCCCACTCGGGCCACGCCGGTGCTGAAGACACTCCCACACAGCTCTTTGAAAAGTGTCCTCCAGACTTGAGCTGGCAGCAATGGCATATGATCCAGGAACACAACATCCAGGACTTTGACCCTGAGTCCTTCTTTCATTTGCACGTTTCCTCCGACAAATCGCATCTCCTTGAGAAGGACATTCTCAACATGTATGGCTTGCTTCGGGACAAGGTCGTTGGAAAGGGCGATGGAATGGGCAAACACGACGATTCTGAGGGAATCTCCGAAGACGAAAAACATCTCATTCTAACCAAGGTTCTTAACTTGATCGATCTCAATAATGACAGGAAAATCTCATTCAATGAATGGTTGAATTTTATCAACAACAATGGCAATTTACCCGATTTTGGCGTTGGTCCAGGCCATCACTCTGATGACTTTGAATACGAATATGAAGTCCATCACTGGAACAAATACCACCAAGATGACGATCCCGATGTCAAAATCCTACACAAGGAAGACATTGAACATGAACTACTCCACCACGAACACGATATCGACCATGCCTATACAGAACAAGATACTCAAAACCTCAATATCGACTCAAAAGACCCTCCCGATAACGATATCAATAACAATACTCCCAAACATAAGGTCATCAAAATCAACGACAGCTATTTAAACACCTTAATCAATCTATATAACATCCCTACAAAATATCTCTTTTAAAAGTTTATGCATCTTTATCTTCAGGTCCTCTTTAGTCTTCTTGTCTTTAATTCTAGTACTATTGATTATTATAATTAATGTCTACGCTCTACTATATTATAATATCAAATTATTATAGTAATAACTATTATAATAACATCAATTATAATAAACAATTCTATCTCATTCACAGTCCTATATACTCATGCTTTTTAATTAACTTTTCCATGGTTATATAGAAACTGCCAAATAACGCACGTCCAGCATTCGCAGAACACCCCTTCTGCATACTATGCAGATTTGTAGTTGTCCCACAATCATGGAGTCGCTTTTTCTTTTTTTCTTTTTCTTTTCCATTTCCGTCTTCTTTTCAAATCGATCCGCTCCTTTTCAAATCAATCCGCTCCTTTTCCGTGCTTTATCCGTCACCTTTTTTTTCAGTCAATCTTAATCTGATCAATCTAAATCTATTACAATCTTATCTCATTTAATTAATCTACTTCATTTCATTTCATTTCATTTAATTTCACTTCACTTCACTTCACTTCACTTCTCCTCTTTCTTCTCACAATGGCTCCCGGTTTAGGCTTCTACAATCAAGCTGTGCCCCAGCTGAAATCTCTCAAAGACATGTCTCCAGAAGAACAAGGTGAAGCCATCGCCCTACAAGTTATGGGTTTCATGCAGTCCTGTCCTGGTAAAACTGCTGTCTCTGGTGTATCTGGTTTCTTTCTTGGTGGTTTCTTTGGTCTATTCATGGCCTCAATGTCCTACGACGTCCCTGGTGGAAACCTAGAATCGGCCTTGAAATTTAACGATTTGCCCTTCAAACAACAAATGAAAATACAGTTCTCTGACATGGGCAAAAGAATGTACTCCTCTGCCAAAAATTTTGGCTACATTGGTGGGATCTACTCAGGTGTAGAATGCTGTGTCGAAAGCCTAAGAGCAAAAGACGACATCTATAATGGTCTTATGGCTGGTTGTATAACTGGTGGAGGTCTAGCTATTAAATCTGGCCCTGTTGCAACTGCCATAGGATGTGCAGGCTTTGCTGCTTTTGGTGCTGCAATAGATTTGTATATGAGAAAAGACTATGCTCCTCCACCTCCAAATGACTATGATGATTAATCCCTTTAATCACTTTCCTGTTTTTATCTATTTCTCTTTTTCTGTTTGCATTCAATGAATTTGTTCCTTCTAATGAAACTTAATGAAACTCTTTAATGATTCACTTTGTATTTTTCAAGTTTTATTTCCTTTGGTTTCTTTACATTTTCCTCCATCTCTTCACTTCAAGTTGTAAATAATCTTAATTCCATAATCTTAATTTTTTTTTTCTCTTTAAACCACTGTAAAAACTTACTAAATCCGTCTTTTAAACTGAAAATTTTTCGATTTTAAATCATCTACTATAAAACAATAACCAAACAATAACTTTTTTTTACTATTTTTTTACTTGTTTTTTACTTGTTCTTTTGTTTTTTTTTCTCTTTTATATACCCTATTGTATCATAAAACCATGGACTTGACTGACTACGCTGACCACTTTCCAACTTTCTTCACTGGAAAATCAATTAAAAAGAAACAAACAAAAAAAAAACTGAAAAAAAAATCAATCCATTATTCTGATATCCACGACTATGAAATTTTCGATCCCCAAAACGACAACAACTCTGAAATTCAAGACAACAATGGCAATTTAACCATTTACGACAAAGATGACAACAAAATTATCATAAGGTATGCCGATAGACTCTCTTTACCCCAAAACTGTCAAAAATATTGGAAACAACGTTATAGCATTTTTTCCAAATTCAACGACAACATAAGGCTAACCTCAGAACTCTGGTACTCTGTTACTCCAGAAGCAATTGCAGACTACATTGCATCCTACATAAAGCAGAACTACACTTTCACCACAAATACTGCTTCTCCACAGAAAACCTCCATCTTGGACGTTTTTGCTGGTGGTGGAGGAAACTCAATCCAGTTTGCTTACCACTTTGACAAAGTAATAGCTATCGATATAAATTTTGCCAATTTGTACTGCTTGAAACAAAATTCAAAAGTCTACCAAATCAATGAAAAGATTGAAACCATCCAAAAAGATTGGTCTCAAATCAATGATGCATATCTACTCAGCTTGAAAAAAGACTACAATATCAACTTTATATTTGCAAGTCCTCCCTGGGGTGGTCCAGAATATTTAAACAAAGATACCTTTGATTTACAAAACGATTTGAAACCATTTTCCCTAACTGATCTTTTAAGTGGTTTTCTCAAAATAACAAAAAATATAGGCTTGTTCTTACCTAGAAACTCAGATTTGAATCAATTGAATCAAATAACAAAGGATTTGTTTGGTGAAAATTCAAACTGTTTTGTAGCCAAAATCAGCTTAAGAACAAGAACTAAAGGGTATTGTTGTTTTTGGTGTTGAATTGATTTATTATTATGTATTAATTTATATTTTAAACCCTTATGGGTTGTTTTTTTTGTCATATAGCATTGCTGAAACAAAATATATATAGTATACATATCTAGAATTGAATTTGAAAGAAAAAAAAATAACAAAAAAAAAAACAATATCAAATAATTAATTGAAAATTTTAAATATTTAAACTGAAAAAATGAGTATAAACAAAAATTTATGAAAAATTTATGAAAGGCATATGAAAAAATGATAAAAAATTCATGAAAAAAAAATAACAAAAAAAAAAAATAATATAAAACTTATGAATTTTTATAAAGGTTTTTGAAAACTATTGCCATTGGCAAAAAATGATACTTCATTCAATTTACTTTCATTGATTGTAGTTAATAAAGTACTGGCATTATACTTAAGGTCAGGAACACTCATTCTATTAGTTTTATTTTTATTTTTATCACTATTGTTATTGTTATTGTTATTAACGTTTCCATTGACTAAATTATTATTAAAATTTGGCAATGGACTTCCCCCTAAAATGCTATCTCTAACTCTTGTAGAAGTTCTCAATGCTTTGATTATACGGTCTTTATTTTTGATTGTCTCTCTTAAATCCATGATAGTATCTTGTTGTTCCTGGATAAGTTCTTCCAATTCTTTATTGTTATTGTTATTGTTATAGTTGTTGTAATTATTGTTGTAATTCCCATTGTTATTTATGCTGCTATTAAACATATTATCGTTAAAGTTGGCCAATATGTTATATGAATCTATATGAATTGGCGAGGGATTTTGGTGCAAGGATAATGATGAATTAGAGCCCTTGAATGAAATTTTTGTAGGCAGTTCATTATCAGATATGTTTAAATTATTAATTAAATTGTGGATGTTATTGGCACTATTATTGTTACCATTATTGTTACCATTATTACTAGCAATACTATTATTGTTGTTATTACTGTTGTTATTATTGTTGCTATTATTGTTGCTATTATTATTACTACTATTGCCACTTAAAGTATTAAATGACTTTTCATATTCCATTTTCTTTAATTGGTTTTCCAAATGAGATATATAGCTGTTATTTTCTTCAATTTCCGAGTCTTGTCTTTTGAATAAATCTTCGATATTTTTAATTAGATTTTGATTGATTTTGGATAAATTTGAGTGTGATAAACTGTTTGTAATTTCTGATTTAATCATGGTTTGCTCTATTCTTTTGGAATCGTTTAATCTTGATAGATGTTCTAATCTTTCATTGAGTATTCTATTTTCTGATTCAAGTAGACTGTATTCGTCTTTTAAATCTTCGTAATTTTTTTGCAAATCTTTATTGATTTGAGAATCATTACTATTAAAGTTGCCATTAGTATTAGCACCACTATTATTATTATTATTATTATTATAGTTATTATTAATAACGTTCAAAACATTTGTATTATCATTAGATAATATGGAATTTGTAGAGTTATTATTTTTTAGTAAATTCAATTCGATCTTTTGTTTTTCCAATTGTATTTTCAAGGCCTCGATAATTTTGATGTTTTCTAGATTTATTTCTTCATTATTACTGCCATCATATAACTCGTGTTTTGTGACATTAAGTGTTATATTTTTGGCTCTGGCTGCAAATCTTAAAGTGTTGATAGTTTCGTTGAAATTTTCCATTGATAAATGAATTGTACAAAGGATTGATACAATTGCATTACCCGATAATGCTGGTTGTAATAGCCTTGTTAATTTCGAGTCTCTATAGTTGATATGATTTAAAGAAGAGTTTGGAGAAGATAGTTTTGATATGACAGATGATAAAGCTAATAGAGATTTATTGATGAAAGAGCCTTCTTTCCTTCTTTCAGATTGAGAGGTAGCTCTTTCTGAACCTGCTAGATCACATAGAGACAAGGTTGATATGGTTGATTTTTTTGTTGAGTTATTTTTATTGATTAATCTTATTAGAATAATAGCGTGGGACCTTGAAGATCTTTGGTTGAAATTTGTTGAAGCAGTTTTTCTAAAGGTGTCGCCTTTTTTAATCAAATTTAATAGCTGGGAGGAAGAAGTGACAATTTCTTCAGTTAAACCTATGACTTTTATTCCGTAAATTGGATCATCTCTAATTTTTAGATCAATTGAGTCGTTACTGCCATTAAATTGTGGGATGGATATCTGGGTTTGAGGCAGCAATAGGTCGATTAGTTTTTCGTTATAAATCTCTAAATAGGACACTTGTATTGTGAATGAGTTGTTGGTTGTGTTTTGGTTGCTATTGGATGAGACATCGTTGTTGTTGTTGATGTTGTTTATGTAACTAAAGATTTCATTGATTGCTAGGGGAATTAGACCAGGATCGTTGTTGTTTCCTTGCATTGAATAAGTTTTGCCTGAGCCAGTCATACCATAGGCGAAAACTGTTGCGTTGAAGCCATTGATCAAGTTGGCTACCAAGTTTTTAACGATTTTCAAGTATATGAAGGAGTTTGATATGTTTGAGTTGAAAACGTTATCAAAAGAAAACAAGCCAAATTCGGGCGTTGATATAGTGTTGGAATTATCGTTGATGTTCCATAGGGATTTTGATTTCGATGGAGACAAGTTGTTGTTGGATAAACCACTGGGATGAGGTATGCTTAATGGTCTGGGTCTGATTGAAACCGATATAGTGCCAGAGTAGGAGGAAGAGTTGAGTGAGGTTGAGGACGATGCTGAGGAAGAAGGCGAGGTTTCACTGTTACTATTGCTAGTGGCAATGCTATTGGCGAGCGAGTTATTTAGTATGTTGTTATTACTTAATAGGTTTTGATTATTATTTAGACTTGAATTAGGTCTTGAATTTGGTCTGGAATTCAATCTGGAATTTGGTCTTGAAATCTGTCTGCTGGAGTTTCGAGATGAGGATCTGGAAAATGGATTAACAAAAGTGGAGCGAGTTGGACTCTTGTTGTTGAGGCTGCTGCTGCTGTTGTTGCTGGAGCTGGTGCCATTGCCATTGGAGAGACTGAGCGAAGAAGTCTGTCTTCTTAGCGACGATGGTGTTCTTGGAGCGAGATTTGCAGATCTTCTGAGACTGAGGTTCGGATTGTAGGTCGACATTGTTCCCTTTGGGGGACAGTGGGTGTAATTGACAACAGCAAGCAAGGAGTGCGATGAACAGATACCACAAGTTGTTGCTGATAATGCTAGCTTTGCTATGCCCTTTCTCTTGCCTGGATATTCAGTTATTGTTTTTTTTTACTTACCTCTGTTTGAAGCTGCTTCTGCTACACACTTTCTGCGAATTCCGCCCCTGTCCGAAATTCGAACCGCGCTCAGAGCAAAGGCATCCGTGGACGTGGTAGCGGATTACCAGCCACCACAACGGGTCAATGCATAAGTCTGCAGTGCTCTGAATGCGGCGTAATTAGACATATACAGACATGGCTGTACTTTCGCCCGCAAACATGGCACTCCACCGGATACCCCCTCGGAACGCGGGCGATTGGTTTAGCGAGTATCTTGTTTGCTAAATGCCGTGTTGTGATTGGCTTGTTGGCTGGGCAGTATTACTCAAAAGCCCAGACCGTTGGAAGCGCTGTGTTGGGCGCGAAACGAAAATCACAGCTGGATTGCAGTACTAAACAGAGCAGATACTACTGGCTGTTTATTTGGGTTATCGCAAAAACGCAGATCACTGCTAACATCCGGTTGTCAGTTATCTCCGGAGATGCAAGGTCATCGCGCTCGAATTTCGCTCAGCAATTTGAAAAAATTTGTGCTTTTAGGTTTTCGTCCTCTTCTTATAAATTTTCTTTTCTTTATGCTGTTTTTTTCCTTTGCAAAAAAAGAGAAATTCAGAAGATGAGTACTTTAAATTTTTTGAATTTCAATAGTTTATTTAATAATTTAATTTGGTTTCAATTTAATTTGATTTGATTGAAATGAAATTATTTATTAATATAATCAATACTTTTATATAATATTCAATAATCCCGTTAATATTTCTTCACTCGCCAATACCTTGTATTCCTACTACCCAATAGCATTAGTACCAATAATAATCATTATAATATTAAAATATTAAAAAGTACCAATGTCTGCAACAAATTCGATCAAACTAATTTCAAGTGATATCCACAGGGGTTTAGCTGAGCTTGTCTCAAAAAGGTATGTCTCTATCCATTATAAAGACACGACTATGATCTATGAAGAAAAACAAACTACGATAAAAATAAAAGAAATACACTCATGTAAATTAAAGAAGAAACTCCGATACTAATATTTTTTTTTTTTTTACTTTTTTAATAAGACTTGGTTTGCCCTTATGTAAAGTTGATCTTAAAAGAGAATCAAATAACGAGGTTTCCTTTAGCATCAGAGAATCTGTTAGAGATGAAGACATTTACATAGTGTCTCAAATATCTTCGGGCGATGTCAATGATCGTTTATTGGAACTACTTATAATGATCAATGCTTGCAGAACTGCTTCTGCAAGAAGAATCACTGCTGTGATTCCCAACTTTCCTTACGCAAGACAAGACAGAAAGGATAAAAGTAGAGCTCCAATCACTGCTAAATTAGTTGCTGATATGTTAACAACTGCTGGTGTAAACCACATCATAACAATGGATTTACATGCTTCTCAAATCCAAGGCTTCTTTGATGTTCCTGCTGACAACTTGTACGCTGAACCAAGTGTACTAAGATACATCAAAGAAAACATTGATTATAAAAACTCAATCTTAGTTTCTCCCGATGCCGGTGGTGCCAAAAGAGCTGCCTCATTAGCAGATCGTTTGGACTTGAATTTTGCCTTAATTCACAAAGAAAGGGCTAAACCTAATGAAGTATCCAAAATGGTTTTGGTAGGTGATGTAACTGATAAGATATCCATAATAGTAGATGACATGGCTGACACTTGTGGCACTCTAGCTAAAGCTGCTGACATCTTGTTGAAAAATGGCTCCAAAATGGTCATAGCAATTGTAACCCATGGCATATTGTCTGGAAATGCAATCAAGAACATTAACAACTCTAACTTGAATAAGGTGGTGTGCACAAACACTGTTCCCTTTGAGAAAAAATTGCTTTTATGTCCCAGGTTGGACACAATAGATATTTCAGGTGTATTGGCTGAGTCCATTCGAAGACTCCATAATGGTGAATCTGTTTCCTATTTGTTTAGAAACTCACCCTTATAGTTATCCCATTATAACTAGCCTAGTTTGCCTAACGAGTAGAAGCTTGCTTTTTCTCTCTCTGTCCTTTTTGCCTCTACTCCTTCTATACGTTTAATATTCGATTTCTATCAATATACATCTCATACACTCTGGCTTGGTTTAGTTTAGTTTAGTGTAGCTTAGCTTAGCTTAACTTGATTTATATTCCATAGCCATTGCTTCTCTTAATCCTTTAGTTATTGGCTTAATAACCGAGTGTTTTTGCCTCCAAACCTTATCCTTCCGAATGGCAAATTCAGACGCATTTTTGAAAGCCATTTACGTCTCATTTCATTTCATTATCTTATCACATTAGCAATATAAATACACAATAATTAGCCTTATTAACAACTAGCTCCTTTTGATACATCTATACTCGAAATTAATACTCCAAAGACTTTTTTTTTTTCCTTTTATTGAAGACCTTTTATATTGATATCTTTCTACTCGCTTTGTAATAATAACACTCATTCAAAATGCCTGCTAATTCCTCTCCTTATGCTGCTTTTGCCTTCGATGTGCTAATCTCCTCCTTGAACAAGCAAAAGACTCCTACACATAATTTGAGGTTTTATAAAGATTTGTTTATTAGAAAGTTCAGTTATAGCGATGATATAAACCACGATTCTTATCCATTGTTTGTGACTTGGAACATCATAGAGGGCAATCTCAGCAATTATCAAGATGACGAACATGAGTTAAGAGGCTGCATTGGATGTTTTAGCAATTTGCCCTTGGAAAAAGGGTTGATTGAGTACTCCAAAATCTCAGCATTTGAAGACCCAAGGTTTGAACCCATCGAAAAAAGGGAATTGAATAGATTACTGGTGTCTATAACTTTATTAAAAGATTTTGAAGTTGGACTGAATCCTTTGGATTGGAAATTGGGCGAAAATGGAATAAAAATTTCATTTGTTGATAGAGGGAGCAAAAAAAGTGCAACATTTTTGCCGGATGTGCCAGTTGAACAAGATTGGGATAAAGAGACAACATTGAATTATTTGGTTCAGAAAGCTGGTGTTTCCAAATATAAGGTTAATTATAAGAAGTTTGATATTAAATTGACAAAGTATAAAGGTGATAAATCTTCAATGAGTTATAAAGATTATCTCAACTTGTTTGTTTAATTCAATTTAGAATTGTTTTTAGTTTTGTTTTTGTTTTTATTTGATATAATTTTATCATTTCGTTTATATTTCATTACAACTTGTGATGATCTTATTTTCTTGATGATACCAGTTTTTGCATCTGAATAGTCTTTAAAATATTTTGAGATCATTATGATTTTCAACATAGTATAAATATTGTTTTAGATTGTATTTACAAATAGGTTTCAAGCAAGTTAAACAGTTTTGTAAAATTTGAGTTTGCATTTAACAATAGAGGTTCATTTAGTTATTTTTATCATACAATGCAAAAAAGTATCAAAAATTTTAACCCCTTAATAATTGATAAATCATAGATAATAACAATAATATTTTTTTTTTATTATTTAAAATCAATAAACTAAAAATCAGAATAATTACAATTAAACAATTCTAGAGAAAAAACGATAAATTGGAAACCTTGTTTAAAAATCGATTTAAAAAACAATCTATGGTTCAAAAATTTAGTTAAATAAAAACCAATGCACTGAAAATAAATGACTACTCCGAGACCAGACCTTACTTTAAAACAGCAAAAGAGCATAAATCATTTATAAATTATCCAAAATAAGTCAAAATAAGTCAAAATAAGTCAAAAAGCAGCATGAAAAACACCAAAAACACCAATTTAATAGAGCAAACATAAACCTTTTATTCAGATCCAACCGACTCAAATGTCTTAGGAGCGTTCGAATTCCCTTTTAGAAACAAAAACCTCACCTTGAGGAAGCAGAGCCGGGATTCAACTCCACAAAAATGGCTGCTTTTTAAGTTTCTAAAAACACACAGCACACCGCAACCTGCATGAAACCTAATATTCTTATATTATCTTGGCTTTCTCTCAAACCGCATGATTTACCCGGTCTATGTCCAGGATTTATATCTGCACTCATAACAAAAGTTTTTTAACTTTTAGCTCTGTGCAGTTTAGCTTTGCCAAGAGATATAGTGTAGACTAGTATAGTCTCTGTATTAATATGCGATGTCCTGCGCTTGCGCACATTCTTGATAGCTTATACCGCTGTGTGTATGTGTGTATCTACTTTTGCTCCCAATCTTTATCACTTCATATTTTATATAAGGCTCAAAATTTCTTGATTTTTAATCTTTTCAATTTTAAATCCATTGAAAAAATACTTTCAAACTCGAAAATGCATAATATTTTCAGAAAAATAGGGCTGTGTTTTAGCTTTGGGGAAAACGGTTTAATCTCAGGAACAATAAATTCGATCTCTGGTTGCAATAAATTAAATAGAGAGCTGAAAGCTGACCAGATTGCAATGATTGCATTTAATAGTACTTATGCAATTTAATTACTTGTAAGCTCTCGTAAAGGATTGTATCTATCTGGTTCTGCTTTATTATTTATATCTTTTGCTGCTATTGTTATTCTTGTTTATTTTGTTTTAGGTTCATTTTTCAATTTGGATTTCCATATTTTTACTTATAACATTGATACTAGATTATCTTCCAATTAAACAACTTGGTATATTTGAAGTCATTTCATCTTCTATAAAAATTTTTGTGTTAATTGGTATAATTTTATTTTTAAATGTTGCTATGGCTGGTGGTGATCCAAACAAGGATACTATTGGTTTACAACAGATATTGGGGTAACTTCAGCACTTTTAAAGAATACACAACTGAAAAAGGTTCTATTGGAGGTCTACCAGGTTGACTTGCCGGATTTATTGCATCTTTAACTGCTGCAAATCTGTTCATCTTCTGGAATCGAAATTTTTTGTATTGTTTTTCCTGAAGCTACCGAAAAGTTTGAAAAAGCTATCATCAAAGCAGTCAATTATACTTATTTTCTGAATACTACCTTTTACATAATCACCATTGTTTTGTTATGCAAATTTTACTGTTTCTCTATTAGCCTTTTTAACCATCACTGACCAAAAAGCCTTTGACTATTTTGTATTAGAAACATCAATTTTTGTCTTATCAACTTGGTCAACCATTCTTTTAAGTCATTGTTGCCTTTATGAACAGTTTTTCAAGCTCAAAATCATAGAACAATTTGGAAAATTCGTTGAAGTACAATACTTTATTAAAACCATTCTCTATTATTGTTGCCGCCTATATAACCATCAATTTATATTCAATGTCATTTTTCTTTATATCATCAATACACAATATCCCATTTTTGTTCTTTTGTAACTGCTTTTTTTGGCTCTGAAAATAACTGCTTGCAACATCGTTTTGTGGAAATTGATTTTTGAATTTCCAAAAACCTCAATCAACAAACCATTTGGTTTATTTCTTATATTCGAATCCCAATTCAAATGCAAAAAACAACAACAGCTCACTATCCAAAACAGTAACCATTTGAAACCACTTCAATCAGCATGGCAAATCACATCAATGGTCAAAACCTGTCCAAAATACTTATTCTCATTTGCCTTCTTTTAAACTTTGCTGATTGTCTATCAATAAACTATAAAAAAGAAAACACAAAAATCTACAAAAACAACCAAAATCCCTTCTTGAATTTAAACTCCTTCAAACATTTAAAGCCATTCAACTCTTCGTTCATAAAGACTAAAGTCAACTTTACTAAAAACCTGAATTTACACTCAAACTCATTTTTGGACTTGGATCTTTCGAACAAATTATTAGAAAACCTGCTAAATTCATTTGATAACAAAGATCATCGTAACATTTCTGCTTCAAACGAAGATGAAAACGACAATCAATACAACCATTACAATCCAATCAAAAACTATGCTCCTTACACAACTTTATGCCCTTTGAATGAACGCTTGGTAAGATCTGCGTATTTTGATGGACTTAACCAACCTTCCTCACAACTATCGCTATCACTAGAAGAACAGAACTATATTGCAAATAGACAACAAAAGACCCAGGTAGCTCTTGAAAACTATCTTAACAGAATCAGTATCGATGGCTTCAACTGCTCTCACTTCCTAAAACTATCTTCAAAACCCACCACCATCAGCATAGCCATATCTGGTGGTGGATATAGATCAATGCTCACATCTGCTGGAGCAATAAGTGCTCTAGATATAAGAACCAAAAACTCAACCAATCTGGGTCATTTGGGTGGTTTGCTACAATCTACATCATACATTTCAAGTGTGTCTGGTGGTTCTTGGTTACTCACCTCTTTAATGTTCCACAACTTCAAAAGTATTGAAGAATTAAGAGATGATAGCAAGTATTGGCGCTTAGATTCTCCATTGTTAGAAGGAATACCTGATGTTAATATTGATGTTAATAAGTTAGAGAGTACTGGAGACAACCAGAAAAACAATGAGAACAATTTTGACTTTGGCAACAGTAACAGTAATGGTAACTTTCCAAAAATGACTTTTAAAGATAAAATTTTGAAATCATTAAATCTCAGTGGCAAACAAAAACGCGAGAATCCTATACATGACCATGATTCTGATTCCAATTTCGATTTCAATCCAATAACTGATAGTAATAATAATAATAATAATAATGATATTTTGGATTTTCAAAGTTATTTTCATTTCGATAATATTGATGCTTATGAATCTCCTTTCAGCGACTATGTACAAAATAAACAAAATAAGAGCAGAAATAGCAGTTTGGAACAAATAGCTCATGACAACAATAAATCTAAACTCAATAGCACTAATGATCAAAATATTTGTAAATCCAAAAAATTAGAAAATAAACAATTGGAATTTCAAGAATTGGAGAATAAAAAAAATGGACTTTCTTTGAAAAACTTTTTTTCTAGACTCTCAAATATTGATACAGATATTGATACAAATAATAATAACAAAAACAGCAATAATAACAATAACAATAATAATAACAATAATAATAATAATAATAATAATAATAATAATAATAATAATAATAATAATAATAATAATAATAATAATAATAATAATAATAATAATAATAATAANATAATAATAATAATAATAATAATAATAATAATAATAATAATAATAATAATAATAATAATAATAATAATAATAATAATAATAATAATAATAATAATCCATTGGATTTATCTCACGAAAGCATGCCCATATTGAAAAAAAATTTAAAAACCAAGACTTCCCTCTCATCATTTAAGAAAAATTTAAATGGAAACCCTAAAATAACGAAAGAAAAAGAATTCATTTTTAATAACGATCAATTGAAAAAAAATTCAATAACAAATTTTAGAAAAATATTAACATTCTATCGCAATTTACATCGAGATGTTCGTGACAAAAAGCTAGCTGGATTTCATATTTCATTTACAGATTACTGGGGCAGAGCACTATCAAAAAAGATTTTGCCATTTCAAGAAAATAAATCATTGACATTCTCAAGCGTTAGAAAGCTACCATCTTTCAAAAACTATGATCTACCATTTCCAATTTTGATTTCCAATCTACGATGGCCCACCAACGACTTGGAAAAAATAAACAATGATTTAATTGACAGCAAAACTTCACAAATATTTGAATTCAATCCATATGAGTTTGGCAGCTGGGAATCATACTTAGAAGCATTTGTAAAAATTAAGTATTTAGGTACAATGCTAAATGATGGTATTCCAATCTTTAAAATTAATAACAATTCAATTTGTGTGAATGGGTTTGACAACATCGGGTTTATTACAGCAACTTCATCGTCGTTATTTAACAGTGTTATTTTCTTCATTTGGAAATTGATTGGCAGAAGCAAGAAAGAGACATATACAGCATTTAACACAGTTTTGAAAATTTTTGGATTAAATATCAACGACAATAATCAAAGTACCGGTTTTAATAAGCATCATCCTGATTACGCACTATTTTCTCCCAACCCATTTTTCGGGTACAACCATGGTAAAAATTCATTAAAAATTAGCAAAATTCCTCATTTGTTTTTGGTTGATGGCGGAGAAGATGGACAAAATGTACCATTTCAGCCATTTTTAACAGTTAAAAATAGAGAGGTTGATTTAATTATTGCAATTGATTCCACATCGGATAAATGCAATTATCCCAACGGCACAACTTTAAAATTAACTGCTCAAAGATATCATGGTTCTAGTTTTATTGATAACAATAACCAAAGCACTTATGAATCTATTATGAATACTAGCAGAAATAATTTTGATTATATTAATAATAGAAATAATGAAAAGTTAAAAAACAGTACAAAAATAAAAATTGAAAATAGACATGATGACATACCAAGTAGTTTTTGGACGGCAGTTGGTGACAAGGAAAAAATAGTTGAGCACGATATCTTTCCTGAAATTCCAGATTTAGGTGATTTGGTAAAAAACAATTTTAATAAAAAACCGGTGTTTTTCGGTTGTGACCTAGATAAGGCATATCCTGTTAGGGCCTTCAATAATAAAAATGCTGAACACAAAGATAAAACCAAAACCAAAATCAAAACTAGAAACAATAACGGCACAAAAAAGATCTGGTTTCCACCATTAATTGTTTATTTTCCAAACTCTAATTATACGTTTGAATCAAATCAGTCAACTTTCAAACTACAATACGGACATGATGAAGAATGTAAAATGATTGAAAATGGCTATAGTATATTGACATACGGAAATTCATCGAGTTATTTAACTAATAAAGAGAATTATGAAACCGAAAATATTCGGTTTGATCAGTGTATGGGATGTGCAGCGATGAAGAGAGAGTTTGATAGAATTGAAAGAGGAATAAACAGAAATTATTTTCAAAAGGAATCAAAACATAATTTGAAGAAAAATATTTATTATAGTGTAAATAACCAGACTGAGATATTTGAGATTCCTAAAATCTGTGTCAAATGTTTTGAAAAATTTTGTTATAATTAACGAGCTGAAGAAAGGAGTTCAAACATAATTTTAGTTACTTTTAAGATTTGGAAACTCTATAGAATAATGAACTTGTTTATATTTTAAAATTAAAAGATTAATATTCTGTAAATATTTAGTATTAAATTTATTACTTTGAATTAACCTTTAGTTTTAAAGTAGTTGAAAACTAGTAAAAGGGATGCTTTTCCAGATAAGGATAATGAACTTGCTTTTTTGTCAATAATCTACGGCATTAGTAGCTGACAATGGCCATGTTTTTTCTTGGAATTGATGAAAGGGAGTAAAAATAAAATTGAAAAATTACAAAATTGAAAAATCGAAATTTTTTTAAATAAAAACAAATAAATTCTTTAATTCACTAACAGTTGATTCAAATCTAATCCACCAAGGATTTATCAGAAAGGGAAAAAAAATTAAAAAATAATAAATTTTAGTTGAACACAAAACCGGATGATAATAACTAACTTTAATTTAATGAGCAAGAGAAATAATGATAAAATAAATAATAAATATTAGAACAAATACACAAATTTAAAACAAAACAATATTTCAAAATATCAAAAAAAATATCGTGTAACGAAACTTTACACCATCTCTGAACTTTACAAATATTTCTGAGGATCAGCAATGTGATTGCTCGCATGAACAACAACAACAGTGGTCGGAAACCCAAGCGATACGAATAAAAAGTGGCAGACACAGACACAGACACAGACACAAGCCAGAAATACGAGGTTCGAGCAATCAACAATATTAAACATAAAAGCTTGAGCAAAAGCTTGATACAATAGCGAACACAATAGCGAACACAACAGCAAACACAACAGCAAACACAAAAGCTTGACACAAAAGCTTGACACAAAGACCCTGCATGATGGTGCTGATAGGTGTTGGAAATAGAGCAGAGTGAGACAGAGTGAAACAGAGTGGGGGGGGGGGGCAGGGCGATAAGATGCCATGAAAAATAACTCATGAAAAATAACCCATGAAAAATAACCCATATACACAGTAATGGAATAGTTTGGTTGCTATTGTTGCAATTCTGGCATGTTCGTTATTATGATTGAGTTGAAATTGGTTCTTTTTGTTTACCGATTATTGATTTATTGATTTATTGATCATTTTTTCACTTAATTTTTCACTTAATTTTTCACTTAATTTTTCACTTAATTTATTATTTTGGGTGATATGTTTTCTTTTTAAATTCAAATTGGACATGAGATAGTGTCACATCACTCACATCGTTGCATCAAATATATGGTCTGATGTGCTGGGTTTCCAGAGTTTTTGCATTGAAATCTGATATAATTGCTTGCCATTGTCAATTAGCTTTGACCATAGTAATAAAATGATATATAAGTAACAGGGATTTCTCATCCATTGACAGACTTTCTAGTTGGCAATTATTTATTTCAGAAACAACTGGAATCTACTCTAATATATCTGTACAACTATTGTTCTAATTGTTCCAATTATACAAGTTATACAAGTTATACAAGTTATACAAGTTATACAAGTTATACAAGTTATACAAGCTATACAATCTGTATACTACTGATTTGTTTGGGATATTAACCATTTAATTTATTTGATTTTGCTCTTTACCAACATCGTTGCTACAATGCCTGCTCAACGATCCAGAAACAACAATTTGAAAAAAGCATTCTTTAAACAATTCACCTCCACAGTGTTTGATACTTACAATAAAGACATTGACAAATGGTTTGCCTACTACTTCTATGATCCGTTTGCCAAATCGGTGTTTTATGTTGCCAACACCAGCACCAGAATGATTTGTGAACCGGCTTGTATGGAGTACGAAAAGGAACAACTTTCTCCCAACATTTGCTTTATCACAAAGTGTGAAGCACAACAACTACAATACCTACAGAATTACAATTTGTGCAAATGTTGTGTGCACTACTTCACCACCACCACCACCACCACCATAAACAACAACAACAACAATATAATTGGTAACAGTGATCAGTTTGAGGTTGGGCTTTTGGCATCCTGCTGCAATCAGCTATTCACCAATGTGTGCCAGATCGACATGCACGAGCAGTACATAAAAGCGTCGAGAGATCTACAAAAAAATGCCAAATTCAACAAGAAATCGGGCACTGCGACAGGCCAAATCTCCTACAACATGCCTTATAACGTCAAGCTCGCTCAGCTAAGTGCCAGAATGCTAGCCAACAACGCCATGGCAATTGAGCAAAACCGAATGTTAGGATTGCCTCAGATACCCAAACTCACACTAAATCAGCTTGTCAAAGCCAATGGCTATTCTGACTGCTACTACCAAAGGGTGTTCAAGTCCATCATCAAACTAACTCCCAAAGAATTTGGAGCAGCATGCCAGAAAGTCTTTAGAGAGTATTTTCAAGCTTCTGGAAGTCAGTTTGCACAGTGTTTGAATACAGGGGCACCATTGAGACAACAACCACCTAATCCATCTACATTCAATGGTGACTCAAGCGCTTATACAAATAGTAATGCTAATGGGATTAATAGTGCCAACAATAATAGCGCTGCTAATATTACCGATGGAAATAATACCAATAACCGTACTGATTCTATTGAATACTATATCGATAGTTTTAAGGATGTGTTGAATCACACTAAAATTGTTTCTGCTGTCTCTACTACCACTGACTACACAGTACCTCGAGTATTGCCTGAAATATGTGATGAATTGAACAATAATCCAACAGAAGCAAGGGCCTCTCAGTCAATTGATGTTTGTGATAATGTTTGTGATAATGTATTTTATAGTTCCATGTTCAAACAGCTTAGAACCCATATGGAAGTTTTGCAAATCGATGAGAACAGCAATCTTAACATAGAGCTCAACAATAACATACAAGACAACCTTGTTATCGATTCGAACACTGATTGCAATATTGATTGCAACATTGATTGCAACATTGATTGCAACATTGATTGCAACATAGATCCCAACATAGATCCCAACATAGATCCCAACATAGATCTAAACATCGATTTCAACGATTATTTTGAATACCCAGATGATGTTTCTAATAAAACTCTGGAGCATGTTGAAAGCCATGATCAGGATCAGGATCACGATCCAAACCACGATCAAGATTACAATCAGGACTATTTTTATGTCTTCCAAAATACATCCGACCCTAGTAGTTTTGATTTTATTGAAATTGAAGAATTTGCAGCTAAGCAGATGTTACAGGACTCCAGTATAGACAACTACATAGCATCTGAGTCATTGGCAGAAAATGAATCAAATGAATCAAATGAATCAAATGAAATTAATGAAATTAATGAGTTAAATGAGCTAAATGAATTCACCAATATTGATATCTCAAGTAATATTCCTAGAACTTTCCAGTTTGACGACTTACCAGAGTTTGATGTTGAACTTATGCTCAAAGACATCAACAATATGTTCAACGACATTAACAATATTCCAAACAACAGCAGTGATTCCGAATATGACATTGATATGGAATCTTGATGTTAAAGTGATATATGTTATTATTTGTGGCGTTATATTGGATAATGGGATAATGCCGAATGGGATAATGCTGAATTGGCAATAACTAATAATTAATAATTGGCAGATAAATATTTATTTTAATTGGTTTATCTTGCCTGTTTTATGTTTCACTAGACAGTTTTAGTTTTTATGTATACTATACTATACTATATTATATTATATTATATTATATTATATTATATTATATTATATTATATTATATTATAATCTTTATTCTAATCTATACTATAATTTAATTTAATCTATATTCTAATCTAATCTATAATCAAATCAAATCACATAAATTGCTGGTGTTGATTTTAGGCAATGAAAATACTAAAGGCAGTGCTGAATTCTACATCAGTAATAGTGCTTGTAATAGAACTGACTGTGAATGTTACTGTTACTCTTATGGTTATTGCTGTTTCTGCTTCAATAACACAAGAGTTCTACAAAACATCAACTACCATGCTCCAAATGGAATAAAGCATACACTTTGAACAAAATACTGTCCAATGTATGTGTGCCCAATAAAACAACTTTTGCATTTGTATATGCTACTCAATCACATATATGGTACAGATATTTTGCTGATGGAAATAACTTTTATTCGTTCAAGATAACAGTTTGAATCATCAATCAGTTCATAATAATCAATTAGTTCATAATTATCAATTAGTTCATAATAATCAACCATCGTTAATTATCAATATATCATATTATATCTCTTTTTATTTATATTTATATTATTTATATTATTTATATTATTTTCATCATGACAAACTTTATTTGCAAATCATCTGCATGGACCAGCACCATGGGTGCAGACCAAAACTCAATTCCCAACATCAATCCATCCGCTGCTTATTACTCCAACTCCAACTCCAACTCCAACTCCAACTCCAACTCCAACTCCAACTCCAACTTCATCCCATTCGAGCGCTCATTGTTGTTTGAAATACTAAACTATAAACAGGTGTATCACAGCTTTCAATTCCAAGCCAGAACAGCTTTGCCTGATAGCTCCAGTGCTTACAGCGATACCAATCCACCAGTCTCACAAATCAACTGTCTGGGTGCTCGTTGTGCTACTGACACTGGTTTGACTCAAGCAAAACAGTCATCGTGTGGATATAATGGGTGTTTGAATGAATTTGCTATCTCGACTGGTTATGTTCCAAATCCCAGTGTTCCGAATTCAAATGTCTTAATGGAACATAGTTTGTACTTGGATCGCATGAGCAATACAAATAGATTTGAATTTGACAATATATCTCAAAAATTTCAAAGCTATAACTCACAACCATATTATACTGATTATCCATCTACTCTGGCTAATCAACTTAATCAACTTAATGAAGTTAGTCCAACCAATTCAAGCTATTTTTCTGGTTGTAGCATTTGGTGTAGTTCACCTATACATAAAAAATTGCAGCCTAGTGCTGTGGCTGTTTTGGACTGTTCCTGGACAGCTTGTGGAAGTAGAGGTAGTACAATTGGTGCTGCTAGTGCAAGATATTACGGCGAGGAAATCGATACTTGTGGTGGTGACTCGGTATTAAATTTACATGAGACTCATGTATCTGATTTATTTGATGTATCTGATGTATCCGATGTATCTGATGTATCTGATGTATCTGATGTATATAGTGGTGCACAATGCCTTGGGTTTGACACTGCACTTGCATCAGATTGTTCATCGTCAGTTGATGACCTTTCTGATAGTTTGGCGTCTGTTTTGTCAAGTGATTCAAATCACAATCACAATCACAATCACAATCACAATCACAATCACAATCACAATCACAATCA